CAATCAAGCACTTAGCCAGACCTGTGGCTTTATTCATAAAAAAATTATAGTAGTTACATCCTGCAATAATACCAAGACATATAATATACAATACATATATAATATAGTTTGAGCACTTTCTATTCACTATAACGATAAGCAAATTAAATAATCAACTGAAGCTAAAACATACAGAAAATAAGACAGTACATTTCACCAACCTGTGTACTTGTTGATTTAGGGGCGACGACCATCGTGGGATGGGATGCCCCCCGGCGTACCCGTGAAGGGTTAATCGCGAGGCCCGGAAAGGTGAAATGCCAAGCCTAATTGCGAAACGAGTGACGCCAATCACTGGAAACTAATATGCCTCGCGGCAAAAAAACGCACCGACAGGCAGATGATTGGGGAGCCCCAGGAGTCCTTCAGGGTGACAAGCACCGCCCCTGACCCACACAGAGAACACCGGTTAGCAAAACCAAAAACTCGACCCTCCAACTAAAACGTAAAATTCATCCAGTGCCCCCCGGCAGAGCAGAAGCCAGCCGCTCACCACGTCTGAGGACAAACCAGGAGCCCACTAAGACCTATCAATTTCCAGCACCTCTCGGCCAAGCCGGCGCCGGACACCGTCACCCCGCCGGAACCAGCCAGAACACGTTAAAATATAATCTACCAACGATCCCGTAACCCAAGGCTATGTGCGCCAGGCGTTGTACAAGCCGGACCGTTGAATAGGGATGCCAAACGGTAGTATCAAATCTAAATCACAAAACAAAACGTGTTCCGGCGTCTCTCAGGCGGAGGATGCGTCCAGACGTCCGGTTGGCGTCAAGGTTAAAAAGGCGTCTCAGCTGATCTGCCGCTCACCGACAATAACAGTCAAGCGAGCGCCCATCACATGCTACAATTACTCTAGCCAGGTACGATTTTATTTTTATTTTATTTTATTTATAAGTTTTTACATTCTTGTAAAGCCGCTAGTACGCATAGCGTTTCGGGCAGGTCCTTAATCCTAATTTTCCCCGGAATACGATCCAGTACCCATTCACTGCTGACTGAACAGAGGCTGCAGTTAAGGATTGGTGCCCTGGATTCGGCCAGGATACGAGCCCAGGCCAAAGTGCCGGGCGAGTGCCTTACCACTGTGCCATGGGGATTGCTAAGTAGATAGATACTACATTTTACTACACTCACTACGGCTTACCTTTAGTTTATTATTGTCATTACGCATTAATTTATATTTATTATGTAAGTTAATGCTTATCCACTACAGTTAGTTTATTAATTTAGAATTAGCTGTTTCTTTTTTTACTTTGTAAATATTACTTCAGTTTGTTAACATTGTTTCCCCATTCTGTGTTTCACTTGATCTCAGCAATAAAACACATCCTAGGCGATGCTAGGATACGTTTTAGTCTTTAAACCAGGCAATTTAAATCTCTAGTGATTAGTTGAGAAGCGGGACCAAAGAGCCTAAGCATAACCGAACCAATCCGCCAACACAACTAGTTAGCTAGGTGAGTGCTTCTACACCAACACCACAGGCGGCGGGGGACAATCATCTACATGCATTACCTACAGTAGGCAAACTTTGTAAATTTGGTTATGATTTCTCGTAGTACCTTATTCTGAATAAAGTAGTTACACGTTTCTTGAACATTTCTTAGAATTATCTGTAAATTCTGATTTTTTCACATTAGTTATATAGTGGTATTAGGTATGTGAATAACTTTGCTGACAGAGTTTATATTTGGTCAGATCCACTTCGGTAAGTGGCACAAACTCCCTGAGGGGTGCGATGTAATTATTGTTAATGTATAATTTGATGTATAATTTATTACTGCCGCCAGCGGTGGACCATCGGGAATCGAACACCAAACCCGAAAGAAGCAAGACTGGCGCTGTACCGATCAATCTTCTAATTTTGTGAGTTAAGTTTTTATTTAGACTCTAGGAAAGTCTGACCATCTTTTAACTTAACCTAATAATTACATCAATAATACGACGTATTTTTTATTTAACGTCTTAAACTACCCTAAAGGTCGTTTAGATTTATTACCTAATAATTACATGGTTATTAACCAAGTATATTTATGAATGTTTAATACCACCCTAGAGGTCGTTTCGACCTGTAGAGCGTCCAAAATATCAGCGTTGAATGTAATGAGACGATGCAGGGCGTGTTGCAAACAAGTGTAAATATTTTTACAAAATTTTTAACTTATAAACATATTATATAATAATTAATGATAATTGAATACAACTCCTTGTTTTTTACAATATATTGTTTTCATTTATAATTTATGAAATTACTTGAAGAATTAAATGTGTTTTTAAACAATTAAAAACAATATTTGAGTTGATTCAATTTTAAACTAAGCTTAAAGCATTTTCTTATATTTTATTTTCTAATTTATTTAGAGGGGTAACTAATTTTCTTCATATTGCAAAGCCGGTATATTATATCCACTATGAGGGATATACACCACTTCATGGCGTATATCTTGATTTTACACTTTAATCCTGAACAATGTTCAGAATTGAGTAAACTATTGAGTTGGAGTTATTAACCCTCAGTCATGGGTTTAGCGTTTGTTTTGATTCTGTCGGCGAAACTTGGCAAGTCAAGTTGTATTCGACGTGGTACAACATTTGTCCTTTTTACTGATTGGATTGGTTACTCCATGTATTAATTATGGTTAACACATTAAGACAATTGTTGTACTTAATAACTTATTTTATTTTACCCTCAGGCTTGCAGAATAGCAATCCAAGGGTTTCTAAAAATATTAGCGTTGAATGTAATAAAGGTAACGTATAATTTTAAAAGTACAACTAACTTTCAGCTTTAAATTTTCAAAAATCACAGTAAATTATGTAATAATTTATAAATGTTTTAAAAACATTTTATATCATTTATGGATTTTGTTTAACAAATATTTATGTATATTACTTATTTTTTAATTTTTATAAACATTATTATTATTTGACTTTAATGTAGTTTTGAACGTATCTTCATTATATTATTTTATACAAGACTTGAAGGGGGTAACTATAACATTATTTCTTTATGCCTCGACGCCGAGGCAAGGCACCGAATTAGTGGGTTCTTACTACCAGAAGTCGCATCTATTCCCTCTGAAATCATATAAACAAAACAAAACCCAAATTAGAAAAGTAACAACATGCACTTTTAACAAAATATTCCCAGTGGGGTAAATGTGGGTTACTGAGGTGTGGATATTGAACGTGTAGGTGTGGTTATTTGACGCGTATGTCAAGATATTAGACATGTAGATGTGGTTATAGGACGTGTAAATGTGGTTATGGATGTGTAGGTGTGGATATTGGCGATGCAGATATTGGCCGTGTGGTGTGGATAAGGAACTTACAAATGTGTATCTATAATAATAATTATTCAGGAAAAGTGCATACATAGATACAGAGTTACAAACATACTGTTGGATATATAGATAGAGCTAGTACATACAATACTTAAAGCCACTAAATACGCATAGCGTTTCGGGCAAGTGGTAGGGGGGGGGGAAATACTTAGACTAAAACTTAATAATAATTGGGAGTAAAGTATAAATTGTGTTAAAAAAAAGGAATAAAAACAGAAAAAAAAGAAAAAGAAAAGGGAGGGAACATGGCAGAAATCAAACAGCATTGTTTAGAAGCAAGACATAGGTTGACATTTAGGGGGTAAGGTAGGTTACATGGAGTTAATTAGATAGTACTTAGTTCCACTCTTAAACTGGTTGAAAGAGGCACAGCCTTTGACATGATTGGGGAAATCATTCCACATTCTGGGTCCCTTGAATTGTAGAGCATTTCTGGTTGGTTAAGTCGCACTTTTGGAATATCAAATAAATATTTGTTTCTGGTGTGATGCCCATGGGTTGTGTTACAACCTTCTAGGATGGATGAATCTAATACATACCCTAGTTGTGGGCAAAGGTTGTAATTATTTTGTGCTTCAAAGTGCTTCACTGACGAATTTTGTTCGAACCACAACGCTATAAATGCTTCACCCACGTACTACAAACAAATAATCGCCAACAGAACCTAAACACCTAACCTAACCTATGCCTATATATGCACAATATGCTAATATATTATAATATTAATTTATATTTGAGAAAATTCCTGTTTTGAATGAACAGCATATAAAAATTTATGAATGCGTCTGTGGGGTCGACCCTTGGATGTAATGGACTTGAGTCGAGGACGGGTTGGGTTCATATCCTGGCCGGGGAGGATTTACTGGGCGACAATCCTCAACTGTAGCCTCTGTTCATCCAACAGTGAATGGGTACCTGGTTGTTAAACTACTTGGCGGGTCGTATTCCGGAGAAAAATAGGATTAAGGACTTGCCCGAAACGCTATGTGTACTAGTAGCTTTACAAGACTGTAAGAACTCTTATATTTATAAATAAAATAAAATAAAAATAAATAAAAAGTGACATAATAGACATGGGATCGCTAGATTGTTTCAAGCAAAGACATATATTAATAAATGAGTTTGGTTGAAGATAAATAGGATTGCCTCGCATGGGCGAATAAGCCTTCATCAGTAATTTAGAGCTGTCCATAAAGTTTAGTTTTAGTTCATTTATTATGCACCCCATACCCATCTTGTGGGCGGTAGTGGAAAGGGTTACAGAGGCACATAATGGGCTCAGGGACTGAACCCCACAATTCATTTAGCTAAGCAAGTTACAATCTTGATGAGCTAGTTACAAAATTCAGTATAAGTCGTCACATCATAAATGGGTTCGAGATCGACCACAAGTACAGTTTCTAAATTAAGCAACTGACATGAGGAGAGCTAGTGTCACAATTGATATGTTTGTCCTGCACACCGCCCCCCATCCAGTGGGTAGCGGTGGATAGGTTACAATCACTTAGTTACTACCTACAGTTAGCAAACTAGGGATATTTGACTAAAATTTCTGGTGTCAGATCATTTTAAATGAAATATTTATACATTGCTGGAAATAAAGATCAATATATATTCACATCGGCTGTCATGAGAGAGAACGACAATGTGAGGCAGGAGCCGCAGGACACCAACCGACCACAACAACTCGCATTCGTTCATGCTTCTCGCACTTACCTCGCTGCTGTCCAGAGCAAAGAATATATTTACCGTATATACAAGCGGGTGAGTGGAATTTACTATATCAAGAAAAAGGAATTGACCATGCCGGTGGGAGCTGATGGATTCCGTCTTCCAAATATTAACGAGAAAGGTTCCGAAAAGAAATTAGATTGGGTAAGTGCTTTCACCTGAGGGCCATTAACTCTTGTTGCCTTAATGGGGACAGTTAGTCTGCAGCTTGTCAAAGATCTATTGCTACGATTTGTCAATACACGATACATTGGTCATCAGTGAACATAATTAAGAGCCAGTGGCATGGCGCAGTAACATATTTACCTGAATTTTACCTTAATTTACCTGAGGGCCACTAACACACTAGTGGCCTCGAAGAGGACAGGAAGCCGGTGGCTTGTCGAAGGCTCCCTATTTGTCCTGTTGATTTTTTCTAGCCGGTGCATCACTTATATGTACTTGACTTAGGTTTGACCTGGCCAGCACAAAATAGGTGGCTGCACAGACAGCCTCTTCCTTAGAGAGAGGAGACTCAAATCAAGCAAACAAGATTGTCCCCTACCAAAGGTGTACTAGTATAAGTGTTAATTACTGGTCAATTGCCAGTGAGGAAAAGTCTCATGAAATAGACTGAATTTTCTCATCAGTGATAAACGCATCATAAACATAGATATAGACTACATGTATTTTTATTATTATAAAGAATACTTTTGTATTTAATTCACAGTGTATATGTGAATCTAAAGAACCCCTACTTAACCTTATTTTCATTTGTTTACTATTTCTTCACTACCTGTATTCATTGTTGGTTCAAATTATTTTGCATTTTCTGTTTTGGTATTTATCAGTATGTCATGCCTCTTACTGTTGCTTCCTTTCAGTTGAATTTGGTGGAGCCATTTTCTTTGGCCTCGGACATTGATGTTTCGTCTTTACCATTTCATAAGTCATCTCTTGCTTTCTTTCACCTTCAGTTTGCTTTTTCTCTTCCTGAGCCTACTCTGTCTCTGTCTCATGTCCTTTTCTCTTTCAGTTTCTTGTTTTTCTGTCGTCTTTAGTCCCAATTCTTTGAAATGATGTTTTTGTTGGGTTTTGCTCATGGCTGTAGGGTTAGTTCTGGGATGTTTTCTTTGTCTACAACCTTCCTTTTACCTACAAAAGTGATGGGGGGGTATCTTTTGGTTTTTGGGTCATGTTTATTTGGCTGGAAGTGCAACACCTTCAGTTAATGTATTATCCTCCCCTCTAACCCCAGTAGCCCTGTTTTTCTTGTTTCATGGAAAGATGGTACAGGGATGGTACCAAGGGACACCCTCTCAGAAATCCAACATTGATTGCAATGAAACACCTCTCTCTGATGGGTATCCTTGTTGGCTACCTATTCTTACCATTCCTTCTGGGGTTCAGGGATTGTCTTTGTGTGGCACATGTCTGAGGTAATTACTTGGCTGGACGCCTGGGTTGCTGAGGCTGCCATCTTGTGGTGGGGAAGTGTAACTAACTAGTGGTTGGAATTTTGTTGTCAGGGTTTCCAAAGTTTCTCCGTGTCATTGCTTGTTTTGGGGGCGCTCTACCTTCATGGTGGGTTTTCTTGTGTATTGGGTTGATCTAGTAATCCAACACTTCCCTTGCCTCTAATGAGCAGACCAGATTCAGCTTCTGGCCCGAGGGAGGCACTAGTGTCTTATGGATCTGGTGGGGTGCATTATACTTTGGAGCTACCAAACTGGGTAGCTTGGGGACTCATAGAGGAAAACCATTTGACAGATGTACTGTATTTTATTATATTCAGCAGCCACACCACTGTTACAGCAGCCACACTATTGTTACAGCAACCACGCTATTGTTACAACAACCACACCATTGTTACAGCAACCACACCATTGTTACAGCAACCACACCATTGTTACAGCAACCACACCATTGTTACAACAACCACACCATTGTTACAGCAACCACACCATTATTACAGCAACCGCACCATTGTTACAGCAGCCACACCATTACATATCTGGTTGGACAACTCCTGGTATAATTATTTGCACTGTTATAGGTTTCCAAGAATAATCATTAATGCTTCTCATTTTGGGTCATTCTCAAAAGGAATAGAAAATATAAGTACTACAGTAATTTACAGTATAATTAAAAAAGTCATTAACCAGTACTTTTATATAAAATATAATGTGTTGAAATTTTTTGCATTAGTTATTCATGATCTATGTTAAACGTTTTTCTTCCTGTTTACAGTTAACTGGCCCTGGACAGAATGAACATTGCCGCACTTTTGTCATTACTGGGGAAGACCACACTTTAGGAAATGCACTTAAGCATTTTATTATACAGAAGTAAGTCAGTGTTTAATTTTTGAACAGCAATTTCCATTAGTGGTATGGTTTGAGTTAATTTTGTTTGGAAATAAACATGGACAAATACAAAATTATGCAATTACTGAACTTATTGTTACTTTTTAAGCTATTTCATTTGGTTTACCTATAAAGGTATAGATCTGCGATGCCAGTTAGGCAGGATGATAGTTTGGTAATGGTGCCATTTGGAATTTTCCATAATTTGTGATGGTTCATAATAGGAACTAGGCAAATATGCACTCCCACCTGCAGTTCTATAGAATGACCAACACAAGCATTCATCAAAATTCCAGCCTTTCCCGTCCTTCTTTTGGTGATCACAAGTGGCCATCCACAGGATATTGTCACTAACTGCTAGCTTGGCTACCACTGTCAACTGCCACCAGGTGGAAGTACCTTTAACAACCCAGTGTTTCAAGACCCAGACCACTTCACATTCTTCTTGACCGAGTCTTGGGGTTTATCCAAAGTAATGTTGACTTATTTTTAGTCACAGACTTTATTTCTAGAGCTTATACGGTGCAGTGCAGCTGCCAAACTCTACACCTCTTCATAACAAAATTTTCCAAACAATGCACAAATTTTCCTATTGGATCGCCCCTCAGAAATCTAAATTTTTGTTATTCACATAAGTATAAATATCATGTCGATCATATTTTTTTCAGAAAACAGTATTTTACTATTATTGCACTTCTGGTAGAGTAGTGAATTTTTAAAATATTATTGTAGTTTACCGAGAAAGTCTCCTTCAGTAGCTTCCCTCAGCTGATTGCTCTGGGCTCGACCAGACACCAACAAATTGCTAGATTCTGTGGTTGCTCTTCACCCCAGATGGATAGGTGAGGTCACTGGCTGTCTGACCCCATTGAGACCACTAAACATGGTGGTCCTTGGGCAGGTATTTAACTAAATTTACCCAAGTGCCAGGTATTGCTAAAGTGTTTAGCCAGGTTTGTTAGTGAATGCCCCCCAAATAACTTAGTCAATTGTATTATCCTACTACTAATGGGGTGAGCAGGAAGCCTAAGGTAAAGATCAGCTTGAATCTCACTGATGTAAACCCTTCCTATTACATACACAAACACTTGATACAACTCTACCATCCCTGCAAATGACTCTTATCAGTTCAATACACCCCTCTCCACTCAAATCTACTCCCTTGTCTCATTGATGTTTTGTTTATGCAATTGGTGTGCATTATATGCCCAGTCCTGTAGTTGTGGTGCTGCATTATTTGCGTGTTACACACTTCAGGTTGAGACCTTGTCAACCCTGCATCTCACTATCCTATGTTCTGAGGTTGGGTTTTCCTGGTCATCCTTAAGATGGTACAGTTCTTCCAGCTGGCTGTGTACCCTCAGATTCATCATTCTCGTGATGTTCTGAAGATTTATGTTCTAACGAATTTCTTTGCCAATACATCCACGGCTATTATCCAGTCTCGTGCTCTTTATTGGATGTCCCTTGACCTTACCACACTTGGGTTGTTTGGCATGCAGCTCATCATCTTCTGCCCTTTGCCATTTTCCATTATATTGTCCAATGGGCAAGCCATGGCATAACTTTTTCCTTGTAGTATTTTGTTCCTCTTTGGAAATGCCAGCCACCTCTACAGAGGCTTCATTGTGAGTTAGCACTGAATGTAATTAAATGCCCGTTTCTGATGGGATCCTCAGTGACTACCAGTCCTTGTCATAGTTCCTTCTTCCCCATGAGGTGGATAAGTTTGTTACAGTGGATCATGAGTAAGAAAAGGAAGAGGCTGGGACTCTGGATTAACTAGGCTACCACCTGGTGGCGGTTAGGTGCAACATTGTAGCTGTGGCAACAATTGTTGGCCTCACTACTTAATTTTCATAAACAGTTGCTTGTTTTGTTGCACTTATACTGTATTGTCAGTTTTCCTTGGTATTAGAGTGATTTCTTATTTCTGAGCTTTCTTTTCTCATAGAGAGAGTCATATTCTGGGTGGGTCCAAGAAGCCTGGGCAAAGATTCCTGAAACATATATTAAAGCCACCATAATTAAGGAAAGATGTACAGGTTTCATAAGTCTGGGGAACAGTAGCATCTAAAACCTTTACTGGCATGAACATAATGACATGGTGACATCACACACCTCATCCACACCATATATAAAATGCAAAATTTTATATCTCATTTTCAGTGGGTTGGGTTAGGTTTCTTTAAAGGCTAACAATGATATAAAAGGGAATATACTTTTCTCAGGTCTTAGACCTTACTTCCAGGAAGACTTTCATAAACAGTAACTTGATGCCTGATTTTTCTTTCTATTGCAGTTCTGCTGTAGAATTCTGTGGCTATACCGTTCCTCATCCAATGGAACGGAAAATACACGTGCGTATTCAAACGAAGGGTACTCCAGCTGAGCAAGTCCTTCGTCAAGCTTTAAGTGAACTCAAGGAACAGAATGAAGCTATCAAAAAAATGATCCAGGTATTTTTATTCACAAGCATTGCAAAGTGTTCAGTCATTCCTAACTCCTTTTCTGGGAGGGTTCCTATTTGAGGCTCCCTGTTGATTGGAACCTAGTTGGCTCCACCTAAATTGAAATACACCATTTCCTTGTGAATCATTGTAAACCTACTGGGACCAGAAGCCAAAACCTGGCCCCTTTATAGAGACACACAGAGCTGAGGCTACTAGGTCACTCCGGCCAAAAAAAGACTACCAGGAAAGTAGAACGAAACAAAACAAATCAATCAACAGCAAGGTAAACTCAAACGGAAAACAAGACTGAAATGATCTACCTGGCTGAGAGCTGATTTCACTCTCTAGTAGCAGTTGCCCACCACCAGGTTGCACACTGAGTTACTGGATCTACCCAACCATCTTGCCATCTTGTCAAGTAGCTTGGTGCTACTTGACAAGCCATTACTGCTCCTCTTTCCACTTGTGCTCTTTAGGTTCTGTTTTTTTGTGCTCAGTTTTAAAGCGCTCTGAATGCCAATTATTTAAGCTCCTGAATGACATTCTAATTTTTGCTAGCATTGAGTATGTTGCTGTCGTTATTCAATTTATATGTGCCACAGGAGTTAGATTTGGTGTTAAATCTACTCCCAGGTCACTTTCTCGAATCGTCACAGGAAGATAGTTTCCCTTCATTGTGTACTGACCCTTTGGTCTCCTGTCACCTAGTCCCATTTCCATAACTTTACACTTGCTCGTGTTGAACTCCAGTAGCCATTTCTCTATCTCTACTGCTTGTTCAAGTCCTCTTAGAGTATCCTACAATCCTCTTCTGTCACAATTGGTTTCACTAATTTTGCATCATCTGCAAACATCGATATATATAGGACGCGACTCCTGTAGACATGTCGTTCATTTATATTAGAAATAGAACTGGTCCCAGCACTGATCCTTGAGGTACTCCACTTGTTACTGTTCGCCAATCTGACTTCTTGCCCCTAACTGTTACTCTCTGACCCCTGCCTGTTATGTAATTCTTTACCCAAGATATTTCCACTTACTCCTGCCTGCCTCTCAAGTTTGAATAGCAGTCTACTGTGCGGTACTGTGTCAAAGGTTTTTTAGCAGTCCAGAAATGTGCAGTCTGCCCATCTTTCTCTGTCCTGCCTTATATTTGTTATTTTATCATAGAATTCCAGAAGGTTTGTTAAACATGATTTCCTTTCTCCAAACCCATGTTGGTGTTTGTTTACATATCTAATGTTCTCTAGATGTGTAACCAGTCTTAACCTGATTATTCTTTTAAATACTTTACAGGGGAGGCTTGTCAGGGATACTGGTCTGTAGTTAAGTGCCTCTACCCTATCTTCATTTTTGAAAATTGGTACCACATTTGCCTTCTTTCAGCAACTGGGTAACTCTCCCTTCTTAATTGACTCATTATAGATCCTTGCTAGAATGCTGAGGGCCTGCGCTATCTCTTTTAGTATCCACGGTGATACATTGTCTGGTCCAACTTCTTTAATTTTATCCAGTGTTATTAGCTGTTTCATTACTTCCTTTGCTGTCACTTCTTTATCTGTTAGTCTCTCATCTTGGGTCATCTCTTCTAACAATTGGAGTTGCTTATGCTCGGTTGTGAACACTCAATGGAAACTGGCATTCAGTTTCTCGCAGATTTCTTTGTCGCTTTCTGTAAATGCCCCTTCTGTTTTCCTCAGTCTTGTCACTTGGTTCTTCACAACATTTTCCTTCTTATATAACTATGTAGTAATTTAGGTGGCTTTTTTGCTTTCATTGCAATATCGTTTCTACGGTTTTATTCAATGGTTTCAGAGTTTGGACCTAGTGTTCTTGACTTGCTGCTTGGCTTCCCATTTAATGCCAAGGGTAATTGAGGTTGAGCTGGTGTTTCACACTGGGGTTCCGCTGCCTTCTGTTTCTCAGCGGGGAGGAGTGGGGGGAGGGGTGCAGTTCCTTCCCTCATGGGAGACACATTTCTGTCTCCATTGTCAGGTGTAGATCATGGATCCTTGCCGAGGTCTTCATTTTTCAGGGCCTCTAGGTCCAAAAAGAGCCCGCAGAGGGTTCATGGATGCCCTTTCCTGCTTGGTCTTTTGTGCCTTTGCTGGTTTTTTCTTTTTTCTTTTTTTCTGAGTTTCTCCTGCCCCTTTGGCAAATGATTTCATTGTAGGGTTTCTTTCTTCTTTCCAGTCAGACATGTAGAGTACTTGAAGCCTCTTTGTAAACACATTTTTTTTCCTCTCAGTGTGGGGGTGCCTTTTGTGTCTTCATCCCTGTGGGTATTTCTGGATGGCATCACGTTTTTTGGATTTGTCCCATTTCGGGGATTTTTCCTGAGATTTGAGTCTCTGTTGGGCTTTGGGTCTCATACCTCCTCTTGGCTTGCAGACTTCCCCTCTTTTGTAGGCTTGGCATGCTGCTGTTCGGTACCTAACTGTTCTTGTGTGACTTTTCTTCCTCCTGTGGGTGTTGGCACTACTTTCTTGTTTTAAAAGTGCTATGGGTCTCCTTCACCGGCTGTTTTCCATTCTCGTTTTCCACTTATTTGCTTGCCTTTTTCTTGCATTGTCAACTTAGGATCTGTTGGCTATGTCTGGACACCCTTGTTCTATTGGGTTGCTCAGCTCTTGCCTTTTACTAGTACGGATTTTGTTGCAGATTCATGCCTTCCCATTTCTGAGGTCAGGACACCAGCAGCTGTGTCCTGGTTCTCTGTGGCTTGGTTGGCAAGAACTACCTCGTATCTCAACAGAGCCCATAAACTGTTTTGCATATACAGACTAAGCTGCCATGATCAAGGCAAAGTGTACAGGTCTTTTAAATGGATAGTTAAGTGTTTGGTAAATCCAGTCCCAAGTATTGTAAAATAAAACTGTCGATTTTAATGTTAATCATCTTTGTGCCAGGGAAATCTTTTATGATTTATAGTTTCTATTTTCTCTGCAGGACGAAATCAAAAGATACCTGGAAACCCATCCGCAAGCAGACACAGATGAAGATGACACCCCATGATGTCAGAGGGGTGTAGAAAACATGGAATAAAAGTTATGTACAGTCATCAAAATGTTTTTTGATTTTTAAAAATAAATTGCAATTTCAGAAGACTAGTTTAGTTTTTATTGCATTTGTGTAGAAATCTCTTCATGGGGTAATCCGAGTTTTGAGCTGAACAGTGAAGTGTTGGCTAGCATTACACTGTGCAAACGTTAGTCTCGGGGAGCACCCGAGTTCAAGTGAGAGAGCCTTTTGTGTATGCTGTATTTTCTTTTATTCAATACAAGTACCAGTTGTTCTTTCACTGGCTACCCAAGTATGCTGAAAAAATATGTCCAATGAAACTATGAAATATTAATACATGAAGCTTTAATACACCAATTGTTTGCCACAATTGGTGTATTAATATTTTGTTAAATAGACTGAATGGAATATAATGTATACCAATTGGGGTAACACAGGGGTATACCTGTGTGTCCTAGCACTAGGATGTGCTAGGTGAGGGAGAAGTAACAGCAGGGTGAGGGAGCAGTAACAGCAGGGTGAGGGGGCAGTAACAGCAGGGTGAGGGGGCAGTAACAGCAAGGTGAGGGAGCAGTAACAGCAGGGTGAGGGGCAGTAACAGCAGGGTGAGGGGGGCAGTAACAGCAGGGTGAGGGGGCAGTAACAGCAGGGTGAGGGGGCAGTAACAGCAGGGTGAGGGAGCAGTAACAGCAGGGTGAGGGGCAGTAACAGCAGGGTGAGGAGGGCAGTAACAGCAGGGTGAGGGGGCAGTAACAGCAAGGTGAGGGGGGCAGTAACAGCAGGGTGAGGGAGAAGTAACAGCAGGGTGAGGGAGCAGTAACAGCAGGGTGAGGGGGCAGTAACAGCAGGGTGAGGGGGCAGTAACAGCAAGGTGAGGGAGCAGTAACAGCAGGGTGAGGGGCAGTAACAGCAGGGTGAGGGGGGCAGTAACAGCAGGGTGAGGGAGCAGTAACAGCAGGGTGAGGGAGCAGTAACAGCAGGGTGAGGGAGCAGTAACAGCAGGGTGAGGGAGCAGTAACAGCAGGGTGAGGGAGCAGTAACAGCAAGGTGAGGGAGCAGTAACAGCAGGGTGAGGGAGCAGTAACAGCAGGGTGAGGGGGGGCAGTAACAGTAGGGTGAGGGGGGGAAGTAACAGTAGGGTGAGGGAGCAGTAACAGTAGAGTGAGGGAGCAGTAACAGCAGGGTGAGGGAGCAGTAACAGCAGGGTGAGGGGGGCAGTAACAGCAAGGTGAGGGGGACAGTAACAGCAAGGTGAGGGAGCAGTAACAGCAGGGTGAGGGGGACAGTAACAGCAGGATGAGGGAGAAGTAACAGTAGGGTGAGGGAGCAGTAACAGTAGGGTGAGGGAGCAGTAACAGCAGGGTGAGGGAGCAGTAACAGCAGGGTGAGGGGGACAGTAACAGCAGGATGAGGGAGAAGTAACAGTAGGGTGAGGGAGCAGTAACAGCAGGGTGAGGGAGCAGTAACAGCAGGGTGAGGGAGCAGTAACAGCAGGGTGAGGGAGCAGTAACAGCAGGGTGAGGGAGCAGTAACAGCAGGGTGAGGGGGCAGTAACAGCAAGGTGAGGGAGCAGTAACAGCAAGGTGAGGGAGCAGTAACAGCAGGGTGAGGGGGACAGTAACAGCAGGATGAGGGAGAAGTAACAGTAGGGTGAGGGAGCAGTAACAGCAGGGTGAGGGAGCAGTAACAGCAGTGTGAGGGAGCAGTAACAGCATGGTGAGGGAGCAGTAACAGCAGGGTGAGGGAGCAGTAACAGCAGGGTGAGGGAGCAGTAACAGCAGGGTGAGGGGGCAGTAACAGCAGGGTGAGGGAGCAGTAACAGCAGGGTGAGGGAGCAGTAACAGCAGGGTGAGGGAGCAGTAACAGCAGGGTGAGGGAGCAGTAACAGCAGTGTGAGGGAGCAGTAACAGCAGGGTGAGGGAGCAGTAACAGCAGGGTGAGGGAGCAGTAACAGCAGGGTGAGGGAGCAGTAACAGCAGGGTGAGGGAGCAGTAACAGCAAGGTGAGGGAGCAGTAACAGCAGGGTGAGGGGGCAGTAACAGCAGGGTGAGGGAGCAGTAACAGCAGGGTGAGGGAGCAGTAACAGCAAGGTGAGGGAGCAGTAACAGCAGGGTGAGGGGGCAGTAACAGCAGGGTGAGGGAGCAGTAACAGCAGGGTGAGGGAGCAGTAACAACAACAACAGAACGGACCGACCTGCGTATCTACTACGCCACTATAAACTTCTACTGGCCGCATGATAGTATATATATATAAATATACCTATCCCCCCAGCACCCCCCCTGGTCGCTTCCCCACAATTCGCCCCATCATTCTTCTATATATCACACTCACCCATACTATACCTCATGTATCTCCCCCACCCCACCCATGTTCTCAAGGTATGACACGCGTCCAATTTGAAGAGTTTTTCTCTCTGGCCAGAAACCATCATCTCAGGCATTTAAAGCCAAATTCGAGGAAGAATTCTCGCGTCAGAATAGATAAATTGTAACGGAATAGGTACAAGAATATTGCTAGTAGGCGTGGCATAGAACTGTCCGAAAACGCTAGGCGTGCTGGTGGCTCTACAAGAATGTAAGAACTCTTGCACATATAAGTAAAAGTAATAAAAAATAAAGAGCTAGACCTCGTTTCCCCGTAGTGACTGGTAGGTAAGTAGTGATAGGTAAGCACCAGCAGAGGCAGCATGCTGCGGACCCCCTTATATTGGTAGCATAGTCAGCATATAATTATCAGAGTATGGTATCCGCTACCTTATATCGACGACATGGATGACAACATTACAAACCACATCATAATGTTTTTCCTAAGTTTACCTGAGTGCCAATATCTCTCTCTAGTGGCCTCGACGAGGACAGGAAGCCGGCGGCTTGTCAAAGGTTCCCCCCATTTGTCCCGATGATTTTATCAAGCTGAATCTTGAAATTCAGGAATGTTTTGCAATTTATGGCTTTGGCGAGTAGGGGGTTCCATAGGTTTATAATGCTCTGGGCGAATCAAAACATTCCCTGTTTTCTGTCCAACACTGTGGCTTGTTGAGCTTGAAACCAAAGCTCCTTGTCTGTGTTACATCCGAACTTTTAAAGAATTTGTCTGGATCAGTGTCCTGCAAATTATTCAGTACTTTAAAAGTTTCGACGAGATCATGCACTCCTGTACGTCATGATCTCATGCTTGCAGTGTTGTTAGTCTTGGCTATGGCCAAGTGGGAAGAAAAAATGACATTGAGGTCTTACAAAGAGACCTACATGAACTCCACAAATGGTCAGACAACTTACAAATGCCTTTCAGATATTGACAAATACAAGACCTTGCATGTAAGGCATAACATGCACATCATCACTGTAATATCAACTATACTACCATGCAGCAGACTGGGGAAGAAAATGACCTAAGATTTAGGATTAAGGGCAAGGAAGCTGCAGTAAAATAAAACTAAGAATAGTCAGACGAACCTTGATTAAAAGGAAAATAATGTGATTATTCAAATGTTCAAGTTGCTATCTGAACTATTTTATCCAGGCATGGAGACCCACCTTCAAAAGGACATATCTGCCTTGGAAAAAATTCAGCACGTTGCGACACAGATCATCTCTGAACTAAGTCAACTCTCATACCAGGAATGGTTGAAGGTCATAGGGGACTACCAACACTGCAAACTGGACATGACAGAGCTGGTCTTATCGAAAATTTTAAAATACACAACAAATTTGAAGATGATAAACCGCAACACTTCATTAAGAGGTCAAATGTAGTAAGTAATTATCAAAGAGGGAACCAAGCCGGAAAGGCTATGTACCAGGTCAAATGTAAGACATTCAAGGGGCAACAGCTTCAAGCACAACAAGTGACAATGCAGGACTGAAAACATAAGATACTTTAATCACCCATCTATATAAAAGAGAATGTCAGTCTGTCAGTCCGAGGCAGGAGGCTAGACGCTTGCGGCTAGCTTCACCCAACGTTTCTACATAACACGTAAGCAGGAGGGAAGTGTCATACGCAGGTCTGGGTCAGCCCGAGTGCTCCCTTGTAATATAAATGGGTTTTATTGCCGACCCAAGTGAATCCTAAAAGATCTGAAATGTGAATTTGGTCTTCCAGAGAGACGTTCAACAGTTTTTCAGCTGTTCATCACACGCAATCGGAACACTTACAACGTTGCTTAAAAGTAACAATATTAAAAAATAACGTGTTTATCTTGTGTTTACTGTGCACATATACTGCATGCTCTGAGAGAGACAGAATGGATAGGTATGGGATCCACTATCACCCACAGGATGGGTATGGGTCCACTATCACCCACAGGATGGGAATGGGTCCACTATCACCCACAGGATGGGTATGGGGTACACTATCACCCACAGGATGGGTATGGGGTCCACTATCACCCACAGGATGGGTATGGGGTCCACTATCACCCACAGGATTGGTATGAGGTCCACTATCACCCACAGGATGGGTATGGGGTCCACTACCACCCACAGGATGGGTATGGGGTTCACTACCACCCACAAGATGGGCATGGGGTCCACTACCACCCATAGGATGGGTATGGGTCCACTACCACCCACAGGATGGGTATGGGGTTCACTACCACCCACAGGATGGGCATGGGGTCCACTACCACCCACAGGATGGGTATGGGGTCCACTACCACCCACAGGGTGGGTATGGGGTTCACTACCACCCACAGGATGGGCATGGGGTCCATTACCACCCACAGGATGGGTATGGGTCCACTATCACCCACAGGATGGGTATGGGTCCACTATCACCCACAGGATGGGTATGGGGTCCACTATCACCCACAGGATGGGTATGGGGTCCACTATCACCCACAGGATGGGTATGGGGTCCACTACTACTCACAGGATGGGCATGGGGTCCACTACCACCCACAGGATGGGTATGGGTCCACTACTACCCACAGGATGGGCATGGGGTCCACTACCACCCACAGGATGGGTATGGGTTCACTACTACCCACAGGATGGGTATGGGTCCACTATCACCCAGAGGATGGATATGGGGTCCACTATCACCCACAGGATGGGTATGGGGTCCACTATCACCCACAGGATGGGTATGGGGTCCACTATCACCCACAGGATGGATATGGGGTCCACTATCACCCAGAGGATGGGTATGGGGTCCAGTACCATTCACAGGATGGTCATGGGGTCCACTATCACCCACAGGATGGGTATGGGGTCCAGTACCACCCAGAGGATGGGCATGGGGTCCACTACCACCCACAGAATAGCATGGGGTGTATGATAAATGATCAAAAGAATCTAAAAATTCCCGAGGGCATACATGGATGCTGTTTGAAACACAGTATACATAGTACTATATAGATTTAAAAGTTAGTTTGTAGGCATATAGAAAAGGCAGAGCCATCGTACACTGTCAAATTAAGTTACCAGTACGCATTTTCCATTTAAAATAATCGAATGAGCAGTTTATAAATGGCTGCCATATCGTTAACGAATTTCAAGATGATATTTATTCCAGACATGAGAAGAATATGCATATTTTGGCTACAATTAATGATTACAATAAGTTATTTCGTTACTTTATGTAAGCAGTAATTAAAGCAAAGGTGAATAACAGGGAAAATATAGTAACAGTCATGGTTTATAACGAATTCCAAGATGTCGCTTGCTATATAAACAGCTTTTAGCCATTTTAGACATGGTTTAACCGTCTGTTTTGTAGTATATGTAGCTTATTAACGGGACTGTTAGTTTGGTAGAGGTTGTTACATAGGGGTAAAGAGGGTAGGAGGGTCGAGCGAGGGTTCAGAGTTGGCGGGGTGCGCGCGGCGACGCTCAGCCATCATTGATCCCAGCGCCATCTGCACCACAAGTTTGAGTTGCAGTGTTTTTCCTGTCGCGATATTTCTGGACGCTGAGATCCAAGGTATTGTACAGGTCTGCACCGCTGGCTAGGTGCTGGGGAGGCGCTAGGGTTGTGGTAGAGGCCGCCGGGGAGGCCTAGGGCCCCCGCCGCCTAGGCCTACCACACGGGCCTCGCTACAATAAAAAATTTATTTGTTTTGGGAAAGGGGGGGAATTTCTTCGTGACGACACACCGAGCCTTGTCAGCAACAAAAGACTGAAAGGCTATTTGAGTTTTGGGGAGGTGGCAGGCGAGGGGGCAGTTTTAGGGTGGTTTAGGGCGGGTTTAGGGGTGGTTTAGGGTGGGGGTGGCAGGCCAGCGGCCGCCTCTTCCACCTCACAACTGTAAACTTGCTTGTCACTGTGTTTGTGTGTGTGTGTGTGTGTGTTGCGGCCGCGACCTGTGGCCCTCTTATCTGCGGGAGTGAGCTGGTTGGTAGGGCTCAGGGTGCAGGCTATAAGGCTCAGGGTGCAGGCTGTAAGGCTCAGGGTGCAGGCTGTAAGACTCGGGGTGCAGCCTATTAGCCCCAAGGTGCAGGCTCAGGGTGCTGGCCAGAGGACTCTGGTGCAGGCTGTAAAGCCCATGTGTGGGCTATAGGAGTTCCCATGGTCTGCAACCCAAGGCCCCCCCTGGGTGCATGCCATGGGGCCACTCCAGGGTACAGGCAATGCCATCCCCCCCCCCTGAGTGCAGGCCATTGGTCTCCTCCCCTGAGTGCAGACTGTAAGGCCTACACCCAGGGGGGAAGGAACCCTCCTGGGTGCAGGCAATTGGTCCCCCCCCCCTTGGGTGCAGGCCATGGAACCCACCCCTTGGGGTTTCAGACCATGGGGACCTTTTGAGAGGGATTTCAGACCATGGGGACCTTTTGAGAGGGGTTTCAGACCATGGGGGAGTGCAGGCCAGTAGGACCCGTGGAGGGGGGTGCAGGCCATGGGGGGCCTCCTCAAGGGGTGGGGGGGGGCCCTCGAGGGTTGGGGGTGCAGGCCGTGGGGGGGCCCCCCCCCAATGCCTCTAGTTAGGGGAGGGGGTGGGACTGGGGCTGGGCTTCTGGTGAGAGGGGTGTTTTATGCTCTATTGATATTGTCTCTCCCATCTTGGCCTAATAGGAAATGGACAATGTGTTCCTGGTTGTGTTAAGTCATAGATATTTATTGCTTTATTAGTCAACAAATCTGAATGTCAAAATTTTCCATGATGTACTAAACAAAAATAAACAATAGTAGACAAAGATGGATAGTGTAAACTCAAATTGATGTCTAATCTCCCAGGTATTTAAAATTACATTAAAGATTAAGAGAACTATGTACAAACACCTGTACGCTTACATTATAAAATTAAACCTGTAGGTGCTAAGGTATATTGAGTCGGTAATTTGGCTTCTGATCTGAGAGTAGAGTACTAAAGGTGACATTACAAGCACATATGTAATCTACTCTGTATTTAACAATTTCATTATGCCAAGTACTGTAGCTTCTCTAAGCCCATCAACATATTTTCCTGAATGACCTCTTCATTGACATAAGAGAAGACTTTGATATGTATAAATAATATTGTACTCAAATTATAGCAATATGAAATGAAGCTACTATTATAATCAAGCCTATCTCAAAAGATAACAGTATCTAATACTGTACACTGTATCAATAATATTGACTCTCAGTTAACTATTAGAGTGCCCAAGGCCTAGGCTTCATAATAGATTTCACATTGTTTGACACTCGAAGCTCATTAGGTTTATTGATGTTCTCCTAGCCAACGATTATCTACTGAAGCTAACCATTGCAACTTACTTACTCTCGGGGTACAATATCTATCTATTGACAGTTGAGCAATTGCTTCAGGTGTAAGTTAACTTTCCCAAAAGTCTCATCAGTCCTGGAAATTTGGACCTATAATGAGTTGGTTATCAGTTGACTCCTCGTATAACCTCCATTATGGTTGCTGCACCACGTAAATAAGTTGTTCGTAGAAGGGATTCAAAATTTAATTTAATTAAAATTAAAAATTTAAAAAATAAATATATATATTTTGCATTTATTACACTACTGTATAGTAAAAATATTTCCATGTATACTACAGTATTTACAGTAGTTTATTTGATAAAAAATACGGTCCGTGGCAAATAGTGGGTCATCAGTGTTCCCAAGACGTGAAGAATTTTTTATAATAAAATTCAGTATGCATGATCACCAAACTATTTTTTTTTAAGATTACTACTTCTAATAATAAAAGAATTTGTTCTTTCTATATACACCCAAGTCATTAATTTTAATGCTGCTGTAAAACGAATGGCTAAATGGCCATTTAAAAATGGTCTTCATTGTATATACAGTACTTATAATATTTTAAATAAAACTAATAAAAATACCAAGGCTTTGTATTTTTTGGGAAAACAAAAAGTTTAGTACAGTATTTTGTTACACGAAAATGTAATTTGTTTTGAATGTGATATTAATCATTATAGCACACACAGTAGTACATTCATGTGGGTACTGTACTATCCATCTCCCTTCTATCTACTTTGAGGGCTGGTATGTATTTAAATGCCTGCCAGGAGGAAGGCCCCAATAGTACAGTTGGATTAAGCCTCGACTAAATTATGATTCGTTCTTGAATGAATTAAGATTCGTTCTCGAATCACACTTGGGAATTCCGGGTTCAAATCCTGGGGGGAAACAGAAATGATTGGCTAAATTTCCTATCACCTAATGCCTCTGTTTACCTAGCAGTAAATAGGTACCCACGAGTTAATCAGCTTGTTGTGGGGTTGCATCCTGGGCAGGTCAGTAGTTTGACCTTGGTGGGACCTCGATATACACTTAGTGTGTATGCAATACAGTACTGTATATACACGAGCTTTTGTCCCCCGACACAATGAATAATTATTATCCATTTATCATGATGGTCATCTTGTTCTTTCTCGTATGTCTCTTGGAAACACTTGTTGGGTCTAGTCATATGAAATCTGCATTTCAGACATGCCCCTTGCTTTCAAGACCTGTATTTTCACAGATAAGTCCATAGTAATTCTTTCATTGTATTTACACAAAGGGAAGGTGGAAAGCAAAAATTGGTATTTTTATATAATTTTTGTCAAACATGGCATTACCCATTGGCCTCCTTTGTGCTACAGTACCAGAAAGTGAAAATTTCCTTAGCCTGCTTGTGTACTGACTGTACAATACAGTACTAGGTAAACTTGTGGTTCACTCGGTTATACCCCTCATTTACTACTGTACTTAGATTTTGAAGGTGTTCATCAGTTTTGTTTTATTTTTCAATATGCATAGATATGGTTCTTCATGACTTGGATCTCTAGTGTATGTTTGCATCTCTTTCTTTGTGTAATACCGAATGGTGCAGTAGATGTCACTGTTTAATACAATACAATGTTTATTCAAAAGAATGTGAGTACAAAGAATATAGGAGTAATGTACAAGTTATAGGGACAAGTTACACAATCTATGAAATCACTACTATGCAAAGCATTTTGGCCCAAATGTTGGCCCAAGCTTCAAATTACAGCCTTATTCATTCACAAAATTTTTAGGTAATTTTTTAAAATCTCTAAAACCAAACAAAATTAAATGTGCATTATGGACTTTAAATGTTTTAAGTGAAATATTGTATAAGAATTTCTCTTATATTTTGTGTAATGAATGCTGTGATTTGAAGCTGTTTGATGTGGACACTACGCGACTTGAATGTTAAATAGCCTTGCTTGCATAGTGCCTTCTGATAATTACTCAAGTTTGAATGACAGTATTTGCCTACATGCTAAGTCTAATACTGTATCTATATTGTGTGCTCTCATATAATATAGAAATTGTGTGTAGTGGCTCAGTTAGATACTGTACAGTACTTAACTTTTGTGTCTCCTTGTTCATATTCCACCCGTACCAAATAATGTCCTTGTCTGCCCTGTCAATTTTCCTGAGAACTTTGTGAGCAGTGGTGAAAGCTATAAGCAGTACATACTGTACAATACAGTATTTCAAATGAACAAAAATGGCTGTATTATTTATTGTCATAATAAATTTTCAGGCTGGATGAGCAGTGGTTGAGGTATGAATGAACTGGCACTCGTGCCAAGATGAAGATCGATCGAACCAAATTAAAGAAAAGCAGCTCAGAAGTTGTAAGTATTCTGGTTTTTGTTTGCCTAAAACACCACTGAATTGAATATTTTAAGTTGCAATCTTTGGACATTGACTATCCATTTATACATAATTTTTCCTCACTTAGTATGTGATTTTTTCCTAGCCTGGTGATTGTGGTTGGCTAATAGAGAAGTTACAAAGCTGCAGCAATGAGGAACTATTGCCAGTTCTTCGAAGTGTGGAATCGTGGAGTTACGGGAAATGTGAATTGTATCACTGGATTGATGTGCTAGACAGGTAAGCCACTTTGGTTGGTTTTGTTTGAACTCCCTCGTAGTAATCAGGGCACAGTCAAATCATATACAAGACGTTTCAACGGCTTATTTTCTGATTGTTAAAACCATGTACTATATCATTAGGTTAAAATGTATTAACTTGGATAAAGTTAGGTTTGGGTAAGGTTAGGCAAGTTTTGAAATGCATTGACAAACAGTTTTGTGTATGATGTGACTTCTGTTCCAGTACTGTACTATAATCACTCATTTTTGTTTGTGGCTTAGACAATTATTTTTTATTTCAAAAGAAATTGTGTGTTGGTCAAGATAAATACTAGTCTAGATAACAAAACAAAATTATCAGTTTTGCTCAGTGAACTATAACTATCAATGAACTATAACTTTCTATTACATATCCATATAAACAGTACTTAAATCAAATTCAGTATTAGATCTCTCTAAATTAAAAATTTTAGATTTCCAGATCATCAGGCAAAGTAATTTCCGGCAAATTGTATTTTTTTGTATTGTTCAGTGGATATCAGTTATGGTTATCAAACCATATCTTCTTAATTATGTATTTGAACGAGTTCCCTAGATATTCCTAGAAAATTTTGTGTAAGAAAGTTTTGGGCATGAGAAAGTTTTAATGGTTCATTTGGAGTCATGGTTCTGCCTTTTATCGACAGATTCTCTTGGTAGTTGTCTATCTTGCCAGGTATTGAAATGAAAATTACTCTTGTGAAATTCATCATTAGAATGTAGGTAATATTAGAATATGAAAAGACCTGATTGATGTTCGTAGTAAGCAAAAAAAAATATTAGTTTTCAAATTTTACCCAGTAATTCTCTATTGGCTAGAGTACAGTACTAACCAGTAGAGAAATATTGGTTTCTTTATTCGAAGTTACTTCAACGAAGTTTGAATTGGGGTTATACTGTAATACTGGTATTGACGGTATCTGTGCATTGACATAGAAAGGTTAGGTGGGCTGCTTGGGTTTGCAAATTTCTGGTTAGGCAAAACATTTACAATTTTTTATGGAATTGCAAAAAGAGTGAAGAGGTTAACACAGTACAGTACTGTATATAATACAGTAATTTTAAAGTGCAAATAAAAAAAATTGTCATGGTATGGAGTATTAATAAAATTTGTGGTGTATTGCTAATGCTGTATACACAAGTATATATTTTTAAGGTATTCTTGAATGTCTAATGTATACTAAATTAATATTGTACATTTTAACAGATTTGATACAGTATTAGAGGAGGCAGCAGAGAAAGATGAAGACAAATGGGTGCTACCATGCGACCTTGCCCAGAATTGTCATGTAAGTTAGTGTTGTCTTTGTACAAGATGTTGGGTTTCATTTTGCTAGATTATAATGTGACTGTTTAACATAAACCTTAATACTTGTTAATGGAGAGAGAGGGGGGAACCTTTGACAAACCATCATATTTGTGTTGACACTACAGATGTTGGATGTTGGATTAATTTGGGTCAATTTATATGAATAAGTTGCCTGTAGCTATGAAAAACAAAATTAAAAGATACTTAAATGAATAAATTGGTACAGACTTTAGTAAAATCAGTTATGCTCCTAAGTAATTTTTTTCCAGTAGTGTCTGCATAATTTATATTGTTGTTGCAGGAACAGGAGTTGGTTGTATGGGTGCTACACTTCACAACACTGTTGGTGGAGCATTCCTTTTCCCGACACCTGTATTCCTCCGTGGAGCACCTCATTACCCTTTTGTCGTCCACTTCCATGACAATTGTCTTGGCTGTTCTCAACTTGCTCTACATGTTCAGCAAGAGGTATGGTGGTAGATGGTCTATTACTTGTGTACATTCTTTTTAACCCTTTGGCTGTGTTAAGTGATAATGAGTGATTTAGAAAAAATTGTCCTAGAACGGGTTCTTAGTCTTTTGCGATTTGACCCCCCATTGAATTGTGCAATATGCCCCCATACCCCCTTTTCTAGACTTTAAATGACCACCACCAGTCCGATTAGTACCAGTATAACTTCAAAGATGTCAGTAGCTTGGTTTTACTTTATATATATGGATAACTAGGAAAGAGGAAAGAAAACCATAAGGATTTTATTGTTTATAAAAAATGTCAGATCACAAATATACAAGCTAGTTAATACTAATGAAGTTTTGCAGTTTTTTATGAAATCAAAACATGGAATCAGGGTACAATTACTGATGGTGATACTGTAGTTAATTTTAATCTAACTACTATTTTATTCAAATTTTTCATGAGATAAAATCCCATACCTCCATTATTTAGGTCCTGTCCTTATTGCAGCATGTTGGTTTCTTGAGATATGCTGACCTTAGGATACCTTTCTCTTTCTTTCTCCTGTAATAAAAATAATTAGGGCTTTCATTTGCTTACATTTATTTATGGTTTAATCTTAAAATTCTGTGTACATTAAATTTGTTAAATTTTTCAGGTCAAATTTCATCACACGTTTGGCAGTAGCGCCCCGGCAAGCCCTCTTACTCCGCCTCATCAACCTAGCAGAGCCATGGGGTGGAAAGGACAATGGATTTGGCCTTGCACAGTGTTGCCAAAATCTTTCTCTATCTGTAAGTTAATGTATACAGTAAGGTCCTCATTCAAGTTGGCCATAAAGTGTACATACATTTGTTTTGGGTTGCTAGGATTTTTTTATTGTAATTTTTTTTAATTCAAAAGCTTGTTTTGTTTTGGTCTCATTTGAAAGATTTCCTGGGCTATAAGTTTAATCTACCTGCCAAAGAAAGCTCTATAGTATAATTTTGGGGTTTAAGCAGCTAATGTATATATATGCTTGTTATTTACATAATCAGGGGAGTAGTATAATAAATTATCTACCTAACTTTATCCAGTCTATAGTAACCCAAACTAACCTAACCGAGCCTAAGCTAACATATCCTAACCTAACAATATACGGTATACAGCTTTTAACAAACAGATTTGACCATACCCCGTTCAAGACCCTTGTAAAGTCATGTCGTGTGTACGAGCTGGATCGCTAATTTTCAGCCATATTGTTGTGAATTATTATCTGCATCAGAATATTTTTTTTTGTTTATCTGTAGTATACTAATTATTTTTCACTGCAGGCTTTTCCAGAAAATGCTACAACACTTCACTATGAGTTTTATGGTGAGCATCAACAACCACAACAACAACAACCACAGCAGCAACAGGCTGGGGAGGGAATAAGCAGCAGTAGTGGTGGCTGCAGCAGTAACAGAGGAAACAGCTCTATAATCACTATTCATATAGATAATATGCAGAATATCAGCAAGTCACCAGCACAGGTGATGGAGGAGCTTTTGCAGGTGTACAAAGTGCCTATTGAGAAACAGGTGAGGAGCATTGTACTTATGCATGTGTATGGTGCTGAATGGTCTTCCCAGTTTGGTGTCTTCTTTTGATAAATACTTAGTTTATCCATGCATTGCTGAAGGTCTTTTTTTTTCAAAGCTTCTCCAAACAAGGCATTAAATACTACTCTCTTTGTTATTATAGTTGTCTAAGACTGCTAAAAAATATTATTCTAAAGGAAAAATAAAAATACATAAAAATATATAAGCACTAACACTAATGGTTTTCTGTGGGTTTAAAAATATAGTTTTGGCTATATAAACTCAATAGGTAGATTAAGAACCGTTAACTAATTTATTGTTTTTGTGACTGTGTTGCTCCTATTGTTCAAAGTTTAGTAATAATGACTAAAGTAGTGAAAATGTGGAGTATGTTTTATACTGCCTTGAAACTCATCACATGAAGTTGCTGTTCTCTTTCACTGCCCATAGTAATTTTCCAATGTATATCTTTTGCAATGAAACTGAGATCCTATGTTTTTGTTTTTCAGATGGTCCTGTTTACTCATATAAGATTAGCCCATAGTTTTGGGATATTTGAAACTCGATTGCAGTGTGTTCAAGCCCGACTACAGGCACTCTCTGTGCTCGTATATTGCAATGCACTCCAGGTTTGTACACTGTTTTAAAAGCTATTAAAATTTATACTGTATAAAGAATGTATAATATGACTGATGGGGTATAGGTAGTGCAAGTAGAAAACATGGTAAGAAATTATCAAAGTTCCAACCTGTGGTATGAAATGTATATGGAATTCTAGCAGTTTTGCAACATATTACTTTTTCATGAATAGTAAAGGCTTGCTGTATTGTACTTAATGATTTTGTTTGCTTTAAGTTTGGTGAAACGTTTTATGTTTTTAGTGGCATGCTCACTGCTCCCATTGGAATAATACCTTTAGTCACCTGCAAAATCATAGATGCTTTGGGGGGGTACGTCAAATAGTTCATGTAAGTTGTGTGTAATGCAAGTGTTTGTGTCAACATGAAATTACTGTGCAGCCAGACTAGTTTATCATACAGTATTTTACTGTATTTAGTCAAACTGATTTTACAGTATGTTACTTGTATTTAATTGTTACTTTATGTAAATATAAAAGTTTTGGAACGTGCTGTAATATTCTCCATAGATTTTTTACATTATTCTATACCGTTCCTAGTGTCTGCATGTCAAATTAGGATCCTATTTTTGAAAGGTCAAAGGAAGAGGTTATATTTGTAATGCTTTACTGATGAAATACACTGCGCAAATTTGATGCTGTTCATAATAGATTGGTACTATTTACAAATCTTGTTGAACAGTATTATGATAAAACTAAAATCTGAATCTTTTAATCTTGGCTCATTTTTGTTTTCTTAATTTAATGTTTGAAAGTAATTGGTTTTTGTATTTTTCCTGCAGGATAATGCTAATACAGTTTTGTATTCTGGGCTTCTTGATGAGTTTGTTGAGGTGTTGGAGTTGAATGACACCAAACTGACAGAGATAAAGGCTGCCACTCTCCGTACTCTGACTTCCATAATACACCTCGATCGTATGCCCAGCTTCCCGAAGTGAGTTTTTACTGTGTTTGATTCAGCCTTCTGATTTTCTCCTATACACTTGAATGTAAGCTGGACCTTTTCTTGAGCCATCTTTTCTGTTCCTCTCATTTTGCCAGACTTAACAACCCACCCTCTCATCTAATACTATGTAATTTTTTAATGGAATTGGCAACTCTCTTAAAAACAAGAGCACATTGATATTGACATTTTCTATACATAGACCTCAACTGCTCAGGTGAGTTCCTTGGTGTTTACATTTTAGTTAAGTAAACCAGTTGCATTTTTGAGAACTGGTTCGTTATTTGAGGGGTAAATTGTGAGAACAATCTAAGCTCCCTGCCTTATTTTATTGTCCTTTTCATAGTCCTTTGTGTAGTATATTTTATAACTGATCATCATCCCCCATATCTACAGCTTTGTGCCATCCCATACTTGTACATATAGGCAACAGTGATGCTCAATTGTTCACCTTTCCAACTACTAATACCACACTTTTTAATAATAAAATGCTTGCACATATGAATTTTTGTATAGTGGATTCCTCTAAATGATTTAGCAGATCTGCATATGAATTCCAGATCATCATGTAAAGTCATTACACCACTTTCAACTCCTGAGGTATTGTGGTACTGTGATTTCCTATGTATAACTATTTTCTATGAGGTAATGTCTCACCATTCCAAGAAAGTGGGAAATGTTGGTAATGATAACGGTCACGTACAATAAGAAATATTTGGCTGTACCATGAAGTCGAATCCACATCCCTGGACTCGGCAGGCACATGCACTCCCAATATGTGACTTCCGTATATTCTCACATATGTTACAGTCTTGTGATTTCATTGTGCATAATGTGTGGTATTTATATAGTTTTCTTTTACAATTTATTGCAGATTGAACACTATTATAGATGTTACTGGTGCCGCCTCCTACCATGGTTTTCTGCCAGTGTTGGTCAGATCGTGTATTGCCAATTTGACAGCCACAACACCACCGGTGCCTAATCCTTTTCCTGCACCTCTGGCCACGGCACTGTTTTCGTTCCTGTATCACCTTGCCAGTTATGAGGCCGGGGGAGAAGCCCTCGTATCTTGTGGTATGATGGAATCTCTCATCTCGGTCGTCAACTGGAAAGGCACAGAACCAGATCATATTACGGTAAAAAACTGTTCTGTATTTAAATTAAACTGTCATTATTTACATTCATAAAGGTGCTGTATTATTTTGAGCATTGACATTGCTTGCTGGCATAGGAAGTTAAAAATTAGGTTAGTGCAATATCTTTCCTTCTGAAAATGGCCAGTATAGACTCTTGTTCTGAAAATGGCCAGTATAGACTCTTGTTATAAATTTGTCATATTGTTCAATGGAAATACTGTATCCTAATGATCCTGGAAGAAATGTGCAATACTGTGGTGACATTTACATTGAGGAAAGATTACTTAGTAACACACTTTGCGTTATAATAAATGTTGCACAAATATTATGCACTTATTGATTTGAGATGTATCTAGGACATATATTAAATGTATTTTGAGTATTGAGAAATCATAATATTCATGGATGGCTGTCTTAAATACAGTAATTTTTTTTCTTGCAGTTTGTAACCAGAGCAGTGAGAGTTATTGATCTTATTACAAATTTAGACATGCATGCCTTCCAAACCCACGGAGGACTCTCAGCCTTCATACGACGACTAGAAGTGAGTCTTTGGGTGTTTCATCATCTGTATTTTATTTTTTTTTAATTCAAAATAACTTTAGAAATTTCATCTGACCTAACCTAACTTAGGAATTAAATTTCTCAATATACTCTTAATATTGTTGTGATCAAACAAATTTAAAGTAATGTTTGAAAGTGAGCAAAATCACAAAATGGCCCTTGCTTACTAGGCCAAGTATGCAGTTCTAGCTGTTAAGTATGACATATACACAGTGGTACTTTCCTCTTGTCAGGTGGAAGTGGAAGAATGCCGGAAGGAACAGCCATTTGTAATAAGTTTACCGGCACCTCTAGCCGAAAGTGAAAGTGCAAGTGCTTCTGCCGAGGCAGAGCAACCGACAACCACCGTTGAAGAACCTGTCGTCACAACAGAATCAACAGAAGTGCCTGACACTGCTACACATTCACCTATGGACACTACTCCTGCGCCTGTGTCCGATAGTGCCAGTGAATTGGAAATTCCCCTGAGCCAGCCATCGTTCAACCTTTCTCGGCCCAGTACCTCGGCTGCTATGGAAGTTCCGACTGCTTCCCAGCCCGATTATAGTGAAGCAAAGACTGGTTTGTCATGTTTGCCCCAAAGAGCAGCTCTTGTGAAATCGATGCTCAACTTTCTGAAGAAAGCCATTCAAGAGCCAGGTTTTAGTGAGAGCATGCGTCATCTAATGGAAGGCTCCCTACCTGCGTCCCTCAAACACATAATTAGTAATGCTGAATATTATGGAGCCTCACTGTTTCTGCTAGCTACGGATGTAGTCACAGTCTATGTGTTCGGAGAGCCGTCCTTGTTGTCATCCCTTCAGGATAATGGACTAACAGACGTTGTGCTCCATGCACTTCTTGTAAAGGACGTGAGTATTCATCTATTCAGATTGTTTTAGTAATTTTGTACACAGAAATATGTACTTTCAGAATTCTTTCTTATATGAAATACGTTCTTTCATAGGTTAATGGGTTTAGTTGGTGGTGACTGTTTTATGAAGTTCACAGAATTCTAACTTTATGATGGGAAATTGGCTAATGCTCTAGTACATTTTTTACTTTTATTTTATCAACGGAGGGGCCCGCTTTTTCTCTAGGTAGACTTAAAACGTAAACAAATTAATTGAAGAAAGTCATTGGAAGGTACTGTATTTTGATATTTTCCCAAATTTAAAATATAAAATTCTTTAAACTATAAAACAGTGACTTTGTTTTAATAATTTAAAAAGATACAATTGTATGTATTGATTTTATATACATATTTTAGCTTTCCAAAGATAGTTATTAATAATACAGTATAGGATGACACTTTTTGTGCAGAAATAATTCTTGATTTATTCTATTACTGTTTGTGCATTTCTAGGGTTAGGATGTAAAAAAAAAATTATTAAAATGTGAATTTTGGCAAAGGCATAAGGTTTTGGCATCTGAATGCTAGTGTTTGTCAATCAAGAATATTTTATTTTTTTAATTAGTTTTTACTAATGTTTTACTAAATTGGTAAAAAATTGGATAATATACTGTATAGTAAATGTATACAGTAGATTATCTTACGCATTGTAAAAAGTTACTCTAAATTTTCAGGTACCAGCCACAAGAGAGGTGTTGGGTTCTCTTCCTAATGTGTTTAGTGCTCTATGCCTCAATTCTCGGGGCCTTGCTGCATTTGTGGCCTGTAAGCCGTTTGAACGACTGTTCAAGGTGCTTCTCTCCCCTGACTATCTACCGGCCATGAGAAGGCGGCGTTCATCAGACCCCATGGGTGATACTGCATCTAACTTGGGTAACGCAATGGATGAACTGATGAGACACCAGCCTAGCCTTAAGGCCCAGGCCATGAAGGCTATTGTTAAAGTGAGTATTCACAAGTCTTTTAGGATAAAGCTTTTGGAATACTGTATTTATGTAGTTTGTGTTCCTTGATGTTTTTGCTATACATTACTTTTTGCAACTACCTTTTTGCTATACTTTACTGTTAATTCTCAGTATCATAACCCCAATATTATTAAATTCCATATTTTTAGAATTGCTATTGTTGGCCATAACTTCATCTTTTCTCTGGTCATTATTAGTTAATTTTCTTGAAAGGATATTTTTCAGAGTTATGGGATTTCATTTAGTGTTGCATAATGAAATGTACCCCTGAAATTGCAAACCGAAATTTAAATAGCTTGATGTATCGACAAATATTTTGGAGCAATGTGGTTGGACTGAACTCGCATCAGTGTCTAGGGAGGCCAGAGATACAAGTTCAGTCCCACCGTATTGTTCCAAAGTTTCCTGGTACTTGTAATTTCAACTTTCTGCCTAGCCTGTTTTTAAAAGGTGGGAATCATACTGTCTAGTGGTTAACTTTCAACCTCAAAGGATTGAGATAATTGCAAAACAGGCACAAGGCATTGTGTTCTGGACCATCCAAGCTAATTATTTTTTTGTATGATATGAGACAATTTAATAAGGTAATCTCATTACTAAGATCTGGATGGTTATCTATTGAGGTTTCTCTAGATCAATGACCTTCACCATGCTGCAACCCATAATCATTGCCTAACTCACAGATACCTGTTTACTGCAAGGTGATTAGAGGTATCAGTTTAAAAGGCACATGTCCAACCATTTCTGTCCTGTCCGGGGTATGAATCCAGGATCCTTGATTGCAAATTGAGGATGTAGACCACTACTACAGAACCTGTTAAAGCATGATAAGCCCACAGCTAAACTCAAGAGAAGCGAGCTATGAGAAGATGCTGGAAGATCCAAGTCTAATGATATGAATGACCAGAGGTGGTCATTCCACCTCTGGAATGATCACCTCTATTTCTATTTACGTTTTGTAAACATAAAGTACATTTACACAACAGATTCTATTTATCTACCTTGTGGGCTAAACGTTTTGACAAACCAAACTTTGTAGGCTATAGCTTTGAGATAGACAACAAATGCCATTAAAAATATTAATATTGTAAAAGACAATTCTATTAGGTCACAAATGGGAATAATTGTAATTGCAAAAACTGTCCAGAGTTGTATTTTGTCAGTAGTCTTAAGGATCTTAATGCTTTGTGGTTATGGTTTTATGTTAACCTGTTTAATCTACAGGTCTTTCCTCTATTTCTGGGGTCCACAGATCTTGTATTGTGTTTTTGTCACAGAAAACTATCATTTATTAACACTATCATTTTTTATTAACTTTTTTAGTCATTTAAACAGGAATACATTTTGATAGGTGGCATGCAGTCTTGTTAATTAATTAATAACTGTTACACGATTATAAAATTAATCTCTAATACTATATTTATGTTCATAGAGCTAATTAGTTTTTTCACATTTCTAGTTATTAGAAGAAGTATGCTTGTTGGGCAGTGACACGCACTATATCTGCTGGAAGACCCCGCCCAAGCATGAAGCATCACCCGCTCCAGTGTCTCGGTGAGTACACATTCCCAAAGTAGCGTATTCTCAAGTTAGATTTCTACTGCTCTGAAAGTATAACATTTTGTTCTCGATTACAAATTAGTGCAGTACAGTAGTTTGACCTTTATAGTCATTCGGGGATATGTTCAAGGGAAATTCCTACTTATGGTGAAATAGGAGGGCATGCTCACATAAGTGACAGATATGCAAGGAATTTGAGTAGAGATTCCATGTCTTCAGTGCTGTATACAGCAAGGTGAAGTGTCCTAATTGACTGGCACTGTATTTTAGATATACTTGTAGCCAATTCTGATTAAAAAGCTAGATCACACTATTCCTGCCATCACTGATGGGTAAGCATTGATGAGTAAGCACCACACTACCGACCATACTCTCACCCTTTAGCTATCCTACCACACCAACCAACCACACTCCGACCACACCAACCAACCACAACTTGTCATATTTGTTGGTTGCTGTTGAAAAAAACTATGTAGCTTTAATATGCTTTAATAGTTTGATCGCTGTTAAAGGAAAGACTAGGATTCCTACCAAATTTTATGCAATTTAATTTGCTATTATAGTTTATTACTTTTCACATTATATTGGCAGAACAACAAATGATAACTCGAGTGATGAAGAAGAGGAAGAGGAGGAGGAGAGAGATTCCGGTGTTGCCGGGCCGCCCGTTTCCACCGGACAGCGAGAAGATGTCCCCTTGTCGGACACAACGCCTGGGGAAAAACGGCCCGTGCCTCTGGTGGACTATGTACTTAATGTCATGAAGTTTGTGGATGCCATCCTCAGCAATAATTCGACAGATGACCACTGCAAAGAATTTGTCACCCAGAAAGGCCTTGTACCTTTACTTGGCATTTTGGGATTGCCAAATCTTCCAATAGACTTCCCAGTTTCTCAAGCTTGCCAATCTGTAGCATCTGTCTGCAAATCCATATTGGTTAGGAGTAAAGCTTTTGTTTTTTATATTCAGTTGTTATTTTTGTGAATATTCAGGTTGTCTACAAATTATTTACCCCATTGTAAGCATTAATAAAATATAATTGAGTGAATAATTTGTGGACACCCTGCATATTTGCATATTTGGTGGAAGGCTGTATAATGGGTTCAAAGCCACATACCTGAACTTGCCAGGGATGCAAGTTGGATCCCACTCTACTGGCTCAATATTTTCTCAGATACATCACGGTTTTGTGATTTCATTGCACGTGTGTTACTTTTACTGCATGTGTGGGATTGTATGTAATTGGATGAGTAGAATGATGTTCATGGTGGCACCTTTATTACACATTTTGATTTGAGAGATTTTTATGATTGGTTTTGACGTGGCCTGATCTATCTGCTAGCACTTATGAAGCAGCACAACCATCACTATTTTTGCACTGCTTCAATAATAGCATTTCATGGACAATGAATCAAAAGAACTTTATGTCTGAGAAAATATTGAGGGCATAAGATGAGATTGAACTGTACTGTGTCAAGAGTTCAGGGATGTAGGTCCAATCCCATTGTACAGATTAAATTGTCTTATTTAATGGACTTTTGGTTATACCATTTAAGAGCTTCAATAGTTATTTCCTTTGTGATTATCACATGTTCTAAAATTTGTCATATTTCTCGTGTTATTTTAGTTATGGGTTTCCAGTACCTTTAGTTCTTTTGAGTTTCATAATGTTGCATCCCTTTAGAATATGCAAATATCATCCACCCTCTTCTTTTTTTAATTGATTGTGTTTGTATCTTGTCATATTCTCATTGTTCCATAATTTGCCAACATCACAACTTCAAATTTGACCAGATCTTTAAAGGTTTTACAGTCTTCTGAATTTTTTTTACAAGATTGTTTGAGCACCTGCAAATATATTCATTTGCTTAATTTGTATGATATTTAAATTGGCACATCCTCCAATAATGGTGCTTATATCAATTATTTGGTCAAATGAGCAAAATGGACAGTTGGAGCCCAAAGTTACTTTTTGTATTATTGAATTGGCTCAAAATGCAATACTAAAATCATGGATAAGGAACTAAAGCAGCTAACCTGACCTGTCTAAGCAATTCTAGGCCTAATATATGCTATCCTAGGCCCTAGTATAGTACATGTGTGCTGTACAAGGCCTAACAATGTTAATTTTTCTATCATGTCCTCTTCAAAATTAATAGTACAAAATGTAAACATTCTTGGCTGCAAGATTCCAATTTTGTACATTCAACCAAATAGTTGATATAAGTATTATTATTTTAGGAAGTTTTTATTCAAATATTCCATAAACACTGTTGGTCATTCATGGAGATGTGGTGACTCCACCACCCTCCAGGGGGAGGTTTGGGTTATTGGACTGGGAACCCATTAACCCCAAATGTAATGCTACTAAGACTGTAATTGCCATGAATCTGGGGGCTGCCCATTCCCAACCCCAGAAAGAAATGATGTTTGTAAAGCTGTGTGGAATGTGATTATTGGTTATTTGTATTTCTTGAACACTCATTGAAATTACATTAATTGGTCCATATTTTTTTAAAATAAACAAAATTTCTTGTTATTGTTTAGGGGAAAAAAAAAAAGTTACAGCCAAAGGAGTTAAGTTTGCTGATGCTTACACTGCAAGGATAGCCTGACACCACAGATAAGCTCTAATTGTGAATCAAATATTGAATGAGAAAATTTTGGGAGTAATACAGTGGGACCAAACTTCTTTCATTGTCTCACTGATTTGGTCCAAGATTCTTGTAGGTACATCACACTATTGTGATGTTGATTTGCAAAGTATTGAATGAAAATATTTTTCATTACCCATTAAAATTGTAGATATATTAAGGATGATTAGCCAAAACTGAATAACTAAATCTTTGTATATACTGTAGTGTATTTTTGTTACTAATTATTTCTTATTTTTAACCAGAATCTTGCTCATGAAAGTGGAGTTCTTCAGAGGGGACTACAGTGCCTAAATGAAAAATTAGAAGCACTGGCTCCACTACATGAACCTTTGCCTTCTCCGGGAGGGTCTGTCCTTCTGCGTGAGCTAGCGTGTGCACCAACCCCTGGTGAGGCCACAGCATCACCGCAGGCCACCCCTCTCTTGCATACCCTTAGTGCTGTTCATGCTTATATCATGATGCTAGTGCACGTGTGCCGCACAGGACAGACTGAGATTCGGCAAGTGTCTATCAACCAGTGGGGGACAGAGTTGGGTCTGCGTGTGTTGGCAGGGCTCACACAGTTGTACACGTCACTCGTGTGGGAGTCGACAGTGTTGTTAGCTCTGTGTTCAGATGATGCACTACCTGCTGGCTGTCTTTTTGGCAAAGAAGATACCGACAAGCTTCTTCCACCAGACTTAAGAGTTAGTATTTTCTAATGGCTTAATTTTTATTAGACTAAAGTACTACTACTACTAAATGGATTTATTAAAGATATTTTGTAATAATTTTGTCCAATAATAGCTTTGGATCTTTCACAAAGCAATTTTGCAGTTAAATACTTGAAATGGTCAGTTCTGTTTATCAGTGCCTTATATTTATGTATTTCCTCAAAAAGGATAACTTGGTTTTAAAGCAAAATTGATTTTTACTCCATTTGTGGTGGTTGTAAAAATGTCAGTATTTGAACAGGTGTGTGAGAAGGGTTATTAATATATATATGCTTAATGTTGCTATTGTAGTTTTCAGGTCTTACTGTAAAAAAAAACATTTATGGCCAAAATTATTCTTGTTTCAGAATTGTTTTAAATATTTTATTTAAATTTTAGTGTGATGACGGAAGCCGGAGTGAGGCTGTTGCAATGGAAGTAACGGAAACAGATGTGAAAGTGACTGCAGGAGGAAGTATACCCACAGCTGAGGATAGTGGCACGGAGAGCCCAACTCGACAACAGTCTGCTGCCACACAACACCAAATGAAGCTGATCAAACCACTTTTGTCATCGGCCTCTAGATTAGGAAAGGCTCTTGCTGAACTGTTTGGCTTGCTCGTAAAGGTTAGTAAATTACTGTTTACCTTGTTGTTCTCTATGTAGGGGTGGCTACAACTGGAAGATTAGATATGCCCGAGGTTCAGGATATGACAAAACAAGTTGGAATTCTCCTACAGCTATATATTGACCTTGATGTACAGTTCATTTCCTTGTGGTGCAGTCTCTTACTTGATTATCTGTTTTTTCCACCTCTACTTTCCTTTTGTGGATATTGGCTTTAACATTTTTTTCTTATACAATATATTATTTCCCCTTGTAATTTATCACTTATGTAGGTTTTTTTGTCATTGCTGATCCAGCAAGTGCATTTTTTAACAAGTAAATGGGTTGTAAATAGTTTAAATAAATGGGTTGTAAATAGTTTTTAAAAGATTCTTCATAAGGCCATTTTCCTTTCCCATAAGTTGTGGGAAATTTGACTTTGTATTAGATGATAATACTGGAAAATGTAGCACAAGGTTGCAGCATGTACAGCTGGGGTCACTTTAACAGGGGTAAGTTTCCCATATAGAATGCATGAATTCCAGAGAAATTGCTACTCTGAATTCCAACACTAGAAAGCACTGTGTATGAATTTTATAGCAGATTGCATAAATGATGGATTATACTCAATACATTTCTACTTAATCAAACCTAAACATTGTGGGGAAATAAAGGGACAAACCCATATAATGTTGTGGGAGATTTAAGCAACAAAGTTGTATGGCAAAAATTGTGGGAAATTCATAATCTTCGGTAGCTGTTTTGTACTCGTACAATTTCATTAGACATGTACTGTATTGAAAATTTGTGTATAAGATCTGGCTTTTTGTAACAAATGCTAGCTTTATGCATAATATCTTGTTAGCTGTGTGTTGGGTCACCGTTGCGTCAACGGAGAGGGCAGCAGGTGGCAACTCCAATTACCCCACCGTCCGCATCAGCACGGGCAGTAGCTTCAGCCTTGGCACAACTCCTGTATGCAGGTCTCTCATGGACGCCGCCACCATCCTCTCCGGTGCCCAAGTTTCGTCTTACGTTCCTCATCTGTTCGGTTAGGTTTACCAATCCAATGCTTTTTGATGACAAGAAGATGCCATACCATCTGATGCTTCAGTATTTTGCATCCTCTCAAGGTCTTAAAGGTATGTATTTTGTTGACCTTTGCCAATGTTCTTGGATACCTATGAAAAATTTACATTGCTGGCTATGGTTAATAATATTTTTATCATTTATTTTGTCAGTTAAGATGCATTTTTCTATAATTGCTATTTTGTATTTTACTAATGTATTGCACAGTTTTGTGAATAAATATTTTAAAATTTATAGTTGGTTTTTGTTATAAATTCAGTAATGTGCTTTAGTTGATCACCTATTCTCTATTAAAAACTATAATGTACTATGGTTGTAATTAAGTTGAATATTGATGTAATGACATTTTTTATTTTGCATTTTTGATTATACCAAACTGCTTTATAATGTTTTTAAATATTGTTCGAAAAGCTTCCATTAAGCATTTTTTTTATTTAGGCAAGAAAAATGAAGTGGTTTAAAAAAGGCAATGTTTAGTGATATGCAAACCAACTTTGATTTACTGTCATGGCTCTTCATTCTACAAATTTTGTTTGCAGCCTTCTTTGACACATTTGAGTGGGCCATCACTGCTGGAGGAACTATGCAGGGACAAAATGGATTGGATTCTGGGGAGTTACCAGAAGGTACTGGAGAATTCTTAGACACGTGGCTATTCCTATTGGAGCGATTAGTCAACCCACGAACTATGTTGGATTCTCCCAACTCTCTTCCTGCTAAGTCCTCGCAACCTGGCTATCAACCATTCAGTCCACTCAAGTTTTTAATTCATATACAAAAGGTATATACAATACATTCTTAGCACTTTAACATTCCAGTGGCACATCTTAGCATCATCCATACTGAAACGGTACAAGTTTTGATGATGCGTCATCCAAATCAAAATTCCTCAAATTTTTTTTTTAGTAGTGTGTGCATAACTTATTGGGGGACCATCCAGAGATCACCTTGGCCAAAATAATGATTGCTCTGCTTGTGAGAAATTTGAGTTTTTCAAATTTTTTTGCTGAAAAGTATGAAAGATATGTTTGTTTTCTTTTTACAGTATCATACAGATAATGTGCACACCTTTCCATGTTTCATTTGTATTTATAATGAATAGTAGTGAATATTGAAAAATGAATGAAAAATGTTGAAATGTTCTTAAAAATTTGTATATTCATCAGTGGTGTAAATTCTGTTATCTTTACATGTATGTTAATTTGCATCTATACTCTTGACAAATTCATTTTAGTAATAACCCAAAACTAATTGGAAAAAACATTAAGAGTATAAACACTTGAGGTGTTTCTTGAGTGGGACCCTGCGATGCCTGGAACATTTACTGTCAGAAACACGCCAACAGATCACAACATTAAAATGTTGGATAAATTGACAATGATTCATTGTTGATATAAATAAAGAAATGTATTTTGGTGTAGGGGTGTGTGTGTGTGTGTGTGTAATCTAAAACTGTACTGTACAACACAATCTTTGATAGTGATTAAGATTAAATCCAGAATTTTGGCAAATTAAATATATTTTTAAATTTTGTATTTTCAGGTTGCATTCGAAGCTGTAATGAAATTGTGGAACAAGAAACCTTTGAAGTCTTATGGAGTACGCATATCTGAATCTGTGCTGGTCATCCTGTGCTCAATAATCAAGGGCGAGGCAATTATACAGGAGCGTCTAGCGAAAGAGAAAGAGAGCGTGCCCACTTCCACCACTGCAGTGACCACACCCACCCCTAATACAAGTACTAACAATACCACATCCACCACAACTACCACCACCACCACTACTACCACCACCACTACTACAACCACCACCTCAACCACTGCAACTGCTGTGACTGCTGGAACACCATCTTCTGTGCCTTCTTCGGCACCATCTTCTACTCCAACACCGTCGGAGAGCACTGGCCAACCTCCCTCGGCAGATTCCGAGGTGAACCAGCAGCATCTACAAGCACTTATGGACATGGGTTTTGCAAGAGAACGTTGCATGGAAGCGATCGCTCAGACCCATACGCTGCAGCAGGCCACGGAGTACTTACTGATGAACCCTCTCATGGATCAGGTTTCTGGTGTAAGTATTGATACTATTATCCTCATTTGTGTCAACCACTATTAAAGTAATGTATATAAACAATAAAGTTTCTATAGATTAATGTTTAATGAACACGCATCTACTAGCCAGTGGTATAAGATCCCTATAACATAGAATTTTTTTTTTTTTTGTGATTAAACATTAACTTGAATGCACCTTGACCTGGCTGCCCTGACTGTACCCTGTCTCCTTGACTTTATAAGCTTTAGCCCCAGGTATCTTGATTTGATTGAATCTCATATAAGCAAATTAGCTCAAAGTAAACTGTTCTGTTCAATCGTCAATTATAACTTCACCTAAAAAGGACATAAGTCTGTAGTTCTTTAAGTTTTACATTTTTTCAGGCTGGAGGCAGTGGAGATATGGAGCTAACAGAGGAAGACCAGATGCTGCAAGCTATTGCCATGTCTCTTGGGGAGAATGTGCAAGTGTCTGGTGGAGGCACCCACCCACGTAATGTGCTCTCCAAACCACCACCTGTCCCACAGAAAGAAGTGGATGATGAACCCCTTAGTAAAGATACCCTTGGTAAGTACAGTTTTGATGTTTTCAGGAGGGATGCTTCATGGCTTTCATAAATTTTTTTTCTTTTGGCCACCTTCACCACTTTTGCCTCTATCACTATCATTTTTTACTTTTACTCGGCTTTCACAACTTTTTTCTTCCTTGTGCTTCCAAATACACTGAAGAAAGCCATGAAAGCCACATCTGAATACAACTTTAATACTAACAAATATGACAACTTGAAACATTTGCAGAAATTTAAATCAACACACCAGATACAATAATAAGGTCAGAATTCAGGGCATAAAGAGCTTGACTTATGTCATTCTCTTGTTTCCTTTGTGGCTGGTACACCCAAGGATCCTGGCCTTTCTTGCTCATTGACCCATCTGATGTTTTTACCAGCCCATCCTCTAAGGTTTCCAATGTCAAGAAACTGTTGTACTAAAGTGCTCTTATCCTAACCTACCAGAAGACCCAAAACCAAAGACAGCACAATGTCAATTTTGCAAGCGGGTACCGTGTTTAGCCTTGGGTAGAGTATATGTCGAATGCGACATTCTGTTAGGAGGACGGGTTGTTTTTACAAGCTATGTCTATCCCATGGAATCGACACTGGCAGTTGGCCAATCTTCTCGAGAGAAAGCAATGCACACAGGAAAGATACTTGGCTAATATAAGAGCTGCCTTTAGGAATCTGTTCAGGACTGTGTATATGTCTTGTCAAACCAAATCTGGAATTTGCAGCATCAGTGTAGTTTTAATGTTGCAAAATGAAAACAAGGCTGGAGAAAGTTCAGAGTAATGTTATCAGACTAATTCCAGAGCTGTGTTATGAGTAATGAGGAACAACTAAAGAATTAAAACTTCTCATCCTAGCAGAAAGAAGAAATGGAGACATGATGGTCCCATGCAAAATTCATTAGGGTGGTACACGAACAAGGGAACTCGGATGAGAAAGTCACTAGGAGCCATGAGGAGGATTATATTTTGACACAAAATTGACCACCACCATATGTTTGTGGTAGTTGTTGCTTGTTCTGGTGTGGTAGTTGTCATTGTAGGGCAGGTTTATAATACTGCAAACTGATAATCCATGAATATTGTTACCTTCTGGGATAAGGTAGACGAGTGTTTTGGGAAGAAAAGGGAGGGAGGGATTTGTTGCGTCCATGACACTTTCCTGATAAAAATGGCTGATGGAATGTTGTATTCACACTGATATTTGACTAAATATATTTTCTTTTCAGATAACTTCACCAAATGTGTGCTGGAGGGATGCTTGAGTCAACTGGATGTCCAGCCACAGATGGTGTACAAGGTCTGTGAACTCCTTACAACCTGTGCTACACGTAATGGCACGCACTGGAGAGATGGCATGCTTACTACACTCATTAACCAAGTAAGTCACTTGTTAGCAAATTCCTGTGTCTACATTTAACTGTTGCATAAGACTGTGTTTATATTCCTGTTCCTTTGCTCCATATGACAGGACAGTGTCTGGTGACAAACACTACTGTTCTTGGGCTTGGTAATGACAAATAATTTATCATCTTCAGTTTGCTTGGAAACTAGATAAGCATAATTTAGTGTGACAATTCCTTTGGATATGGTTCTGTTAGTCTTTAACATTAGAAGGTTCCTAAAATACCTGGGGACAGTGTTACGTGTTACTCAGAACATTCAAATGATATTTGAATGTTCTGAGTTTACCTTAAGAAATGAATATGAAAGATACAAATGCATAAATTTTATTTGCTGTATTTAATATAAAGATTGTATTTTGTATTTATATAATAAAACCTACATGTTATAATTTATTTTTCATTTCAGATTAGTAGCCAAGCAGGGCAGTTACTGTTGACTAACACACTATCAACGCAAGAAACTGTAGAACTACTGTGTTCTTCCGTCTTGGCATCTAAGTTTGCAGTTAGATTGCATCTTGTTACTCTGCTGTTTGAGGTGGGTTGCAAAAATTTGTTAATGTTCAAATTCAATTAACCAAAAAATATGATACAAATATAATTTTTGATTGACAAAGGGGGTCATAGTACAGTAGTTACTTAGTAGGTATAGTATTTGTATCACTAGTAATAGGGAAAGACCAATCCTTGCATTACTAGTAATATAGGGGCCTAACCCTTGTACCATTGTACTACTAGTAATATGGAGGACTGGCCCATCACTAGGAAAGACAGGAACTTGAGGAGACTTGATGTACAAGGTAAAAGGAACAGTAGATAGTGGAAGGTGTTTTGATACCGGTGGAAATAGTGAGAGCTTACAATTCAGAACTCGAAATAAACACTGGGAATGTCACAATAGTGTGGGAGAAAAAATACTCCAACCCCTACACACATGAAATGAAAGTGACAACTTTTTGGTCAGTCCTGGACTAAATTTGAAAGGAGTTTAATCTTAGTAAGGGTTCAGGATGGGCCAAAATATTGTTGCTTTTCCTTTTCTGTGTGTGGGTCGGGCTATCAAAAATCATATGTTTGAGGGGTCAGGAATTTTTTTGTGTACCGCTTTTAGTGTATACATTAAAACAAAGCAATTGCAAGCCAAGGGTAACTACACCAAGTTATTAATAGCAAGGAGACAGGGCACTAGAGTGGAAACTCAATGTATTCAGACTACTATTTACAAATATAGTACTCAACGCCATTCTTTAACCCTTCGACAGCAGCTATATATTATGGTCATTTCTGCCTATGCTAAAAAAAAAATCCTCATCATAGAATTATTAACTTGGATGCAAAATGTAAGAACAACAAGAAAATAAGTGAATATTTACCTTTTTACTGAGTGGAGACACTGAAAGGTAGCACTGTGGCTGTGTGGTCTGGCATCTGTCGACACACGATGCCGATTTTGCTGACACTGAGGTATGTGAGACACGACTCCTGTGTTCTCCTTGAATGTTTCATCGATTGTTTGTCACTTGCATCTCAACATTTACAAGACTGTGTGTGTTGAATAACTTGATAAATCACATAATCCACATAACACATGATGCTGTTTCAATTGATGATTGGTTTACCTGGTATATTTCATTACAACCATATAGGTTAGTGAAAACCATATAAAGATAATATTTAATGGTGTTGGGTTCTGAGTGATGACATATGGTCTAATTGGCACCATATGGTTGACAGTATTGATTAAACAAAGGAGTAAGTCCCCAGTGTGTCCCTCAATGACAGCAGGCTCTTCTTACATATAATACATGATGGTGGTTAAATTTTTTTTTTTTTTTTTTTTTTTGAGATATATAAGAGTTGTTACATTCTTGTACAGCCACTAGTATGCGTAGCGTTTCGGGCAGGTCCCTGGAATACGATCCCCTGCCGCGAAGAATCGTTTTTTTCATCCAAGTACACATTTTACTGTTGCGTTAAACAGAGGCTACAGTTAAGGAATTGCGCCCAGTAAATCCTCCCCGGCCAGGATACGAACCCATGACATAGCGCTCGCGGAACGCCAGGCGAGTGTCTTACCACTACACCACGGAGACTGTGGTGTAGTGCTACACCACAGTCTGCAGGGCTGTAGTGCTAGGTACCACTACACCAATTGACTGGTGTACCTGGTTGGTATACCTCATTACAACCATAGAGTTGTGAAACCCATATGAAAAATATTGGTATACATATCGTAACTATGACAGAATTTTACACAATGATGATGACTGTGTTCGCATTGTAACACTTGTGACGATAACTACATTCACATAGCAATGTAACTGTGAAATGATAGCATTGTTGTTTCATGGGTAAAGGTAAACTCCATAACACCCACGTAGAGCTATTATATTCTTATTTGTATCATACATGTAAAACCCAGACAATAATTGTTGAAAGCATCATATGACAATAACTGCATTACCCCATGAATCAACATATGACGATATCCTCTAAGAATAATGTTGAAAATATTGAAGTCATATGATGGTACTGAACCCCACTTACTTCATCTCCTTGGGTGCATGTGCTAATGTCTCTGATGTATCATGTATTTGTGATTTTGTGTAATATTTATATTTATTTCAGGAGATGAAAAGTGGGTGTGCTATGGCCATGGAGCAAGCTGGATTGGTGGACACCCTTACAGATTTGTTTACCTTAACCCATGCTGCTATGGCTTCCATTTCCACAACCACTTCTGCTGCTCCTGCTGTTGCGGCTGCGACTGCTGCAGCTGCTGTTACCACGCCTTCTCCCGTGTCAGCTGTGTCTTCTGGAACATCACAGGCTAAGGAAAAGGAATCTGGGGATGGTTCCGGGACCCCCAAGTGGATCTCGCCTGGATTATTATTGCTCGATTTGTATGAAAAATTGGCTATAGCTACAAAGAGAAGGTCGTCTGTAAGCAAGGTAGAGTGACTTTGTGTTTTGCATATGTATTGGCAAAATAATCTTAACCCTAGGAATGCACAATATCTGTGTGGAAAAATCCAAACTCAGCTTTTATCTTTCTGTTTAGGTAAAAACCATTCTCTCAGCATAGGAATAATGTGCCCTCAAAAGTAGTAAGTCATATTCAAGATGTTGGGTGTTTATTGGAGGCCTCTGATTCTTCCAGTGCCAACTCTGTACCAGCAAGAGTATCAATTGTTGCAAAAGTACCTAAAACATTTTAAGATGGTATATACAATTAAAGATAATTTGAATGATCATTTTTAATATGAATAATTCAACAGATATGTAACCACGTGTGGAAATGGTTTGACATGAGCACCCTTAAGTGGTGTGCATACTCGGCAAGCAACAATAAAACCATCGACGATGCTTACTGGGCAGGCGAGGCGAGCATCAGGATTATCAATGGCCGTAGAAAATACACCATCCAGTTTCATTCAATGGTGCAGGTGAGATTTAAAAATCAGTTTATTTTTTATAGATTAGCCTTGAAAAGTGCAATCCAATTCATTGTTTATTACTATTATCAAAAGTCTAAATCACTTGGGCCTATTTAAAAGTAATGTGTATTCACCAATTTATTTGCATTTGGATTTTAATTTGGAAGCATAGCTGTCAGTGTTTTTGTCTAAATATACAACTGTCATCTAAATTGTTCTGAGGATGCTGTTGTGATGTCAAGTATACAAACTTACTGCTGCCAAATTATATACAGTGCCTCCAAATTAAATTCAAACAGAATTGCAAGGGTCTCCTATGTATTATTCCCATCCAGGGCATTCTGCTGTATTTAGCATATATGGACTAGTGAAATATGTAAAAGTAACAATGACTCAAAAGATCTAGATTTGCAATGTAATAGCAGTAAGTTGACTAAGTGATGGCAAATTGTTTAACATTACATTTTTCAGGTAAATGAGGAATCTGGTAACCGACGTCCTGTCATGATCACTGTCAAGGATAAGGCTATTGCTGAGGAGAAGAAAAAACTGCCAAGTATCATGCCTCAAGATGAGCCAACACCAGCTACCGAAGAGGAAAATGCAATGGCCAGCAAGCCAGAGGATGCATCTGCAGATGAGGATAAAACTGAGGGTACCAAATCTGGAGAAGAGGCAGTGAGTTTAGAATATGCTTTAGACCCTGGAGTGGAAGTACCGGCTGATGCTGTAACGGTGGCAGCAACCGGAGATGAGAAGATGGAGTGTGAAGATGGTGAGGATGCAACCACTGAAGCTCCTGACATCAACAGTACAGAAGTTGTACCTATTGATGGTCTCACAGAAACCCACCATGAAGCTATGATCAGGTTAGAATTCTTACCTATTTATACGTTAACATTTTTGGTGTCCTTTCTTTGGTTAATAGATTCGTTTGTTTGGATATTTTGAGAATCCAGAAACTGGAACCCAAGTAATATGGGTTTCATTGGTAAACCCTCGAAGGGATCTGCTAATTAAGTTGCATGTAATGGTGCTTGACAAAATCATTCAAACTAACATATATAAAAAAAAAAAAATGATTCGAGCACAAGTAGTACGGCAAATGAGCGTTGCAAAGGGTTAATAGTATTTTATTCCAATAATCATATAGTAATAGGTTTACGTTCCTCTTAGTTTTTCATAATCTTTCATTAACTGTATTGAAGATTGGGTTATATACATAAATCTAATCAGTTTGCTTTGGATTTGTATCTTTACTACAACTATTTGTACATAATCTGGATTTTGTAGTGCAGCTTTAATTTGGATGGGATCTCTCTCTAAGACAGCTATTCCTGTATCATTGAAGTTCCATGTCTTCTCTATGCACAGTAATTTTCTATGTCATTTAATGTAGGATTCCTTATCAGCTTTACCGAGATGTAGTTACCAAAGGGTAGTTGCAGGATGAGAGCTACACTAATGTCTCGTTTTCATTGTAATCTTTATCATTTGTTCCTTTAAAATTGTTGATGGTTTTGGCATCCACCACTACATCACTGAAATTGTTTCAACTGTCTATAACTGTTGGCAAAGATGAACTTTTGGAAGTTTTTCAGAATCTTTGTTTTGTGCTTTGTCCAGTCTGATAACTGTTCTGATGTGACAAGTTTGTCATCATCAATGTTAGAAACTTCGATATGCTAATACATCACAAATGATGTACTTGTGTAGATTTTCTTTTCAACCATAATGTATGCCCCCAAAATTGTCTACATGCCAATACAAGGGTTCCTTGGGGTGATATTTATATAAATAAATTATATAATTTTATAGTCTTCACTGGATTCCTACATCTATTTGCAGAGCATGTGTGGGCTTCATGAAACTTGGAGTTGAACCTGATACACTTCATGCATTGATGCGTCTTTGTCTGCGAATCACCCGAGTGTGGGAGCAAGCGTGTCTTTTTGCCAGCCTCGGTGGTGTACGCACCTTACTCTCCCTCACAGAGTCTTCAGGGTTTTGGGGCTTCCAAAATTTGGCAGCTCTACTTATGAGGCATGTGCTGGAGGAGCCCACCACGTTGCGTTATACCATGGAAAAGGTCAGTTTCTTTATTTTTCTTTTACTAATTTATAGTGTGAACTCATCATTTAGAAAATCTGAAATTATATTTAGAAGTGCATTTCACTATGCAAAATGGCAGAGGTTTGTGATGACTTTGACAAGGAAATGTTGATTTGTCTTGAATTATTAAAATTTCATTAACTTTACAAAATTTATATTTTGATGTCATTGATTGCTACAATAAAGTTAGGTCCCTATATCTCTAAATTTCTTTTATTATACTATCATTACAACTGTTTGGGGGTCTAATAATACTTAAAATGTTGATATTGTACACTCCGTGCTATAGTTATTTATTTTTGTGATTTTTGTGCAGGTGGTGCGGTCCTCGGCTAGTAACAACACCATGTCGGGAGCCAAAGAACTACATTATTTGTTGAGGTTACTTGCCCCTGCTGCGTGCCGAGATCCCCATCTCTTTACTGAAATCACACAACAATGCCTTCGAATAGACCTTAACATGACACTTAAAAGAAACCTCATGTCGGCAAACAGTAAGTGCTGCACTTTTTTCATGCTATTCCCCCCCCCCCCCTCCCCCAAGAATTCAGTATAGGAACAGTAATTTGTCAGGTGGTGTAGGGTGTGCAAATGACCCGACTTCCTGACTTAAGGTGAAGTTGGGTTAATAGATGTCATTTACCCTCTCCACCTCGAGTAAACCATATTAATTTCTTGTGGGTAAATACAGTGAAAATTGCTATTTTTTTTATACAAGCTAAAAATTTGAAAAGTAAATAACATAAGGTAGAAGAATAGAAGAAAACCAATGTAGGGAAGCATGACAACGAACGTAAGGAATAGGTTGAGGTAGCAGAAGAGGAAGGGGGGGAAACGGCAAAGGAAGAAATTAACAATAGCAGAAAAAAATTGGAAAAAGTCAAGGATGTGACAGAACAATGGTGCCAAGAACCAGAAATGACATATGCAGAAGCGCCCAAAGGGTCAAGAGGCAAGGTAGATAATAAAAACAAGGGTTATGAACTGCATCTAACAAGAAAGGGAAACTGTGTGTTCAGTGAATATAAACAATCTAACAGAACCAGAGGGACCACATGGCAGGTGTGAACAGATGGAGACTGGGAGGAGGTAAGAGGAATCCTTGGCATAATGCGGCCAAGTGGAGCAATCCAAGAAATAAATTCCTTTTGTATTATCGGGAGGGTCCAACATGGACGACAGAAACCAGTGAAGGTTACCTTTTACAGAAGAAATCCAATGATGTATCTACTAGCAGAGAAGAGGAGCTGAGGGATGGAGGAAGATAGTCGAATGTACTATCTCTCATTACTGTATGAGACAGGAAATGGAACAAGATGTGAGGCCAGAGCAACAGGAGGAGATTGGAGTACAGCAAGTAGAGGGCCTCTTTAGGACTCTTGTTATGGGGATTTTTATGTGATGGAGTCTTTAGTGATGGAAACATGGGATTTTGGTAGAAGATTGTAAAGGTGCTAGTTGACTCACTAGCATGGTGGTAGGACCCATTCATCTGGAGGTGATGAATGCCACATCCATTTAAATGATGTAAACCCGTACTATCCATGTAGGGGGGGGGGTAGGTCCAGGTTGTCTTTTAGGGACAAATCCCACATGTCAAAGAGGTGGGGAGGGGGGGGGGGTGACTAGCCCCTCAAGAGGGGAGATTGTGCTTATACTGTAGAGTGAAATGAGCAAAATAATACTTCAGAAATGAATATTGTGCACAAGAATTGGATGCCTTTCCTTTGATGCTGCACTTATTCCTATCTCATAAAATTAACTCGCCCAGAATTGTTACTTTGAGCTGAGGTCCAAGAAAGCTTGCTTCAGTCATAATCAGACCATAATTTATCTAATTATATTGAAACATTCAAACAATGAGGTAAAATGCTTGGCTTACTTATTGCAAATATGACACATGATACTTATAATATTTTGTTTGCAGATGAGGACAGTATTTTGATGAAAAGTGTTGGTGGGAAGAGTGTCGTTAGTACTGCTGGAGGAAGTACTGGTGCTGGGAGTACTGGGAGCTCTGCTCTTGTCACAGGTATGACCCTTAGCCTGGAGCCTCAGCAACTGATTCATGATCTCCTCGAAGCTCTTACAACTTTGAAAGATGACGCTGACCCTGTTTCTGCCTCTGCTGTCACCCCAAGCACAACGGTGGCTGGCGGTATAGTGGCCAACACTACACCAACCGAGGAAAGAGCCTCGTCATCAAGCAACAATGCACGAAGACAACTACATCTTTCACGGTCTTCTTCAGCAAATGATATGGTTGTCCAGGAAGCTGATGAACAGGTATGTTGTGTATAGCTATTGTACATTGACTTGCAGAAGTCACACGTCTTCACCTGTACAATGTTTACTCTCATCCAGCCTGAGTGTTTTATGAAGCAAAAAAGGCATTTTGCATGTTTCTCCAAAATATGTCCATACGTATGAATGAGTAAAAGATTTTATTCCATTATATTTTTATACAATTGACTCCCGAACTTGACTCGTTACGTACACTTAAAAAAGATTAAAAATGGGGTTAGATTTTTCAGAAACAGAGGTATACACATTTAAATGTTATGTTAAAACAGGTTAAACAAATGATGAATTTCTTTGTGTGCGCGTGTTTGCTCAGTTGGACTCGTTTAATTGTGCTTGATTGGATTTGAATCAAGCTCTTTGGTCCTGTGTATCAGCCTAGGTGGACTGGTGTATAGGATATTCAGCTTGTTAGTTTAACATCATTTTTTTATAGCTTGAATTAATAATTACCTACTGGGATACATCTTGATAAAAACGGTTTAAAAAGTGTAACGGAAACTGTGGAAGTCACATTTGCCAATATGAGGCAGCTCCAGTGTATGTTTAGTGCACATGACACTTGTACCAACACCAGATTCAGTTGCTTTTGTGATCTATTTTATGCTCAAAATTCATCAAATGTTTACTCTCGGTTCTATTTCTTGTTTTAAGCCCTGACCAACAGATTTTGTGTGTTTCCTGAAACCATAGTAGCATGATGCAATATATAATAAGTGAAATATAGCAAGGAGAGAGAGATCCTCTATGGCCAGACACCAAACTAAACCAAAACATAGATGGTGCTGCAACATTTCAAGGGCCAGTTGTCAAACTATAAAATGTCTCAGGAGAGGGTGGAGGATGGTTGGGGAAGTGGGCGAGATGCCTGATTGGGAACGCAGATTGGTAGTTGGAATAATTGGACATTTAAGAGTCGAATAGAAGGTTGGGTAGTGCAGTGAAGTGTAGAGTATAAACATTACCATTCTTAACCAAACTCTCATATGAAAAGAAAAGAAAGTGACAGCATTTTGATCTGTCTTAGACTTTATCAAATAGCGTGAGAAAAAGGAAGAAGTCATTGCAAGTCAAGACTTGGTAAGGGTTCAGGACAGACAATCATCACTGTTGTCTTTTAATGCGCGTGTTGGGTTGTTAATTTTCAGCCACATTATTGTGCCTTAGTTACCTTAAATCATCAGAATATGTTGAGGGGCAGCAGATGTTGTGAAGTATTTGGAGTTGGCATGATGAAAGAATGTGATCCATGTGTAAAGTGATATAAACCATGCACTAAAGGTCATTTATGTTAGCCATGACTTGCATTTCTCTTTTTAATTTTGGATTTGCAATGCCTATTTTGTGTAAAATGAATTTCGTGCTGTTTTGGTTTGCATTTATTGAATAATGATTGCACTCAACTTAATGAATGTATCTGTAATTATATGACTTGCATATCATGGTTTAAAATTTTGCCGCAAAATGTGACGCATAGGAGGAAAAGTATGCATTTAATACTTTTGTTCCAGAGTCCTATGGAGAGCGATGCTAGCAAGTTGCCAGGAGCTGACAGCAAAGCGGGTTCCAGTGAGAAAGTAGATGATGCTGCAAAGAAAAAGAAGCCTCTCTTATCCAAGTCACTTATATGTAAACTTCTGGCTGAATTTGTTCGGTCTTATGCAGGTTGTGCCAAACTAGTCACTGAACATCATTACTCGGCAGGATCTAATGAGAAAATCACTGAGGTATGTGCTGCTTAGGACGTAATGAATCTGCTCATTCAATCATTGATTGAATGAGCAGATTGAACAATTCACTGAACATTCATCTATTCAATCAATAGATGAATGAATCTGCCATTACAAAGCTGGGAACTGTACTGGTGGATGCCCTTCATTAATTTGTTAGGTTCATAATTTTAGAATAATAATTGTCCTTGCAATCTCGGTGATTGTAGGCTGTGTAGTGGTGGATTGATCTGGTCTGGTATCAAAGTGAATGGATATCACTGGTGGATTGAGGCGTGCTCTCAATCCACCTTCCCAGTCCTTGGACAATGGTTCATGACCATTTGAAATTTATTTTTCTAGTTAGGTTCTAAGTTCACCAGAACCTGCCATGTTAGCATGACCTGTATAGACCCGGCGTCCTAGCTAAGGGACCAACAGAGGTTGCCATGCTTACAAACTTCAGTTAAATAGATAAATATAATTAAAACATTGATGCATTATTTTCATTGGTAAGTACAAAAGTACAAATATAGACAATTCAAAAGCTGCTCTAATATCCAAAATTTTTTATTTCCAGGGCTTGTCATATCTAGATTTTTGGAATTAACAGCAAAATATATTTCCTATCCTTTTCAGACAAGTGCCTCATAAAAGATTAAAATTTGGCAATTATATTAATTACATTTATAAAGGAATTTAATATCAAGCTAATTGTCTGTTGTAACCTTTTTTACTATTCTAGGATTGCTCGGCTCTAGCTTACATGCTTGACCACCTGGTGTGTAGCAGCTCGACCTCGGACAAGGATACGGCTGGTCACGTGCGTGTCCTTATAGCTGCCCTTGCATCATGCAATCATGCCCCTGAAGCTCAAACAATCCTTGTGGCAGAGGTAAAATTTAGTCTAACATAATTTTCATGCTGCAATCCACATTATGCAAATTTAGCTTATCAATATTCATTTGAATTGGTTAAGTTGTGTACACCATTTCTATTACATTTAAAAGTGAAATAGTTGGATTTTTGGGGTGTTAAACATGTAGATGTAAAGGAAAAAATAGAATTGTTTGATGTTGGCAAATTTCTGTAGTTCCGTCTTCCTCTGGGTTTGTCTCTGCAGGACTTCAATTCCATCTTAGAATGGTGTATAATTTAAATGGAATCGAACTTGAGAGCTTGGGTCTACGGGTACTTTCTAATTGTGGTATGAGGTTCCAGCTTTACCCTGGCTGAAAGACAACCATTTGATTTCTTGGAAAGGTCTCGATCGTGCTCTCATGCCTCTAGGAGGAGTAGGGTCTATATTCCGAGATGTATATACTGTTATATAGGGAGGAAGAATGAAGTAGAGATAATGATGGCTGCTCCAAATTCAATCCAGTGTCAATGTACCAATACTTGTATGTTGGTACATTGACTGTTGTAAGAAAAAGCAGAGTATTTGCTGCAATGGTACTGTAGAATTTAATACGTTTATATACAAATAAATGTAATAAAGAAAATAGAGATTGTAAAGCTGCCTTTATATACCATTTTTAGAAAAGATATCTAGAGACCTTAGTGATATGGATTATAAATTTGTACTGTCTTTGATTTCTAATATACAATTAGGAGAAATCTTTGCCACAACAAGCTCAATAGTAACATCAATAATAACAATAATGATGGTTTTGTTCATTTGTTTTGTTAGTGTTAACAACAGTGGTGTTAGTGTAGGTAATGGCGGCAGAGTTAGCAATTGTAAAGTTGATAATGGTAATGATAATAACATTGTAGGAAATGGTGTATGTGATAAATTGTAATGATGGTAATTCATCATATGTGGGCAAGACTGGTTGTGGTTTATTGAAAGAGAGTTGATGACCACAAAGAAAGCTGTAAAAAAAATTGAATAAGAATAATGCAATTGTAAACCATTGTTGGGATTTAATCATTGAATGGATTTTAATTATAGTACAATTGTATACAACTGCTCAAATATCTGAGACTCAGGCCTTAGGAAATAACATTTCCAAATTAACAGGTAAAAGCAGCTTTGGGACGTGCAACAGTGTACTCAGAGAGCATGGAGAAGCACGGCCGGATCCAAGCTCTTGTGGGACTGATATGCACCATGATGGAGGCATGTCCTGCACAGTTAAATCAACCTCCAAACATGTGCTTCAAGCAGCAGCAGCATGGGTATGTTTGATACTTTTACCTGTAGATGGTTAGAATGCATGCACACATGGGACATGTACAGTGTTTCTAGATTTAGCTGGAATATGTCCCATTGTTGGTTTTAGTATATTGTAAAATTATTATTATTTTTTGAAGATGAGTTTAGATTTTATTAGATAATGTAACTATTAGTAGTCTGTACTGTTGCACAATACAGACTACTGGATTGTATAGGGATATGGGTAAGGGGTGGAGGAAATTTGGATTTTCCGAATATGAGCAAACTGGCCTGAGGTGGTGGCCCATAATTTTCACAAAACACCTCTAAGGATACCTGATCAACCAGGCTGTGATTCATACGTCGGGCTGTGAGCAGCCACATCCAACGGCCTGGTCAGTGACTGGGCTATGGGGCCGTTGATCCTCTGAATCTATAAGGTAGATAGGTAGGTGTTTTCTCTTACTTTAATTTACAGGAATTTTATTTCCTGGAATATTTTTCATACTGCATTCTTAAATTTGCAGGATGAACAACATGATAAGACAAATGGTACGCAAGGGGTTGGTGACGGACCTCGCACGTATTCCTCACAGTCTCGACTTGTCATCCCCCAACATGGCTGCCACAATCAATGCTGCTCTCAAGCCTCTTGAACTAGTGTCACGCATTGTCAATTTACCATCGTTTGTACCCACGTCGTCATCGAAGAAAAAAAACACACAAAGTGATGATGCACAGCAACCAATTGGTAAGTGAAAGTTGTTACTCTTAAAGATTTCTCTAGCTGGAAATCATTTATTCCCGTAAGATATGATGAAATATGATTTGTATAATAATCATACCATTGTTCAGCTTTATTTTCATATAGATTGAGGTAATTTTTCTCAGTGCTGCTCACTAAGCTTCCAAGCTGTTTTCCATCTGAACATCAAAATGTTGCCATCAGTTATATTAGGGTTGAGGAGTATTTGCATTTATTAGATTGCCATAGTAATGGTTTACATGTGAAGTCTCACATTTCTCATTGATAATTATTCAGATGGCATGGGCATTAATTTAAAGTAAGAGCTCATTAAAAAGCAACATAAATGTTGGCATACTAAAAGCAAAGGGAAGTTGGCATTTGTTAGTCCTTGAATTGCTCAGTGTTTTAAGAACACTAAGTAATCATCCCACAACAAAATTTAACAAATAAAATAGGGAAAATTTGAATGTGGCAATTTGCACACAGGAGGAATTGGCAGATAGCAATTGGAGCAATGTTACAGTAAAGACAGTGCTAAACTATTCAGTTAAGAAGAGCTATGTTGACTTGTCAACTGCGGGACAAAATCTGCCAGAATTTGTGTAATGGCAAACTAACAGTTTGCACGTGTTTAAATTCAATAAAGTTTTGCTTTGTATTTTTTCAGGTACAGGAACAACTAATAGTGAAGCTACCAGAGCTCAAGGTGATGATAATATTGAGGACACAGAAAATACTGAACATGACATATCAGGGGCAGGAGAGAGTCTGGAGCCAGCTTCAGATGCTCATCCTAATGAGGTTAGTACAAGACTATTATTGCTGTGAATAAAAAAAGGACCTGGGAGAGTGTGGAGCATGTATGGTATTAAATGCTGTAGAGATGGGCAGCGATCAATATTTTCGCCAGTACTGATTCTGCATCGTTACCCGTTGCCGATAATTTAACACAATAAAAAGGCCTATACTGTGTTGGTAATATGTATATGCTTTTTTTTTTTTTTTAGACAAGGCTTTTCATTATCTCAAGGTTTATAAAGTGACAATAAATTAGCATCTCAAATGTAATAATCATTGCACAGTTGTATTAAATTGACTCCCACAGTTGTCATTTCTAAAAGGTTAGCAATAAGACTTCTTATGTTCTTCATAATTATCTTGCCCTTGTCAGGTCTCATTTAGATTAGAATAAAGATCTCATTTAGAATGGACATGAATTCACTTGAACACAAGAATGACAAAGTTAATTTCAGTAATTAGAAACCTTCTCTAGAAAAGTAAAAGGTGACATGGTTGAAGCGCGCACACAGTGAAGGGGCACAGTGAAGGAGGGATGTTAATATATAGATACAAAATGGAACAAAAAAGAAATGGATACATAGTGGAGAAGTTTAGATTCAGAAAAAATATGGGAAAATATTGGCTTAGGAATTGGGTTGTTGATTTATAAAACAAACTGCTGGGTAACATTTGCATGGGATTGTTTTGAGTAAAAATATAAATGAGTTCATTATAAATAGGAACTGTCATTCATGGATCAGTAGGGCTTCTGCACTTCTCTTTATTTTATTCTTGTGTAATAGAAACGATCCACAGCTATTTTCAGATTTTCATAGCTACTCAATCTTGGAATGGGTCAGTATTTATTATTAAATAAATGTTGTCAATTTACAGCGGTAGTATCAGCGAGTCCCCCTCCTAAATGAATTGCGTTCTCTCCAGGACCGGTTATGTTCTAGCCTTACAAATTTCAAGTAGTATCAGATGTATGTAACATTTGGAATGCGTGTTCCATATGAAAGGATTGTTAAAATATAACTTACATTAATTGCTCATTCATTTGTCTCATAGGATGGTACTCTAGTTGAGGGTGATGAGGCTGGACTGGAGGAAATATTAGACCACCTCTTAGAAGACGGAGGAGGTCGAGCACAACCACATCGGGACACAGTCACAGCTACCGTCACTTATGTCATTGACCACGATGCTCCCATGGACACTGATGACACACTTCACGACTCGCGCATGGTGTCACACTCGGAGAGCCAGGTTAGAATACTGACTTGTATGCCAAGACCTTTTTTAAAATAAATTCATAGATTAACCAGAGAGGATCATGAAATGCTACTTCAGTGTAAAGGAAGTTATCAAGTGGAACGAATTAAAAGGGAAAATAGTGTAGATTACCTCTGTCCATAGTTTTTAAAAGTGGGTATGACAAGAACATAAGGGTAGTGCTCCAGATCAATAGATGGAAACACAGGCCCAGGCACTGGCCTTGTTCTGCATACTGTTAGTTTAGAACAAGAGAGTTCATTGGCTCTCATGAATTCCACTTACATTCATTCAATCAATATACTGTATATGCATTTCACAAATGGACAGTCATAAAATATTTAAAGTGTAGTTGCATTATACCATAGAGAAAAGGTGTGTATACGAGGTACTCACTACCTTCAACTGCACATAAACAGGATGTATACATATTCTTTACATGCATATTGTTATACATGCTGTAAACAAGATACAAACTTTAATGAAAGTTTGTTACAGTTCCTGGATGAAGGAGAAGATGGAGGAAATGAAGAACAGGACGATTCATCATCCGAGTCATCTGAAGAACGGGAAGAAGATGAAGCAGACGACGAAGACAATGACGAAGAAGTTGAAGAGGAGGAAGAGGAAGAGGAAGATGGAGGTGTGTGAGATTTAACCTTGTGCATTACAGTATGATGAACTTAAATATTATTTTAAATATTAGATATTTTCTCTTGTGCACTCATTGCTTAGTTGTGTATAAACTCTCCTTCCCATGTTTGATGTAGACAGCAAAATGTACATCATTGTATCACCCTTCATGGATGACTTGGAATCGAAAACGAGTGTGTCCCAGTTGAGAATACAATACCTTGAACCCAGTCTCATGCAAATGAAGACCTTTAGTTTTCTCACAAAACAGGTAGTGTGCGAGCCTTGCACATGGCTCAGATTAGAGTGAAAGGGATATATACACAGATATGTACAATTTTTTTTTGGGGGGAGGGGAGGAGGAGGTATATATCTGTTATATACACTGAGAATTGACTTCAGTCTTGGAATATGTTCAAGACTAAAGTATCCTTACCAATTGGTCATTAACACTTTCGCGTGCATGGCGGGCGACCCCACCGTGCATTGCAAGGTAGGCAAAGTGTTGGCCGTGAGCACATAAATCGCACTCAAATGTGACTAATCTTTTCAGTTTTCTCGCCTCACTTTTCATGCTACATCATTCATTTTGGTATCAAATTCTTCATAATATCACGGTGCACATTTTAAAACTAGTCCCATAATATTTGAACAACAAATGGAATTTTTGCAAATTTATTAATCCGCTTAGTAAGCCGAGCATTAACCGTGGGCGCACAAAGCACTCAAATGTTTGTACCCCTCTCAGCTTTCTCACTTCCATTTTTGTACGTCATTCATTGTGGTATCAAATAATTTGCAATATCATGGTGTGCATTTGAAAACCAGCACCATAATATTCAGACAGTAAATGGCATTTTTACAGATTTATTAATTGATGATGGCATTACCGTCATCAGGGCCTCTGCATATCTTGGTTTTATGACGTCGAGACCGTTATCAGAACGTGAAAGTGTTAAGCTATTGTGGTGGTTTTAATAACCCTATAGAAATTTATAGGCCTTATGTTCAACACCAAACCAAAGTACAGAATTTTACTTACAAATTTACTTTTTCTTATTGCGAATGTAAAGTTGTGTGAAAAATTAAGAGGATCATAGACAGGATGATTTAGATTAGCTTCTTTTAAGTAAGACTTGATAATGGTCCAGGACGAACTAAAACGTTGTTGTTTCTCCATCTGATCTGTGATTTGGTCATCTTACTTGTATTAGTTAATTTTCAATAGTAATGGAAAATTACTTTTAAAAAATTTCTGGGCTGGCCCTTAATTTCCTTCAACATTGACTCTGGTACCACAGCAATGTCCACAAAACTACCAGGCCTCTGGACATTGGCCGGCCTGCCAAACACGAGGACATGATTCTGGTGGGCTCATAGAAGCAATGGATTCCTTTTGAGACCCATTCAAAACAAAGTAAAACTGTCCAGAGAGTATAGGTAAAGCACAACGATCTACGTGTTTTGACGAGAAAGAAATTGAAAGAAGAGAAGTTGTAGTTTGCCCAGTGTGTTAATACCCAAGCTCACAACCAAGGCAACTCAGGTCACCCAGGAGTCAAGCCTGCCTCCTTCCTTACTTGCGAGCCTGATACCACAGTCTGGTCTCTTGTTTTGCCACTTAAAAAATGCAACTGTTTTGCATAACCAAAAACCTACAAACCCAAACAAATCACCTCTCAAGGATGAATAAAATATTTGAAAAATGTGATGTAATAGGCGAGAGAGCGGATTGAATACCATGCACATCACTACTCTGTATGAACCAAATGAGATAAGGACTCGGTGCTGATGCTCCATGTTCCAGAATTGGTGCGACAAATGATATAAAAAAAAATCTTCTATAATTTCAGATCATGAATGACTGTGTTCAGATTCCTAAGGGCAAATCTTTTAATAGCAAACCTTCAGTGTGCAGCTGAAGATGTTCTTTTTGGTGTGGGTTCGGTGTAATAACAAGCCCCCCCCCCCCCCAAAGACTTTTTCAGTGTTAGCTTTCAGGATTTCTTTTCCCATGTAACACCTTGTGTTTGGCCTTCTTCTCCCTGTCTCCAGCTTTGTGGAAGCTTGTCATACCTGAGCTAGTGCACAAGAGCTACTGAAGCTTCCTTGAATAAGTGTTTTATTAAATTTATTGCTTTGTTTACCACTAGTTATGATTTATGCAAAAATGAACAATGTTAAAATGTTCAGCAAATTCATTTTTTGTTTAAAGAAAAATAAAATTCTGTATATTATATTGTTTACAAAATATATAATTATAAAATACTGTACCTTGAATTTTGATTGCTATATTTGACATTTGTCTTAATACGTAATCGTGTTTGTGAATGTGTAATGTATATTGTGGCGACACACCCCATACTACTTCTAGTAAATAGGTTTGCACACTTCCAAAAGTTATATTTTTTAAAATAATTTATTACGTGTTTTTGGAGAGTTTTCAGTGAATTGGTGATTGATTTATAGATTCATTGCATTAGTGTGGGTACAGGATATTCTTTATTATACTATTAATTGCATATAATTTGTCTCATTGACTTGCAAAACATGAAAGAAAACATTGTTCATAACTCTGCCTTATAATGAATGTAAAATAAAAAAAGAAGCATATATGATTGTTTCGTAAATTAGGCGATGACGATGATGATGAGGAGGAAGAGGAAGAGGAAGGCTCTGTGTTTGATGAGGGCTATGAAGATCTGGAGGAAGCCTTCATTCGCCTTCCAGGAGATCGTGATTCAGATGACATTCTTCTCTTGCCGTCCTATCAACAGTATATTGACACAATAGATACTATCATATTTGGGGATCGAGTTGATCGGGTATCCCTTCATCACCATAGCAACTCTCACGAGGATCCATCATTCATGGCTTCTACACCCAATGCTAATCCAAGTAAGTTTCATATACACATACATACATAAATACATATACACGATCATTGGTGCGGTGGTCACGGTACTGTGTACGTTTAGGGGTGATCCTGGACGGCATGGGTTCGAATCCTGGCTGGGTCAAATAGTTCTTAGCGATGTAATATATAATGCACACATATATATACATACATACATGCTGCAATTTTTTAATTGTTTGTGTCCGACCTTTACAAACTGTAACAGTTTTTATATTGTGTAGGGTTGATCCACATCTTTTAGAAATATATTATGGGGAAGTGGTTAGGTCATCTGTATATGGTCTACTTAAGCTGCTTCAGGATTCGTTGAATATTTATTCAACCACTTAGGTTTACACGTTTATCTTTCCTCAGTCATGGTGTCTTGTTTTCATTTATTAAACAATTTGAGCTCTGAAGCACTACATGGTAGTTTATAACAATAATAACCCTTGGTTGTGGAATTTCCAAACTCGTAAACTGTATACTGAATGTAAACAAAGCCACCTTGGTAAGTAAAGATGTTCAGACTGTGTGTGTTGCATCAGTGCCTGATGAAATCTGGCCCTGGTCTTGCTTGCTAAACCTTTTAAAGATGCAAGATTGCATTTTTGTACAATGCAATCTTGATTTGGAGAATTATATGTTTACAAGGAGCCAATTTGCTGCAACTGAAGATGCCTTTAACACTGTAGCACTCTTCGAATGTGACTTGCGTTAAATTTTTTAATCTCGAGTCCGAGCATCGAACAGGTCTTGCATCCAATAATATAAATATTTGTATAAAATTCATTTAATATCCGATCGACTTCGGGATAGATTCAAAATAAGTGCCTTTAGAGTGCGCACAATTTGATAACAAAATGAAAGATGCAACACGAAACTTGATGTCAGAACACTCGAAATATTATAAATTCGTTTTTGGTCAAAATGTTAAAATATTTAAAATTCTATTTATTGTGCTATTATTATGGGACTAGTTTCTAAATATGCACCTTTAGATTGTGGACAATTTGATACCAAAAGGAAAGATATAACACGAAAATTTGTCATTTTTTTTTTAATTTTTTTATAAAAAAGTCAATTTGTTCTGACATGTTAGAACACTAGAAAAATATAAATAATTGTGATGATGAGCATCCAAAATTAAAATATTTGTTAAAATTCCAGTTATTGGTCTATTATCATGGGAATAATTTTAAAATACGCGCCTTTATATTGGGAACAATTTGATACCAAAATGAAAGATGTAACACAAAAATTGATGTTATCAAACTGAACAAGTATACACATTAGGCTGAGGTGTACAAATTGGTGCGTGTTCACGGGTAATTTTAGGCTTTGCTGCGCGGAGTGACGCCATGCTTTTGGACATTATATGCATATACACCTGCAGGGAATTAAATTTTAAACACAATGATACCAAAACGAATGACGAAGCACAAGAATTAAGGTGAGAAAACTGAAAAGAGTATACACATTTTACGGATTTTGTACATTCATGGGTAACTATTGCCGACTTTAGGCTTTGCTGCGGGGAGTCACTCCGGGCTTTTGTACATTATATGCATATACACCTGTAGGGAATTCTATTACTATGAAAGTTGCCAAAAGTGTTGTCAGGCTATGTTAAAGATTACCATTTATACCCTAATATTTCCCCCCACATAATAGGCTAATTGTGCTGAGCATATTATTAATTTTAACTTGTCATGTGCAAGACAAATACCACAAGAACGTGTGTGTCAAGACATTTAACCACATCTTGCTAATTTCCAAGGCTCCAGCCTGGGAAACTCATTATCAAAGATAGTCTGGCCCATACTAGAATCTTTCGATGTAGCAACCCCCCCCCCTTCCCCCTTTTTTTTAAATAATAATCACAATATAAATTGTTGCAATATGTGTTTGATGGGTTCAGAGATACCTCCCAGAGTTGGCCATAATAAAAAATAATAATAATAATAATTTTAATTATTTTATTATGTATTATTATTGCTGCAGTTGTTTCAGTATTGCAGTATTTATTTTTTATTTTCTCTTCCAACATTTATTAAATATAAAAGTTTGAACATATTTTATTATAATAATTTTTCTGCCACTCTTTTAATTTGGTTATTTATTTCTTGCAGGTGGGAGCAATGCCATTCCCACTCACCCATTATTCCAGAACCCCCGTGAGGTTCCTGCTTCGGCCAGCGCTCGCCTCAACAGCAGGCCCAGTCGCCAACGCGGGGTGCTCAGGTACCATACTGTCACCCCACGCACCCACACCACCACCACCACCATACTCCAGAGGTGACCCGCACTCCCCATAACCACAGCTTTGCTCATCTCCTTGTAGTTCACCGACACCTGTATTTTTCTGTTTAGTTCAGACACCCTTCGCTCTCCTCATCTCACTGCACCTTAGCCAACTGTACTCATTTTGATCAGTACTAACTAATTTCTTGGTTAGATATTTGCAGAGAACTTAGAGGTGAAAAATATTGAGTCGGTACAATGGGATCAAACTTTTTTCCCTGGATTCAACAGTAACATGCACTAGAGACTGAACCATAATCGTCAGTAGTACATGTTCTGTGGAATTCAGGGATGCAGGTTAGATCCCATCTTATGACCTCAATAGTTTCTCGTACATCATGCTTTTATTTCATTGTGCCAAACTTGTAAGTATTTTCATCACTTGCTCTTACTCTCCTTGCGCTGCAGCTGCCAAAGTTCATTATCATTCCCTCCAGTTGTTGTCTTTAGTCAAATATGTCATCACCATACATGCATCCCTACACTACTTTTCATCATGGTTTATGTAAATTGAAACCTTGTAAAACTTATTTTATTAATATTGGTAACCAGCCCCAACCCCTCCACTCACACACACACACACACGCACGCGCGCGCGAACGAGAGAGAGAGAAACGGGGAAGTGATGACGTTTTCATTGGTCCTAGACTCCTCATTACTTCATAAGGGTCCAGGACATATTGAAACATCATTGCTCTTCATGCATGTGTGTGAGTTAGGTTACAAATTTTCAGCCACATTATTGTAACTTATAATGTGAAACATTATTCTGTTGTAGACCTTAGCATGGAAATTGATAGTACTTGCCCAGGAAGGATGGAAAAGTATTGTAGGAGATGACGAAAATGTTAATATTTATATACAGTATTGTATTATTTGAAGTGCCCTTCTCCAAGAATACTTTTAACATATCTAGTTGTATAAATACATACAACGGCTGAACAACGATACTCCAGCTTGGCTCCGGAAATGTAACTGTGACAAGCAGCTGGGTTAGGACCTGATACGCACACTGAACGAAGTTTTCCAGTTTATTCTCCTGTCCCCCAGTTAATATTTTCATCAGGTATAAAAGGCTAGGAGGCAGGACATAAACAACTAAATCTTATTCCTACATGATAGTGGTATTCCTGCCACCACCAACTCCACACTGGACTCATTACAGTTCACTAAATTCACTACCTCCCAGTTCTCTCTCTGCCATTGTCTAGTTCCCGAAGCACTGTGGCCTGGAGATTTGTATTGTACTTTTCATGATCAGTTAACATTTTTTATTTATTTTTTTTTTTGTTTCTCTGTAAGTGATATTTTTGTAATCTTACCTGGGTGTGCAGTACTCTGGGGTGTGGTGAGTTTCGCCATCATCTTGCCTGTGCGTACGGTACTTTAGGGGGTGGTGACGGGGAGCAGGTCTCGCCATTATTTCCTAGGAATCAATGCAGACTTGAAAGTATTTATCAGCACATTTTCTAAGTATCTTTTTCTGAAACACTTTGACCAATGGATATATTTATAAAATTTAAAGGGAATTGATTCATATTTTACAAAACCCATTAGGTCATGTTAATAATTTACATTAATACAGTACAACCTCGATTCAACGAACTATGAGGGGAGGAGAGGGAGGGAACTATTGGGAGAAAGTGCCAAGCCATTACAACTTTATAGCACTTGGAAAGGGTTGGGATAAGGATTGGGATGGGACAGGGGTATTGAATGGTACCCAACCACTTGGATGGTCAGGGATTGAATGCTGACCTGCATGGAGAGAGAGCGTTGCTCTACCATTCAGCCCAAGTGGTTGAGCTAACTATGTGGGACGACCCCGAATTTGCTGCAGTAAGGGATTCCTTGCTACCAGAGATGCCTCCAGGATGCATTCCCCATTCTCTGTGGGCTAATTTCACTTAGCAGAATTTTCATTTCAACCTATAATATATATAACTACCAAATGAACATGTTTGCAAAACAAATTAACCACATTTAGCTTATTTCTTACATCCCCAGTCTTAACTCATTTTCAAAAGGTAGCAGGGCCATACCCCAGTGAACCCTTGCCAGTTCAACATGAAAACAAACTATAGAATTTGTTTAAAAACATTCTCAATAGCTTTTCTAAGGCTCAAAGTACATTCTTGTAATGTTGAATCCATCTATAGAAATCATAAAAAATGTGATTGGAGCCATATTAAGAGAGTTACATTTAGACACTAATATTTCTCATGCTCTATTGGCTGATTTCACTGAGCAAAATGTTAATTTCAATGTGTCACATGAAGGACAACTACCAAGAAAACCTGTCTACAAAGAGATTTAACTACATATATAGCATATTTCCCTTGCCCTAGTCTTGAAATTTTATTTTAAAGGAAAAGTGACCCAAATTAGTGAATGAAAACCAGGGAATCTCAAAATTAAATGAACAATAGAATTGAGTTTTAAATATGCTCAATTGATTTTCCAAGGCACCTTACCTTGTAATGTTGGGCCCATTTATAAAAATCATTAATAATGTGATTGGAGGCATATTAAAGAGTTATCATTCACCCAACAAAAAATTCCTAAACGGCAACAAACCAATTCCAAAATGCCCAACCGAAAATTTGCCGAATCGAGGTTTCACTGTAATATGAACTAATGTTTGTATCATCTTTGTGTTTTTAGTACCATAACTTACTTTGTTTTATACCTAAAACATTGTGACTTGTGCAATACTACTACGTTTTGTATATCCAATTTTACGTGTCATTTTCAGTACCTTTTTATCGGTACGCTATCTTGCCTCTTCCCGGGCTTCCTCTCCAGTAATGACATTTTTTCCTTAGCAATTAAGCTTTTTATTATTGCATGTAACCACGAAACTCATTTACTTTAACGAGGGAATGTTTATCCTAGTCATCCTTGGCCTTAACGTGTTGGCCATCCTCACTTCACTGCTGGAGTAGTGCAACTAACCCCGTCTCACTCATTACATCATCTCTTATGTTGCTCTGAAAGAGTTTTCAATGTTTAATTATATTAATTTTGGTAGTAAAGTACTGTAATTCAAAAGATCATGTTGGTACTAGCATTCTTTTTTTATATAATGTTTTGATTTTTGCTTTATTTTCCAGGTTTTTATATGTACTATACAATAAAATTCTTATGATAATATGCAGTAATTGATAGTATGTATTAATTTGTATATTGATGGGGACTGCTTCATCCAAAAAAAATTTGGATTTTTTTCTGTATGGTAGGCCCTTGCTATTCAGAGGGTATATGTCCTGGCCCTTGCTATTCAGAGGGTATATGTCCTTAAGGTACCTGAGAGTGGTAAAAATGTGTGTGTATACATCAAGGTGTGCAGGACTGAAAATAGTTAACAAATCAAATGAGAAAGTTGCATATGGCAATTAGAGTACTACAGTATAAGGGTTAAAGGGTTATTGAAGAGCAGGAGGTTGGAATGCAGATACAAAAATTCCCTGTTATTGTATTATGAAACATGCACAAATGGAAAAATGAACATGGGGAATGTGTGACTGATTTCTATAAGAATAAGCTCCATCTCTCTTAGAGCCTCGCCTTATAATTTTTCATGTTTTTATGTCCTTTTCACCGTTGTTTTATCGACGACGACAAAAATCGTTGGTGTTTCGCTATCTTCTGAGTCGTGGTTTGGTCATCGTGCCTTTCTTACCTTTATGGTGGGTCATGTCTTAAATTTTGTAAAGCCCCAACCTGTAAAGGTAAGGCTTGTACTTCCCCACTATCCCCAAAAGGGTTTTTTCCTTTGAATATTTTCAATGCCACCGACCTGTTATTTTTCTTGGTAATACCTTTTTGCTGCATTTCTCTGAAGGTGAATATTTCACCTAGGAGATATAAAAGTATGTGATTTTATATGCTCTGAAACAACTTTAAGAAACTTTAAGACCTTCCATGTATCAGTGGTTTGTGTATTGTAGTTACCGGTAACTCTCAGTGCTCGTTAGGCTCTGCTTTTAGTTTCTTTCATCTTATGATATGGAATTCATCATACTGTACTTTATGTCCATTATAGTTCCCATTGTCAAGGACAGGAAGGCTGGACTTAGGCTTATCAAAGTCCCTCTAGGTAAAGTACTGACCTTAACCAAGATGCAACCCATAATATTTGTCAAACTCCTGGATGCCTGTTTTACTGAGAGAGACGGTTAGGCACATTTCCTTTCATCTGTTCACCTGTATTTCTTGGGGATTGAACCCAAGTCATCGTTATTTTATTGTTTTTCCATTGTCTTGGGCCAGGGAAAAACAAGTTCGAAGAATAGAAAATTGGAAGGAATGTAGTACCATATAAGAATAGCAGGCTGAAGATGTATAAATATAACAGGCACCTATTACCCATATCACACGCTACATAATTATCACGGAGAATCTCTAGAACCAGATTTCCTCAAGTGGTTCCCGAAGCACACTGCTTAGCTATTAGTGACTACAGGGAGGTGCGATCTAGCTCTTTATGCTTGCCTCCTAGCCGTTTGTAACTGGCGAGTCAGATACCTCTCACCATTTAGGCTTTCATATTTTTTTTTTTTTTTATTAAAGTTGTAAATGGAATTGGCTTCAACGACCACTTCCTTGATTGCATTCCTTTTCCAGACCACTTGTACAGGGAAAGAGAATGTACTTTCATCTTTGACTTGGTTCCGTGTTCAACTACCACTGGTGTTCTCTTGTCCTACCTCTTAATTTGAATTATCATCCTTTGTCCACTTTGTTATTTCTCCCCTCTCAAGACCTTATATGTAGTGATCATATTCCCCTCTATTTCTTCTCTCTTCTAAAGTTGAGTGTAAGTTTCCACAATCTATCCCTATAACAGAGTCCTCTCAATTTGGGTACTGATCTAGTGGCAAAACTTAAATTTCTCAGGCTTCTTTTTGTGCTTCTCACATAGTATTGGTCTCACATAGGCAGTGTGTATGAACTTTAAAGCCTCTTTAGATTCTTAAACGAGTTTGTTTGCTAACTTCTCATATGCTGCTGAGTTTTATCCTGTTCACATGAGCTTCTGATATTAGTGTTGAGATCATGTCTACTCCCATCTCTTCTCTGTTTTTTCTCTCTAATTGTTTCTAGGAATTGCCTTCCCTTTATGGTTTACTGTGGTTAATGACAGGTCTTCTGTCCCACATAACTCACTTTCAATACTCTACACTTGGATGGGATTCCAGCAGCCATTTATCTGCACATTCCTGGGGTATGAGATGGGGAATTCCTAGGGTCAGGAAGCTGAGGGGATTCCTGTGGTATGAAGCCTGAATGGAATTCTCAAGTTTCTACACTGCAGTCGGTTCAATATCTTGTATTAAATATATAAGCTTTTGGTGCCCTTATCTCCACTATCTATTCTAGTCACACGCCCAAAATAATACATTTTTTTAAGGTTTTTCTCCATGGATAAAGGGAGTGGTGCATGCAGTAGATGCACATGAGTTATGTGTATGGGTATAGCATGCATATTATTTGTCAGCTGTGAAGTAAATATTTTAAAGCATTTCTAGACAACAGCAGCACCTGAGCCCTTTACACACTCTTCCCACTGAAACTAAATATTTTGCTAAACTATACAATTTATAAAAATATTATCAAATACGAAACTAGACATGATGCAAATTTATAAACCTGAGGCTCTTAAGTCTATTGCCTTTTTTTATTAGTATTATTATTTTAGCTAGACTTAAACTGTTGCTTGGAACATGTCCTCCCTACAAAGGTGTTCAAGGCTTGTGATATTACCCAGAAGGATGGTGGCTTTAGTGATGGGATGACTTAATCAACCACTCAAATGTTATTTTAACCCTGATATCACCATCACCATTATTATTATTATTATTATTATTATTACATCTAGAGACTCTTAGAGGTAGTTCCTGGTGTTACCTTTGTAATTTTCAAAGTGATAATTGCATTTTCTTGTGAATCCAAGGACTCTAAGGGTCAGTGAGATTAGTTGCTTGTGCTGTGTATCATAGTGAGCTGCCTCTTGGTGATAGTGACCTCCTACTCCTCCCCCCCCCCCCCCCCATTGTGTTGGAACAATTAGCAAAGATATCCATGAGCGACGCAGCAGGTCTTGAGTGTTTGGCATGTCTTATGGGTCTGGATACGCCGTATACAGTTAAGGTGTACTGCTCCAGACAGTAACCATGAGGGTACACAGCTCGAGGGAGCTACAGTGAGGGTGCATGGCTTGGGGGAACTATCGTGAGGGTGCATAGCTTGGGGAAACTACCGTGAGGGTGCATTGCTTGGGGAAACTACCGTGAGGGTGCATTGCTTGGGGAAACTACCATGAGGGTGCATTGTGCTTGGGGAAACTACCGTGAGGGTGCATGGCTTGGGAGAATTACCATGAGGGTGCATTGCTTGGGGAAACTACCGTGAGGGTGCATGGCTTGGGAGAATTACCATGAGGGTGCATGGCTTGGGGGAACTACCGTGAGGGTGCATGGCTTGGGAGAATTACCATGAGGGTGCATGGCTTGGGGGAAACTACCATGTTGTTGTATGGCTTGGGAAAACTACCTTGGGGGTGCATGGCTTGGTGGAACTACCTTGAAGTTACCTTGAAGTGTTTCCGGGGCTTAGCATCCCCGCCGCCCGGTCTTCGACCAGTCCTACTCTGGTGGGTGTGGGTGTCTTGTGTGGTAGTTGTGGCACCCACAACTACCATGTGGATGCTGTAGAAAACTGTAAGGGTGCACATCTTAGGAGAGAAAACTGTAAGGGTGCACATCTTGAGGGGGAGCCACTTTAGAGGTGCATGTCTAAGGGGGTGCCACATCCTCTCAGTACAGTATTACTCTTGTGTACTGAAGTTTCCTCCTGCTTTTATGCTTTAGCTGCTTCATCATAATTTATATTGCTTCATCATAATTTATATTTTACATTCTTATGAAGGTTTATAAATTTTATATATGCAGGGTGCTATAGTTTTTTGTAATCTAATTTATAACATAATAATTCATATTACAATTTAGACTTAAAAGACGAGTTGAAAAAAGTGGTATTCAAACAAGTGCCGGTTCTTTCACACTATATAAATCATAAGAGTTTAGACTTCCAGGAAGTTGGTTACAGGATTCTGGTTTTGTATCTTTGGAAATATAATGGTCTAATATGAGCTTATGTGAGATTTGTGTTGATATACTTAAAAAATTGCAATAAATTGAAGAGTTAACAACATTATTGAAACTATGATTTAAGATTGTTTTTATGGATGGTAAATAGAGCATTTAAAACTGTACAGTCTCGGTATTAGCATAATTTAACAACTGACTCGTAACTACCGTACAGTTTATGAAATAGTTACACTAATTTTTTATTCATTTTTGAAGAGTTAATAAGGTTAAGATAAAATTTTGCATTAAATATGAATAAATATTGTAAGTGGTAGGGTAGACCTTAGTGTTAATACAAGAAATTAATAAATATAATTCTGTAGTGTGTGCCAAAGATGTGTCTCATGAAAATTCAAGAACAAGTCTGTTCTGAAATGGTAACAGGACTTTCAGGACATTAATACTCCTCCTGTACAGTAATATTAAAAATTGTGAGAAAATATAGCACAATATGTAAATTGCATTATTTATATAGCTGATGTCTTCAGAATTTTGCAAGGTAGCTTACCTAGGTATACTTAGAACTCAAGTGTTATGCTGTAATAGAATAGTAGTGAGTTAATTTCTTGTAAAATGATCCTACTGAGAATGTGTGTGTGTGGAGTTTTGATGATAATAAGACAGAAGTTTTGTTGCACAGACTACTGGGACCCAGTCACCGGGATGTTCTCCAGCTGTCATCCAACCTGCGGGAAGCCTCTCAGGTACTCTTCACCAATCCTGATGTGCGATTGATGCCCCCTGACCCAGACGAATTTATTGAAATGCAGGTGGGTGTTATTATTAGGAATCTATTGATAGGAAATTAATGCTTTTGACTGGAATAGATAGAAAAAGAGCAGAGACCAATATCTCGTCATGCGTCTAGGATTATCTCGCATCTCTATTGGAAACTGATCAGAATCCTGCCTCCCTTAAGAGGTGGGGGAGCTGAGGTACAACATGAAAATTCTCCCACAGATATATATGGTATGAAAGATGAGCAAACAAAATGTAAAAGTAACCCAGATAACCAAAACACCCCCTCTGCTCTTCCCTGCCCTCACACACAGCTGGGTATCTATTGATCTTGGATCAATCTGTGCCCACCATCATGGAGGAAGGGAGTTTGCTAAGGTTCAACTTGCTAGTGGGTAAATTCTTAGGTGCCTGCCATGACTTCATTTGTCAAATAAGTCAATGCCTAAGGTAAGGAGAGCTACCAAGGCATCTGTTAAAAAGTGATGTTCAATTATACTTGACATTATTTCAAGTTAAACTTACCCATGTTTCAGTGTAGTTTTATTCTGTAATTGATTTAAAACTCAGAGTAAATTTCATTACATAACTTAAATTGTAGCTTTCCATGATCCTCTTCTTCAGTGTTGAGTGGCAACATTTATCTTTTGGCAAAGTACACCTCATTTGTCACCCTGAACATAATTGGGAAAGGGCAGAGCCCTCCATATTCTGGGTAGGAAACGATATGGAGCTGCCGGAATAATATTGAATGGTTCACCTCCGGAATAGAGGGATACAGTCAATTATTCACCAAAGTGGTTTTATCTAACCAGAAGCATACAAACCTTATCAACCCACATAACCTGTTGATGCTCGGTAGTCCGAGAAAGTGTCAATATTGGCTCCTGAAACTAGATTTGGAGCTGGGACCATAATCTGGCTCATAATGCGAGGCTAGAGGAGTAGCCTTCTTTGAGAAGTAAACAGAATTTGATGGTATAGCTACCTGGCAGTTTAAAAAATTCCTCTCCCTTTACTTTAACAACTAAACCCTGAGGTGCAAAACTAAATTTTTGTATTAGTCTTTAGTGAAAATTATCGTGGCTTGTCCATCTTTGTCACAACTTGCATCATCCTTAAAAAGAAAATTTAAATTTGACTCTACAGTATTGCCTTTCCCAAATCTTGTTGTTTAACCAATTTGCATCCTTCATTTTCCTAATGATATCACCCAGTGTAAATTAAATTCCAGTACTCGTGAACATGGCAGTTTGTGAAGTATGAGGGTCATTTGATACGTTTTATTGTGTAAAGGTGTGACTGGAGTAAGATTGTTAATTAAGATGCAAGACAGTGGGTGATAGCATGATACATTGCAGGATCATGGTGGGACAGTGATGAACAACACTGGTTCATCTGCATCCCTTTCCAACGTTCCTAATGCACTCTCGCGGTGGACGGAGGAGACTAGAGTTCTTGAGGCAGACTCTATGCATGATGCTGTCACAGGTAATGCTGCTTACAGTTATTAATATAATACTATTGTAATTATAATGCGTTGTAATGCCCCATTTAGTAATAGGGATGCTAAATGAAATATATATATATATATATATATATATATATATATATATATATATTCAAATATGTTGATACTGTATACATGTTGATATATTAAAATAAATTGGTTACAGGAAATAGTGTTAACCCATTATTCATGTTGGGAATGGTGTATTCTTTTATACTGCCTCTTTTTCTCTCCACTTTTTCCCCCCTCATTCCCCTCCTCTTGCATCCCCCTGTCCCCCTTCCCCTTTCCCAGATCCTGTTTCCTGTTTTAGACCCTTTCCCACAATGTACATCTATCCACAGTATAGATGAATAAATGTTTATTCACTGCCTTTGACCTAATTATTTTGCTTCCATGGAATTATCATGTATATATCCTCACTACTGCATTTCTACTTTTCCCACCATTAGCTAGTGTTTCCTCCCCGCTCCCCCCACGGACCCAGAGCCTCCCTTCTTTGCCACAATCCCAGTGCCTCCCCCCTTTCCTATGGTCCCAGTTCCTTCCCCCAATTCCCATGGTTCCAGTGCCTCCCTGCTTTTCCAACGTGCCTGGTGCATCCCCTTACCCATGGGCCTGGTGTCTGCTGCCTCTTTCCATGGGCCCGGTTACTCCCCCTTTCCCATGGGCCCAGTGCCTCTCCCCATCTTTTCTCATGGGCCTGGTGCTTCCACCTCCCACCTCCACCTAACGTTTTCCATGGGCCCAGTGCCTCCTCCATTTCCCACAGGCCTGGTAACCACCTTTCCCTCCGGAGTTGAAAATGGTTGAAATGGCATTATTCGTGACTGTGTACTTGTGTAGCATTAAATTCAGGGAATTTGCCAGTGGGTATGTGAAGGCTATAAAGGGCTTCAGTCAGCAATATCATAGATGATCAGGGGAAAATCACCAAGGAAACCTGGCCAAATTGCACAAGTAGATAAAATTTGAGGAATGTGCCATAAGTAATCATTTGATAAGGTTTATAAAGTGATATATTCCACATTATATACCATATTCTGTTAAGTAGATTTTTCCTAGGCAGGGCTTAATATTTTTGTTTTTCTCTTCAAAGTTGTCAAGCCGGCATTAATGGCAGTTCTAGAAAAATATAGAGATGCAGAGCAGTCAGAACGAGACAAAAAGAAAAAAGAGCAGGAGTCAAATAAGCCTCCGCCGGCCTCGACTGAAAGCGCTCGTGGTCCTCTTCTTCTTCAGAGTGGTGAGTGGTGACATTTATCTCGTAGTAATGATATTATTTGTACTGCTGGTATTTTGTTTGAATTATATTTTTTTGCACTAACCATGTTATGTAGGCAGTATTGTTTCGTGTAAAGTACAGTATCTGTACTCAAAGAATAAGAGAATTGGTCTGATTTGATTGAGACCTCTGAACGTAGATTCTTAATTAAAGTTATAGTTAACCCTACCTATGCAAATGGAAAAACTTGATAAAGGTCCAGAACTGTCTGAAATATCATCACATTCCATTAATTTCATGTGTTGAAAATCATGTGCTTCCTTTATATTCTCAGGTGATGCCGAAATGGGTGAAGCACCTGACAGTAATCGTGCATCTGGGGTTCAAGAAACTCCAAATCCAGAAGCTTCTGGTCAAGATGCTGCTATTTTGAGCACAGCATCCATAGCAGAGTCCATTGTGGAATCTGTTTTGGCCTCTTCATCAAGACCTCAAACGACGACAACACCCAGCTTTTCCGGACTCTTGACCCTATTATCTCCAGTATCATCTGGTGCTTCCACATTACCACTGCAAGAACCTCCTGTTTCCTCAATCCCAGCTCTTGGTGGGGCCTTGGGAGGTGTACCATCTGCTCCAACCACCCCTCAAACCACATGTGTGAGCAGTTTGCCTCCATTCCCTTCCCCAACAACGTCTACCCCAACTCCAACCTCACTCTTAGCACCAACCAGTAACATGACGACCTCCGCTCTGTCCGTCACAGATGCAGAAATGGTGGCAGCTTCTCCCCTGCCCACAGTGGGGCCTCAAACTATATCTAATGACAATGTTGAAAGTTTGGTTACTCAAGAAGAAACTCCTATGTCTGTTAGCCCTCCAGAGTACCCCAGTCAATCGCCGGAGTTGCTGGCATCGTCTGGCGACACCCTCGCAACCCCACCATTAGCAGGTATGCCTCCAAGAGAAGCATGGGAAGATCCAAGCATGCCTATGCAACAGGATTTGCAAGATCAAGTAGGGGATCAAACGATGACCTCGTCACTTCCTGTGTTAGTTATGCCATCAAGCTTGAGAAGAGAGAGCCAAGAGTGAGTTTTTCAATAATTTTAATAGCACTTGATTACAAATGTGAAACATCAATTTAACGTAGATAAGTGCATGTGGTACTGACAATTTGTCCTTAGTTATTTACTGTATCTAGAATTAGTTTCTCTTCTTCACTCTGCACCTATCTTTCCTTATCCTCTCTCACTCCCTCCAATTTCCCTGTCCCCATTCCCTTCCAAATATGCCCCACTCTCATTTCTTACCTATTTACCGTTTCCATATTTCCATACTACTTGTTTCCTCCAGACCACCATGAGGCAATGTTTCCTTTGTGTTATTTATGTATTGTGTTCTGTCTATAAAGTTCAAGAGCTGGAAGGGAGAATGAGGCTGGACCATCTGGGTCGTCCAGCACTCGCCCGGACTACTCAGCCATTCTTGGAGACATTGAGATCCCTGAGGGTGTTGACCCAAGTTTCCTTGCAGCTTTACCTGAAGATATGAGGCAAGAAGTAATAGCTGAACAACTTAGGTAAGTGGTTTTTTTCTTACTACTGAAAGCACTTGGTAATTTGAATTCCAGTAACCCAAATGAATTCTCATTAGAGTTCTTGGATTTTTTAACCCAAATAAGAATTTCAATTATAAGGTTATATTCATCATTTTTGGGTATGGCTTCTCCTGGTAGAAGATAAGAAAATTTAAATGATTAAACAAAGGAGCCAAATCACAAAACCACTTGCGATTAACAGATTACAATCCAACTTGTGCAGTTCAGATTTCATTGATAAAAGGTAAGTGTTGTCATTTTCAGAAGTAATACTGAACACATTTTAAACAGAAATCAGGTTAGTTATTAGGTGAAGAGAGGTATTAAAAGTGAGGAGAATGAAGCTAAAAGAAGTACAAAAAGAGAGGTTAGTTTGTTTAGCTTCCATGTATAAATTTACATAGTTTTGTTTATGCAGAGATTCAATCAAGGTTTTATTTTCACTATTTTGTTGACCTGAGGGTTGGGTTGGGTTGCTATTATATTGACAGCATTCAAACATTGTAATAGTGTAATCTGCTATCTTTAGACTTCAAAGAGTAAGACAACGAGCAACCGAGAGTACAAGAGAGAGCAACAGTGCCAATGTTAGTGAAGTCAATCCAGAGTTCCTGGCTGCACTTCCTCCAAACATCCAGGAAGAAGTTCTTGCTCAACAGCGTCTTGAACAGCAGCGGCAACAAGCAGCACGTTCTAACCCTGATGACCCCATGGACCCAGTTTCCTTCTTGCAGACACTTCCACCATCTCTTAGACAAACTGTGAGTTGACTTTGATTTTTAAATCAAGCATTTTGGTATACAGTATAAACAAAAATCATATATGGCAATATCCTATTGATGTATAGGCTATTCATTCTTTTCTGGTGATGTTGGAATGCTCGACCTTCTAGGAAGCTTTTAAGGTCAGGATTGACATTACAGTTCAGCATTTTATATATATAAAATACACATGAGAGGATGTGCAGGGACTAGGGCGCGCTCTCTCCCTTTGTCACCTTCCTTTGTCAGGTCAGCACTTCCTGACCTGATATTAAGTGAAACTTGGGTATTAAAATTGCGTGATTGATAAAAAAAAGGCAGTGTAAATTTGTATTTTATTTTTTTTGCAAGGTTGCTTGCACAAGTACTTTAAATGGGTTCCATATACTGTAGTAATAAAATGTATACTGTACTAGAGATGCAAAAGGTTGAGAAGGGCCAGCCTTTGTGTTTGGGGGGGGGTTAAGGGAGAGGGTCATTTTAATTAGTTTACATTATTGCCTTATTGCCTTGGTAATTTGAATTCCAGTAACCCAAATGAATTCTCATTGCCTAACCTGTGAGTATTTTTCATAATATACTATGAATTACTTTTTCTGTATTTCAGATTTTGGCTGACTTGGAGGACTCTCAGTTCGCAGCATTACCCCCAGAATTAGCTCAAGAAGCTCAGACGCTTCGCCGACAGCGTGAGGAGCGCAACAGACATGTCCATGAACACATGTTCAATAGATCTGGCACATCGCTCTCTTCTATACTACGCAATACAGCACGTATTGGTTCACGTCTCATGCACTCGTCAAGTTGGTCTACCAGCTGGAATCTCCGAACCTCGTCTAGTGGCCAACAAGTGACAGCTACGTAAGTGCATGGCTTAGTTTGGTTGGAATAATTTGACTGTTTAATTATGCAGGGTTTTCATATTTCTCAGTGTACATTGTGCAAGTATTATAGAAACGCAACTCATTAGATAATGGTCTAGGACGGACAGAACTGTTGTCACTTTGTTTCGTTTCTTTTTAGATCTGGTGTCTTAATTTTCAGCCAAGTATTGCAAATTAGTGTTTGCAAGTACTGTACTATATTATTTCATAATCATGTTGGCTTTGTTTAAATATTTTTTTTAGATAAAATTGCATGCATGTATGGTGGGATTAGATAATTTATTAAATTCACATGATGCTTACAGTCTTGGGTGACTTCTGGCAATTTCAGCAGCTTACAGAGGCAGAGTTTACTGATTATGAGTGCAACCTATAAATTTGCTTCCTACTGTGTAATGGAGTTCCCAATAATAATGTTGATATAGGTTGACCAGTTGGCCTCTTCTGCAAAATCAGTCACTCGATGCTATTCAGTCTTCCTAATCAAACTGTACACACCTAGTGGTGCTTGCAGGGGTTGAGCTTTGGCTCTTTGGTCCCGCCTCTCAACTGGTGTACAGGTTCCCGAGCCTATTGGGCTCTTATCATATCTTCATTTGAAACTGTGTATGTAGTCTGCCTCCACCACATTACTTCCTAAAGAGTGTCAAGAATATTGCAGTGTTGCTTGCTGATGTGGGGGGAAAAGGCCGACTAGAGCGTTATGAGTGTGACGGATGTTACAAGAAATGACTGTAGGAGCAACGAAGGAACAGAATCAGAAAGGAGCATTTCATTCCAATCAATCTATTATTATTATTTTAATAAAATTTGTTTGTATTTGCATGGTTAACAAAGTTGATTGTTTCTGTACACAGCAGCAAACCACGAGGTCGTCAACTTCTTGACCACGAAGCCATGACTTGCCTTTTAGTTCTACTGTTTGTTGATGAACCGAAGCTCAACACTGGTCGTCTTCATCGTGTACTCCGTTACCTGTGTCACCATACTCCCACTAGGGATTGGGTCATTAAGGTACGGTGTTGCTATCTTGCAATAAACTCAAACCATTGCAAACATGCTTTACACATTTTTGTTATAAATTTAAGTTGTTGGTTACCATGGACTGTATTGATTAAATGTGTAATATATATAATCAGATAAAATTTAGAAGTTGATACATGTTTCTTTAGTGTTCAATATTCTTAAACTTGATCAGTTGTGAAATGTAATGTGTAGAATGGAACAGTGTGGTTATGCTATGTTAGGTATGCTAAAAGAAAAATATTAAAATGTTGAAAAAACATGATCGTGTGTTTTATAACTGACTCGACATCAGCTAGATCATTTTCCCTCGCACCCTCCCCATCATTATCTTTCTTAAATCTCTTCCAGATTTGCTTACTAATTTGTTCTTTTTAGCTCATTTCCTGTTGACCTCCATGCTTTCTTGGTTCTACTTACTATGGCCTACTTACGTTCTTAATTCTATCACACTTCCAGGCCTTATTATCAATTCTGGAGCGGTGTGGTGATCAAGGTCAGCTTGGTAGCAGTCGTCTGGGAAGTATAAGCAGTGAATTGTCCATATCATGCTTGCCTCCCGTCACACCGGACCAGGCGGGTAAAGGGGCAAGTAAAAAAATGAACGTTGGTGCAAGATCCGACTCGACACCCTTATCATCAACTCCTGTTTGGCGAAGTGAATCTCGTTCCCCTACTGCACCTTCATGGCTCAGCATGAGTATGGATGCTGCTCTTGGGTGTCGGGCAAGTATCTTCCAAATTCAGCGCACGCAGCAGACGGGTAAACGCACCTCAGCAGCAGCATTAACAACGGCTGTCAATATTCACCCACAAGCGGCTCCTTTAGTGTGCAGGTTCGTTTGGTACTCTTAAGTTAAAACATACATTAATGTTTATTTTTGTCCCCTCACATTTACAATTTCAATAGCAATCACCCTGCCTGCCTGTCTGTCCCATAATATATATAATTCTTATTTGTAATTATATATATTTTCACAAAACATTGTTGCCTTGGTGTTGAGATGTGGTAGCCCACCACCCACAAGTGTGGGGTACTCACAACTTTGATAACGAGTTGGTATATTGAGCCTGAAATAGATCTTCCGAAAATCCTTTCCAAGAAAGGCAGAATAGGCCTTTATTTCAAATATTTCATTGTGATAAATGTGTGTTTTGTGCCATCTTCTATGTGAGTGTTACCGAGGCCAAGAAATTGTTCTGTAGTTTATCCCCAATGCCTTACTTCCTCCTGAAAGTTGTCCGTGACAGATGGTTTTCCTAGGAGGCTCTAATCTTGCACATTGCTCATTTTCATGGTCTCGAACTCTGCCCCTACATTCTTATTCATGTGTCATATTCTTCTCATCTAAGATACTTCTTTGCATCTTCCATGTTTCCTTATTTTACCCTTGTGTACCCCACCTTCTTAATAGATTTTGACATCCTACTTGCATGTCCATTCCACCTCAGTGCTTTACCCACCCTCCACTCGTTTCATTCACTTACCTCTTTCACTTGCATGACAACTTTTGTTATTGTTATACCCATACCACATACACCAGCTGCTTTTCTTGCCCATTTCCAATACTTTTTCTTATTTTAAAATTCTTCTCCCATCCATAGACCCAAGTTTTTCTAACATTCCTTCCTTTACTTATTTAACTCTCCCACCTTTTATTACTAATATTGCACCTTCCATACTATTGTCTTGTTGTAAATAATAATGATAAGCCAAGTCCCGCATTCATAAAGCATTTATGCAACCACATACAAAATCTGTACATCTTTCTTCGATCATAGCTGCTTTCTTTCCATTTATTAAACAGTTATTAGCTCTGAAGTACTATGGAGTAGTTTATAACAATAATAACCTTGGATTGTGAAGTTTCAAAGCTTGTAAACAAAGCCACCGTGATTAAGGAAAGATTTGGAGGTTTCGTAAGTTGTTGTGTGAATGCCTGATGAGTTTTGTCCATAATTTGTACAACAATTGTTTCATCTGTATCCTTCATTGCTGTATATCTTACTCTCAATTTGTATGCTGGCATACACTTTTTCTTAGGGCATAAAGTACAATAATCCCGCTATAATTTCCACATTCTTCTGCTAGTCTTTCGCTCGCATGTGGAGACCTCGACTTCATCACTAAGGTCTATAATGGTAAACTCTGGGATTCCTGGTAGACTATAACATACTGCCTGTGTTTAAGAAATGAGACAGGTATGAGGCCTAGAACTACAAGCCTGGCTTATTGACTTATTGACATACCTTGCAAAATATTGGAGAAAATGTTTTGATAGTGGCACATCTAGGAAAGGAATAGGCATTCCTTGGACTCCAGTTCAAGTGGCTCGATAGTGGAATAGATTGACTAAAGAACATTGTCTGGCATGTTTTTCATCTCTCATTTTCATACACATACATACATGTATAATATAAGTTAATTATTTAGTATTAAACTTCAGTGTGTATCCTTCACGTAACAGAGAGATGAACTTTGTCAAAGGTTCATTCCTGGGCTAATGTCTAATTCTTTGCTTCGCAGTTGCAGATTGAACTGAAAACCTATGAACATTATTAAAACAAATTCTTTGATTTTTAATTTTGTTTCAAAACGGTTTAATTTCTTAGTACCGATACCGATGACTGACTTGGAGTGTAAACTCTCCAAAATCTGAGGTTTTATTACATTAAACTTTGAAACAGTATATCTCTGTGGTCATTGTAAATTTGTATTGTACTAAATGTTTTGATTAGATTTATAACCATTGCTCCAGTTTAGTTTACAAGTAGGGAATAGTTGTTTATGGCAAAATAGTTTTATATAGTCCAGGCTAGCTAACCATTTGGTGGCAGTATATTGTGGTTGTTTTTGAGTTGTGCTACTCCCCCCAAGCTCTGCCTGGGGGCTGGCATAATCAGCTAAGGTTTGCTTCCAGCAGCCTGCAGGAACTTCTCCAGTTGCCTCTTGACAACTTTCTCTTTTGTTCTGGCAATATTTCTTAGATCTGGTGGAAGTAGGTTAATATTTGGAATGTATAACTATGCTGTAATGTTCAACTTATTAACATGAGTGAGTTTAAGTTGCCAATTCTGTCAGCAAGTATGAATAAATGTGTAAATTATGTGTTGAATTGCAGAGATTAGGTCATATTAGTGTGGCTGAACTAAATAACACAACTGCCATATAAGAAAGGAAAGTGATGATGGTTCAGCCCATCCTGAACCCACATCAGGCTCCCTGTATGTCTAGGTTGTTAATTGATAAGGGTTTAGAATTGGCCAAAACATTGTGTTAGGGTGGGACTGTGTGTTGAATGATGGTATAACCATGGAGTTCTGTTGATTGTCTTGTAAAACCTGTATTTGTATAATATTGTAAACACTTTCACTTCAGTGTTGTTAATATTTTTGTGCTCCACAGACATGCTCTTGACACATTGATCTCATTGGCCAAGAGTTTTCCAAGCCATTTCTTACCACACCAAGGCAAGGAACTAGATGATAATAAAAGTGAAGTAAAAAAGTCAGGGAGTGGAACAACCACAGGTGCTATCAGTAAAAACTCTAAGGGATCATCAAGTCAAAGTAGTGAATCAACAGACTTTTGGGAATTGTTAGTAAAACTAGACTCCATAAGTGTTTCACGCAAAGGAAAAGGACTTCCCAGAACACATTCGGGTGCAGGTAGTGGCAGTGAAGAAGAACAGCGTGTCACTAGTCTTGAAGCTTCGGCTCTGGGGCAACTCATACAACAGTTGGCTCATCCTGTTGTGCGTAGATCTTCACTTCTCACCGACAGGCTGCTTCGTCTTCTGGCTCTGATTTCTTTGGGGCTCCCTGACACTGCTGATACAGCTACGTCACAGAATTCTAATACCTCGCAACACTCCACTGAAAATTCTCAAACCTTAGAACATCTTCTTAAATTAGCAATTCAAGTAAGTACAATTTTAAGAAATATTTAATTGTTTTCATTACTAGGTATCACGCACACTACAGAGTTGAGCCCAAATATACCCATCTGTATACAAAAAAAAATTAACAAGGAAGTGTTAGGTAGTGAGTCACAGTAACAAGGCATGGAAAACGTACAGGAGGAGAAGTACCAGGGGTAAACAAGGAGACACTAGTGAGAGGCACTAGGAAATGTGTAAACATATCGGCAGGAACTAAACATTAGCCCAAGCTATTGTAGTCACTTAAGGAATATGATGGTAAAGGATAAAGTGATGAGACTAAGGAAAGATGTTATCAGGTACCATAAGAATCAAGGAAACGGCACAAGTCCTATTGGCCCATACGAGTCAGTGCCTATTTATATCCAGCCAGACTCATTCATATATATATGTCTAACATGTGCTTGAAACAATTGAGGGATCCTACATCTATTATATTATAGGGTAAGTGGTTCCACAGATCAACAACTGTTACCGAACCAGTATTTACCCAGGTCTTTCCTAAATCTATACTTATCCAATTTATTTCCATTGTTTTGTATTCTATTGTGTTGATACTTTTAAAACCCTACTAATATCCCTTTTGTTATGCCCAACCCCATAGGGTATGGGGTTGCTAGATTGTTTACTCATAGGTTAGATCTACAAATGAATGTTGAGGTGGGTATAAATTGTGTGGGCCAATAGGAGCTGCTTTGCATAAGCCAATAGAAGTTGCCCAGTGAGGCCCATTGAGCACTGCCTCACATGGGCCAATAGGCCTTCTGCATTTAATTATATTCTTTTGATAATAACATGGTTTGAGGAATGCAGCAGGAGGTTCCAGGGAGACGTTAATGATAGTGCCAGACTGAGTATAGCTGAGACAAATAAACAATAGAGAACAACCTGGTTACTGATAAACTGGTGATGAGGCACTCTGTAAGTATGTATCGGTGCAGTACAAGTTGTCCAGGGGGACGTCAATAAACTTAACAGGCTTCCTGTCCCTGACAACAGGAATTAATACTGGAGAAAGTAATAAGGAAAAGGATTGTGGAATACTGTATCTTATGACAAACCTTATGATCAGGAGGCTGTGTAGGTTTAGTTGGGTCTTGTGAAGCAATTAATGTAGAGTTCTACAAACAAATGTACAAGATAATATGAGGGAGCGAAAGAGGGGGCTGAGTAGACGCCTTCATTTTAGACTGTTTTCGATACTGCACTTTGACAAGATTACTATTATGAAGATAAGGTCAAGGAAGTATACAACCACCTCCATATAATGGATTCCTCTAAATAATCGATCTAATCTACATGTTGGCTTTCTCTTCCAGAATTTAAATTTATAAAAAATCAATTACTTCAAGGGAGGAAGGGTGGGGGTGGGGGGGCAGAAAGCTGGATTCCTTTGGCAGGGAGAGAAGAACACACTGAAACCTGGATTCCTTGTGTAAGTCAGGGGAACAGGCTGAAGCCTAGATTCCTGGGGAAAAGGGGGTTATGGGCTGAAATACAGGGGTGGAACAGGTAGGAGTAACTTCCTTACCATGAATAAGGGTCAATTATTAGGGAAACTAGATCATGGAGTGTTAGACAGGGGAATGGTAGAGTAGTATAGCATGTAGACTAGTACTGTTTTCAATATTTGAAACAAAACAAAATCATGTAGTTAGTGAGTGATGGTGGTGGAGAGTTGACAAAGAATAATGAGGCTGTCTAACTATGAGCAACTGCATGATGCCGTCATATTTGATTCGTGAGGCATTGTGTTGGTGAGGTGCCTAATGGGCACCGATAAAATCGTTTTGTAGTGGAAACGTTCACATACACTGGCTTTGAAGCCAGTTAAGGTTGGCTGCAGAACTTTACCAGATGTTGCAGTATATTTAGGAGGAAGCTTGGGGGAAAAGGTAGAATTCTGATGTAGCAGCTGTGGAACCATTAGAGCTGCATTTTGTGATATCAAAGTAAAAGTTTAATTTTTTCAGATCTACAATGCAGATAAAAATAGCAATAGGTTTTGAGAAGTTTACCATTGAAAATTAAATGGATTAGAGGAAACTATCCAGATAACTACAGTACTGTACTTCAACAATGAGTAATACTTACTCATACAATGAATATCTACCTTGTTTTGGGCATAATTTTTTTTTTTTTTTCTCTCGGGGATATTCCTGCACGAGCCCTAAACTTCTGGCTGGCCCACTAAGTGTTGCTTGTTTCTGTTTTACTTGGGTGGAGTATGAGTATTTATGACTCGTATGGTCGTTTTTTCTCACTGATTGGCTTCACAGTTAATTTTGCACCGGCGAGGATTTGCCAGAGGGAGAATAAACTGGCCTTATTGCTTGAGAGGATCTGAAACAGGGCAGTGAAATTAAACCAACAACCTAGTTCACCCCAATTACACACATTAAAGCTGTTGTAAGCAAATCATGGACCAATGGGTAATGTGTGTCTGGGGTGACCAGTTCCAATGGTCACCCCAGAATTGAACCCACATTGGAATTGAACCAATGTGGGTTCAATTCCACCGCCTTGCTCTAAAGAACTTCTTTTAGATATATTGTATCGTGTCATGATAGTGATTTATTTTAGACCCTCCTTGATATTCCCCTCTGCTCACCATAAACATAATCAATTGGTCATCACTTTATTGTAAAGTCCGTATTAGTTACTGCATAAATGTAATTCTTTTGTCCACTCAGGTGTTAACAAGTAAATCATGCTCAGAGGAAGGTCTGGAAGATGCAACAGCCCTCCTCCTCCACCTTTCCCATGGGCCACCACCAGCTCGGGATCAGGTGCTGAGACTCCTCTTACAGGGTGCAGCAACGCTCGGCTCAACGGTAGCTACTCACATTGCTGCACTTTTAAGTGATTTACAAGCCTACAATGCTTCACATCCACCCATTTGTATAAATGATGAAGAACACCAGGTGCTTGTGACTGATAAGAGCAAGAAGGGATTGCTGCAAGACAGGTAAACGTTCACAAAAAATTATACTTGGAAGCATTACTGCACTGATAAAATACTTTTACTTGATGTTTACCTTTGTACATGATAGTCACTGATTTTGATCCATTACACATCTTCCACTCTCCCCCTCACTTACATTCCTGACAGTTATTTCTCTACAAGTTGATTTATAGTATTTTTTCCTCATTAGATTTACTAACGAATGTGTCATCATAAGTGGAACAACAAAAGTGAAGCCTCCGTGTGAACTACAGTTGGCATCCATGTCGGCTCTCACAAGCAAAACCTCGTCACAGGCTTTCTTTTTGCGCACTCTTAAGGTCATCATACAACTGAGGGATGCCATCAGATTATCACGCACCAGAAAAACTGGTATGTGAAGATTTTATGAAATGTCAGACCTCTTCATAATGCAGTACCTAAGAATGTAGGGTCTTCATAATGCAGTACCTAAGAATGTAGGGTCTTCATAATGCAGTACCTAAGAATGTAGGGTATTCATAATGCAGTACCTAAGAATGTAGGGTCTTCATAATGCAGTACCTAAGAATGTAGGGTCTTCATAATGCAGTACCTAAGAATGTAGGGTCTTCATAATGCAGTACCTAAGAATGTAGGGTGTCACAAAAGTAGCAAAAGCCATATGTCAAGTGAAGCACAATAGTTGATCATAAAGAGCTTAACAGTATTCACTTCGGTTACCTTACTAACTAATAAACAAACCTCTCACTATTTAGTTTGGTGATGGTTAGTGTGTTTTTGTCGTGTGCAGTATTAAGATTGGGCTAGGCTTCAGTCCAGCACAAGAAAGTACTTGCGTCTCTCGGAGAGATGAGGTAAAGAGTTTGTTTACTCCTTTCCCTCTGGTCTAAGATTACACAGATATTTTTTATTGCCAAAAACTGAGTGATTGTTGTTTCTTGACAGGTACTCAACCAACCACTGTAACCAGTGACAGACAAGCTAGTGAGAATCAACCAAACACTGCAGCGAACCCAGAGCAGTCAGATACAGGAACTAGTGAACCAGTTGCAGAAATGGCTACCAATCAGCAAGAGCAGAATGCAGTGGTTAGTGAAGGACAACCTGAAGCTGCTGCCACCCAAGAACAAGTTAATACACCAGCCACTCAAGAACAGCAAGAACCAGTTCTCCAGCAAATCCAACAAGAACAGATCGAGAGAGATTTCGTTCCCGTTGTGTTAATTGATGTATCGAATCCAGAAGCAGACAATGCAGCTAATGCATCAGCTGTACCTCAGCCAGAGAGTATACAGCCCGCTGCTGAGGCAATGGATGTGGACAATGATGTTCCAGGTGAAGCAAATATGGATTGCTATTGTTTTTCATTGTGTTTTTATTAGGGCTAATTATTAAGGGAAGTAATTAAGGGAGGATGTGAAAAAGAGGGGTGCTGGGGGAGGGGAGGGTGACCTTGTCAGATGACTGAAAAAGCAACCTTTTGTCTCGCCTAATGTGTCATACAGTATTTTTAATGGAACTGATGAATTGACTGTTAAAATGTTACTTGTAAGTAAAAATTTAAACACATGATTTTTATGCCTTCGCCTCAATAAGTCAGGTGAGTTTATTGGTTTCATAAGTTTCTGGCTAGGCAAAACTGTTGCATTTTTAACGGAGTGGCAGTTCAAGAGAACAGGCTTGGAAAAAAAAAAAAAATTTTAATATGCTTTTCTTTTTCTTTAACAGAAACCACTGAATTGGGTAGTTTAAGTGTCCAATTAAATCTAGATGAATTGTGGTCAACGCTGTCTCAGTGTTTGATAGAGCTCGGTGAGACACAAGACACTCATGCTGTGTTAGTGTTGCAACCGGCAGTAGAGGCTTTCTTCCTGGTACATGCTTCAGCTGCCTCTGGAGACCGAAGAGAGCGTTCTACCACGCAGACTGAAACTCGAGAAGCCCAGCTGGCTCACTTGCATCATGAAATTGCACCACTCTCTCCTCTGCCTGCAGTACCAGCTGAAGGTAAGCCTAGGACTTTATATCTAAATCAAAATTCTTTGGTTTCCTACATAAACATTGCTGGAGTCCTATTATAATATAGCATTTCAAGTATTTTTAGCACATGTCTGTTAAAATGTATTCCAAAATAAAATAATTATATTGCTAAAAATTCCATCTTGCCATTTTTATTTGATTATCCAGATTTTTAGTCCAATTGAAACCTCTGTATATCTGGAGGTAGCAATTGGTGTGGCTAATTGAGGTAGCACTATAAATAATTACTGTATAGGTCTTGTAATATTTTCAGTGTGCCTATTTTCTCTGTCCTTCTACCCCTTCCCCCTCCTTCTCACCTTCCCTCCTCTTCCTGCATTCCTAACTACAAAACTGATTACAATTTTTCCCCAACAGATGGCGAAGGTAATGTGAATCCAGCTGGTACGAGGAAACGAGAAAGCTCAGTGTCACACGTTCCCGAATACAACCCTGGCGATACCGAGAAGTTCCTTAAGTTTGCAGGCGAGTGCATCATTTTAGCTTTTTTTTTTTTTCCCCTTCCTTTTTTTAATCTATCTTTCTTCCCCCACCACCACCACCACCATCTTATCCAGAAGTCTCCAGGTATTCTGGGCATAGACGATCCATCCATGAGATTGGTGTGTTTACTCTTCCCTCCCAATTCCTCCTGCCCGTTCATTTTTCTTTTCTATTTATGTTAACTTTTCCACTTTTACAATGTCACAACTTGATAAGGGTCCAGGACAGGACAAAACATCATCACTTTCATTTAATATATAGGATTGGGTTATTTAACACATTGTGACATTGTATCTGTAAATTAATTAACAAACATTATTGAAATACTTGTAGAATAGCATTAAAACAACAAATTTTAGTAAGCTATTCTGGCCCTTGGTGTTGCTTTGCAAGACATTTTCACTCTAGTTATGAGTTCTAGTGATACTTTGAATGATATAGCTGGACTATTAAACACAGCATTTGCACATGCTTATATTCAAAATGAAAAGTAAATGATCCAACATTTGAGAAATCATAATGAAACCATACTAAAAATTTCTACCACATAGTGTATCCATATGTTAATTGAATTTTTCGTATCTTCAGAAACACATCGCACTGTTCTTAACCAGATCCTACGTCAGTCAACGGTACACCTGGCTGATGGGCCTTTTAGTGTTCTGGTGGATCACACGCGTCTTCTGGACTTCGATATCAAACGCAAATACTTCAGAACTGAATTAGAACGTGCAGATGATGGCATGCGCCGAGAAGACTTGGCCGTGCACGTCCGTAGGGAGCATGTGTTTGAGGATTCCTTTAGGGAACTACATAGACGGTCCCCTGATGAGTGGAAAAATAGGTTTTACATAGTATTTGAAGGTAAAGTCAAACTACGTTGCATGTTTTGTGGAACCTCTTTACCCTTGGTTTGCAGTTCCAAAGTACTATACTTTAAAAATAATAAATTATAATATCATCTTTCTAAAAAGGTGTGTGGTATCTTGCTGCATGCCACCAGGCAACCATCTCCGGTTGTGATGCACAATTCAAGGGCTAATGCATTGCTGAATAGACATGGTGACCACTTGTGTAGACCATACCAAGATGCATAATTTTTTGTGAAACATTTGACGTTCACTTTGAGAACTTTCACACTTGAAAGGCAGCCCTATAAATTTCCCAGATTGTGTACAAGAAATCGGTATATCCTAACTTTTAATCAGCTCCGATTGCTATCTGCCGATACGTCCTGCTCAAATTGCAATACGTGATTGATACTTATTGATAATGAATATTTTTCTTTGTGGGCAATTTTTTTTTTTTCTATTTGAGGGTTAAAGGTTGTGTTAGGTCACCCCAGTCAAAGAGGAAGACTAATAAACACTTACTTTGTGAATGTTTTGTTGATGCTGTGTTTATTAATGTTTAAAAATAGGAAATTGTTTGAATAATTTAGTTTATTACATAATATTGTTTTGTATTGCAGGTGAAGAAGGGCAAGATGCTGGTGGTCTTCTTAGAGAGTGGTATATGATCATATCCCGGGAGATCTTTAATCCAATGTACGCGCTTTTCTGCACTTCTCCTGGTGACAGAGTTACTTATATGATCAACCCAGCATCTCATTGTAATTCCAATCATCTCTCATATTTCAAGTTTGTTGGAAGGGTTATAGGTAAGACCATATGTATTTATGTATTTAAATATTTATTTACAATAATTAATTGTATTATATCAATTAGTTACATCAATGTCATTTAATTGTATTAGTCCTATCCCTCTTCAACCTTGGCTTGGTATCATCATATTTCAGTTAATACACATCTTTTTGTTCCATAAAAATTATGATGGTCTGTAGGTTTGCTACAAAACTTAAATAAAATTGGTATGACAGGATAAGAGTGTGAACTCCCACTTTAGGGATGAACCACACGAGTGGGAACAGTCATGATGATCAAGATAGCCACAAGATAAACTTGGCAAAAAGAGTATTTCATGTGAGAAATAGAACACATTTACAAAATTTAACTGAGAATGACCCTCAGATGTGAGTTGAGTACTTTTAGTACACAAATAGTAAACATGTATGTGGAATGATAAGGAAGTAATGACCAGTTCAATCCATGGCTTAAAAAAGTTGACAAGACCCATAGGATTAGCAAGACATTATTATTGTGCTGTACCTGGATCAGGGAAAGATTAAAAAAACATTCTTTACAACCCATATTAGTCCAACACTGGAACATGCAGCTGCAGTTTGGTATCTGCACATAAATATCTTTACATCTGATATGGTCCAAAGTCATTCAGTTTGCATCATTTTAATAATGTAAACTGAAAATTTCAGTGGAACACAGTAGAGATTTTCTGAGCATACTGAATATTGGTTTGCAATAGAATTTGTGATAACACAGAAAAGGTATCTTAATGTACGCTGAAACTACTACTAATAGATGATTGAAATTGTTTACAGCCACTGGAATCCTAGAAAAAAGTACTTGTAATTTAGAATAAATTAATCAAAGGATAACTGATGAACCTGGCTGTAATTCATACATCAGACATTGAGCAGCAGTATCTGACAGACTGGTTGACCCTACCACCAACCAGGAGTCCTGGTCAGAGACTGCAAGAACATTAATCCTTGGAACCACTTCAAGGTAACATCAAGCTAAGGTAGCACACAATATCATCGTTTTTCTCTTAACCACAAATGGGTGGTCACACACTACACAAACTGTGCTGGTCATCTGTACTATCTCTAATGCAGTCTCTTGACTGATGGTGTAACGGTACAAAGTGCCTTTTCATATTTTTCTTTCATTGCCTAATTTTTAGGATTTTAACCCAATTGAGCCATATGTGAAGGCTGATAAATTTGTTGGTAATTGGGGGGTCAGTTATGACATTGCACATTTGCTTCCTACAGCATTGCAATATTTAACTATACTGCATTGATTTAAAGAATAAAACTTATATTTTTGTATATCTTGGTTTCAGCTAAAGCAATATATGACAACAAGTTACTAGAGTGCTACTTCACCCGATCATTCTACAAACACATTCTTGGCAAGATGGTGCGTGTAGTTGACATGGAGAGTGAGGATTATTCATTTTATCAGGGACTCATCTACTTGTTAGAGCACAATGTTGCAGACCTGGGATATGAGCTCACCTTCAGTACAGAGGTAAGATCTACAGCATTGTTGATAAAATTACCTATGCCATTCACATATTATATAAATGCAAGTCCCATTGTACACAAGACTGTTTGCCAATGTATTTTAAAGCCTTTCTAAGCTTAACCTAGAACGAGCTGGATGGTACAGCGACTGCCTCACTTCTTGCGGGTCAGCATTCGATTCCAGACTGTACAAGTGGTTGGGCACAATTCATTTCCTCTATCCAATTCCAAATCCTTGTCCTCATTTCCCTTCCAAGTGCCATGTAGTCACAATGGCATGGTATTTTTTCTCAATAATTACATTACTTTATTCACCTTACCTAATACAACCTAATATAAGCTAATACTGTACATCCTAATTTAACAAATGTATAGTGGGGAGTTTTAACAATTTTGAAACTAAACTTTGTCAAATAGTCTTGTGCACAATTTGACTACTCTTACAATGAAGACCCATAAAGTCCTGATACTGTGTTTCATAATTTGCAGTACTTATTTGTTCTTAAGACCATAAACACGTCTATTGGTAATTCGTAAAGGTATGTGCAGTACAGTATATTTGCACAATTTTATTTTTTTATTAAGTTTTAAATTAGTAAATATTTTAAAACCAGACCCTTTCTGTGACAACTGAAGTTTGTTTTTGGATTGTAGTCAGTTACATTGGAACTGGATAATACTGGATTATTTTAGTCTTACAAAGTAAGAGGACATAAAACACCTGCATCTTGTGGAACAGTCAAACTTTTTGGTTTGTCAGCAAAGGTGCTTCATGTCACGAAATGGGTCTGGCAACAATAACTAAATTACGAGCTCTTTTATCAACATAATTATTAATTAAAAGTTCTATATTCATTTTATATTTTCCTACTACAGGTTCAAGAATTCGGTGTAACTGAGGTTAGAGATCTCAAGCCCAATGGCCGGAACATAGCAGTTACAGAAGAATCCAAGATGGAGTATATACGCCTTGTATGTCAAATGAAAATGACAGGAGCCATTAGACAACAGTAAGTATCCATCACATTCACATATTCATTATCCTATTTCTCATTTTTACAATAATGGTAAAAGATTGAGTAAAGAGTATTTTTCAGACCAAGTTAGTAGGTAAATTCCAGTATAGTGAAGCATCTTTTAAACTCTTAAACCTATATCTCCTACAAATCACAGTAGTTTAAGAAATTTATATTTTATATTTACATATTTGATACTCAGATAAGTGAAATAGTCTACTGTAATGCAGCAAGTCAATAAATACTGCAAAGCAGTACTGTAGTATATAATATATTTATACTAAAGTATGCGATTAAATATATTCAATATTATTAAGCGTATGAAGGTGCTCAGAAGAGGAGAATCTGGTTGGCTTTTTTACCAGTCTTTACACAGTATGGCAACTTTGTTATAAGGATTGTTTTGTCTGTTGATTATGTAATGGCTAAGTCACTATGGGGTGCAATCAGCCTCAGTCCCTATGTTATAAAGGGTCTGGGGACCCATCTTCCCAAATTTTCCCCTCTAACTGAAAAAATAGCTTCGGATTTGGGGTCCGCTCCTGTCCAGGGCCCAGAGAGCCCAAACAGGTTCATATGGCTGTTGGAATGTTAAAGGCATAAATTAAAAATCTTATGCAAGACAAGAGATAAAAGGAAATAATAATGAGTGGAATGAGGCAAAGGTTACAGAATAGGCATGACAGAAGTACAAGCATTTTCATGGTTAAATAAAGGTTCATGAGAATTGTATATAGTGATGAATGGCTAAACATTGGTTATTGTTGCAAGTTGAGCCCTGGGCCAATGTGGTTATTGTTATTTGGTGGTTTTAGTTATCATCCATCTTATACTATGAAAATATGGTTAAAATACATCTATATAAATCTAATGGAGTTAACCAAGAGCATGAAAAAATTCAAGTGTTTTATTGATTACTGTGATGAGGTTATAGTGTACTAGAGGCCTGCGATTATTATAATGTGCTTCCAGATGACATTGATATAGTAGCAGCAAAGGAGTGGGTTGCAAGACACTTTCTTTGAGCTGTGCCAGGAACAAGGTTAAGTGCAGTATAGTACCAGCATTATAGTAAAATAAATGTTTAACATTCATACTATAATACTATCCCATGAAGCCCACATCAAAAGGATATCGTCAGTTGCATATGCGAAGTTGGTGAACATAAGAACCGCCTTTAGAAACTTGTGTAAGGAATCGTTCAGAACCTTGTATACCACATGTCAGACCAATCCTGGAGTATGCAGCTCCAGCATGGAGTCCATATCTCTTCACGCTCAAGAATAAATTGGAGAAGGTTCAGAGGTATGTCACCAGATTAGTACCAGAGCTGAGGAGAACGAGGAAAGACTACGGGAACTAAACCTCACGTCACTGGAAAAGGAGTTAAGCTCAGAGGAGGCTCTTGTTTTGTTTAAAAAGTGTCATGTGACACTTAAATGTTTTTTTGTACATAAAATTATTGAAGAGGTCTGGAGGACTGACCAGTTAATGTACTGTACTACTACATTTCTGATCTCGATCAGAAACGAAGTGATCAGTATGTATCTTAAAAAGGTGGTACAGAATTAAGTCGCCCAGTCATGTACTTGTTTGTGGAATCATGATAGCATTTCTGTCACCTTTCTGCTGTATTGTTGTCCACACCATGAATGCCTGAGACCAAATCCTCTTCTTTAAGTTTTCCTGAGCGTACTTTATGCAGCCTGTGTGATTTCTCATTGAAATTCTTATTCTGATACTTTCTTTTTTCCAGGTTGAATGCCTTCTTAGAGGGCTTCTATGACATCATTCCTAAACGTCTTATATCCATTTTTAATGAGCAAGAATTGGAACTGCTTATATCTGGGTTACCCACTATAGACATTGATGATCTACGTACTAACACAGAATACCATAAGTACCAACCAAACTCCTTGCAGGTAAGATTATATTGTATATAATTTGATCCTGGCATGTTGTTCTCTCACAAATTCTAGCATGCCCAACCAGCCTATGTTTGTCCTGTACCTCAAGCCATTCCCTTTTCAATGTTGGGTGAGGTGGGACCTAAGTGTATGGCCTCCGACTTTGGACAAGACACACTCTTAAGAGAGCAACTATTTTTAGGTTTACCTCGTAGGGAAACGAGTTTGTATCATCAAAATCCATTTTTGTTTCTTTCCTAGTTTCAAAATTAGCTGAATTCTTGTGATATCTGGAAAGTGCCTTTGCATATTTGGGTCAAGATATTCGACTTGTGTACAGTATGGTGGTGCAAAAAAAGTCTATAGTTATTGAGCTGTGTAGACCCCAGTGACATATTTTAGAATAAATAAAAAAGATTTTAAGTGCAAAAATAATTAGTTATATTATAAATTATTTGTATTTCCCTTAAAATGTCTTCATTCTATCTCCTGAATTGTTTAAAAGCCTTGCATATCCTAGTAGCACTTAGGCTTTGGAAATTGTTCATATAATTAGAGTAATAAATGCAAATTTAGCACAATAATGTGAACCATTTTCATAAATTCTTCAACGATACATTATTAAATTCTTTGTTATAGATTCAGTGGTTCTGGCGTGCCTTGAGGTCCTTTGATCAGGCAGAACGTGCGAAGTTCCTGCAGTTTGTAACTGGAACCAGCAAAGTACCACTACAAGGTTTTGTAGCATTGGAGGGGATGAATGGTACTCAAAAGTTCCAGATTCACCGTGACGACAGATCCACCGATAGGTTACCTTCAGCTCATACCTGGTAAGTGCCTGGTAGTGTTCGCACGAGTTATATATCAATGTACTGTAATTTTGTATTTAACAGTCGCCAAATGATTAGCTTCATGAATTCAATAATTGTATTAAGAATATAATTACAGGAACTGTATACATATGAATATCACAATGATATAGTTGAAAATAAACTTAGCCACACAATGAAATGAATGTGACAGTTTCTCTCCTTGGTGTTCAGTCATAACTTGATAAGGGTTCAGCACAGATTAAAATGCCATTGCTTTCATTTGACAGTTGGGTTGTTTTACAATTTTGTAGTTTTTCTCCAGTAATGAATGACTGATTATTCAGCACATTTGTGTATCAAAGCATTTATTAAGTTTATCCTGAAAAATCTCTATACCCATATCATTTTCTCAACAGTTTCAACCAGTTGGACCTGCCTGTGTACGAAACCTACGATAAGCTGCGTCACTATTTATTGAAAGCAATTCACGAGTGTTCTGAGGGTTTTGGTTTTGCATAAGAAATTTTCATTGTTCTCACAGATCTAGCCACTAATTTCTAGTGACTAAATAAACCAAAATGTTAAAATTTGAAAGAAAAGGAAAAAAAAAAAGAAAAATGGGTAAAACTATCGAAAACCCCCTTGCTACAGTGTGTGCACAGTGGAAGCTTTAATGTTCACAAGTGTAGTCTTGGGAAGCAAAGGTTGAACCAATACCGAGACACACACAGACAAGAGTGATTAATCTTACTGGTGTAATGGAAGGTTCATCTCTAATATTGTAATACTTTATATAAACCTTGGTTATTGTGGCTGGAGAGTGGTGTGCGTGTGTGTTTGAATATCCCATTATTGTTTTTAGGATTCATTTTTATTTTTTTTTATTTTTTTTATTGTTTACTAATATATGATTAAATAGCCAACGCAAAAGGAACAGAATACCATAAGTACCAACCAAACTCCTTGCAGGTAAGATTATATTGTATATAATTTGATCCTGGCATGTTGTTCTCTCACAAATTCTAGCATGCCCAACCAGCCTATGTTTGTCCTGTACCTCAAGCCATTCCCTTTTCAATGTTGGGTGAGGTGGGACCTAAGTGTATGGCCTCCGACTTTGGACAAGACACACTCTTAAGAGAGCAACTATTTTTAGGTTTACCTCGTAGGGAAACGAGTTTGTATCATCAAAATCCATTTTTGTTTCTTTCCTAGTTTCAAAATTAGCTGAATTCTTGTGATATCTGGAAAGTGCCTTTGCATATTTGGGTCAAGATATTCGACTTGTGTACAGTATGGTGGTGCAAAAAAAGTCTATAGTTATTGAGCTGTGTAGACCCCAGTGACATATTTTAGAATAAATAAAAAAGATTTTAAGTGCAAAAATAATTAGTTATATTATAAATTATTTGTATTTCCCTTAAAATGTCTTCATTCTATCTCCTGAATTGTTTAAAAGCCTTGCATATCCTAGTAGCACTTAGGCTTTGGAAATTGTTCATATAATTAGAGTAATAAATGCAAATTTAGCACAATAATGTGAACCATTTTCATAAATTCTTCAACGATACATTATTAAATTCTTTGTTATAGATTCAGTGGTTCTGGCGTGCCTTGAGGTCCTTTGATCAGGCAGAACGTGCGAAGTTCCTGCAGTTTGTAACTGGAACCAGCAAAGTACCACTACAAGGTTTTGTAGCATTGGAGGGGATGAATGGTACTCAAAAGTTCCAGATTCACCGTGACGACAGATCCACCGATAGGTTACCTTCAGCTCATACCTGGTAAGTGCCTGGTAGTGTTCGCACGAGTTATATATCAATGTACTGTAATTTTGTATTTAACAGTCGCCAAATGATTAGCTTCATGAATTCAATAATTGTATTAAGAATATAATTACAGGAACTGTATACATATGAATATCACAATGATATAGTTGAAAATAAACTTAGCCACACAATGAAATGAATGTGACAGTTTCTCTCCTTGGTGTTCAGTCATAACTTGATAAGGGTTCAGCACAGATTAAAATGCCATTGCTTTCATTTGACAGTTGGGTTGTTTTACAATTTTGTAGTTTTTCTCCAGTAATGAATGACTGATTATTCAGCACATTTGTGTATCAAAGCATTTATTAAGTTTATCCTGAAAAATCTCTATACCCATATCATTTTCTCAACAGTTTCAACCAGTTGGACCTGCCTGTGTACGAAACCTACGATAAGCTGCGTCACTATTTATTGAAAGCAATTCACGAGTGTTCTGAGGGTTTTGGTTTTGCATAAGAAATTTTCATTGTTCTCACAGATCTAGCCACTAATTTCTAGTGACTAAATAAACCAAAATGTTAAAATTTGAAAGAAAAGGAAAAAAAAAAAGAAAAATGGGTAAAACTATCGAAAACCCCCTTGCTACAGTGTGTGCACAGTGGAAGCTTTAATGTTCACAAGTGTAGTCTTGGGAAGCAAAGGTTGAACCAATACCGAGACACACACAGACAAGAGTGATTAATCTTACTGGTGTAATGGAAGGTTCATCTCTAATATTGTAATACTTTATATAAACCTTGGTTATTGTGGCTGGAGAGTGGTGTGCGTGTGTGTTTGAATATCCCATTATTGTTTTTAGGATTCATTTTTATTTTTTTTTATTTTTTTTATTGTTTACTAATATATGATTAAATAGCCAACGCAAAAGGAGGTTGGGAGTTCATTGCTGCCAAGCTAATATTTGCCGAAGCGTCATATGAGGATAAAGTTAGACACAGAGCTACAATGCTTGACTTGTTTATGGCGTAGAATAGTGTGTGGTATTGCCATATACATAATATACCTGAACAAATTTCTAAACCTTTAATTTTGGATTTGTCTCCTTTGACTGGATTTTCTCAGCATATAGTGTGTGCACAGATTATTGAAAAAATATTTTGAGCAGCTTTGGATATTTTATAAATAAATGAACCTTCCAGCAAATGTGATAGACATTACCACATTTCTCTGCCCAGTATACTCTTTACCCTTAAACTCACCTTTCCTATCTTAATATTCTGGTACCACTAAATTACCACTAACTCATTTTAACTCGCCACACCCACAGTAAATCAATGGTTCAATATCCAGGAGCAGAGAAATACATGCAGCTTTTATACTTGTACCAATGCAACTGCGATACTTGACCAGTTGCCACATAGTGCCCAGATTGCCACCTTTTACAGCTCACATCTTAAGTTCATGTATTTCTCTGCATTGTCCATCTACAGTGACCACGGAAGAAGTGGGCTCACATTCTTTCAGTATTTGAAAGTTGGTAAAATCAAATTTGGACAAAAATCTGACTAATTTGTTATATGGGTGATAGTGGAAAATTGCTGTGCTTAAAGATAAAATGATCCTTTTCCTAACACATTTTGTTAGAAATCACTGGCGTGTGAACTCGTTAAAGACGTATAAATATATATTTATATAAAAATATACAAAATATATTTGTATATATAAATATATGCATTTATATACATATATTTATATATAGTTATATAATATATATATTATATAGTTATATATATAGTTATATAATATATATATGTATGTTATATAATATATACATGTATGTTATATAATATATATATTTATTATATAATATATATATATTTATTATATAATATATATATTTATTTATTATATAATATATACCTTCCACTAGTATTATCACTGAGCTGTATATTCTGGCCTCACTACTGCTGTACATATAATTAAAAAAAAATCCACTGGTATATCTAATGTGATAAATTTAGCTTAAGGGCTGTCTAATATTGCTACAAAGTGTTGAACATTATTGTAGAGATCATAGTGACACGTGGAGAACTCTTGCAGGTACTGGCAGGTTTCCATGAAACTTGGAATGGGCTTCTGAATTATTTTTCACCACCACCCCCAATTAGTTTCTTAGTAATGCCTCGTTTTATTTTCCACTTTTTTTATTTTTGGCGGCGTTATTAAACACACGATAAGCGTTGCCAGTATTATATATAACTACTAAAAACTCAGTAGCCAGCTATTGTCAAATTATGCATAAAAAAGAGAGAGATATTGATAGTGTTGCAAGTGTAGCAACAAGGAGGGTGGTGTTAGCAAGTGTAGCAAAAGGGGGGGGAGGGTTGTCTTCAAGTATAGCAACACCGAGGGTGTTGTTAGATAGCGTTGCAAGTGTAGCAACACACTGGCTGGTATCAGCAAGGGTTGGAAGTGCAACAACATGACGAGTGTTGTACAGTGTGACGTAGCGTGTTGGAGTTTTCTGGAGTTAGTAAACTGTTTCTGGCAAGGGTTGAAAAGAAAAAAACCATGTATAGTATGTTATATTAAATGTTTATAAATAGTTAGTGAACCTTCTGTCTGCTAGGTATTTTTTCATTTGTGAATGATCATTTATTATGTTCTTATGGGTTAATATTTTTTTAATTTACATGATGTGTAGAGACTGATTTGAGTTTATTATTTTGTCACAGTTAGCCCAGATGTTACATAGTGTATTTTATCACATATGCAACAATCGTTCTTCTACTTTATCATGTTGGCATTAAAATACACAGTATTAATTGGTTGAATTATTTATCCTTCACCAAATCCTTATAGTATACGTGATAAAATTTTCTGTATATACCTTTAACTTAAAGGAATGTGATTGTTAATTTAGATACAGCTTAGTTCTGGGAATGTCCTGGATTTGTCACGCTTTGTTTTCTCTGCCTCGAACTCTCGAGTTAGTAATACGTACTGTCAGCGAGGTCAACAATCATTGAAGGATCAGTTTTGTGCTGGACATCAAAGACCGTTGAGGAGGAGGCAAAGAATTTATTAAAAATGTATCGAGCCAAACATTACAGGGCAACCTGTTAGTCCCAGCAACAAAATGTTTTATGAAAAAGTATCCAGGCAGGAGTCTATTCTTTACAATGGCACACAGGACTAGATTAAGCATAATATCTTGCACCTTTTCCTAGTGTATTGCTCAACTAAATCCCACATACATAGCTAGCTAGTAGAAATGGATAGTATACAAGATACAGTATTACAAGTTGTGACCTGATATGCATTAAAGGTTAAAAATTCGTCCTGCATTACTACTGGGTCCTGAATGTGTAATGGCGTATTAAGCTTAAGCTCGAGCAGATAATGTGGTTTCCTTTTTCAGAGCTAATCACATTTTCATGCATCGAGATTCTATGCAAGTTCAATGAGCTTTTCAAAATTCTTGGAACCTGCAGGCTAGGCAGGGGTAATTTCTATTGTTATTGTCAGCCCAGAGGTACAATAGGAGAAACTAGCAGATGTGTGAAATACTGTACACTAATTACTTAAGATGTGGTTGGACGAAGGTGCAGAGTTTTTGGCACAAAATTGTCATGATCTTCCTTGTGGTGCTGGCAGACAATCATGTCACTAGCTCATCCCATGGATCATTATAGTGGTGACTCCAATCTTGGGTTGTTTTGAACCTTGAAGGGTAAATGCCACGATAGCAAGGGCAACATTCACAATATGACACAGTAGCAGGAGATGGCTGCCAGGTATAACCTAGGCATTAGGTTATCTGTAAACTTTATGGTTGCCAAGATTGATACACTATTAATCACTATACACTGTGCTGGACATCAAAGACCCTTGAGGAGGAAGCAAAGCGAGTCGCAATGCACAGGAAACCTTCACGTAGGCTTATCAAGGTTCACCTCTAGGCCAACTATTGACTTTCCCCAAGATACAGCCCATAACAGTTGTCTAACTTTTGGGTACCCATTTTACTGCTGGATGAACAGTGGCATTAGGCAAAAGGAAATGCCTAATTATTTTGCCACAAAACCATTTGTTCTGTGTGGGTACTGAACCCGGGTCCCTCAAATATGAGCTATGGGTGTATATTACTAGTTCTTTAATTTTGTTTACCTCTCCTTGGCATGTATTTTTAAACATGGTCAGTGATGACCTTTGTAAACTACATTGTCATGAAAATTGAAACCATTTCTGGCATAGCACACAAATTTCTTCATTTGTTTCATGTGGGGAGAAATAGGTACCACTCTTGATCCGAAACCTGATGAACCCCACGTCCGGCCCGTGGTCACCCTCTCACTCTACGAACTCCACACTTCACAGGTCTTTGGAGATCATTTTCCTTCTCCTTCCCTGTTGCATTTTCTTCTCCATCTTTACTAGATACTACTGCACGAAGGGAAGGCCCCACCTAGACTCCCATCATACACCCTCTTTCAAGGTGCAGAAGTTAGGGTCAGGGAAACCCACTTTTTATTTCTTGTCGTTTTATCACTAGTATAAATCTGTCTAACTTACTCTTGCAATTTATGCACATGTTAAGTACCCAGAAACTACCTGGACACTGTAATTTGATTCCTGGTAATTATGCTTCCTGAACCAGAATGGTTAACCTGTAATTGTAACCTATTTAATATTCCTGAAACCTTCAATATATAAGCGTAACAATACTCAGTATACATATAACCCATGGGAAGGTTATATTGAAACTTTCAATATACATGCTAGGAAACTGGTCAAATTAAAAGTTCAATGGAGAAGTTAGGATTACGTTGTATACTGAATTGTTAGCTACACTGCCATAAGTAATTGCTTGTACGACGAGGACTGCACTCTTGACTGCTTCAACATATACCAACTCATTTAATGCATCTCGAGTTATCTTGAGATGATTTCGGGGCTTTAGTGTCCCCGCGGCCCGGTCCTCGACCAGGCCTCCACCCCCAGGAAGCAGCCCGTGACAGCTGACTAACACCCAGGTACCTATTTTACTGCTAGGTAACAGGGGCATAGGGTGAAAGAAACTCTGCTCATTGTTTCTCGCCGGCGCCTGGGATCGAACCCAGGACCACAGGATCACAAGTCCCGCGTGCTGTCCGCTCGGCCGACCGAGGCTCAAGAGAGTGATGCAGAGGCTTTTACGAGAGTTATGCAGAGGCTTTTACGAGAGTGATGCAGAGGCTTTTACGAGAGTGATGCAGATGATCAAGAGAGGGATGCAGAGGCTTAAGAGAGGGATGCAGAGGCTTAAGAGAGTGATGCAGAGGCTGAAGAGAGTGTTAGAGGCTTAGGAGAGGGATGCAGAGGCTCAAGAGAGTGATGCAGAGGCTTAAGACCGGCCCCCGCAAGGGAGCCGGTCGGCCGATAAGCATAGCGTAGCATATCATATCTTTTAAGATATGCATAGCATATCTTAAAATACAAAATATTTACTTTCTCTATTATCAGTAGTGTTTCCGTACAAATACCCCAACACATAAAATGAGTTCATTAGACAAATGAAATCGTAGTATAACACGTAATTTTGGATTAAATTAAAAAAATTTTATTTACCCAAGGACGTTAATTAAAGAAAACGGAGACCATGACTCAGCGGAGCAAGTGACTGGTCGCCGGACGACAACACAGCAGTCAGCTGCGGCCTCAGGAGGTGGAGCAAGTGTTGAAATTGAAATTGAAATTGAAATAAGTTTATTGAGGTAAAATACACATAAAGGGATGAGGTAGCTCAAGCTATTCTCACCCCGTTCAGTACATCGTGTTAATACATACATATACACACATCACAAACAATAAACATTACCGAACATTCTGAGAGAAACACATTTCCTGAGGAAGTGTTCATGTGACCTGTTCCCACCGCAAAGCAGGGGGAAAAAAATACCTTCAGAAATGTTCTCATAATCTGCACATTTTGTAAAGGAGAAGAAAGCCGCAATAATACCAATCAGCGGCAAGTATCACCAGTAACACCTTGGCCTTCACAAGCAATTGCGTGGCATATAATTAATAATTCATTTTGACTGGGATAAGCAGCCTGAATAAATAAATAAATACATACATATATATATATATATATATATATATATATATATATATATATATATATATAATAATAATAATAATAATAAAGAGGCATTAGGTTATGGTGAACGTGCCCAACCATTTGTCTTGCCCAGGATTCCTGATTGTGAATCAAGAATGACCATGACTGCAGCAGTATCTGATTGGAGAAGCATCCCCATAGATCACCTTGTGTAACTATACTTGGATAATTACACTGTGGTAATTACCAGAGGGCCAGTCTCACTAGTGGCCTCGATGGGGACGGGATTGATTTTGTTAGTTTATTATGCACCCTATACCCATGCCAATTGTCTGACTATTTGGGGAGTTTGTGCAGATATCTCTGCAGAGTCTTGGTAGCTTTTTTTATTTTCCACAATACCATTTTTTTTGTAATGTTCAAATTTGATTTTGTGGTTTGTGATTTTCTCATGTTATTTATACAACAACAGAATGTTGGCCCCAAAATGGATCCATGTGGTACCTTAACTCACCTCATTTCTACATACGGATTCATTTCCATTTATAATGACCCTTTGCTTTCTTTGTTCTAACCATTGTTTTATTCATTTGTAACAGTGCAACTGTTTTGCACTCTTTCATGGTGTAATTGGGAGTTGTGTGTGTGTGCGTGTTAGGTGAGGAGTGAGCTGGTATAGACGAGCGTGAGCTAGCTCGAGACACCTGTCATCAGCAATTCTCCAACAAGGAGCCTTGTACTGGCAGGCCAGCATAGGTTGGTAAGGATTAGTTTTGACTGTCTCAGTCCTTATTTGTGCATGAGGAATAGTACAACCCCTCCCCCACCCCATCCTGTTTGGGCTGTGGAAAGGAGGGGATATATATGCTCTGTTTGGCAGTTTAGAGAGAGAGAGTTAGAGCAGAGACTTTGAGCCGATCAGCCAGCCCCTCCCGCTCTTTCACTGATGGGTGACTGGCACCCGACCAGATGGAATACAGAATTAAATCAATATGTTTGTTGATGATGCTAAGGTAATAGGGAAGATAAGAAATTTAGATGATTGTCATGCCCTTCAAGAAGACCTGTACAAACTATGTATGTACAGTACATGGAGCACCACTTGGCAAATGGAATTTAATGTGAATAAATGCCATGTTATTGAATGTGGAATAGGAGAACATAGACCCCACACAACCTATAAATTATGTGAGGAAATCTTTAAAGAATTCTGATAAAGAAAGAGATCTAGGGGTGGTTCTAGACAGAAAACTATCACCTGAGGACCACATAAAGAATATTGTGTGAGGAGCCTATGCTACACTTTATAACTTCAGAATTGCTTTTAAATACTGTACATAGATGGCAAAATACTAAAGAAATTGTTCACGATTTTTGTTAGATCAAAGCTGGAATATGCATTGGTTGTATGGTGCCCTATCTTAGAAAGCACATCAACAAACTGGAAAAGGTGCAAAGACATGCCACTAAGTGGCTCCCAGAACTGAAGGACAAGAGCTACGAGGAGAGGTTAGGCATTAAATATGCCAAAACTAGAAGATAGAAGAAAAAGAGGTAATATGATCACTGTACAAAGTAGTAACAGGCATTGATAAAATTAATAGGGAAGAATTCTTGAGACCTGGAACTTTATGAAGTAGTAGTCATAGATTTAAACTAACTAAACAAAGCTGCCGAAGAAATATAAGAAAATTCACTTTCACAAACGGTGGTAGACAGTTGGAACAAGTTAGGTGAGGTGTTGGAAGCCAAAACCATCAGTAATTTCAAAGCGTTAAATGACAGTGTGCTGGGAAGACGGAACACCACGAGCATAGCTCTCATCCTGCAACTAAGGTAATTACAGAGGTTTTTCCTTGACTCTTAACTGAGGGATTCAGGATTAATCCCCTGGCAGGAGAAAATGATTGAGCACATTTCCTTTCACCTGACTGCTCTGTTCACATAGCAGTAAATAGGTACCTGGGAGTAAGGCAACTGTTGTGGGCTGCATCCTGGTTAAGGTCAGCACTTGGCCAAGAAGGCCTTTAATAAACCTAAGTGCAGGCTTCCTGTCCCTGATAATGGGAATTTGAATTAACTAGAATTTTATATAATTATTGTTTGTAGATCATCACATGAGGTAAACATGTGTGGAAGATCTGAAGTGAGAGCTGCTGGACTTATCATCTTCCGACGGGTGTCGGCACAAATAGAATATCTTCTGCTCCAAGCATCAAGAAAAGAAGCCCACTGGACTCCTCCTAAAGGTTACTATTTTGATAATATTAGTAAATTAATATACAGTACTGTATCAGCATATTTTTGTTGTAGCCAGCTAGAATTTGCTCTTAGTTTCTATCTTTTTTTATATGGAATTCATAACCATACTTTCTTTAATGTCCATATTCATTATAATACCTGTTATCTGGGACTGGAAGGCTATACTTATGTTTATCAAGGTACCTCTAAGCCAGGGATGGGCAACCTTTTAAAGTGTGTGCCAAAATTGCCAGATCTTTGATGCAAAATTTTCTTGTACCAACCAAAATTTTGGGGAACATTTCATGCCTTTTAAATATTGTGAGAAGCTTTCAAATAATCAAATATCACAACAAATCAAAGCAAAAGTAAAATAAAAGAAGTAAAATAAAAGAATATTCCAAGTGATTATTGTATGTCATGTAAAATTTAGTGACAGAATTTTTACTTAAAGGTTGCTCTACTCTGTTAATAGCATGGATGTTGCATCCTGGCAATGATAGTCATTGGCCTATGAGGACCTTGATAAACCTAAGTCCAAAGTTCCAGTCCTCGACAATGGGAATTAAATCATTCTCAACAGCCTACACCATTTTGTAATACTGGGCATACAGTATTTTTTTTTTTTTTTTTTTTTTTTTTTTTTTTTTTTTTTTTTTTTAGAATTTTTGTGTTGAAACAAAATAAATTAAACATGTCTCGGGTGTAATTTCTGCTGTCCATTTCTTTTGCTCATAATTCTCTGTTGGTCACTTCCTTTTCACATGTGTGGGTTGTGTAGTAATTTTCAGCCATGTTGTTATAACTTATTCTCTCTGTGTGGATTTAGTGTATTTGAACGCAGCTGTAACTGTTATTCTTTTGACCTGGAGATATATTGCTAGTCATTAACCAACAGGCCATGTTGATCCTGGTGAGTCAGACTTGGAGGCTGCTGTTAGGGAGACGCACGAAGAAGCAGGACTTGACTCCAAACAGTTCACCATCATAGAAAATTTTCAAACGATCATGAAGGTGGGCAATTATTTTAAAGGCATATAATAAATGTTTTTTGCATTTTGTGGGAGCCTATCTTAATGAATGAAGGAGAGGTGTTATGAAATACTTTGTTATACTATTGTCTAACTGCTGTATATCTATTAACTTTTGTTTTATGTAAACAAATGTTAAGAACATGCACAGACATGCATTGTGAACTCATGATCGAGGGTCCCGGGATCAATCCCCAGGTGGGACAGAAATGGTTGGGTACATACCCTGTTCACCTAGCAGTAAAAAGGTACCTAGAAATTGGGCAACTATTGTGGGCTGCATCCTGAGAAAGGTCAATAGTTGACCTAGGACAGAGTTTCAACCAGGGGTCCAAGAAAGAATTTTAAAGGGTCATGGGATTAATACCATGTACTGTATTGTATAATACTTTAACAATAAGAACCATTTGTGCGTCTATTTAACTGAATGTTTCGTGTCATCGTTTATGTGAATTTTTACCTAAGAGCAACAATGACGTATGAATATATGTATTTGTTGCAGCAATGGCTACTGTTAATTTTCCTAGCTAGTTTGTTGTAGGGTCCACAGGCAAGAATGTGGTTGTGGAGGGTCCACTGAATTCTGTTCCATTGAAACACCATTCTGGGTATTTAGAGGATGTTGTTCATGTTGTAAATATTATTATGTTCTTTTGAATAGTAGTCTTAATTTTTAATACATACTCTGTACTTGAATTTATCTAAAAGGCTTCAGATATTTTATCTATTTCAGTACACTGTGAACCGAAAACCAAAAACTGTTGTATTGTGGCCAGCGGAGGTGAAGGATCCCACAGCAGAGGTGACAATCTCTGAGGAGCACGTGGACTTCCGCTGGTTACCGCTTGCCGAGGCCTGTTCACTTGCCAGTTTTCCAGAGATGATATCTGCACTTCAGGAATGTGACGAATTTCTTAAGAAATATTATCAAGAATAATCATTTTAATACCTCTTAAGATTCTTGACTGGGTCTTAAAAGACATTTGTATTTAAATTGTTAACAGATTAAAGCATGAAAGAAATGTTTTGGGATAAGTATCTTTGGATTACACTGCCCTTTTCTCTGTTAGGTAATTATTTCTGCTGTAAGTTTAAAAACTTTTTGTTAGAAAATTTACTTGGCAATACTGGATGATATTTAACTTTGTCCCAAAAACCGATGGTATTGTCTACATCTTCACCTACTGCAGTCAATGGCAGCTTTATTTCGTTAGTTTAAATCTATGACCTCTTGTTCTTGAAGTTCCGGGTCTCTGGAATTCCTTATCAATTTTATCGATTCCTGTTACTAAATCGATGTGTGTGTGTGTGTGTGTGTGTGTGTGTGCATGTGCATAATTGTGATGAAAATGTCAAGGCAATATTAGGTTCCAGGAACAAAATTATTTGACCTCCCCTTCCCCCTTGCAAAAAGCCAACAATTTTCACTTCATATGAAAATTACTTTTAAGGAGTTGTCTGGTACAACTCTGATGCCACATAATTTCACTGGCTTGGTGCTGTCTTTTGATAATTACTTTCTATCCCTGCAACTCTTAGTCCTCAGAAACACCAGATGTTCAAAGGAAGAGTTATTTTCCTGCCCCAGTGCATTACATGCCGGAAGTTTAACATGGAGCTTCAACTTCATGTAGTTCTACACTCCATAGCCCTCTTCACAGGTGGGTCCAAGTCTGCCAATGGTGTTTGCTACTCTTCTCTTTCCTGACCCCTGTTCCTAGAGTTTATCATCATGGAACTTTATGTAATCCTGCATTGCACTTTGTCAACTGCTTTCCCGACATCAGCATTCCTGTCCCCTTGTGGTTGACACTCGCAGTGCCTTCCTAGCTCTGGAGTCATTTAACCCTATGTATCCTTGGTGGTAGAAATTCAACATTGGCCATTTCTTATCTCTAGCAGATTTAAGAGATGAGTTTTGTTGGGCTCCCAACCATATTGGTATTACTGTACCTTATATGAATGTGCTGACACTGCTGCTAAGGAGGCTATCAGCACTTGTCCTATCTTCAAAAACTGCATTCATTACTCAGATTTCTACCCATTCATTCATTCATTCAATCCGAGACCACTGGCAGGGTTTTCATGCAACTTAATTTCAAAATTTTCAGTAGTCTACACACAGTACATACTGCATTTCACATTTGTTTAAATACTATATGGATTATAATGTTTAAATAAAAACCTATATTTTAATTTTCTGGGGGTGGCTTCAAAGAGATTATGCACCAATGCCTCGGGATCAATACCGTTTCACCAGACATCTAAATTTATCAGGATACCAGTCATGCAGCAACATTAATAAAAGCCTAATTGAGAGGGGAAGCAGCACTGTTTATCCCAAAGGAAAATGACCAGTGCTTCTACAGAGGCACCAAAGCAAAATTTCTAGCATGTAATTCACTGGCACAAAGAGGGGGGACATTCTAGAAAATAACTTTTTATTTCCCAAAAGATTACCAAGGTAGGGTAGAAGGGTCTAAAACCTGTTCGGGAATGAAAATTATGACCTCCATACACACTATTTAAAACACTTGTTTGTTGGTTTGGGAGAACTTTAAGGAGGGCACGTCAAGGTTCTTCAGACAGACAGCGGAGCATACATAATGTCCACGAAGAGGCTCTGGTGCTGTGATTGACAGGTTGCCAGAGGAGGACATTTCCTATATTGTGTGTATAATGCACTATTTAAGTGACCACCACTGCATTTAATGATGCAAACTGGTATGATTGTGAATGTAAACTTTACAAACTTTTGAGGATGGGGCTATCTTGGGTGGCTTCTGGGGATCAATGGCCCGGTCTCTAGGCGGCCTGGTTGGTCGGCTGTTCACAGCCTGGTTGATCAGGTATTCTCTGGAGGTTTGTCGAGGTGTGTCTCGAATACTGAGAGGCCGGCCAGTTATGCTTCTTACATGTAGCAGCAATGTGTTTAAAAGTCTTGGGCCCTTGATGTTGATAGTTCTCCCTCAGTGTACCTATTGCATCTGCTTTTCATGGGGTATTTTGCACATCCTGCTATGCCTATTGGTCTCAAGTGATATTTGTGTTCAGATTTGGAATCAGTCCCTCTAAGATCTTCCACATGTAGATTATTATGCATCTTTCTCACCTGCAGTCTAGAAAATAGATTCAAAACTTTTAACTTGTCCCAATAATTAAGATGACTTTTGTATCATTGGTATGGCATCCATTGTTTGGGAGGTTGTTATCCAACCTGCCTATTTTTCTTGCAGTTGTGACTACTACTTTATGGTGTTCTATGAAGGTTAGTCCTGTGGCCCATTGAAAGACCCAATTTACATCTGATTGGAGATTGATTGAATATTGTCTACTCGCATTAAAATCCTGGTGTTGTCTGCAAATGATAGCGTTGTAGTTTGTATCCTTATTTGTATATTAGGATGAGAAAAAGTACCGGAGCAAGTACGGTACCTTGGGGAACTAAGCTTTTCACAGTAGATGATCCGGATTTTACTGTGTTGACTATTACATTGTTCTGTTCGTTAGGAAGTTGAAGGTTCTTCACCAGTAATTCCTTTTGTATGCACCACCACCATGGTCACATTTGTTGAAAGCTTTTGCAAAGTCTGTATATTACATCAGCATTTTGCTTGTTTTCCATGGCACCTAAGGTCACGTCTTATCTAGCAACTGTGAGAGGCAGGAGCACCCTATTCTGAACCCAGGGTTATGTAGAAGTGTAATTACAGATCACATGGAATTGCAACATCATACAAATCTTTGAAAGTGCCAAGAAGTGAGGTTAGAGCTATTGGTCTATAATTGGGGGTACAGCACTTCTGCAAATTAAGGGCCTTATCACCAAACTTCCAACAAGTCTTGCACTAGTGTGGGGAGAAATGGGATTTATACGGGCCTTTATGTACATCAAACACTTAAGTGTGAAAGCCACAGACAGTTTTGGTCCCACGTCAGCCTAATGGAACTCCAACGAAGCATGCTGGGTGTAAAGCACTAGTCCCTTCGTCACAACATGGTAACTGCTATGGAGTTTTCCCAAACAATTTTTTATATGGGTGGGAGGGGTACAATTTTTTTTTTTTTTTTTTAACCGTTTGGAATATGAGACTGATGTACTGTATTGAGAATTTTCCAAATGAATGTGCATTTCACCATTTTTTTGTCACTAATGGGAGGTTTAATATTAAAGTTGTGCATACTATCTGCTAAAGGTACTATATATGTAACATACATTTAAAGCCATGAAAATATTAAAGATTTTATTAGTGAACAAGAATATTAAATGGAATGAGAGTAAAAAATTAAAGTGCAAACTAGTAAACTATTAAAAAAATTAAAGTGCAAACTAGTAAAATTGCATTATTTAGACATGTATAAAAATAAACTCCATATTCTCTATACCATTCTGTGACGAGTGTCGTCTGACCTACACTTCATTCACACTTTCAAGAATATGAACCACATCCTTGGAAATTTATTTTTCGCTTTAATTTCATTATGCCAGAACACAACCTTGATGACCCTATGTTAAATTTTTTAAGACCTATGATATTAAGAATTGATAGACCTACATTGTCTAGACTTGTACCATCTAAATCATATGCAGCCCACCCCCATTGAAGTTAGACAACCATGCAAATTAACTATAACAGGAGCATGCAAAAATTTATATGGGTTTTATGTCGAGACAAATTTGAGTAACTCGAATTTTTAGTAAAGTTAAGGTTTGACTTCAACTTAGTTTTTCGTTCTGTGCAATCTTTTAACCCAAACTCCTATTCGGGTTAAAAGTCAAAATGCGTCAAACTAAATTTAATCCAGTTGGATTACAGGAATCAGAATTACCGAGCTCTTTCAGTACTGTACTAATTAATTTTTAGATGGGAGCCAATGGTAGCTTTGTTAGTATAACAGCAAGGTAATATTTTATAAATTGTTAACAGCTTATTTATTAGAGAAAAATATTTTAGAGGTCATCATGAATAGCCGTGTTCTGAGCGAATCCCTATATAACTAAATGCAGATAATCAGCAACAAATGCCCGCAAAATTTTGTTAAAGTTCTGAATACTGGGATAATGAAGGGCACTCTCGTTGTCGGAGCTCTTGTGCCATACTGAAGGGAAAGGTACGGGAATCACATGCACGACAGGAACACCTGAAAAAATTTAAAACAAAAATTAAATTCAGTTGGCAAATTTGATTTTATAACAGTACGGGAAACTTTCCTCACCTTGCTCCTAGATACTTATTGGGCTGTTTTTTCTTTTTTAATATATGCTCCCATGCTGCCCGAAACACTTTGCGTAATAATGGCTTTAGACATTGTATGTACTAGCTCTATCTATAAATCCATCAACTTTTGTACCTTACCTGAATAAAAATTTATTATTATTATACTGTACATATACACAAGAGTTCTTACATTATGCGTGCTAGTGGCTGTACAAGAGTGTTACGGGAAAGTCCTTAATCCTAATTTGTTATACATAAACTGGAAGTAGCCCATTGCAACTAACTCCCAGGTACCTATTTACTGCTAGGTGAATAGATGCATCAGGGTAAAGGAAATTTTGCTTAGAAAATATCTAGCATTAACTACAGTATATTGAAACCTCCCTTCTCTGGGAGAGCTTCCTCAGTGACATCAAGAGCTAGGCACCTCATTAGCTCCAGGAAATCACAGGAGCTAATGAGGTGGCTAACTCATTATTATTATGAGTTAGCAGTTTAATTAAGTTCACCATTATTTTCAGTAGCCCCCCCCCCCAAGCTTCCTAAGCTTAGCATTAATACATGTACCACCAAACTCAGAGACATCTGTTAAAACTTTAACTATGCTTGGAAACTGAAAAAACTATATTTGTAACATAAGCAATGCGAGATTGCTGGACTGTTTCAAGCGTTATTGATTTTTTAAGCTGGACCTGTCACAGGAGTTTTCATACATAATTGGACAATTCACCAAGAAAAAAAATCTAAAAAATTCTTACTTCTTTCAAGAAATGGAATGTGATCATCTGCAATACCAGCCCCATAAAACGTGTCTTTATTAAACATGAAACGACGTCTATGGAGTAACTGTAGATCATTCAGACGTCGTTCATATGACATGAAACGAGCATACCAACGGTCAGTATTTCTGAAGTAACTGGAAAACTTTACATCTTTCGTTCCCAGAAGATCCAACAACACAAACAAGTCCTGGAAAATATATATGTACATGAAAATGTGTATGTATATATATACAGTAATATACAATAAACAAAATCACAATTGCATGATTTACCTGGGAAAATCTTCAGAGCAGGGCATCGAGACCAAACGTTACTCCAAAATCATGCCAGACCTGGTGTGGGCCAACAACATTTATAAATTGGATTAGATACCAGTTTGGTGTCTCCAAACTCCTTGAAAGCTCAGGTGGATTGTTTTCTTGCAGTCAAGCCCATCATGGTCTAATGAGCAATGTACTGTACCTGCATTTGGGGTGACCAAGGACACTGTCCACCACACTGCTCTAAAGATTCTCATTATACACAGTACCAGTAATGAACATTTTGACATTGATCATCTTTACTGTATAGTATTTATGAAGGTGGTACAGAGGTTCATAATTTGAATGCAATAAAACGCACATTAATACAAAGCATACGAGGTATTACAGTATGTACACTCACAAATTTACCTTCATGCATAGCATTTACTCAGTATTCTACCTAAAAGATTACTGCAATATGATAATTTTGAGTGTCAAGTGCAAACAAGTTGAACCTTAGTTAACGAACTTTTATAATTACATAGTACACTGTATAATACTAAAAAAATATTAAATGCTGTCAATATATCTATGGTATTTTCGGTCAAGTTAATTTAAATCACTTATTTTACAAAATATTTTATCAAAATTTATTATACAACTACAATGAATTAAAGTAAGCTCTACTGCACATAGCATACTGTACTTGAGAAGAAAGAGGAATAAGAGCAATGGAGAATGATGAAAAGGAGGAAAAACAATGTACCATTTAAAGTACCATAAAATCTATACTTTCACAACCCATTGGAGCTTGTTTAAATAATTAAAAATACCTACTATTCTATTAAGGTAAGTGGTGCCATCAGCATTACTCTGAGGATACGCACTGGCTTCCATCTTGGCTGCCAAGTTCCGTGCTCCATATAAGGAATCAGTTGCCGACCACTGGCGGAAAGCTTCTTCCCCATCAAAGAATATGAATTGCAAGGTCAGATCTGACTGCTGAAAATTAAGATTCTGTAGTATTTCTCCATAAAAAGCAATTGTACAATACTCAAAAACCAAAGATTACATATAATTGGCAAGTTTATTTTCCCAATTTTATTGAAAACGTATGCACAAATATGGTTAATTCTCTTGTGCAATTTCCTAAGGCTTGGAATTACCAGCACTTAAGCTATGAGAGCTACTGAGAGGGGCATTCCCCTATAAATACTGTATCTATACATTAATTTATTTTTGTAATCATATACTGTACTGTATTTATATTTGCAAATATAGGGCTACCATTTTGGTTTTCTGACTAGTCTCCTGGCAGTTTACTATTTCCCTAAGCTTTCATTCACATTAAAAATAATAATTTGTATAAAATGTACTTTAAACATTTTACAGTGGTTAATTAGTAGGTATAGAAACTACATAGTAGATACACAAACCAAATCTGGCATAACTAAATCCAGTTTTAAATTTTAAATGACATATTAACACTATAATATAGTACCTCTTTATTCCATACATTCCTGGGATTTGCAATAACTTTTAATCTATTTTCATACACGAGCTAATAACCAGAATATGACAGCTGCCAAATGTAATTTAAAATTTTAATGTATTAAAGTCTCCATAAATTATAAATGCTGCACTGTACTCACAACTGTTGGGACAAAGGTAAGCTTGAATGTACTGCCTCTTTTAGCACAACACCTAATTTTCCCGAAGCATTGTAAGGGTTGCCTTGGCATCGACGTTATCCTGGATAAGTTGTGAATGAAGGTATGCCCCTTGTGTTTTACCAGAGTGCTGTTACACACATTAACATCATGCATGTCTTCTTCCTTGTTCCTACCCATGATTCTCATTCTCATTTTGAACTTCATTAATAATTTCTGCCGCATAGTTTTGGTGCACCTAGGCTTTCTTATTCGTTTCTTCTCTGTTATCTCCTTGGTCTTTTTCTTCAAACACTACAAACAGAGAATATGTTTGTAGTGTTTAAAAACTCAATATCTGAATGAATCCCAATTTTCTATCTAGTCAACGTATGGTAAATTTCTCAACCTCTTATATGAGGGAGAATGATGAGCTATTTCAGTAAGAAAACAGACATTGCTTAAAATTGTGTATCACTTGCTTAATTCCTTCAACAATTTTTATGTTAGCTTACCTAACAGTATTAAGTGCTACCTTAATAAATCTGAAACTATACAAAATTTTACATTGTCAAAAATGCTGTGCATAACTAGTGGTTTTATATAATGTATAATTACTATGTAACCCCTAATATGGTCACTATAGTGTATGAATAAAATATATTATATAAACAAGAGATTTGAAGTCATACTGCTTCCCCAGCATGCCTCCTACCACTCTTGGTTCACTGTGCTCACCCATATTGCAATACCAGTATCATTTATGAGTACACAAATAATGTTCTGCATATTTTCTTACACCCAATATGATTTTATCCCAACACTTCTCCCAATATTTATACTGTATTCATAACTTTGCTTGCTGCATAACTCAGTTTAAATACAGTATAGTATATTAGGAAATCCTGAATGTTCTTTATTAAAACTGAAGCACAGTGTAACCAACAGAATGAATTTAGCCTTTTCTTTCAAGGACAGATACATTTTCATTCCACTACACAGTTTATCTTTACTACTATTACTACTGGTAGATATCTTTTCAGCTAGAGATACATTTTCATTCCACTACAGTTTATCCTGACTACTATTACTACTGGTAGATATCTTTTCAGCTAACAAGAGATTCAAAGGAATATTTATGAGAATCTTTAGTGAGGATGACACTGAGGAATTAACTGCATGGTTTGGAGATGTCTAATCTGTAGTTCCAGGTCACCTACATGGTTAGGACATGGTCCAGTGTTTTTACTGTTTATAGCCATGTTCAAGTTTTAAGACTTTAGTGCTCTTGTCATGCTGATGGACAATGTTTTCATGTCTTTATTGCCGTAATTTTGGAGACAAGTGTGGATTTCCCCAAGTGCTTCTCGCAGCCAAGAGTCTAATGTGCAGTATTAGGATTGTGTTGCAAGGTGGTTCTTACGAGGCAGCATAGGGAAGCAGGTCTGGGAAACCACCAAGTGGAGTCAACTCAAGAATTTGCCAAATTTCTAACAATTCAATTATGTTAGCTTGTTTCCCCATTTAGTATTAAAGTCTTACTGCATTAAACTTATGAATTACCTAATTATGTTAATGTATACCCAAAATGCTCTGCATATTAGTGTCTTTATATACTGTAATATACATTGTATACTTATAAATACTCTTCAATCATATGTAACTGTATATGTAGAGTAGCAGCCTGAAATATCAGATTTCACAAAATTCCAGACCAAATCTACCCACTAAATTTTTCCTTCTGCTTCTGATTTCTAAGAATTTTTTTTTTATATACACTTGCATATAATACAGTACTGTATCTGGATTCCATGGAAGGCTGAAATCTGGATTGTCAGTTCATGTAATTTTCATCAAATTTCTTTTTCTTATTTTTTTCTAATCTTGCTCTTTTTTATCAATTTATTTATTTATTTATTGAATTTATCAAGCTTGTCACTAGGTAAAGCCCTAATTGGGTTTGTTACAATATAATGTTGCCCTCACCAGACCAATGCTTTCCACAACATTTTCATGGAATGGGTGTATGCCCCTGGAGTGTATATGGGAGTGGCAAGGAAAGTGCGAGGTGGAGCTGTGTAAAAGGAAACTTCTAGATTGAGATATTTGTGTGGTGGTTGATGACAGGACCCACTTCATTACAAAGTAACTAAATATGGAATAGATCCACAAGGGCCGTGATGAGGGTTTGAACATCACAGCCCTTGTGGATTTATTGATTTGATATACTGTATCTCGCTATTGTGATTTCTGTGTAACTAATTTTTTTTAATTAAAAAAGTTGCCAACAAATGAATTTATTGAAGTTATTCAGGCATAAATAGATACACTGAAATTAAAGTACTGTACTGTACATAAAATGTAAGAACATTCTTACATAAAATACTTGACAAAACCATAATGGTTTTGAGGATGGTGGAGCCATAGATACACGTGTGTAAATCTCGAAAATTAACACATGATGAAAAATGTGACTGTCAGACCACGGAGGAAGAATTGAAACAGGAATTTCCTTAAGTACTTTCGTATATTAATACATTTTCAGAAGGAATGAATGGAAGGAATTCAGAAGGATTCATTCCTTCTGAAGATGTATTAATATACAAAAATACTTAAGGAAATTCCTGCTTCAATTCTTCCTCCGTGGTCTGACATTTTCCCATGGATACATGTCTCATCAGTGAGGGACCAATTCATATGGTATTGGTTCAGTCCACTGAGGAGGAGAGGAGATGGAGAGAATAAGGCAGTGTGTGTTTGGGAAAAGAAATCTATTCATCGTTTCACTGCTATTTAAGCAGTCTTGCGCATGCCTGCCTACCCACCAGTGTCATTAGTAAGGAGCTGGAATGTGCTAAAAAAAGTGAAGTGGCTGAGGCAGACTCCATATGTAACTATAAATGTATATTGACAAAACCCATTAGGTTCTGGAACCTATTGGGTTCCAATTGATAACCAATCAATTAAAAGTACAGGCAGGATTCCATGAGCTATGGCTCATTGTTTTGTAACTACAACTAGTCAAGTGAAGTACTTACAGTTTGACGGTGCTGGTCAAGGTTCGCTTGCATGACTTTGGCAAGATTTAGCATCATTGCACATGGCACGGCAGAATCGGTAGCACCAATAAAGGTGCCCTCACGGTCAATTTTAGAGTCATAGTGGCAAGCCAAGACCAGATGGCGAGGAGCATTTGGGTTCAAATTTGCTATAATGTTTGTAAACCTCTTTTGTCCAAATGGGGTATTGTCATCAAACGCACTTTCTTCAACTGTCCATCCAAGATCACGCATAGTCTTTACTATATGCTGAAATAACATTACATCTGTTAGCTTATGCCAAAAATTACACACAGTATAAGTGGTCAAACCACTGGATATAATTAAAGTACCTGTACTGTATATGCTTACCAATTTTTCACTAACTTTAATAAATGTATGGATTCTCCAATTCTACCCTTTTTCCACCTCTCCTTCACTCTGCAAATAATGTTGTCAATTTAAGGAGAACTTTACATTTTCACTGTAGGATCAAACTTTCAAACCATTTTATTATCATCAAAGTATATTGTCCTTAACCCTTAAATTATGACCACGACCTAAACGATCAGCATGCCATGGACCTGTATCAAAATGGACCTGTATGGGTTCGAGATTTGCTCCTAGCTAACTTTTGCAATCTTCTGAAAAAGTTGGGGTTCATTATTCAGACTATTCTCTAAAGTCTTGTGAAAATGCTTTGGATTTTTCAACATGGTTTTGTTTCCAAAACAAAATGATAGTGTCAAAGAATGTATGTAAAGGAAATTGTCAAGGTTGATTTCCTTTATATTTTACAGAGAAACAGACATCAGAAAGGGAGGCCATGAAGGAACTACTTTGCATTACAAGTTCAATGTAACAAAATTACACTGAATATAAAGACACCCACAGACATCCATGGTGGATGTACGTTGTAATAGGGCCTAGGGTCTGCAATAACATCCTCCTATATCATGCAGAGTTCAAACCATACTTCACATTATTCTACTGCAATGATTTTGCATGCATATGCATATTATTATATTTTATATATATATATATATATATATATATATATATATATATATATATATATTATATTATTATATATATATATATGTCGTACCTAGTAGCCAGAACTCACTTCTCAGCCTACTATGCAAGGCCAAATTTGCCTAGTAAGCCAAGTTTTCATGAATTAATTGTTTTTCGACTACCTAACCTACCTAACCTAACCTAACCTAACTTTTTCGGCTACCTAACCAAACCTAACCTATAAAGATAGGTTAGGTTAGGTTAGGTAGGGTTGGTTAGGTTCGGTCATATATCTACGTTAATTTTAACTCCAATAAAAAAAAATTGACCTCATACATAATGAAATGGGTAGCTTTATCATTTCATAAGAAAAAAATTAGAAAAAATATATTAATTCAGGAAAACTTGGCTTATTAGGCAAATCGGGCCTTGAATAGTAGGCCAAAAAGTGAGTTCTGGCTACTAGGTACGACATATATATATATATATATATATATATATATATATGTCGTACCTAGTAGCCAGAACGCACTTCTCAGCCTACTATGCAAGGCCCAATTTGCCTAATAAGCCAACTTTTCATGAATTAATTGTTTGTCGACTACCTAACCTACCTAACCTAACCTAACTTAACTTTTTCGGCTACCTAACCTAACCCAACCTATAAAGATAGGTTAGGTTAGGTTAGGTAGGGTTGGTTAGGTTTGGTCATATATCTACGTTAATTTTAACTCCAATAAAAAAAATTTACCTCATACATAATGAAATGGGTAGCTTTATCATTTTATAAGAAAAAAATTAAAGAAAATATATTAATTCAGGAAAACTTGACTTATTAGGCAAATCGGGCCTTGCAAAGTAGGCCGAGAAGTGCGTTCTGGCTATTAGGTACGACATTATATATATATATATATATATATATATATATATATATATATATATATATATAAAAGCTGATTTGACAATACAGTAAGTCATTATGTGGAGGTGACAGGCAGCCAGTGATAATATTAAAACTCATAATTACCAACCTTCCTAACATTGGCATGATTTTCAGAGCCAACAACACGAGGTACAAGCATGGGCTGTAGAACACTTTGGAAGTGCTTCATGTCACTCATTCTAGAGATAGCTTGCAGCTGTTCATCACTCAGACCAATGCCTTCATGGGTCTCCTGCAAAACAAATATAGAGGATTTAAGTGTATTTATAGCATGCATACAGTATGTGTCCTTAGAATTTCACCATAGAATACGAGATACTGCCCACCGCCCCCCCCCCCCCCCCCACTACACCCACAGTGGAGGATGACACTAGACACACACCCTTCCACAGTAGTAGTAATTCAGCCTTGGGGGGAACCTTAATACAACCATGATATATGTTTATGTATACGTATATATATATATATCTATGTATGTATACACATGCACAGGCTTTTTGTCCCTGACCAAATTAATCATATTCTCTACACATTTAACTCATTAAATTACAGGGTTACTTATTTAAAAGAACAGAGGTTGCCAGAAGTAGCCACATAGAGGGGGCACATGTGGCCCCTGCCAGAGGCAGCAGCATAGAGGGGGATCCCCACAGAGGGCCCATGTGCATGGGTCCTGGAAAGTAATTAATAGCCAAGCTAGCAGCTGTCCATTTAATATGCAGTCTGTATCTATCCCATGGTGGTTGGGGGGGGGGTTGAAGGCTCATACCATGCACACTAATGGCCTTGAGAATTAAATATATTATTTCACTTATTTACTATTTACAGTCTACAGAACCATATATATCTATATATATATGGTTTATATAATATATTATAAGAGGGGGGTATCACCACTGGTGCAATTGTATTGACCCACAGCCTCGAAGAAGAAAATGAGTACTCAGAGAAGACCTTGTGGATTCTCACTGAACACTTTAAATCTTTTCTTCTCCTACCATCCCCATTGTTTTATTTTATTTTATTGCAATGGTACAGTTTGCAGATAACACTGCAAACAAGATCTCTTGTTTAATAAAACTGAAAAAGAAATTCCTGATATTTAAAACTCGTGAATAGCGAATTGAGCTTGAAAACTTTATCCTAAAATTCTAGTGTTGACAGAAAACAAGGATAATAAATGGGAAGGTAAATGTAACAGCCCCGTAAGTGCAATTATGTACTATGTATGACAGTAAGGTCATACATAGTACATACTTATTACACTTAGTATTAAACCGTACTGTTAATTCGGAGGATGGACACCAGGGCCTACACACGAGTCTTTCGTATCACCAGTGAATTTTAAGCACAACTACTGCTTCTTGCTAATTTAGATCACAACACCAAGAACCAGTCTCCCATGATGTGGCTATAGTAATCCAGCATCTGATAAGCCTGAACAACTAATTTCACCCTTAATACCTCCCACCTGCGTAAGCGCCAAAGTTTAAACATATGGCACACGCCATAAAGTCCAAAGTTGTGGTGCCATTAAGCGCAGGTCAGGGAAAGCACGTCGTACAAACATGACTTATTGGTCCACCACATCTGCCGGGAATGGCCTAAAGCCAGTTTTATAGCCCAAGTTGTATCGAGGGAGATTGAAATTGGTTGACGATAGAGCAGTTAACGTCCCCCCCCCCCCCAAACTGTAGTGGAGGAGGGGGGGTTCCACTACAGCGGACCACTACGAGCTGTCTCACCGAGAACTTCAACAAGATCTTGTAGATCTGAGGCAAAGTGAAATTGACACCAGTAATTCCATCTATCATCATACTATCATGCAAGAGGAGCCACACAGCTATGGTTCATCCAATAAAATCAGCAGACTTCTAGATGTTACTACTGCTCGGCTTAGACTCGGTTACAAGTATCTCTGGGAATTCTCATTATCTGCTGATTTAGACCTGACCAAATGTAAACTGTGTCAACAAAATTATTCGCACACCCTCCGTCACTATGTGATGGAGTGCGAAAAGATACGTGAATTTAGAGACAATTCTATAACCAATGTTCCAACTATGTGCAAATATTTCATTCAAAATGATCTGCTACCAGAAATTTTAGCCAAATATCCCCAGTTTGCTAACTGTAGGTAGTAACCGAGTGATTGTAACCTATCTACCGCTGCCCACTGGATGGGGGGCGGTGTGCAGGACAAACAAATTGTGACACTAGCTCTCCACATATGTCAGTTGCTTAATTTAGAACCTGTACTTGAGGTCGATCTCGAACCTATTGTTGATGTGACGACTTATATTGAATTTTGTAACTAGCTCATCAAGATTGTAACTTGCTTAGCTAAATGAATTGTGGGGTTCAGTCCCTGAGCCCATTATGTGCCTCTGTAACCCTTTCCACTACCGCCCACGGGATGGGTATGGGGTGCATAATAAATGAACTAAACTAAACGTTACTATTTTGTACGTAGTGATCATATCGCCTATTTCTTCTGTCTTGTAGTTTTGGCATACTTAGTGCTTAACCTCTCCACGTAGCTGTTGTCTTTCAGTTCCGAAAGCCATTTAGTTGCACGTCGTTGCACTTTTTCTAGTTTTTTGTTGTTTAAGAAATGGGGCATCATACAACCACTGCATATTCCAACTTTGGTCTCTCAAACGCCGTGAACAATTTCTTTAGTATTTCACCATCTATGTATTTAAAAATATTCTGAAATAGGAAAGCGTAGCATAGGCTCCTCGCACAAGGTTTCTTATGATACTCAGCTGACGGTTTTCTTTCTAGAACCACCCCCCTAGAATCCTAGATCTCCATCAGAATTTGTTAAGACTTTCTCACAAATTGTAGGTTGTGTGGTCTATTTTCTCCTATTCCAACATGTGCTCGCCATGTTGGAAAATTTTATATTGAGCGAGGCCAGGCGCGAGGCTGATGGTCGCTCTGGGGAAAGGGGGTTGGAAAACGGTGTAGATGTAAGAAATTGAGGAAGTGGCCGAGGTGGAGTGTGAGAGCGTGGCGTGATAGCAGCATTATCTCGTGGGTAAGAATACAGGTGACTGTGGGTGTACCAGTCTCCAGCAACACCAACCGCCCACAACACATTCAAAATGATCTACTTGACATTTTAGCCAAATATTCCCAGTTTGCTAACTGTAGGTAGTAATGGATGGGGGGCGGTGTACAAGAAAAAACAAATTATGAGTATCTACATATGTACGTTGCTTAGCTTTGAGACTACTTGTGGTTTGTCTTTTATGCAACAATACACATTACATTTTATAACTAAGTTATCAAGACTAACTTGCTTAGCCAAATGAATTTTGGGGTTAAGTCCTTGAGCTCATCATGTGAGTTAGGTCCCTGAGCTCAAACCCTTTCCACTATCGCCCACAGGATGGGTATGGGGTGCATATTAAATGAAGGAAAGGGAACCATCAGGAGAATCAGCCAAGTTTTTTTTTCTATACAAGGTTCTTTAGATCCATGGGGGTCTATTTACATACACGTTTCTTTAGATCTATTTGGGGTCATTATTCGGTCTAATCAACTTATAGAACACAATCCTCGGCTTTGCTACGAATATAAGTATTTTTAAACAAGTTATAATTTGAATCTACATATCCCGTCACGTTACTTACTGCCAGGGTCACGTCACGTTCCAAAACTGTCCTCCCATGTTTAGCTCTGTCCAATTTATCCTTCCAAAGAATTAACCTAGTCCATTTATATCACCTTTTCGGAGATGTATAGCATTGGCACCTTAATTTTTCATGCATAACTATTGCATGTGATAAATGTGTTAAATGTGATTTCCTTGTGATCACTGGTCTATTTCGATATCATTTACTATGGCCCGAAATGCATTGCGTAATAGTGGCTTTAGGCATTGTATGTACTAGCTCTATCTATATATCGATCCATTAATGTAACATTACTTGTATGTATGTACCTTACCTGAATAAACATTTATTTATTTATTTATTTACTTACTAGTGTCGACCTGTTAATAACACCAAGTCTAAAATATTATTTTCTGTGTTGACTCTTTAATGTTGTTTAAGGAAGCAATTAACTAATTCTAACAAATTTTCTGCTTCGGTATTCCCCGTTTTGTTAATTTAGTTCATTGACTAAAATTAAAGTCACGCCTCAATTTCTTATTTTGCTTTCAATTTGCTTAATTATTAAAACAGTCCATTTCAACTTTTAGTCTTGTGGCATATGTAGCCAACTCAGCCACCTCGTTAATCGTATTTCAACGAGAGATGGAATCCACAGGAATTTCCCTGTCCATTGAACTTTACTTCGCCTATCCTTTTCTTACAATACTCGACTACAGATAGCAATATTAGATTTAGACTTTAGCCTAAATCCAACAGACTGTGAAGCGCTTGGGGTATCTGGACGAAACAGAGCAGTGCAAAAGATGTACAGTGACCACAACACAGCAGTTGCAACATCAGGATCTGCGGGCTGGTACCAACTACGAACCACTTAATTTGATGAAAGGCAACAGTAGAGCAACAGGTAGACTTACATCCCATCAGGCTTGGATATCCATGTGCATGGGAAATAGGCTTACAGGTTCCGGAAAATGAGAGGAAATGTCAACACTGTGGAGAAATGCCCGACAGGCCACTGGAACATTATCTAACACAGTGCACAGTAACAAACTCATTAAGATTTCAACTTAGATTCAACAGAGCAGAAGTTGTTAAACACACATGGCAAAATCTTACTGAAGCGACCATACGAGTCAAATACTCTTACTCCGCCCAAGTACAACAAACAAGCAACACTTAGTGGGCCAGCCAGAGGCTTAGGGCCCGCGCAGGAATATCCCTAAAAAAAAAAAAAAAAAAAAAAAAGACGGTACGGAGAGAAGAAACGGTACCCAACCACTTGGACCATCAAGGATGGAACCTCGACCCTGCAAGAAGCGAGGTCGTCGTTGTACCCACCAGTGAGTAGCAACTATCAAATTCAGGACATAACGTTTGTATTCTCTGACTCGCCTCCCGACAAGGCAAACCTGTTTTTACAGCGTAGTCACCTACATTTGTACCTTTATGTTTTTGCCTTTATATATCAGCCATTATGGCCACGCAAGTATACGTAGTTTTCATATAAATAAATCCCTGTGATATACCTACATCTAGAAGCTTTATATACACTAGAATATACTGGGTTTGGTGTTGGATGTCGGGTCTGGAGGGTTAAGGCTACCACAATAGCTTAAATGTCCAATCAGAAAATATACTTTAGTTCAGAACTAATAAAAACTATATACGACAAAAGGGTGGTAATAAATTTCGACATGTATATCAAATATATTGGCATATATTGCACGCCCACGTTCAATATTTATATGCAACTAGCAACTTTCATAATTTGTGCATTACATATAACTTAGTTTAATATAGTTTATACATGGAACACAACCCTTCACCACTCACCTATATCGAACCCAAACCCACCATCTCTCTCCGCTGCCCTAAAAAAAAAAAGAGAGTTTGGGTTCGACAGTGGTAGTCAACATGTAGTTTGGACCCATGTGCCAATAATTATCTTGACAATTTATGAAGTCCACCGTAGTAACGCATCAACAGTCTACCCCAAATAGTTTTCCCAAGTCAAGTATGTGTATCTAGACACTAAAATACATCTCAAAGGGATAGAGTAGCTTAGGCTATTTCCACCCTCCTCTACTTCAAGTCCCTCAAGGGACGCACAAATACAGTGAATACAAACTCAGTTTTCCCACTGTGGTGGAGCCGGAGTGGGGGGGGGGGCAAGGTCCCATGCCCCCTCCCTCTCACCAGCCAATATGTTAGGAAATTACAGTTTTGTAACCCAGTTTCAAACTTATGTAACACGTAAGTTTACATCACACGACAAATGTGTTTCAATATTCGGTAAAAAGAAAATTTATTGTGAAATATTACATTTACCATTAATATAAAACTTTCTAAGGTACACAAAATGTTCAAAATTAAACTAGTCATACTTAAAATATTTATAATTACATTAAAACTTCAAAAGCACTTTGCGAGTGGAATTAAATCATTTTAGCAAAACAATAAAACGTTAAATTCACTATTCCGGATGTAGTTTTTTTATCGAAAAATTAGGAAATTTAACTTGCCTTCGCTGTGTACCAAACGCTTGGGCTCCTCTTGTCACATTTCTCCTCTGCGAGAGTGGAGTGGAAAAGAAGGAAAGCGTAGAGGAGGAAGAAGAATCCTGGGCACTTGGGATCCATCCTGCGAAAATTTCCCCCCTGGACAATGTTTACAGCTGTCTGGTCACAGCTGTTACTGGCGCTCCTCCTTCCCTTGTGATGGTGCCTCTGGCAACCTCTCACGCTAGGGACCAAACGTGTCTCTTTTTACCCCGCCATGCAACCAGATTTTCCCTGTTTTTGTTACGGCTAATGTTCTTGTTCTATAATGTTATTACTGGTATTATTCCTCTTGTTGCTATTGTTAGTGTTCCTGTTGTTGCTACTGTTATTGTTCCTGTTGTTGCTACTGTTGTTAATGCTTTTGTCAGCTTCTCACGCTATAGGGACCGCAGAAATGTCTGTTTTACCCCACCAGGGAGCTTACTTTAATGTTACTACTATTGTTGTTAATGCCACTGTTGTTGTTGTTCCTGCTGCTACTGTTGTTGTTGTTTCTTCTAATGTTGTTGTTCCTGCTGTTCTTGTTGTTACTGTTTCTACTGTTAAGAACATAAGAACATAAGAACAAAGGTAACTGCAGAAGGCCTATTGGCCCATACGAGGCAGCTCCTATTCTATAACCACCCAATCCCACTCATATACTTGTCCAACCCGTGCTTGAAACAATCGAGGGACCCCACCTCCACAATGTTATGCGGCAATTGGTTCCACAAATCAACAACCCTGTTACTGAACCAGTATTTACCCAAGTCTTTCCTAAATCTAAACTTATCCAATTTATATCCATTGTTTCGTGTTCTGTCCTGTGTTGATACTTTTAATACCCTATTAATATCCCCCCGGTTATGTCCATTCATCCACTTGTAAACCTCTATCATGTCACCCCTAACTCTTCGCCTTTCCAGTGAATGCAACTTAAGCTTTGTTAATCTTTCTTCATATGAAAGATTTCTAATTTGGGGAATTAACTTAGTCATCCTACGCTGGACACGTTCAAGTGAATTTATATCCATTCTATAATATGGCGACCAAAACTGAACTGCATAATCTAAATGGGGCCTAACTAGAGCAAGATATAGCTTGAGAACCACACCAGGTGTCTTGTTACTAACGCTGCGATTAATAAATCCAAGTGTCCGATTTGCCTTATTACGAACATTTATGCATTGATCCTTTTGTTTTAAATTCTTACTAATCATAACTCCCAGATCCCTTTCGCAATCCGACTTCGCAATCACAACACCATCTAGCTCGTATCTTGTAACTCTATCATCATTACCTAACCTCAGAACTTTACATTTATCAGCATTAAACTGCATCTGCCAATCCTTTGACCATTTCAAAACCCTATCTAGATCAACTTGAAGTGATAGTGAGTCCTCCTCCGAATTAATTTCCCTACCGATTTTCGTATCATCGGCAAATTTGCAAATGTTGCTACTCAAACCTGAATCTAAATCATTTATATATATTATAAACAACAGAGGTCCCAGGACAGAGCCTTGAGGCACTCCACTTACAACATTTTCCCACTCTGACTTGATTCCATTTATACTAACTCTCTGTTTCCTTTGGTATAGCCATGCCCTAATCCAGCTTAATATAGCACCCCCAATACCATGAGACTCTATTTTTTTAATCAGTCTTTCATGTGGCACTGTATCAAAAGCTTTGCTAAAGTCAAGGTATACAACATCGCAATCCTTACCACTATCAACTGCCTCAACAATGCTAGAATAAAAAGATAACAAATTTGTTAAACATGAACGGCCATTTATAAAACCATGTTGCGACTCAATTATTAATTTATGTTTTTCAAGATGAAGACGAATTTTATTTGCTATTATAGATTCGAGTAACTTTCCCACAATAGACGTTAGGCTAATTGGTCGATAGTTAGACGCAAGTGATCTATCTCCTTTCTTAAAAACTGGTATCACATTAGCAACTTTCCAAAACTCTGGCACTCTGCCTGACTCTATTGATTTATTAAATATGGTTGACAGTGGGTCACAAAGCTCCTCTTTGCATTCTTTAAGCACCCTAGCAAACACTTCATCCGGCCCTGGGGATTTGTTTGGTTTGAGTTTTACTATTTGTTTAAGAACATCCTCCCTGGTAACTGCTAAACTCGTCAACCTGTCCTCGTCCCCACCCACATAGACTTGTTCGGCTGAAGGCATATTGTTAAGTTCCTCTTTAGTAAATACAGATACAAAATATTTATTAAAAATACTACTCATCTCTTCATCACTATCTGTTATTTGACCTGTCTCAGTTTTTAATGGACCTATCCTTTCCCTAGTCTTAGTACGATATAACTGAAAAAACCCTTTAGGATTTGTCTTTGCTTGCCCTGCTATGCGAACTTCATAGTTTCTTTTTGCTTTCCTTATCTCTTTTTTAACATTTCTAACCAGTTGTACGAATTCCTGTTCTAAAGTGACCTCCCCATTTTTAATCCTTTTGTACCAAGCTCTCTTTTTACCTATAAGGTTCTTCAAATTCTTTGTTATCCACTTTGGGTCATTAGTATACGATCTATTCAATTTGTATGGTATACTACGTTCCTGTGCTTTGTTTAGAATATTCTTAAATAAGTTATATATTGAATCCACATCGAAATCCCCATTTAAGTCACCTATCGCTGGGTTCATGTCTCGCTCCAAGACCGGCCCACACCCCATACCCAAGCCTTTCCAATCAATTTGACCCAAAAAATTTCTTAGGCTATTAAAATCAGCTTTTCGAAAATCTGGCACTTTAACAGAATTTTCTCCTACTGGTCTATTCCATTCTATGCTAAATCTGATTTCTTTGTGATCACTGCTCCCTAGCTCACTCCCTATTTCGATGTCATTAATTTGCGTTTCCCTGTTAGTTAACACTAAATCTAAAATATTATTTTCCCGTGTTGGTTCCTTAATGTTACTGTTGTCGTTGCTTCTATACTATTACTGTTGTCGTTGCTTCTATTATTACTGTTGTCGTTGCTTCTACTACTGTTATTTTTGCTGCTTATATTGTTGTTCCTGCTGCTACTGTTGTTGTTGAAAAAATCCACAGGAGCCGTGGTAAGGATTCAAACCTGTGCTCGGTATTCCCCCAGATACCGCCCTACGCCACCACATAGTCAAATATTTGTTTTCTCAGTGTACTGTTGTTGTTGTTGCTACTGATGTTGTTGCTACTGCTACTGGTGTTGATGCCGCAATTATTGGTTTTGCTGCTGATACTATTGTTGTTCTGCAGCTACTGTTGTTCTTTCTGCTTCTTCTGTTGCTGCTATTATCGTTGTTGTTGCTGCTGCTTCTATTGTTGTGTTTCCTGCTGCTACTATTGTTGTTCCTGCTGCTACTGCTTCTGCTGCTACTTTTGTTGTTATTGCTGATACTATTGTTGTTCCTACGGCTACTGTTGTTGTTACTACTACTACTACTAATGTTGTTGTTGCTACTACTTTTGTTGTTGTTACTGCTATTGTTATTGTTGCTGTTACTGCTATTGTCGTTGTTGCTGCTTATGTCATTTTTGTTGTTGCTGCTTCTACTGGCAATATTGTTTGGTAGTGTTGTTACTGTTTACCGCTGCTGCTGTTGTTCCTGCGGCTGCTACAAATTTGTACTTCCCGCCCTTAAAAATATCCCTAGAGCTTGTCTCACGTTCGGCGTATTTCCCTAGTTATCAGCTGAAGAGAAAAGATGACAGTTACTGATTAAAGAAAATTTCTTATGTATTTAAAGTAAGTCTAATAAATGTTTCGTTAATATTATTCTTTATAAATTTGATTAGCTACTTTAGTATTATTTTATGAACAGTTTTAATGGTTTAAGATTCATTTGTCAATAAATAAATAAATTCAACAAATTAGCAATAATGTGTGATCAATGCCAGACGTACGATCATTCTAACGGTGTTGTTGACTTCTAGGTTAAATGCAATTATATTTGTACTTTTCTGTATATATTTAATATAAATTATAACATTAACCATTCTTTATCAAACCACTCACAAGATAGGTATTGGGGGAGCCTATTACCACTTACAGGATGGGAATGGGGTCCATCTCCACCCACCGGATGGGTATGAGAATTTACATTTATCAATTAGAATCCCTCCAGTCCCTGAGCCCATTATGTGCCTCTGTAACCCCTTCCACTACCGCCCACAAGATGGGTATGGGATGCATAATAAATGAACTAAACTAAACCTTCCAATCAAAGAATCAAATTAAAGATCAGCCCAAGCTTTGATCCTTAAGGTATGGAACTGCCTACCCGCAAAAGCCGTAAATGTTAAAACTCTGTTGAATATTAAAATCAACTAGAAAAAAATCATCAGGGGCAAATGGGTGGACCTTTGACAAGCCGCCGGCTTCCTGTCCTCGTCGAGGTCACAAGTGTTAGTGGCCCTCAGGTAAATTCAGGTAAATACTAGTGTCTCATTTTGTCACTGCGTAAAAATGGTATCTGTTTAGAACTGTATGACACCAATCAGCCCACGAGGCCGATGCAAAGAAAACGTCAATATTACAGAGCTTTAATGTTTACTAATACGTCGCATTTTTAACGGATGAGTTGATTCCGTTGCAAATGAGACGTATAAGGTGAGAGGACAGGTTGAAGCAGCCAGATATATCACTGTTCCCTTCACTGCCCTGTTGAAGCCCCTAGCCTGTGGCTAGGGGCTTCAACAGGGTTATAATTTATATTAACTAGCCTGTGGCTAGGGGCTAGGGGAAAACACAGGATCAACACATTTAAGGGTCCTGGTAGCTAAGTAGACAGCGCTCTGTACTCGTAATCCTAGGATCCGGGTTCGATCCCCGGTGATGGAAGAAACAAAATGGGTACAGTTTCTTTCAATAAATTTGGATCACAGGATCAACGTTAAATGAACAAAGGGTCAACGTTAAGTCAACACAGGATCAAAATTAAATCAATATTGGATCGACATTAAATTAAAAAGGATCAATGTTAAATCAACAGGGGTCAACGTTAAGCCAATACAGGATCAAAATAAAGTCAACACAAGATCAACGTCAAGTGAACGTTGCTTCACTCAGGGAACACAAGGTAACGGAACCATAGCAAGACGTCAGCACGTTAAGGCGTAAATATAGTGTTGTGGTTAGGCTGTGATGAAAGGCCGTGTTATCTCAGAGGTTGGTATGTATCAGTGGGATATGTTATCAGTGGTAAGAGAGAGTGATACGAATGGGTTACCACTGCCTCAGTTGTCAATTTAATCAACTCTGTAATCCCTCATACGGAATAGGGTATCGTTGATGTGTACCTAAGTGTACACATCAACGTGGTGAAGTGGTATTTTGTGACTCTAAAAGTGCTTTGCAGTCTTTAAATAAGCCATCACACTTAATGTCTGAAGTAGCTTGTAATATTTAATGGAATGTGATTTTGCCAATGACAAAAACGTTTGTATAAAATTTGTGTGGATTCCATCCCATGTTGGATTCCGAAAGCATGACTTTATACATCGAATTTGAATTTAAATGAATTTGAAACATTTAATGTAGTTATTAAAAACATACAGATTAAAAGAGATTACTTTAGATTTAGAAGAACTGAAAAAATGCCCAAAGATCTAAAAGATACAGCATTAAAAGCTATGGCAACGTGTGTAATAATAGGTATTTGTATGGTAAGCAGAGTAATCGGACTAGATAATGTGATATCATTGCGCGAATTCTCCTTGTTAATTCGTTCTCTTCACCTTTTTCAAACATAAGTGTGGTAATGGGTTGTTGTCTAATCTGAGTCATACCGTTTTCTCTCCCTCTCGTTAGTAGAAGAAAACGGGTCTTTTATTAGCAGTCATGGGTTTCTTCTGTCTTCACTAACATATATTTCAAGGAAGGTTCCAGGTACACCCTTGAAGGCTAGCGGACATCTGGACACTCTACTGCTCTGCCTGGAAATCGCCGGAATATGTGTTGCGATTTTACCATTTAGGTCTCGATATTGTCTTCAGGCATTCCTCTTCAACGGTCCGCATATACATGACGCCTGGCGCGTCAATCCTCTTCGTCTGGGGTCGAAGAAGTTGATATATTTTTCCGTTTTCGGTTCGTTAATCCGGCAGAAACAAAGTCCGACGCCGAGTTAGTGGGTCTTGGAAGATTCCTGTGGCTTCAGGTAGCCATGATGAAAGACAAGGCATATGAGAGGCTTTTTTCTTCACTGGTTGGATGGCAATACCTACCTGCCGAAGAGGTAAACGCCAAAACATTGTACTTCAGTTCAAAATCCAGTTGGAAAAAATTATCAGGAACAATGACGGGACCTTTGACAAACTGCCGGCTTCCTGTCTCCATCAAAGCCGTATAGATAGAAGCCTTCAGTTAACGGTAGGCATCTGGCTTTTGTTCTACAGGCCACAGGAATGCGTTATTACGTTATTTCCCAATTGGACGTGAGTTCCGAAGGGGTCATAATGGGTTTCTGCCGGTGCTCGCCTCACTGAGGGACTGCTAATTGTTCGCACCTGTTCACTCTGCAGTAATTTGGGTACCTGGAGGTTGTTAACCGACTGGTGCGTCGTGTTCCAGGCTTACCTTGAGTAAGCTATCAGCCTGCTAACAGAGGTCGGACGTCGTCTGTTTATAACGTAACGTAATCGCATTACCCACCAGTATGTACCAAAAAGGTAGACTCAACACTCGTCCTACCCTCTACCCACTGTCTCCTCGGGGCTGAAGGACGCCTCCAAGGTTTAGTTTAGTTCATTTATTATGCACCCCATACCCATCTTGTGGGCGGTAGTGGAAAGGGTTACAGAGGTACATAATGGGCTCAGGGACTGAACCCCACAATTCATTTAGCTAAGCAAGTTACAGTCTTGATGAGCTAGTTACAAAATTCAGTATAAGTCGTCACATCATAAATGGGTTCGAGATCGACCACAAGTGCAGTTTCTAAATTAAGCAACTGACAATGTGGAGAGCTATACACTAGCTCTATGTGGAGAGCTAGTGTATAGCTCTCCACATAGAGCTAGTTGATATGTTTGCCCTGCACACGGCCCCCCATCCAGTGGACAGCGGTGGATAGGTTACAGTCACTCAGTTACTACCTACAGTTTGTAAACTGGGGATATTTGGCTAAAATATCTGGTAGCAGTTCATTTTGAATGAAATATTTATGCATTGCTAGAACATTGGTTATAGAATTGTCCTTGAATTCACGGATCTCTCCGTAATCTTACATTTGTCTTAAGATTGGATATAGAGGCGCCCATGATGTGCTCATAACACACGCTCAAACGAATCCAAAAACATATTAGATAAATTAGAATCATTCTAGAAAGATGAATAACAACTGAAAAAGAAGGCACATTAAAAAGAGCACTGCTTCATTCCAATTTAGGATGTGCTGATAGATACAACGATGGCCTCGCTTCTTGTAGGGTCATAGTTTGATTCCCGATGAACCATATGCAGTCCCCGTGGTGTAGTGGTAAGCTTGACGTTTCGCGAGCCCTTTGGCCTGGGTTCGTATCCTGGCCGGGAGGATTTACTGGGTGCCAATCCTTAACTGTAGCTTCTGTTTACCCAACAGTGAAATGGGTACCTGGTTGTTAAACTATTCCCCGGGTCTTCCGGGGAATATTAGAATTAAGGACCTACCCGAAACGCTATGTGTGCTAGTTACTGTTCAAGAATGTAAGAATTCTTGTACATATATAAACAAAAAAACAATGAAAAGTAGTTGGGCACCGATCCTTCACAAAGCCCAGCTCCTATAGTCGTCATATCCCAGCTCTTATAGTTCTTTTTTTTTCCTCATATCGTCCGAAGTTCGAAGATTAAGAGTTAAAAGAATCCAAGAGCCGCGATTCATCCCCCGCAAATACATCTATATGGTATAGGTGAAAATCTGGACCTGCCCAGGAATCTAACCAATGGGTCCAATGGGTTGTGAGTCTAATGCCATAGACTTGAGAGACTAATTAATGCAGAATGGTGAACGTCTGGTTCCACCACTCATAAGTCGCGTGGGATATGTCCCGCGGCCCGCCTATGTGATTTACCTGAATTTAGCTGAGGACCATTAATACTAGGGGTCTCGATGAGGACAGGATGCCGGCGGCTTGTCAAAGGTCCCCCCCAAGGACCCCCGCAAAGATTATATAGAGGAAGCCTCCCGCAAGCACAAGTAGGCGAGTATAAATAGGCGAGCGTATGAGAGAAAAACATGTACGTGGTAACCTCTCTGTCGATCGTGTAAGCGTTATCAAGCATATATAGAAATTATGAGAGTTTTTCCTCAATATTATTTTTTAATTTAAAAAAAGTAAATAATGTTATTATAAATCATTTAATTATATTTTCATGGTAAAAATGTGTGAAAATATTGAATAAATAAAGTCTGACAACAACACATTCCGTAATTAATGCCACGTTATATGACTAAAAAAATAGGATTATACTGATAAAATATATTGTTTTATTGTAGAATGGTGAAGAACATATATGTATAAAAGCAATTTATATAGAGGAAGAAGTTTTATTATTATATTTAATGTCATGTTTTGTTTCGATTTTGAATTTGGAAAATGCCTTGGCTGTTAGGGTGGGGGTAGAGGGGGGTGAAGGCGGGTATATAAGGCGGGGCGGCGCGCGCGGCGGTCCTTGATACCGTTCAGTCGTGCTGGAGAACACTACGCTGCTCGTCCCTCCTGCCACGCTCACCATGACGGCCAAGCCACCTTACAAAGTTGGTGGGTAACCTGCTGATGTGTCATGTGTTTAGTGTATGTGGCGAGAAAGCTGTGACCTACGGGGTGGTGTTTGTGCGTGTAGGCCACACTTGTGTTACCAGGATTGGCCTGGTAAAAATGAGGATTAAGGACCTGCCCGAACCGCTATGCGTGCTTGTGGCTTTACGAGAATGTAAAAAAAAAAAAGTTGTATATATAAAAATTAACCTCGCTTTTGATGCGGGTTGTTTCATTAAGTTATTTGTGTGGTAAATGGCACCGTGTTTGTGTTTGGAAGTGAATGAGGAGGTTGTGTGTGAAGGTGGTAAACACATGAGCTGGTTATAGCATTGGTCTGGCTGACTGTGTAGTTTACCTGTGTGGCACGGTGTGGTGTGGCTCTGCCTGTGTTGCTAGGTGTGGTGTGGCTCTGCCTTGTGGTGTGGCTGCCTGTGTGGGACGGTGTGGTGTGGCTCTGCCTTGTGGTGTGGCTGCCTGTGTGGGACGGTGTGGTGTGGCTCTGCCTTGTGGTGTGGCTGCCTGTGTGGGACGGTGTGGTGTGGCTCTGCCTGCGTGGCACGGCTCTGCTCTGCCTTCGTGGCACGGCTCTGCTCTGCCTGCGTGGCACGGCTCTGCTCTGCCTGCGTGGCACGGCTCGGCTCTGCCTGCGTGGCACGGCTCGGCTCTGCCTGCGTGGCACGGCTCGGCTCTGTCTGCGTGGCACGGCTCGGCTCTGCCTGCGTGGCACGGCTCGGCTCTGCCTGCGTGGCACGGCTCGGCTCTGCCTGCGTGGCACGGCTCGGCTCTGCCTGCGTGGCACGGCTCGGCTCGGCTCTGCCTGCGTGGCACGGCTCGGCTCTGCCTGCGTGGCTCGGCTCTGCCTGCGTGGCACGGCTCGGCTCTGCCTGCGTGGCACGGCTCGGCTCTGCCTGCGTGGCACGGCTCGGCTCGGCCCTGCCTGCGTGGCACGGCTCGGCTTGGCTCTGCCTGCGTGGCACGGCTCGGCTTGGCTCTGCCTGTGTGGCACGGCTCGGCTCTGCCTGCGTGGCACGGCTCGGCTCTGCCTGCGTGGCACGGCTCGGCTCTGCCTGCGTGGCACGGCTCGGCTCGGCTCTGCCTGCGTGGCACAGCTCGGCTTGGCTCTGCCTGCGTGGCTCGGCTCGGCTCTGCCTGCGTGGCACGGCTCGGCTCTGCCTGCGTGGCACGGCTCGGCTCTGCCTGCGTGGCACGGCTCGGCTCGGCTCTGCCTGCGTGGCACGGCTCGGCTCTGCGTGCGTGGCACGGCTCGGCTCTGCCTGCGTGGCACGGCTCGGCTCGGCTCTGCCCCGCCTGCGTGGCACGGCTCGGCTCGGCTCTGCCCCGCCTGCGTGGCACGGCTCGGCTCGGCTCTGCCCCGCCTGCGTGGCACGGCTCGGCTCTGCCCCGCCTGCGTGGCACGGCTCGGCTCGGCCCCGCCTGCGTGGCTCGGCTCGGCCCCGCCTGCATGGCACGGCTCGGCTCGGCCTGGCAATAGCAATAAGAAAACTGCAAATATTTTCAATTAATTGCTCACTACTGCTTAACTAATGTTAAAACTGTAATTTCAGCCGACATCAACCTTGCCGATTTTGGTCGCAAGGAAATTGTTATGGCCGAGAAAGAGATGCCAGGGCTGATGAGTCTACGTAAGAAGTATGGGACCGAGAAGCCACTGAAGGGTGCACGAGTGGCTGGATGTCTACACATGACCATTCAGACTGCTGTTCTTATTGAGACACTTGTGAGTATTTTAGGTTTTGCTTCATATTGTAGGAACATTACTTTCTTTAAAATGCAGTAAGCTACATATTGTTCTCCTATTATTACTGTGTGATTTATACCAAAATATTTTTTGTTGCAAGTGTTTTTGTACAAATTTTAAAGATTCTCTAGGAAAACTTGGATTTCTGCATAGTTTTTTTTTTTAGTATTGTTGATTTTAATTCAGTGAATAAGTGTCTCCCCCCCCCCCCACTGGACATTCATTTTTATTATTATTACAACAGATAATAGGTATAACAATGGATTACTTCTGTAGCCTCTTCCCACCTTCTGTTTGAGCAGAAGTCTGCTGTTTTGGCAATCCATTGAAGATTTTGCTTTGATCTTTGTATAGTACTTAAATACATGTTGCATTATGTTCCCGGAATAATTTTATGCACAAAGCTTATGTGAAAATCTGAAATTGTAAACTTGTTTTACCAGACTGAGCTTGGGGCAGAAGTACAGTGGTCATCATGCAATATCTTCAGCACCCAGGACCATGCTGCGGCAGCCATCGCCAAGTCTGGTGTACCAGTGTATGCATGGAAGGGAGAAACTGATGAAGAATACATCTGGTGTATAGAGCAAACACTCATCTTCCCAGATGGAAAAGTAAGCTTGTAAATGTTTCCCGAATCTTTTTATTATTGCATTTTAACATCCTAATTTTCTTCCATGAAGTTTGGGTTTTGCAAGGTATGGCTGACCTAACACTATTTGCTGAAGGTGGTTGGAGTTGCCCTCGTGGAAAAAGACAAAAATGAGGCAGCCTTGGTTGAAGTGCCTAGACGTTAACGTTTTTGTTTTTTACTGTTACACTCCAACCCTTCAAAATTGTCATCTTAAATTGTGGTACTAAAAACTGGTCGTCTCCTTCATAACCCTCTTAAACATACATCTTGGTTATTTCTGATGCAAATGACTCGCCTGTACTTCAACGGTAAACGTTTTGATGACTAACTTTATTTATTTATTTATTTATATACAAGAAGGTACATTAGGTTTGTGAGAATACATAGCATGGTATTTATGATCTTGTAAAGCCACTAGTATGCGCAGCGTTTCGGGCAGGTCCTTAATCTAACGAATAATTTTAAGTAGGTAAATTGCACATATGTCATCAGTCTTGAAATTCCCAAAATTCTCTTTTGGGGGAGGGGAGCTTAGTATAAGCATAGCTTCTCAGAGAGGGGGGGGGGGCATTAAAGTAACGGGACCATCCAGAGATCATTGAGTTTTCAATGCCTTGTAAAGTACCTGCCGGACAAGCATGAAAAATATTTTCTTTTTACAGCGATTAGACACGTCTCCATATTTTGTTGAAAAATAAATTATGAAATGTTCATTAACATTTGTACATTCAGCAGTCATACATAATCTATTGTCAGAGCTCTTTTTGTTCTGCAAATGCTAAGCAGGGTCTTGAGGTGCCAGAATCGTTTAGTTGGGTATGGGCGAACAGTTCTGAATGTTGGTGTTAAAAGCTTGATTTTTTAATCTGCTCGCTAAATAGTCCTTTAATCTTCTATGATAAATATATACATACTCTATTAGAAATACAAAAAAATCCGATAGCACGTGTAGGGAGAAAACGTTGAATTTAGTACTTTGGGATTGGCGTACATAAATTTTTAGTATGGATTTTTGTTGAATTTTAAAATTTATGAATTGGTATATGTATGGCCAGAGTAAAGTTCTTAAAAATATTTTTTTATAATCTAAATTTAATTTTTTTATAATTTTATGCATATTTGTGCAATAAATTACCTGATAATGTGTTAGGTATTATCTCTAAGTTTATTGTTAAGCCTTGTCAAAGCATTTTACAAATGTTTAACTTTTCATATTTTTTTTAAATTCATAAACTGGAAAAGATGTTCTTAAATTGGTAGATGCCTATTTCTAATAAAATATGCAAAATAGCATTGAAATGTAGTAATGTCCTAACAATTTAACTAAAGTAAAACAAATTTATATTTTTAGACCTTTGGCAATAATTGAAATAAATACCAAATCTTGGTACAGTAATTAGTTTTATGGGCAGAATCTCGTAAATTTATATTGGGAACATAACATAGCTGTTTACTTATCAGTTTAAGTGCACTGTTATCAGCAAGCCCATTTTCTGAACCATTGTAATGTTTCCATGCATATTCATGAATATCCTTATGATAAAATGTACTGGTTGTGGTAATACAGAACTTTAAATTGTAAAATCTTTTTAATATTTTCTTTATTACTCATTCCTGGTACACCATACCTGCCCCCTTGTTATTCTTTGGCTCTATTCTCGCTTTACCTTTCAGATCACTCATTAGAATTATGATAAGCCTAGGTATCATACCAATCTCATTTAAAAACACACTCCCTCCCTGCAGAAAGTCATTGCATATTAATGGCTTTTGTAATATCCATTGTATAACTATGAATACACCAATGTATTGTCTAATGTATGTTTTATAAATGCATTAATGATTGCCACCTTAATCTTTCTAATTTTATTTGCACACATTGAACTGTTGTGAGACGTTATTAGTTGCTCCATGACTTTAATAGGTTTACTGCTTCCTTCTATCATATTTTAAGTCTGGGTGATCAGTTTCTAAGTCTTTTATTAACTTGGCAGCCTCTGAACATGATTCTTGATGATGGAGGTGACCTGACCAATCTTGTTCATGAGAAGTACCCCAATATGCTGGCTGACATTAAGGGCCTTTCAGAAGAGACTACTACAGGTGTACATAACTTGTTCAAAATGATGCGCGAGGGCAAGCTGAAGGTTCCAGCCTTCAATGTTAATGATTCAGTCACGAAGGTGAGAGAATGCATATTGTTTTTAAGATTAGTTTTGGAAGCATGCAAACATTCTTCAGGCACACACTCCTCCAATATAGAGCTGGAGAAGGTTTTCATTGATTGCCATAGGTGTTTATTCTCTAAGCTGTAACAAAATACTTAATAATTAAATCAATGTATAAAATAACACGGTAGTAGAAAAAATACTAGTGTTCATGGGAAAATGTGCAAGATCTTCTGAATTTCTTTTTATTCTCTCAAATTTTTTCTTACAGAGCAAGTTTGACAATCTGTACGGATGCCGCGAGTCCTTAACCGATGGCATAAAGAGAGCAACTGATATCATGTTAGCTGGAAAAACTTGTGTTGTGGCTGGTTACGGTGATGTTGGTAAAGGTTCAGCGCAGTCTCTCCGTGCATTTGGTGCTAGAGTTCTAATCACAGAGATTGATCCCATCAATGCCTTGCAAGCTGCTTGTGAAGGTTACCAGGTAAGATTGTATAGTTATGAAGTAACGATATAGTAATTACCATATTTTTGTCCATTAATAGTTTTAATTAATGGGAGCTTTAATGGTACTAGTCTCTTAACCCTTAAACTGCTCTGCATAAGGGGCCAGAAAGTGAAAATATTCAAATTATGTAAAAATTGCTTAAAAATGTTAAACAAGTCTCCAATTTATTGGCTTCAGTGTCTAAAAACTTTCATAAACATATTTTAAGACATTGATTTTAGACAAATTTTTTATAAAAGAATATCTTGTTGATAAGGAGAAACTGGAACTGATGGATAATGCAGTAATAGAGATGTGCAAGCACCTGTCTGACACAAAGAATAGTAGTAGTGTCCACAAAGTGGATATGCACCTAGTGCCTTTATAACATTGCTGAGTAATACATAACACAAATAAGAATGAGTATGTATGTTAGTCGTCATTTTTTTTTTACTAAATTTGGTGCATATTTCAAATTCCATATTGACTTTACTGTAAAAAAAAAAAAATACATAAACTAAACTGAAAACCTATACTGAATTTATGCTACTCTGAGAACATAACACCACCAAATGAACAATTTAATTATATTTTTGAAGCTCAGTATTCAATTTTATAATTTATTTTCTTGTTTTTCAAGTTACGTTGTTGATCATTTAGACAAAGTTGGAGCATTTGCCTAGTAGATTATGCACAAAACATTTGAAAGAGTTTTGGTAAATTTTAAAGTGTGTTTTGGCCTGTCGCATATATACGTATGCTTTGTGCAGTTTAAGGGTAAACGGGTGTCTTGTGCACTTGTCTTTACAAAAAATCTCAAATACTTAGATGCATTAAAGCATTTTCTGTAAGTGATGTATACAGCATGTACTGGGATGTGTATCTTGTACCTTTGGTATGTGTAGTTTGGTAGTCTGAAGCCAAATATGTTCTGCCACAAGTTACTCTTATATGCAAAGGTTCACCACGTGTTTACTGGCTGACTTGGTAACTGGTTTATTTCCAAAATGGTGAACATTTTGTCCATTGTTTTTGGTGCATTTATACCTGCCAGCCCTATTTAAAAGTACTTCATTGAGGTGCACATACCTAAAATAGTTAATGAGGGGGGGGGGGGATTGCATGAAATTGGAGCACAAGAGGTAATTGCATAACAATTGGAGCCTTGTTCAGATTTTTATCCATTCCTTCCTCAATCTGTGACTTTGGCAGGGGTCATTGGTTTGGTGTTAGTTAACTGCACACTCTTAAAGGTAACCTATTTTCTTGGCTTTTCTTTTACCACCATACCTTACCTTGATGGGGTTCTGGGAGCAGTTCTACTCCCCGAGCTCGGCCTGGGGCCAAGGTTGACTTGCGATAACGTGGTCAACAGGCTGTTTGAAGTGGCATGCAGATCTACATATTTCCTACAACCCGGTTGATCTAGCATTTGCAAGCACTTATCTAAATGCTTTTTGAAGATGTCCACTTTTGTTCCAGCAAAATAATGAGACTGAAAACAGCTTGGGTTTGGTTACATATTGGCCATACACACTTAACTCGATGGACACTTAATGAAGTACTGCTCTGTTGTCTGAAATGTTCCTTTTGATCCTCATACAAATGTTCCATTTTTAGAACTATTGTGTGTTCCTTCCATACTGTCCTTCAAGGTAATTTTAATTTATCCCTTGATAGAATCCTTGGTGAATTCAATACCTGTTCCTTTAATATTGCTGACCTTGTGTGCTTTTGATGTTGTATTGGCATCCTAAATAATATTTAGTGCCTTTTGTATATCCAGCAACTGATAGTTCTACATACATGGTCTTCCCAGCTTGGTACCTTCTTTTGATAATTACTTTATTTACCATTGGCTGAAGTGACGAGAGCTTCTGCCTGTTTTATACATAATTTATAACTCATTTTTGTCTCAATGGGTGGTGAAGAATGAAAAATATAGCATGTCAAATTGTTCATTCTCTTATTTAAGAGCTTGCACAGGTAATTCATGTAACTTATTTGTTGCCCACCTATTGGTTCTTTATCAATGCTGATTTTATCATTTTAACGATGCAGGTTACAACTATGGATGATGCTGTGAAGCAGGGAGCCTCCATCTTTGTGACAACCACAGGTTGCCGTGACATTATTGCTGCAGAGCACTTCATGGCAATGAAGGACGACTCTATAGTCTGTAACATTGGCCATTTCGATATTGAAATTGATGTAAAGTGGTTGGACGAGAATTGTGTAGAGAAGATAAACATCAAACCTCAGGTTGATCGTTACCTCCTGAAGTCTGGCAACCATGTGATTCTGCTTGCAGAAGGGCGCTTGGTGAATCTAGGCTGTGCCATGGGCCATCCATCTTTTGTGATGTCAAACTCATTTACTAACCAGGTCCTTGCACAAATTGAACTGTGGACCAAACCTGGACAATATCCAATTGGTGTTCATTTCTTGCCCAAGAAGCTGGATGAAGAGGTCGCAAGACTTCACCTTGACCACTTAGGAGTAAAATTAACAAAACTTAACGCAACTCAGTCCGAATATTTGGGACTTCCAGTTGAAGGACCGTTCAAGCCTGATCATTACAGATATTAAGAGTACAATAAACTAAGCATGGTCTCTTGCCCCTTTCAGTGAAATGTTTGTTCTCTTCTAGTCATTAATCACTTGATGCTGTCAGATTTTAAATTTTGAAAAGTATTTTATGCAGAATTGAATTCTGATGTGATAAATTAAAAGTTTAATATTTACTTGGGAAAATTGGAATAAATTATCCAGTAATTGTATATAAAGTGGTTATGCAGAGAGAACAGCATTGCATTGTTGCATATGAGTGATGAATGTATTAAGTGTGGGAATTTTCTACAAAATATATAATTTATATAATTATTTTTATCCTTTTTAAAACGTGCAGTTTGTCTAGATTCATAATGCATTTGTTTACTTAATTTTATAATAATTTAATTATAAAGTGCTATAATCAACTTATTCTTAAAAACAGTACAAACTATTTAAGTGCCAGCTGACAATTGTATTTGCATTAAGCATAACCTGCGTGTTTATTTAGTCTTTGTAATGTTCATAGTGCAGTGGTCTAACTAAATGCCCTGGTATCTAAACTTGTGTGTATCCTATTCCTTTGTGGGCCTTTATGGTACCTTTTCTATATGTACTTTTCTACTTAATCTTTTGAAAAGGCTGGTAACACTGAAATTCTAAACACCTATTTTGTGTGCATGATCATTCATATTCACTGACCCCCCCCCCCCACATACGACTGAGCACCGTATCTCTGCTAATGTCCTAGTCCATAATACAGGTATGAGTCAGTTCACCAAGTCCAGATTATTTTGAGAATGTATGTTTGTTTATACTGGTATGTACGATTCAATTTGCCAGTAATTTGAGGCGAAATACATCCACTGTGATGCTTCCTTATTTCTGGTTTCATGTTTATACCAGTCAAAAATATTTAAATTCACATCCCTACTATGTTGTTTCCTTGTCCATCATTAACATTCAAAATATTTAATACATTAAATAACAAATTGAGTTTGAAATGTATTTAGGAAACATTCAGTGGGACTGCAACAGTACAAATATTAAAGAGACTATTAATATTTAGAACATTTTGAACCTTGGTAATTAACCTATATATAGATATTGTAGGGCTAGCCTCTCCTAGTTTTCAAAGTAGGTAATTTTCAAAAAGCACCAAACCGGGAAGGCTATGTAGCACCAAATGTGCAGAATAATCAGAGGGCACTAAATATCACAAAGGATGCCAATACAAGAAGGAATGCTTAAGGCAAAAGATGTCAAAAGTATCTGATTTACCAAGAACTCTATCGAGGGACAGTCGGAAAGCAAGCTTTGCCTCGTCCTGGAAATTTGAACATTCAACAAGAATGTTGAACCAGTTGCAACATGGTGTGGGAGGAGAACAGTGCCAACACTGGCATTTAAGTGTTTTTGGAGACCCGAACAGGGGGTCTCCCAAATGCAGGACAAAGCGGCTGAGTAGCTGCATCCTGAGAAGCAGCAGCGACGACATGCGTACCGTAACTGGTGGGGTTAAAAGTAAGAGGCATCTACCAAATCAACAAGGTGTTTATGGAGGAAGAAATCATCAGGAGTAGTAGAATCCAAATGGTGGAGATCAAAGTACTTAGCCCATGTAGCGGGACCAAACAAGGCGTTTTAAGTATTAGTATGGGAAGGGATCATGCGAGTGCGGCTGTGGCGGGGATGGTGTAGAGAACCCCCAGAGTGAGGGGGGGGTTAAAAGGCACAGTAGTCACAATGAGACAGGTGTGCCAGGGGACGAGGTGGTCACTGGGGGGCTGTGAACTCGACCCTACCTCAGAGGAGGGAGGGGAGCCGAGGAGAGTAGCCAGGAGGAGCAAGGTCGGGGCCTAATGCAGCGGGGGCTACAGAGCCTGGTCTTCCAACACAGTCCGATTCAGGGGCTTGGTCGCCCACCCCACGAGCCTGAGAAGGTACAAGAGGAACATTATCTGACATAAAAACTAGGAAAGACTCGTTCACGAATGTGTCCCCACACCTACCATGGAGCCACAATTAGAGGCAGGACACCCAACAAGAGACATGTTGCCGATCTTGCCGGGGCCCCCCAGGGGTGCATCGTGAGTATATGCCCCACAAACGCCACCTTAAGAACCATCAATCCGTCGAGATCAGGTTCAGTGACTAAAGGAGGATTGACAATAAAAGGGTCCCCTCACTCGGGATGTTGGGTACTACAGTTCTTCGGGTGCAAGAGTATTCCTCCCCAAACACCCAGACGTCAAAATAAAAGAAGAATCAAAGCGGGCAAAAGGTCGGCGGGGATTGATAATGAGAAAGGAGAAGAGGGGGGGGGGAGAAAAACGAAACGGAAGGAAATGTCGTCCAGCACAATTAGAGACAGCAGCAGGAGCACAAGGCTACAAAAGTGAAGAGGACTGTCCCAAGAAGCATCACACTCCAGCAGCCGCCCACCAAGCCCCCTCACGGCAACGAGGAGCCGGACAGGACACTATAAAGATGCTGGCCCTCTGGTAAATTCAGATGAAAATACTTATTAGGCTAATAATGCAAAATAATCAGTCTTGAATCTATATTAAAATACAGCACAGTACTTTATAAATCACAGATTCTGAGTGCTATTCCAGGCGTGTTATATTTCAAGCATACACAACACTTACGAAAAATAAATAGTTTTCTGCTATTGTTTCAAACTGGAGGAAAAGCCTATAACGAAATTTAAATCTGAAAATTTAAAAAATTCTAACTTTACTCCAATAGCTATAAAGAGAATGGACACATGAAGCTGCAAAAATAACAGATTGGCATGTAAAACAAATAGAAAAGATCATTGACTACACCAGACTGGTGTTCAGTTACTCCTTTCAAACTTTAATATAGTGATTTAATATTTTTAAATAAATTTATTGCATAGTGGACACTCATCACATGCTAACCATTACATCCACACTTTTTATGCACTTTGCTCAATGTGAATTTCAGTTCAGAAATGCTATATTAAATGTAAACTGTTGGAATTGTATTTGTTGAGAATTTAATGTGATGTTTTGTGCCGACTTAGCACAGTTTAATTTAAAAATCAGTGAACTTTATATGATAGAAAATACAAATATTAGATACTTTACAATCATCAAACACACAGGTAGTGTGCACTCCGACACCATCATGCAAGTGAACATTTGGTACACAGCCACTTATGATAAAGGCAAATATTGTTTATGCTATGATGCATCTGGCATCCCTAAAAGTCAGATTTTTTTTTATATACCTGGGAGTTAGGCAACTGTTGTGGGTTGCATCCTGAGGGAAGTCAGTAGTTGGCCTGTGGGCCTTGATAAGTAAGTACAGTGTACAGACTTCCTGCACCAGACTGGAAATTATTAATTATACAATACATATAACTAATTACAGTACTGTATTGTTTTTGTAGTCGAAATCTTTAGAAATTAATGTTCCAATTTGAAATATAAATTTTGCAACCAAAAATGAGATCTCTTATGACGATACCCAATCCAACCTGAAAAATGGATTGGTGACATTTCGGTCCATCCTGGACAATTATCCAGTCATGATGAGTTGCTAATGGTCCAGGATGGACTGAAACATTGTCGATGATTATCTGCATCACATTCTAATTTCACAATTTAGACATTCAAGAATTTTTGTTTTTCTAAAGTAGTATAAGTAAATAATTTAGGATATGCTACAGCACAGTGGTACAAGTCCTCGGCTGACAATTGAAGTACTGTACCTGGTTTCACTCCCCAGGCAGGATATATTTCCCCCTTCACCTGATGCTTTTGTCCGCCTACATTAGTACCCAGGAGTTAGGCAACTGTTGCAACCTCAAAAAAGTCAGCAGTTGGCCTGGGTGCCCCTTGATAAGCCTAAGTAATTATCAAAAGAAAGCACCAAACCGGGAAGGCTATGTAGCACCATCAAATGCGCAAAATAATCAGAGGGCACTAAACATCACCAAGGATGCCAATACGAGAACAGAAACGTATAAGGCGAACGATATCAAAAGTATACGATTCACCAAGAATTCTATCGAGGGACAAGTGACCGCGAGGGACGGTCGGAAAGCAAGACACACGCTCATCCTGGAAGTCAGGATATGTACGACTGTAAGAGGGACAATGCAACTTGGACAATAAGGAGCAGGGCGGCGCTCCGTTAAGTCCTCGATAAGCCTAAAAACATGTATCCTGTCCTTGACGAGAATTATTATGACGAATTTGTCTCTGACAAATGCAAAATTTAATATGACCATAAACAGGTGGATGTGGATAAATACAGGCTAGGTACACCCCCAGGTAACAAAATAGACATGGGATGGCTGGGTTGCTTCAAGCATACCTTAGACATAAGTACTGTACATGAATGTGTGTGTGTTGGGTAGTTATAAATAGGAGCTGCCTCATGGGCCAAAAATCTTTCCAGTTTTCTTTATTCTTATGCCAAAGCATGTAAACTTGGTAGCATCTCGTTTACTCTATAATGGTTTCGCTTTGCCTCAAACATTTGAGGACAAGAAGTCCATTAGGCTCATCAAGGTCTCTCCTGGCCAACAACTGACCTTTCCCTGGATACAACCCACAACCTACTAAGTTGTATTTGGTAATGGATATATTAATAATAAGAGAAAGATACATTTACAAAATGATGCTATTTAAACTGTAAATAAGAAAAGTATTGAGAAAAGAAATGGGTTTAGTATTGGGAAATAATGGTAGTTCATAATAGAGCATACTATCATCTATACAAATACAGTACCCTTAAGTATTATGAAAAAGAAAGTGCTAAGCCATGATGGCAATATATCACACATACCTTTAAATTCACAGACAAAAATGTGATTCACTAAATGGTACTATTATTTCTACACTTGCAGTGGCAGTTATTCTACCACTGCATAATGTTTGCCTCGATGCGTACGTCATCTCTGATTTACAAATGTGTACCAATTATGTTTGTAATATTATATGAACTAATAATAATATTGCAAACTAATACATTAATATATATTCTGATCATTAAAATTATAAATTGTTTAACATCTATAAATCACTTAAAATTTTGATGACAAAGAGTACCTACCTACCCGTGTTCACACACGAAAAGAAATGAGGGTCCATGACAGACAAATGCCACCCCTTATTTCTGCTCATACGTGAGGGTTGGGTTATTAGTTTCAATCTCGTTATTAAACTGACATGGCTTAACAAGGGTCCAGGATGGACCAAAATGTTGTCATTTATTTCTTCACAAATTTTGGGGTTGGATTGTTTTAGTCACATTATTGTAAGTCTTTCGCTGCTTTAAATTCATACCCTGTAAGGTGTAAGTGATGATTTACTATGAGTACAATAACTTTATTACTGTAATATTCATCTTATCCTGATGAAAGTTCTCTTTAACTACATAATAAAATTCAATTTGTATTGTTTAAATATATGAAGACTAGTAGTAACCAAGCCAAGAAAGCTACGTGATAATGCCAAATGACAAAATCTGGGACGGTATTGGAGATACGTATTGGAAGAAGTTTGGGGATTTTTTTTTACTTTTTTTTTGGCCGAAATATTTACCTCAAACACACCCAATAACTAAATTACTTTCACACACACACACACACACACACACACACACACACACACGTCACCCTTTTGTAAATTCGGGGAATAACTCATGCCAGAAATTGGTGATGATGATATGAAACACTACTGTCTATGTAGCAACATGTTGATGTGAATGATTGCCAGCTTATATACAATTAGTAAACAAACTTTATATAAAATTTGGTGAATGCAGCTCATTAACAAATAAATATCCCAATATTTATACATATTAATAAAATATACAATTAGACTGTGCACAACTAATTATCATACATTACAGTATATACATATCAACTCTCTCTCAATAGGCAGGCTATAGAAGAAAAACAGAATGAAGCCCTCGCCCTATAACGTCTATGGCACACCACTCCGTAGAAGTGTATTGTTAGAACATTAGAAAGTGACAAGTTCCACCTGCATATTAGCAAATGCTACATGATGTCTGCAACGGAAAGTAAAATATTCACTGTTTTCTCTTCAGTTAATCTCACCATGTGATCTACTTGCAGGTACACAACCTAACAGGATATGTATACTGTATCACAAAAATATTTTGTGATAAATTAGAAAAGTACAAGAAACTAAATGTTTCACTTAAGTAGTTTTTATGTTTTTACATCTAATGTCTTGATGAATATTTAACATCATTTCTGTAGGAGCTGGTCAATCTGTAAATAAATAAGGAAGTATTAATAGTACATATATTTAATTTATTTTATTAAGTTGTATACTTTTAGTGAAAATAAAAACCAATAAAACTCCTCACGCTTACCACATCTATACCTTCACACTAGAGAAACGTTTGTCTAACATCCCATGGATAAGCTGATTGAACTTTATGTTCATATGTAACCATTCAGGCAAATATAGACGTATAGCATTTCCTGATTTGGTATAAACTGAGAAAAAGAACAAAAATCCGATTGCAAAGCAAACGGTAACCAAATATATTTTGCTCACATGAGGGAGATAAGACAGGTGTCCCTAAGCTGGCATGGTATATTTCAGGATAAAAAAAGGTTGCCGTAACATATACAGTCTGGTGTAATTAGTGAATATGTTATTTAATTGTACATAGACCAAAACTGGACTGCATAATCTAAATGAACCCTAATGAGCAAAACGAAGCTGGAGAGAACATTGTTTTAATTCTTACACTTTTAGAAATTGAAATATACTTTTTGTTTTATTCCATACATTTAGGTATTTATTTTTTACAGTAATTTAAGATCCCTACTAATCATGACCTACAAATACTTTGTTTTGCTTTCTAATTTTTCCCATTTCAACATTATTCAGCTGACATCTGATAACTTATTATTATGTATGGTCAAAACCTTACATTTTTAGTGTTAACCTGCCCTGTCAGTCTTTGATACATTTTAGAGCTTATCTAGATCATCTCAGCAAAATTGTGTCTTCTGAATTTATTTCTGGCCCTATTTTTGAATCATCAGCAAATTTGCAAACATTGCTGTTCAATCCATTGTCTAAATTGTTCGTATACAGTATATGGTAACAAACAGAGGTCATATGACAGAGTCCTGGGTCACTCCACTTACAAAAGTCACCTACTCCGATTTGACTCCATTTATGCTAACATTCTGCTTTTTTTGAAATACTAAGCTCCAATCTAACTTGGGACCCTTTACGGGCTCACCATAGCCCGTGCTACATGGACATTTCGTTCTGAGTAGCTAAATCTAAAACAACAACAACAATTTAGGACCACCCTCAATACCATGGTCTCTCGTGAGGCACAGAATCAAAAACTTTGCTAAAGTTAAGATAGAGAATGTCATAAACCCTTCCACTATCACCCGTTTGAGATAATATGTACTGGAAAATATATTAGTCTTGTGATATTTCACAATCAAATTATATGTACAATCTTATAATCCTACTATATGATCCAATCTTTATGACAAAACCTCTACCCTCTTACACAGTCTTCAACATGTCCTATCACACTAATTTCAATTTCGTCACAGAGTTAGGCCAGAGATGGCTTGTGTGTTTTCTGTGATTATACAAGGAAAATATGCATCTATGTCTATTTTCCAGCAACACATCATGTGATGTAACATAAAACCTGAAAAATACCTCATTTATATACCTATACTCAGTACCAATACAGAAATATGAAATAATGTATCTCATAGTCAGCCATACAGGGAAATATTAAATAAGTACAGTTTATTAAATAAAGATAGCTATACAAGGGATTATTAAACAAACATTTAATAATTAACCATACAAGGAAACATTAAACAAGCATATTTAATATAGTTAGCCATACAGGGGAAATATTAGATAAACATTAAATGAGGTTAGCTACTCTGGGAAATATTGATATTTATAAGGGATATGAGGAAAATAACAATTTAAGTAATCAAGTATCTATTAAACAAACTCATTGCCAACCACAAACCTGAGCTTTGTACATTTCCTTTACGTCTACCAAATCCAGCCGCAGCTCCTCAACCTCCTCCACTTTCTCTCCATGCATCTGTCAAGATCACATATATAGTACATATAATCTAAATTAAAAATAAATAGAAATATATTTATACAGTTGTACCTTCGTTTACAAGCCTAATCCGTTATCAGACACACGTCGCACACCAAAAATTTGTAAACTTAAAACTTATTTTCCCATAAGAAATAATGTAAATTGAATTAATCTGTTCATACCCCCCAAAAATATTAACTTAAAAATACATTTTATACCGAATACCACTCATTTTGTACTACAATACAGTACTGTATGTATATCTTACCTTTATTGAGGATTCTTGTTGGCGTATGGAAGATGGTGAGGGATGGGGGGGGGGGGGAGGAGGAGGAGAGGTGTTAGTGTTTGGAATGAGTCCCCTTCCATTATAACATCAGGCAGTGATGACTTTTCTGGGGTACTCTCTCTCTCCTACATTTTGCAGGCATACCACTAGGAACTGTTTGTGGCTCACTGCTTGTTTGTCACTAAAAACCTGTCTATTGACACTTGTTTTTCCCTTAAGTTTTAACACTTGTCAGTAGTGAGACATCACATTGTCATTAAAAAGGTTAATGCAACAGCCTGTTACAGCTTTATCTGGGTGACACTTTTCAGTAAAACTTTGCAGTTCTTCCCATCCTGCACACATTTTCTTAATTAACGAGGAAGGGACATCAGCAACCCGCATACCATTTTCATGTTTATGAATGATCTCTTGTTTTTCCTCTATTGTCATCCTCACAACCATTTTGTTAGGTTGAACTTTACTACTGACTTTCTTGGGATCCATGGCATAATATATAATAAGAACTTTTATGTTCAGAAACCAAAAAAGCACAAAACATTGAAAATCTTTACAAAGAATTGAAGCGTGGTCGTCACTGGGCGGGTAGGCGGGATACACTGGTAAACAATTGCCCCACCCTCCAATACCACGTGCTCGTTCCACCCAAACACGTATCAACAGATGTCATATTCCAAGGAAAACATCGTACACCAATTCAATTTTTATGATGAATTTGATGTATACCAAAAAAATCGTACTCTAGGGCAGTCATTCACTAAGATACCACTGTACATATTTTTATTTTTTTGTCAATCACATTACCATGGATATAAGAGCTTGTGCATCCTAATTGTATCCAGGCTTTATGCTGAGGAATCATAAGGGGTCAATCCATAATTATAACAAATAAACAAGTCATTTTAATTTGGCGGAAACTTGCCAAGAATAGCTAACATGTCTCTCCATTAATATAGAAATTGAACATAAAAATCTAGAAATACAAGGTTTAAGCTGTATACCCCTAACATAAGCCCCATTTCCATGACTAAATGCCTAGTTCTAAAGCAAAGCACCTAGGGACTGAAGGTGTAATGGGAACCTTAAAAGGAGGAATGCACTGTTGAAGCACACTGATCTGGGACTGCAAATGTTGTGGGAACCTTAAGGGGAGGAACTTCCCTTAAGGTTCCACTCCCCTTACTCCACCGTTGAAGTGTGCTCAACAGTGTGTGTTGAAGCACACACAGATTGGATACATACCAACCTATCCTTTCGCCTAAGTCCAACTACTTGGTTCAGTCAATACAGTGATGACCTCGCTTCATGCAAGTTGACATTCAATTCCCAACGATCAAAGTGGTTAGGTCCCATTCCTTCACATTGTCCTTGGGTCCCAGCTCCTGTCTTGCCCTCATAACCCTTCCATGTGCTATATAGCCAATTGACTTGGTGCTTTCTCCTCATAATTCTTCTTCTTCTTCTCACCCAATAATTGTACTTTTTGCATTCACTCTGAGCTGGAATGAGCCAGTACCTCCAGTACTTTCCTAGCACCAGTATGACCCAACTGGGATGTTTCAAAAGGATCTGTTATGGCAGAACAAATTGTCAGCCTGCCCAATGGGAATGGAAAGGACTGCATTAGGATCTAAAACTTGTACCAAGATTAACATTATGGCATCATAGTGATGTCACACACCACATGCAGGTTACCTTGCATTGGTTCCGAGAATCAACGTCCTTGCAGCTTGATCTCTGATCAGGCATCCATATATAAAACATATATAACACAATATTTTATCTCTTACTTTAATTGGGTTGGGTTGGGCTAGGTTTCTTTAAATAGTAGTGATGACATAGAGGAAGGTACATGTACATAGTTTTCTTAAGTTTTAGACCCCTCTCAACCATTATGCCTTAGGGAGCCTCCAAGTGGAATAGCTAAAATAATAATGTAGAATAGCTACAGTACCTTACCTTACCTTACCAGTAATTATAATAATAATAATATTTCAAGATCAAACTAAAATCTAGCAACCTGCATCATAACAAAAGTGATAAATTTATATACCTGGAGCAGAGCATTGTACTTTTGTTCCATATCTGCATACTGGTCTTGGAGTGTTTGATAACTCTCTAGCTGAACTTGAAAGGCTTCAATCTGATTGGTCACAGATACTAATTCCTGTGCCAACGTCTCTCTCTGGGCTTCATATCTTGTAACTTCACTTTGTAGATGATGAATCTCTCCTAATAAATTATGTATGTATATAATTTAGCAGTCCTGCAGTAACACAACAATAACCCAACCCACACGCATGAAAAGAAAGGAAAGTAACAATATTTCAGCACGTTTTGGACATCCAGGATGGGGTGAAAACTCACCATTTTTCTACTTTTCCTGTGTGTGGGCTGATTTATTTATTTTCACCCATGTTATTGTGGCTTATTCTCAACAAAAAATATTAATTTTAAGATAAACAAAATCAACCATTCATATTTTTCAGTTAACAACACAATAACACATTTACTTGTAAGTACAGTACAGTACAGTACAGTACAGTACAGTACTGTATAGTACACTATGATTTCAAGATTAATTCAAATCATATGATTATCATCTTCACCTACCTCAGGTAATCATCATTTATCTTTTAAAATTAAGCAAATACACATAACTTCTTATGAGATGCATTTATTAGTATTGTCTACCCTCATACTGCATTATGAAAATATCGGTTATTAATAGACCCTAAAGTTGATGACAATCAAAACCAAACTTCTCGGCAAACACAATGAGAAAATCCTTGGAGCAGGACAGCAGGATAACACCAGTGCTGAGTCACCCCAGATGTGCACCATAACCCATGGACCATGATATGGGTTAAGGAACATGTCTGGGGTGACCTAGGACATTGGTTCAATACTGCCATCCTGTTCAAAATATCATCAATATATGTCATCGTGATTTCATTGTGTTACACTTCACAGTATTACTTGGAATTCACTTTCTAAAATAACCCTTCTTCCAAAAATGATAGTACAGTACTTTAAAGAATTATTTGGTTAAAGAAATAGACTGTTGTACCAAAAAAAGTTTGCTTTATACTATTGGAATACTGTACTATAAATGCTATGACAAAATGTGAAACAGTAACTATACACCCTAACCTAACTAACCTAACCTGTCCTAGGGATCTAAATAAGCAATCCTAGCCCTAATATATGCACTTTTAGACCTCAATACATGTGTGTGTGCTAATACTAGGACTAGCAAAGTTTAGGTAGTAATGTCGTCTTCTTCTTGTGCCCTCTACAAAATTAATAGCACAAAATGTGAACTTTTAGGGAGGCAACAATGCATTTTTGTACATTTAACCAATAGTTGCAATAAGTACTATCATTTTTGGATGACAGGTTGTTTTAAAAGAAGGATCATAGTTGTTTAATGATTCATATGCCATAGTGGTTTCAAGAATATCTTCCTTAGATATTTTATCCTGTTTCAGAGATATCTTCCTTAGATATTTTATCCTGTTTCAGAGATATCTTCCTTAGATATTTTATCCTGTTTCAGAGATATCTTCCTTAGATATTTTATCCTGTTTCAGAGGTATCTTCCTTAGATATTTTATCCTTAGATATCTTCCTGTTCACTGAATGTCGAGTAAGAACAGAATTATCTTCTCTGATGCAAGCAATTCCCCCTTACAATGGACTTTGAGTTTATAGTTCTTTGGGCTTACTTTGCTGCCATGTCTTTGGAAGAGTGTTGCACTCATGGCTTTTGGAGTTTTGTCCGGGTGCTTAGAGCCTGGTTTTTGAGTCTTCCCCCCTGGCAGTGATTTCCTTTTGGGTTACTGGATAATCCTCACTTGGTGAGCCTTATTTTCTCTGTGCTCAGTGGTAAGACAGCTTAGGAACCCACCAAGGGAAGCCTTCAAGGAAGTCCAACATTGAATGTTATGAAGCATACCTGTCTGGTGTGTTTTCTCAGTGGCTCCCTATATCTGCCCTCCCTCCTTCCAGGATTTAGTGGATCATCTTTGGGCAGTGCATATCTGAGGTGGTCAGATGGCTGGAGCCCTGGTGGCTGGGGAGTATAACTAACCAGTGGTTGGGGCTGGCTGATGAGTGTGAACATAGTTTATCAGGGTTGCCAATGTTTCTCCATGCAGTTGATTGTTTTGGGACTACGTTTCCTATTGGTCTGGGTTGATTTATCCCCAGACTCTCCATGCCTCTACTGAGGGGGGGGTCAGATACTGCTTCTGTTCTCCAATGGGAACTCATGACTCACAAGAGTCATGATGGGGTTGCATTAGGGTTGGAGCTAACCAGACAAATAGTTTGGGAAGTCACAGAAAGGAGAAAATTCCCAGAAAAAGTCCCAGAAAAAAATTGTCTGCCTAGCTATACCCAATCCCTGGCTATTGAGCCAGATAAAAGAAGAACCATTGTATTTTATTTTCTTGTACTGGTTCCTTAATACAGTGTTTAAGAAAGCAGTCATTAACCAATTCCAACAATTCTCTTCCCTCATCATTCCATTTTTATTGTCCTGGTTTAATTTATTAAAATATAAGTCCCCTATAATGTAGACAATATTATACTCACATATCCTAGATATTAAGGCCAGATAAGCATTCTATTCTATTCTGTTGATATTTGATGGGATTTATATAACTCTCATTATGCTTTTCATTTAGTTCAACACACAATGTTTCTCTATGTGACTTTGCTCTTATTTTTTAACTGACATAACATTTTACATTTTCTCACATACTGTATATACATAAAATGCAAATTAATTATACATGCCTTCTCTCTGCCGAAGCTGGGATGTTAGAGCTTCTACAGTAGCTGTGGTGTTGCCACGCATGGAGTCGTACAGTGATGTTGCCCGGGTCCAGCCCGACTCAAACACTTCATCCTGTTATATGATTTGCAATGAAGGTGTGCTAAACATGAAATAATATATCAAGACATTATACACTAAAATATTTCTCAATTATTATTATATAATATTTCAATCCACTACACCATAATGAGTACATGTACAGCCGAGTCCCAGTTGCATGGAACTCGATACAAAGGAAAATATTAGATACATTACATAAATCTAGAGAAATGGCATTTGGAGTATCAAATGATGCAATACCAAATGAATAAAAATCACAGCACTGTAATGAATGGCTTCATTCTGGGGGCTCAGCAGCTCCCAAGAGCTTGAGTATTGGAACCCCAAAGCTAAACATAACCTGCCAGGCACCTGCAACCATCTGTTCACCTAGCAGGAAATACTGTACGTCCCTGGGAGTTAAGCAACTGTTGGGTCTATCTCCTGGGAAAGGATGCAGTTGTACTGGGGGGAATCTTACAGCTGATGCCTTTGTTCTCCTTTGTAGTAAATAGGTACCTAGGAGTTAGGCAACTGTTCTGAGCTGCATCCTGAGGAAGGTTAGTACTGTAGTTGGTCTTGTAAGTGATACCTTTGTTTTCCTAGCAGGAAATAAGTACCTAGAAGTTAAGCATTTGTTGTGGGTTGCATCCTACCTGGCTTCCTGTCTCTGACAATGGAAAACCAAAGTAGTGCAAATACAGTTATAACAACACGTCTACCCACATATGAAATTGAGTTTTGACTTGGTAAGTGTCAATTTCCATCTCCAGGAGAGATGGAAATTTCGTCACTTTTTGCTTCGTAAGTGTGGTTGGGTTATTTTTTCAGCCACAGTATTGTGGCACATTCTCTATGCAACAATACAAATTAATGTATACTGTTGCACTGGTCTGCAATTCATATTTAATTAGGTAGAAAAAATAATTCATGAAATCTTGTGAAATCTCTCTCAATGAGCTGCATTTTCAACACTGAATACAGTAATTGAAATATAACTCTCATATTTAAACCAGAGGGAAATACAACTTACCCCCCATTGTGAACCAGTGAAGGATTCAGACAGTGACCCCGAAACCGACAATCTTGACAAAGATGGGGTGGGCGAGGATCGTGGAGTGCTGTTATGACTCTCCGGCCCATCGCTTGCTAGTTGCAAAAGTTTCCTCTCTCGATCTTTTAATTGATCTTGAAGAGCAAGCGTTTTCTTCTTCTCTGCAGCAACCGCAGTCTTCTCTATCTCCAACTGTTGCTCTAAACTATCCCGTTCTCTCTTGACTTCTGCAATCTCTTCGGCAAAGGATGCTTTCAGAGCTTCAATTTGTGTAGCTTCTCTAAAATTAAAATTAAATTTTGTTTATGATGAACTTCCATGTACACACTCTGGTTTTATATGACAATCATGTCAATAAATGCTCCTTATGAGTAATGTCATGTAATAAATTCAGAAGCCTCAAAATCACTTCGTGGTAATCTAGATAGGCTTTTAAAAAGGACTCAAGATTAGCAGATGCAGCTTAATGCTGAAAAAATGTAGTGATTCAAAGCTATGTACTGTAATAAGGATAGTTGCTAGATATCAACTGGGAAGTGCTAAAGTGGCAAAATCTAAATGCAAAAAAAATCTTAAAAGTCATGTTCAGTATGAATCTAAAGCTTAAAACTCAATGTATAAATGTTTAGAATAAGGCAAATAGGATTCTAAGATTTATTTCGAGAAGCATTAGCATTAGAATGAACTAATGTTATTTTTTAGATATATCTTGCTCTTGTTAGGCCCCATTTACATATGTACTCCAATTTTGGCAGTACTGTATACTATAGAATGGACATAATTCACTTCAATGAGTAAAGAGAAGGATAAAGTTAATCCTAGAAATTAGACCTAACATATAACAAAATAATTAGCGTAATTTACATTTCCTAGAAAGGCAAAGAGTAAGGGGTGACATGAATGAAGTATACAAATGTATGAGAGGGTATAATAAAGGAGATATTAATTAGCTGTTAAATATATCAACCCAATATAGAACACAAAATAGTTGATATAAATTGAATTCACTTAGATTCAGGAAAGAAATGGGTAAATACTAATTTACCCATTTCTATAAGGTGAATTAGCTATGGGGAAGCCACTGAGGCTGCAACCCCAGAAAATATATATTTGTGCAATTGAAGTTGAGTATAGGGTCAGTTAGGGAAGGAAAGTGGATTGTTCTTTGAAAGATTGGGTTAGACAAAATAGGATAGGAATAGATGATGGTGTAGCAGTGCTTATTCTAATAACTTCCACTGTTGGGGACATGAAACCTGTATTTAGGCTAATCCCACTCCTCCTAGAGCAAGAAGCTGACTTACCCCACAAAGGTCAGTTTATAGGTACCCTATAAACACAAGCAACCGTTACATAACAGTTGCTTTATGCTATGCACATTCCAAGAGTTAAAATGCAATTGTCATCGTGTATAGGATTCTACTACTCACTACACCTTCACCAACTAAAATATGGGTCACTGCTAGATGATCATCTTTAGTATGCTCAAGCAAGAGAATATTGTGAGGCAGTTCCTATTGACAGATGTGAGGCAGTTCCTATTGGCTCATGCAAGGCACTTTCTATTTATACCCACTCAAACACAAACACTTACAACAATCCATTGAGCCCATGTCTATTAAATTACCTGGTAATCTGTTCCTTAGATCAACCACCTTATTTCCAAACCCATATTTACCCAGGTCTTTCCTGAATCTAAACTTATCCAATTTATATCCAATATTATATAACTCGAAACAATGGATATAAATTGGATAACTATGAAAGGCTTCAGTAATTTCAAGTTAAAAACAAGGAAGAAAAAATAAGTAATACCCATTAATTAACACCCATTAATAATACGCAGTTCCTTCACTAACAAAACTCACTTAGCACGAGAGGTTGACAATGATTCCAACTTTGCTGTTGTTATGTCAAGCTGGGATGACAACTTGCTGTTTACCGCTTGTAAGTTGGCCATCTGCAAGGGTTATTGTGTATGCATCAGTAAATGAATCACCCTACAATGACATTAAGTTAGCATGTACTGTAATTAATTTTCTGAGCCATGTTAACCCCTGTATATAGTATGTATTATAGTTTGAACTATGTTATTTTTGGCATAATATGTAGTGCACAACTATTCACATAGGAGTAATATGTAGTGCACAAGTATCCACATAGTAGAGAACAATGAAAATAATCAAAGTGCTTTCGTGAATTAATATTCACATCCATAAAGGCTTAGACATTGACATTAAATAACTTTACCAATGACCAGGGGCCAGATTCACAAAGCAGTTACGCAAACACTTACGAACCTGTACATCTTTTCTCAATCTTTGGCAGCTTTGTTTACAATTATTAAACAGTTAATGAGCTCCAAAACACCAGGAGGCTATTTATAACAATAACAAATGATTGGGAAGTTTTCATGCTTTAGCTGTTTGACTGTGTGTGTGTGTGTGATGTAACCCATGACTTGAATAGGATGAGCCAACAAAGATTTTGGAAGAGGTAGATACTCGTTCTGTTGCACCATATGATGCCATATATGCCAGCCCTCAATAATATTTTTCCTTATTTCCAACCTGTTTATTGTTACAAATTTTTTACATAAAAGTACTGAAGTCTACATGACATCAAATAATTACCTGCGTCTGCAGCATCGATGTATTTGCCGCCAGTTCAGAATACTGCTCTCGTGCACTTCTCTCTTTTTCGCTGCTTGTTGCTACGGCTATTTGTGCATCATCTGCATAAAACAACACATTAGTGCATTAAAGATACAACTAGTCCACACACATACCCATCACTGGATGACCCATGAACCCATCCTCTCACCTAACATGTTGGATTTTTAGCAGAATTGACCAATCCATTAAAAGTGTGACATTAGTAAAATTTGAAACACTGTAATATTAAAGTTTTCTGTGCACTGACCTTGATAGGTTAGTTAGGTTGTATGTTTTTGGTTAGACAAAACAATTTTTTACACAATGGCAAACTGAGAGAATGGACTGAACATATACTCCTCTATGGGTTTTCATTTTAGAGTCAGTGGCAGGTTAATGCATGAAGCTCATGCCCTGCAGCCAAGACAAATTTAGTCAAATTTTTTATTAGACTTAGGAACAGAACTATATAAAGGTATAAACATTGGTGGACAAAATGAAATTTAGTCATGCCTGCAAAAGTCTGATCTCCCAACAGACACCTGGATGAAGTGTCCGTGATAATAAGATAATATAATATATATGGTGCCTGCAAAAACTATGGGTATCATAAAGTAGGCAAAATGGTATGTAAAACAACTAGAATAATGACACTAAGTTGTAATGTGATTAATAACCTAACCCAGATATACAAAAATTTACCTAAAACTTCAATCATACAATACTGATTTAGGGTTCATGACAATGCAAAGCAAAGTAAATATTAGTAACTACAGTGGTTAGATAAGGTTCGGTTATCTTTATACAAGATTAAAGAAATAAGATTAAAAATCAATTTTAAAATGAATGCTATGACACGAATAAGCACCAACTTACTTAAGCGACGAGTGAGAGTAGACTCGAGAGCTTCCCATGAAGCCTGTTGGGAGGTATGAGTGCTCTGCAAGTTTTCCATCTGACGCAGAAGAGGTCTCGTGGCAGCACTTACTGCCCCAGAGAGTTCCTCTGCCCGTGTTTCGGCTTCAGACACTCTCTGCTGTAGTTCACTAATATCTGAGCGAAGCTGGCGTTCTTTCCTGTCATACAAAATTTATAATGAATAACATTAGAGAATACAAAATATTTCGGCTCTGCAAGATGGGATTCAACACATTCTACTTCCATGGGATGTTCAAATTTAGATAGTTTTCAGTTTAATCCTTTAAATGCACACATTATCTTAAGGTTGACCAATGTTGGGCATATCTTCCCAAGATTTTTCAGGTACCCCACACCAATTGAGATGAGATGACAATCAAGGATTCATCATATTTTTCTTATGGTCAGGGCATGCTTTTTAACAATACAATATAGGAAGACTAAAAAAAAGTGCTTATCTTTTTTGTGCACATTGTGCACACAATATATTCATGTCTTTCATATAACTAGTTTAACAGACACTCTCAACCGAGTGTCACCTTATCCTCCATGGGTTCACGACCCAAATGTAGCTCTGTTTCTAAGCCCAATTAATTTTAATCCAAGATTATAATCTTCATTTTCATTTCAAGTTTCTTAAATTAATTATAAATTTTTCTTATGTTAAGCCAATTGTATCTGTAAGAAGAGTATCTGAAAGTGCAACATTACCTATTGGCTTGAGTCTCAGTTCTGCTAAGTGCATCTTGAAGTTCAAGCAGCTGTGCCATAAGGGCCTCTTGCTCCCTATGCGCTTGTGTTTGAGCTTCTGCTAACGTTATCTCCAGTTGTTTGCGTGCTCCCACCTCTGCACTCAATGCTTGTTCCTGAGCTTCTGCATCCTTCGTTGCTGCTGTTCTCTGTAGCTCCGTCATCTCCCTGAATCACAACAATATTCAGTGTTGCAACAAAACAAAAGATTAATAATAAGAACATACTGAGGCTGTACAATGAGATTGAACCCCACATACCTGAACTCCTCAGGCACACACACACACTGACAGTGTATGTGCTAAGGTATAATGTATATGCTTGAAGAGTCCAGGAATGCAGGTTCAATCTCTTTGTGTGGATTCAATACAGTATTTGATCAAAGATCCATATCATTTATGTGATTTCATTGTGCAAATGATTAATAATATTTTGATGTATTAATATCTAATCAAAATCTATCAGTACTATATCTTGAACTATAGTATTTGCATTCTAGGGCACATTAATCACATGTTACTGTTGATTACCGGTAGTATAGTGCGATCTGGATTATCATACAAACGGATGTCTCTGGGTGTTTGGATAACTGAAGCAAAGTTTGTGACATATCAGTGACTAAGTAAGCCCGGTTACAAGGGAGCTTCAGATCTCTCTCAATACTGACACTACCTAACCTGTAACTTTATCCAGGTTTTCTTTATTGCTTCTTTATTAATACACATTTTATATTTTTTAATTCTTCCATTTTATTCAAATTGAAATGGTATGAATACGTTTAGTCAACAAAATTCTGAAAACATTTACCTAGAAGATTATGCTTTACAATCAACCAATACATCATGACCAAAAAACTCACTTCTTATGTGTATATTATTTCCTATAGTAAAGCATCAATAATCATAGCGTGATTACCAACCACCACAGAGAGCTGTCAAGAAACCCACCTGTATGCAGTATCCAAGGCATTCTTAAGTGCGCTCATTTTTCCTTCTAATTCAGCATTTTCTGCATTCGTATCTTTAACCATCTGTTCTAAACGTTGGTTAGTTATGTTAAGTTGGCAGACAGCATCAATCTGGCGACGTTCCATTTCTTCCTTAGCAGATAGTTGTTTTCTTAGACGTTCTAGTTCACGAGATTGCTCCTCAAGCTTGTCTCTGTAGTAAAAATCCACAAGTGTCAAGTTTGTAGATCGGAGAACAATGAGTATACAGGAACAGTATGTTATTGATGGTATTATGAATAATAGAGGAGAGGATGATCTACAATGAAATCAGAATAGTGTGATGGATCCGAGAAAATCTTTTGGAGCAATGCGTTGGAACTGATTTTGTATCCTGGGTCAACACAATGCACGCATTACCCCCTAGATCCCGATGAACTTTAAAGCAACACAGCTTGAAGTTCTACTAAACTTGAAATTAATTTGGAAAATATCTAGCTAATAGAGCTTAGGGATGTGTTGCTTTTAAGTTCTCTGTGGTCTAGCAGGTAATGTGCACATCTGGGGTGATCTAGAATGTGAGTTCAATTTCACCACATGACCCAAGAGATTTATTCATTAGATAATCATCCACAATGTCCTTTAAAGCAAAAAACAAAATAAAAGTGCATTAAAATTTATTAATTCAACATTATAAAATGTTAAGTAATCAATCTATTGAAGCTTATATTGACGAAAGTTTACAATTGTTTTTCAAGAGAGAAACACTGAAAAAAGTGTATTACAAACTTTTGAGTCTTCAAAGTCGTTTCATTTTCCTTTTCTTTGCTTCGGAGTTTTTTTATAATATTGGAGTAATTTAGTTGCTGCTTACTAAGTTTTTCTCCTTCATTCCTCAATTCCCGTATGACAGTGTCTCGCTCTTCTCTGTCCCTCTCCACTTCTGCTGAGCTCAGCCTTGTTGCTGCCTCAGCCCGCACTTCCTTTTAAATAAAAAAATGATTAAACACCATTGTAAAGTAAAAGTTTTTCAATTTATGTCAAAATATGTTTGATTCACATTACTGTACACCTGTTCAGTCCAGCGAGAATTATAACAATTTAAGTTTTATACAAATAAGGCCCACTAAGTAACAATTTGTATAATAGCTATGAACAAGGACCTCTGAGTAAAGATTCATACAAGATATTATGGATAAAATTTATAATTCTATAAGCAACTTGGATTATTCACACTATGAATGCTAGTGCAAATGTCAAGTACAGTAAGAGAATGTACACAATGAACTCACAAAAATGTGATGAATCTTTGAATAAATACTGAAACTGTATGATGGAACAGACCCCAAATCCATTAACTCTTCAAGCACACACACGCACACACTACAGACTGGACCACAGTAGATGCGCTAGAGGAGTTAAGTGGAAGCATTTCTTAAATTGAGAAACATTACAAGAACCACATAATGCTTCTTGGTGTATCATTCTATTGTGATTTCATTGGAGATGAACAAGGTCTCAACACACCAATTTGCAAAGTACTGTTGGTATTCTCACATTTTGGAGAGCTCGGTAAAAATGGTTTCATGTTTTACTCAATGCATGTTGAGGCACAAGAATTATGCCAGCAGAACATAGCATATGCAAATATGCAGGTTCTTGGAAAAACATGTAGTGACTATGGTGCACAACTTTATTATATATATATATATATATTTATTATACATATATACATTTATAATAAATGCATTCCACATCACCCTAAATGCACAAATTCTCCTTAAACCATTATAGGCTAATATAATGAATTATTTAGTACTTTATATACAATCCCCTTAACACGTGAATTTTATTAAATCAAATTGACTTCAATGCAAAATATAGTATGCAATAAAGATATTAATGTTCTCTTAGGTTTCTGTACTATGCAGTACAGAGTATTTACCGGTATCAGAAAACACATGTAAATACCTCAAGTTGTTTTTTTATGGCTTCTTTCTCTCGTAATGCTTGCTGGAATTTTCTCTCCATTGTAACAAGACGCTGTGTGAACTCTTCCCTTAACGACTCCGTTGCTTCCATGCCACTCCCACCCTCCAGCTCTTCAATGTTACTGCAGTTAAAATAAAATTATTAGATTTCACAGCCACGCCTGCTTTCTGAACGGTATCATTCATTATATCTTCTTTCTCGGTATTCCAGGCATCATTACCTATAGGAACTTGTACTGAAACAACTGTGATGCAAAGAAGACCTGAACTCAAAAGAATTAGGATTACAACTAAAAAACATGATCCACATCATGCAACAAAAACTTAAAACTCCAGCCTTAAATTTCCTGATAACAATGAAAATACCTCTGTAGCACAAGGTCCTACAATCACCTGATCTGGACAATAAAGTGGTGTTGCTTAAGGTCTTCTAAGACCTTAAGAGCATATTACTTAGTAGTACTGTTTATTCTTTTCCTATACTGTACGTATTACTGTACTTCCCTTTTATATCTGGGCTGATACTTCATGAAGTTCAGAAAAGAAGGTGATTATGATCAAATATTAATTATAAATCAATATTTATATAATAAATATTTTTACAAGGAAGTGACAAAATTTAATCAATAGTTATTAGAGATGGCCAACTTACGCCTTGAGACGTAGGTTCATGTCCTGCAAGGCTGCATTTACTTGACTCAGCTCCATCACCTTGGTTTCTCGTGATTCCAGTACTTCTGTTATTTGAGATAATTTCTGAAATACACATATACAGTATGTATGTGTGTGTATATATATATATATTATATATATATATATTTATTATATATCCAAAATCATTGTACAGTGTACCTAGTTCCAAAATCCAGTGTATACCCAGTTCCCAAAACCTATTTCCATTATTATTTAGGCTTTTATCTTGACAAGTTTAGAGAAAACTTAAAAAAACATACAGTACTGAGCATTCAGTATTGCATTTCCAAAAAGCTTGGCTTATGGTATTTATGCAAGCTTGTAATAGTTGTTTCAGCTAGTGTATGATCAAACTGTACACAAGGTGGTTTAACAAAGCTTGTTTACTATTCAACAAAACTGTGTATGTTATTAGGGTAGATTGTACTAGCATAAGCTCGGCTGTTTTAGGCTTGGTTGGGGTGGGTTGGGTTAGGTTATGTAGGTTATAAAATCTGTTGGCAAACCGTCTTGTGTATGCTGTAACTTATATCCAGCCCAACATACCCTTAGAACATTGATCTTGATTATTCCCTTTGGCAGAAAATCAGTAATATATGTGTTTTAAATGGCAATTTGGCAGTCTGACCTTAAGCAGCTTGTCCACTTCTGACGAGTGATTGTCAGATGAGCTCTCGCTGGTCTCCGAGAAATTGGACTGGTTACGGCGATGACCTGAGGAACATTTTCCTTTAAATAAGCATAAACAAAATTCACAATAAAGAAAAACAAATGGAATATGAGCTTTCAGTAAACAGGATGCAACAAAAGGGAAAAGGCACTGTGGTCCTCAGAACCACTGTGAAATGTGAAAGAGTTCCAGCAGAGTCAGCATGTGTGTGTATCCATGGGTTGGACTTGTCCAGACATTTTACCAGTAAATGAAATACAACCAAATACAGAAAAATATATATTGAAGTACAGTATACACATAAGTAAGTATTCTTCAGTGGAGGAAACAGTTTGGCTCAGTGGAGGTGCCAGAACTGTTAGTGTATCTTAAAAATAGTTACAAAACTATCTCTGCTTAAATATTAATTAATTGGTTTGTCAACATATCATTAAAATACCTTGAGTAAGAGAAGAGTTTTGGTTAAGGGATATTAATGAGCTCAGTCTCAAAAAGCTCCCATGGTTATTTTTATTTTTTATTTTTGGGAGAAATGAGTCTCACTCAGTCACTACTAGAAATTGGCCCACTTCACCTAAAATGCTGGTTTTATCCTAATAAACCTTGACCAAATGAAGCAGTGTAGGACATGAGAAACTTTCAATTTTTAATTTAATGCAGTTTTCATTCACCAAGTTAGGGAAGTTATTGCCCTATTTTTGATAAATAACTTTTAGACACTGTAGCATGGAAAAGCCTAGAGAGCAATGTAAAAACTGTACAGTCAGGTTCTCCTGGTCTATATCAAACATTACACAATGGGAGTTGGGTGCTATGGAAAAGTCACTGAAAATAGGTTAAAAAAAATTCTATGGCCGACTTTCATTACAAGTTTGACAAGATTTACATTCGCCAGTCATGGAGTTACCATTGTAAACAACAGGGTACGGGGGGGCTGGTTCACAGGGAAAGTCTGGGGATAATGGTGAAAACACACAGCTAGCAAGTGACACAAGTACTTAGTAATTATGTTCAGGTAGACACTTTATTGAAATACAAATATTGAAAGGGTGATTTTGGTAGATAGGAACATATTTCACATTACTGTATTCTAATCTATATACTGTAACATTATCTTTGTAAATCATGATTTCATGTAGCACAGATTTCAAGGAATGACTCTCCTGCATTATACAAGGGCTGTCAGTACAATACTAATCTGCTAGGGACTTCATATTTAAGTTTGTTCAACAATGTAATATTAATTTCACCATTTTCATGAACCATATAGAGTACAGTATTATAATATTTTATGAATAAGATTATTATTATTATTATTATTATTATTATTATTATCAATATTGAAAACTTACTACAATACCATACTGTTTAAATGAAGGTGAAGTAAAGACCCAATGCATGTGTATTATTAAACCAAATTTTTGGATGAACCAACATTGTTTATCAAGGTGACAAACAAACGTTGTGATAAAATATATAGGTTCATCCGAAATTTGGGTTTAATAATACACTTGCACATGAATTGTGTTACTAATCATTCCCAACTGTTTAGATCTACCAAATAGGATAATGCTTATGCTAATGCAACCAAATGGCCACAGCTACCAGGTCCAAATTCCTATTCTGAAGGCCAATTGTCTAGAAAATTGTTTCAGAAATTTGAAACTTGTCACAATGTGCAGTATTTGGCAAAACACGGATATCGCAGTGAATGGTTTTCCTTCACTATTCAATTATATACAGTAGCATAAAAAAGGTTAAACACCTCACCAAGAACCCAAAACCATTACCATTGCAAAATTTACTTCACTATTCAATTATATACAGTAGCATAAAAAAGGTTAAACACCTCACCAAGAACCCAAAACCATTACCATTGCAAAATTTACAAGTCTCACAAACTTTCACCAGTATTACCAAACATTTCATGGAGAGTCAATGTACCTTTTTCAAAATGAGGCTGGATGAGGACTTGGGAGATGTGGACAGGATCGAGGGTGAGGCTGCCTTGGCCCAGAGGATTATACATGTCTCCTTCTGATTCGCTGATACTGGTGAAGCTTGTGGTCATGGATGAGGGAACAGTTTCCACTTGACAAACAAAATGTATGGTAGTATAAATGTCCAGATTCAAACAACTATATTTTAACCCTCAAAGTGTGGTCATTATCATGTGTTGATCAACAAGTACCATGAGGTCATTGTCAAATTCTTGCTGTAGACAAGAAAACTGTACAGTAGTACTTAGAGTTATCGAGGTTGCCCCCTTCTTCCTATAGGCCAACTACTGACCTTTCCCAAGACAAAACCCACAACAGTTGACTAACTCCCAGGTTAGGTACTGGTACTCCCTATTCCTGTTAGGTGAACAGAGGCATCACGTGAAATAAAACGTGCCCTTCCCAGGGATTGAACCCGGGATCTTTGATTGTGAGTCAAAGACATAGAACACTGTACTATAGGAGTCAAGTGAAGATTGTCTTGTGTTGGTGTTTGAATACAAATGTTGTACATATTGTTCCAATAGCTCCCACCATCTGGTTAATTTGCAGTTACCTTGCATTGATTCTGAGTATCAAGTCCCCACAGCCCAATCTCTGACCAGGCCTCCAATCAGGGAAGGCCACAAAATAATTTGGAGTCAGGCAGGATTTAGCTCCTGGTCCCCTGTCAACAAATGACAATGACAGCACTTCGGGCAACATAATGATCTATATTGAATATATTTATTTTGGTATTTTGTTTGCTTTTGCATTTAGATTCCTTAATTTAGAACATTTCTGATGAAAAATTAAACAAATATTTTTTTCATTTGGTCCAGGGTTCTACAATGTAATGCTGACAAATGCTACATAAAATATTTAACACTGCACAGGCCAAAATATGAGTAGAGTAAAAAGTAAACAAAAAAAACAGCGTTGAATGTAATGAAACGCCATTTTCTGAGTGAGACCCAGAGGCTCCCCGGAGCTATCTGGGCTGATATGAATGTATTAGACCCTGGCAACAGTCAATGTGCATGGAGTTGAACCATGCTCTCCTTTCTCTCTTCTCCGTTTGTGGTGGGCCCCTTTGGTTCAAGATTGTTCAGCAGAGGCTCTTTTCTTGTTGGCTTTGGCTCTGGGGGTTGGGTTGAGGAGCTTCATGCTCTCCTCCAGCGTAGGGATTTCTGCTCTTTATGTCCTGGTGGTAGGTTTGTTCGTTTGCAGCCATCTTCTTCTTTTCTGGCGAAGAATGAGACCGGAGGGGTTCTTGGGTTGTTGATGCTTGGTTGGTCAGGCTGGGGGTGGGTGCATCATGTGTTGTGCTTGGTTGCAGCTCTCCACCGTTACCTGCGTGCCACGGCCTCGGTGGCTGGGAACATGCTTTGGGTTGACCCGGTTTCCCTTCTTCCCTGTTCCAGGGTTCTGGTCGTCTGCAGAGTTATTTCGCCCAGCCAGCCTGTGGTCTATCCTCGTGTCCACAATGTTCGTAAGTTTGCTGCACTGGCTGCCGTCTTCAGTAACATGTCTTGGGCTGGGCTTGGGAAATCAAAGAACTCCCAGAACCCCATCAGGCAGGTAACAGACAGGGAAGAGAGGGTAGAGGAAAGTAGGAGTAGGTGGGGAAGGGATATGGAATAGGGGTGGAGAAGAAATATAAGAGGGAGAAGGGAAATGATTAGAGAAGAAGACAGCAAAACCAGAGTGTAAGCTGTAGTATCAGCAGAAACATCTACCAGTGACTGCCAACGAGAGTAGATGAGGTGCGGCAAAGCTAAGCAAGGCTTTGGAGAATCACTATAAGGGAGTTGCACATGAAATAAACCCTAAACAACTTTTAATAAGCTAATTTACTTGAAAGGCTCAATGAAAGCATGTACAGTACTACAGTCAAATTATGTATTACCTTTCTCATTACTGATCTTCTTGTTATTGCTGGAAGAATCTGAGGCAGGCGACTCTGATCGGTCGTTGAGCACAGAACGCAACCCACGCTGAGCAGTTACCCAAATGCGAGAAGCAGTGCCAGATCCGCGTGCCACAGTGCTGCCATCTAGGCTAGGACTGTGTGTTGCAGATAAGAAAGTAAAAATAGCAAGAATTAAAAGAGGTGAATATGTATTAACGTGCACATCTGTAACTACAGTTATGTTTGAGATTTCACATGTATGTACACAGTATATATATATCATCTATATACTGTGCCGTTATCATCTACATACTGTACCATCATCATCTCCTACATACCATACCATCATCTCCTACATACCGTACCATCATCATCTAAATATTGTACCATCATCATCTAGATACTGTACCATAATCATCTCCTACATACCCTACCATCATCTCCTACATACCGTACCATCATTATCTAAATACTGTACCATCATCATCTAGATACCGTACCATCATCATCATCTACATACCCTACCATCATCTACATACTGCACCATCATTATCATCTATATACCATACCATTTTCATCTATGTGCTGTTCCATCCTCATCTCCTTCATGCTGTACCATCCTCATCTCCTACATGCTGTTCCATCCTCATCTCTTGCATACCATCATCTACATACTGTACCATTATCATCATCAATATGCTGTACCATGGTCCACTAGTTCAACATGCCCAAGCCATCTTGGAACCAGTTTTGTATCTAGCGGGGAAGCAAGGCAAGCAACCACTTTTCCCCGAGTAAATTTTTCATAAGTTGGGCCTTTTCAACAATATTTTTTTTAATTCTAGTTCATGGATGCGATGGAAGTCGAATCTCCAATATTCAAACCAAGTTGTATTTTAAAACTCCAGAAAGTGTCAATCCCTTTTTTTATGCCAGTTTACTTCATCTTTCAGTACTAAAAGTAGAACCATGCAATCAGATCAAATCTTGCACACTGCTTTTAAAGAAATTTTGTGATACTGGATGGGCGTCCTGATAATTAATGATCCGATAACTTGTGGCCAAGTACTTAGGCTAAACTAACCTGGATATAACTTCAATGTCTGAGGATGTAGTGGTCTCAACTTCATCTCCTGAGCTGTGACCAGACGTATGACCGGAACCAACCTTAAGAGCCTCAGACCTAAAAAAAACAAAAAAAAAAAATTGAACACAATTTATTTGTTAACTGCCATGAATTTATGCAGGCATTTTGGCACTGTGGTGGGCCACATCATGCAATAATTGAGAGATGGATTCAGCAGCACATCAATAAATGAGTTTGTGGGAGGAGGCCAGGTTGAGGACCAGGCCGTGGGGACGACACGCCCCAAAATCATTTCAAGGTAACCATCTCAAGGTGGGTAAAAAGGGGGAATGGGGTAAGTTGAATAAATCAACATTTGTCTATACTGGAAATACAAATTAAATTAGATTTGATAATTCTATTAAAAATGCAAAACATTGGCTGTGCAGAATTGCAGGGCTCATTGACAGTCCCTCACACCACCTGCATAACAGCCACACTAAAGGTTATCACACGAAGCTTGATAATCCAAATTACAGTATGTGGGGTCTCCCACCCCCATTCTGGCTAGTCAAAATTATTCCTGGAAATTTCCCCCACCCCCTTTCCAAACAAAAAATAATTTATTTGGGTTTTCCTTTGCCAAAAATCTCAATAACCCAAATTTTATTTGAATTGAGCCATCAAAAACTTGAACTCAAATTTACTTGTTTTCCCTTTCAGCAGTAATCTCAGTACTTTAACTCAAATTTTAATTTGAGTTGAGCAGACAAAAACTTGAAATGAATTTATTCAGGTTTTCTTCATGCAAATATCTCGGTACTCAAAATTGTTATCAGAGTTTAGCAGTCAAATACTCTTAACAAATTTATTCAGATTACACAAAGATTTGGGTTGATAGAATTTGGATGTTCTAGTACTTACATTACAGTACATGTATATGATTCATTATTGTACACTAGAGTTGTAGTTTATGACAATACATTTTTCTTGTGTTCTATTCACAAACAAAAATTGTCACACAAATGCTTCCAAAAGATCTCTGGTTGAAAGATATCTCCAAATGTAATGAATTGCAGCTGGTCTCAAAGTTCACCAACTCAAGGTCGCAATGTATTGTATTAGCACTTCAAACATATTACGAAACATGGACAGTAAGCTCACCGTTCTGAAGATGAGGGGGAGTGCTCTCTCTCTGGTGGAGGAGATGCTCCGCTAGCAGCTTCCTCATCTCCTATTGCCTCCTCCAGCAGACAACGCACAACTGCTCCTCCTGAATTACTCATAGTGTCATCAACATTCTCATTGCTTCCTTGATGCTCCTGCTCACCCACACGTGTAACACTCCTATAAATAAAGGACAACAAATTGTAGGGTATATGCAACTTAAAATCCTCACTATATTAATATCATTCAGCCTATGGGCTCTTCTAAAAGTCAGACTTCAAGAAACAAATTTTTTCCTTTTTTTTTTTCATTTTTCTTATTTTCAATTTCTACTAAATTATTTTTTAGCCACCCATCCTCCTGATAAGGTAGTACTTTTTGTAACTACAGTACAGTATGGGGATGATCATACAAATATTTACGTGATGGCTAAATAGAAAGTAAAACTGGGTACTACTTTAGAACTGGGTACTGCATTTGATAGTTTGGAAAAAATAAAGCTAAAAACTAAACCAAAATATTCCTAGGCCTAGTATAGCTATATGTACTATATCAGGCCTCAGACAGCATGTATTAGGCCTAGGATGGTTAGGTTTCATTAGCAACATAAATCTAAAAACTTTTCCAGTTTGTCCAAATTCAATAATACAACTCTACTTTCTACTTTCCAGCATCTCCATATTATTACCTGTAGGCCAAGACACTTGACTGCAATCACCTTTATTGAGGGAACTCTCTCACACAAAGTCAACTTCGGGATCATCATACCCCGTGCTACTTGGAACTTTTGTTCCGAGTAGCTGGATCTTAAACAACAACTACAACAACGACTTTCGTGCTGTACTCGTTTCTAGCAGCCATTTGAAAATATTAGAGCCTGGTGTGGTAACCTAGGTTTGGTGCTAGACAAAAGTATAATGTAATTCTACTGGGAAAACCTAAATAACCTATGGTAAATCAAACAGACTGGGAAGGTATCATGGTAGTTGAGAATAATGAGGTGGTCTCAGCAATTGGAGTTTAATCCCTATTCAGTTAAACAAGTACCTAAAATTCTCCCTTTCACTTTTTTTTTTTTTATCTTATTCGCACTTTTTTCATTAGAACATTTTGTTCATGCTGAGTTAAATACTAATAAAGAGACAACAGCACACAAAAAGCTCTAGCACAATGGATACAAGATCCAGAAACATAAAGGGTAACTAACCAAACCATCTGAGTAGAATCCACTGAAGCTGTGATAGTGTCCGAACTACCTCCACTTTCCACGGAAATATCTAATGATATGGCCGGTGCGGCACCCTCTACTTCCTCTCCAGGAGCTCCATCTGCACATACAACACCAGTGTGAGTAACAACTCTTCTGTCCTCTAATAATGCATCATTCTCTTCTGACTGGGTATTATCAGCAGATGTTGCAGAGCTCTCTGATGCTGAAGACTGTGTGATAAGTTCAAGTGCCACTGAAGGTGACGGACTACCGAGAGAGTGCTCCTGAGTGATTATACTGGCATCCAACACAGTTTGCATGCTGGAGGTTGAGGTACTGTGCAAACTTTCACTGACTGAAGTATCTTCCGCTAAGCCACTACTCGCCAGTGAACTGGAATCACCGTCTCTTATACTACAAGTAAACTCAGTTGTAGGTTTGTGAGTGGAGGCCAAGCTTTTGTCCCAAGGTGTTGGCTGTTTTATTACAGTCGATTCTAAAGATCTTGTTTCTGAATCATAATTTTCTACACAAGGATCACCTACTACACTTTCTTGGGGTGGAACATGTTGACCTAAAGATGGATGGAGGTCTGATTTCATGTTAGTGTTCACCAATAGCTGTAATGTGGGTTGTGTGCTCACAACATTTTGTGGAGGACTTAGGTCTAGTATGAGCGTATCATTACACGAGTCTTGATGTGTAGGAGTTGAGTCACTGGACGAGGGACCGCTTAGCACCTGAAAAAGATAGACAATCATTTTCATATAAAACAAGACACTATACACCTTAAGACAAACTCATGATCAGAAATTATTCTTTTGTAAACGGAGTGGTAGATGGTTGGATCAAGTTAAGTGAGAAGGCGGTGGATGCCAAAAGTCAATACAGTACTGTAGTTTTAAAGTGTCATATGACAAAGAGTAGCAGTAAGATGGGACACCACGAGCATGGCTCTCATCCTGTAACTACACTTAGGTAATTACACACACACACACAGGCTTCCTGCCTCTGAAAAAAAAATTATTAATTATTTTTATGATAAATGAAGACTCTTGGGGTCAATTGCAAAAGAAAGTAATCATCAAAAGAAGGCACCAAACCGGGATGGTTATGTAGCACCATCGAATGTGCGGAACAATCAGAGGGCGCTAAATATCACCAAGGATCCAAATATGAGAACAGAAATGCATAAGGCGAACGATATCAAAAGTATCCGATTCACCAAGAATTCTATCGAGGGACAAGCAACCGCAAGGGACGGTCGGAAAGCAAGACACACGCTCGTCTTGGAATTCAGGACATTCAACAAGGATATGAACGATTGTAAGAGGGACAGTGCAATTTGGACAATAAGGAGCAGGGCGGCGCTCCATTAAGTGACCGTGAGTTAAGTGTGTATGGCCAATATGCAACCTCACCAGAGCCATTTCCCATCACCAGTTATGGTGGTAGGAGGAAGGCCATGAGGACACACTACCCTTAAGAGTATGCAATTTGTTAAAAAAAAAAGAAGACCAACAATCTTGCCAACGGGTAAGGATGGAGGAATGAATAACTGAGTAAAAATCGGAATAAGGAATACAATACCTAAACGGGAGATGGACCAAGAGCGGACAGCTTCCCTTCCCTGGCAGCAGGGTCCGCACGCTCATTTAAAGAAACACCAATATGGCTAGGATCCCAGCAAAACTCAACTGACTTAAATTTACTGGAAATAAGAAACAACCAATGTTTAATCTCCATGACCACTGGATGGACTGGATTGAAGGACCCGAGAGTCATGAGGGCACTACGATAGTCAACGACAACAACAAAGGAAGATTGACAACAAGAAAGCAGGAGACAAAGAGCATAGAGAATAGCATAAAGTTCTGCTGTGAAGATGCTAGTCTCTGGAGGTAGGTGTCACATATAAGTGCAGTCAGGAAAAACAACAGAGTAGCCTACACCATCCACAGACTTAGACCCATCGGTGAAGATGGAAACGGAGCGGGAGTGAAGAAATGTGCTCAAGGAAAAGGTGTTTCAGAACAGTTGGAGGGGTAAAAGCTTTAGTGATGCGGGTCAAGGAAGAACAAAATTTTGGAAGCGGGACTCACCACCGGGGCAATGAAGGAACAAGACGAGGAGAAATATTAGAAATATGAACTGAAAGAGAATCCTGTAGGCGAGATAACTGGACAGAAAGAGGGAGGTGGTGAAGAGGAACAGGAACTACAGGAGGGGTAAAAGTCAAAGCACGACAGGCGAGAGGAAGGATGTTGCAAGGACGGCACAAGATAGCGAAGACAACAGCAATCATGGCAGTCCCGGAGAAATAGGAAGCCAGTGTCAACATACAAGCTAAGGGTGGGAGTCGAACGAAAGGCACCAGAGCTGAGGCACAACCCAGTATGGTGCAAAGCATCAAGACGGCAAAGAGTAGAAGGAGAAGCAGACGAGTAAGCAGGGCAACCATAATCGAGTTTAGACAGGGCGAGAGAGAAATGCAAAGCGAGGAGTGCGCGCCTATCCGCTCCCCAAGAGTACAGGGCAAAACCTTAAGGAGGGTATGGGCCTTAGAGCATTCAACTCTGAGGTAAGAGATATGGGGCAACTAAGACAAACGAGTGTCAAAGATTAACCCCAAAAGCTTAGCGGAATCCTTGTACTCAAGGGGATGACTCGCTCACAAAAACATCATGTAATGTGCATGAACCTTAGGCATACAGGCAAACTTTGCCCCACCCAATTTCAAAATCGTTGCAAAAAAAAATGAATTCACATGTCAGAATTTGCACTTTCCAAACTTGCTCAGGGTAAGGGTTTATATAATCAGAATATATCAGTACAAAAGCCACACAAAATGATATTCACAATTTTACAACTTACCTCTATGGAGGAGGGTGAAGTAACTAGACTGGATGAACCAAGGACTTCAATTGATTCAGGAGAACTAATGGGACTGGTAACTTTTCCATAGACAAAATTTACAGTTAATTTGGTTCTGGTTGCTTCAGAAAAAGTGCCTGACACCTCTCCATCAGGTGAGCTGCTGTCAGAGGTAAGCACCACTATACTGTCTGGTGTATTACTTTCAGAGTTAGTGCACGACACCATAGTTCTTCTTTCATAGCCGTCACTCTTACTACTCACACTACTACAGCTTTGGAACCTTTCTTCTTCTACACTTTCACTTATTTTTTCAGTCATATGATCAGTCTCGTCCTCTTCCTCTCCCAAAAACACATCTTCAGATATGGCAGATGGAACATCCAGATCAACCGAGCGTCCAGAAAGAGAACCTTGGCTCTCCTGTCGTACAAACCCTCCGGTGTCACTGTCAACGCTCCCCACCACAAGTCGACTTTTAGCAAAACCTTCTATGTCAATAGCATCGTCGGCTAAACTGTCTTCACGAGCCTCTAGTTCACCATGTATTGTTCCAAACTCTCCTGAAATATAAGTGTTAAGTAGAACTGGAGTATAGAAAAGCACCTCCTAATACAAACTATAAATTTATATAAAAATTTGCAGTATAGGATACCATGCTACATTCTTGATCCACAACTAAGGGGCCCAGGTTCAATTCCCAGGTGAAACAGAAAGAGTTGGGCATATTTTGTTACATTTGATGCATCTGTTCACCTAGAAGTAAATAGGTACCCAGGAGATAGGCAATGTTGTAGGTTGCATCCTGGGAATGGTCAGAAGTTGACCTAGGGAGACCTCAATTTAAGTACATGAATAGTCTTCCTGTCCCCAACAATGGGAAATCATTCCTTCGCTAGATCCTGTCAATATACTCCCCTGCTCTAATGGATAGACGCGTATGGAACCTAATCAAAACGAACCGAAGTTCTTTTGTATCTGAAAGTTGCTAAATTATGCATATACAATATTTTACACTCACAGTACAGTATTTTACACTATAACCTTGCTCATGTGTATCATGCTGGGTCAGAATCCTTGGAGGGCTGGAAAAGATTCACTAATGGGTAAATGTTCAGAGTTATCATACAATGTCCATCTCATCACCTTTCTTGGTGAACCAGTGCAACACACATATGAGTGCATGTGGGGGGAAGAGAAGTGCATGTGGGGAAGACAGGAGTGTATGTGGGGGAATAGAAGTGCATTTATAATAATAATAATTCATTTTGTCAGGGGACAGGCAGCCAGTGTATTCATATGTTAGGCTTATATCAACAGCTGTGTGCTGTGGCTGCCTGCCCCATACTGTGAACATTGTCATCACTGGTTTACTGTTATCTGAACTTATAAGTGTTTCTCACTATCAGGATCTTCCTTATCACCATCATCCTTAAATTATTGCAGCTACTTATTTATTTCATCATCATTAACACTTTCGCGGGATGACGACTCAGTGAGGCGCCAAAAGTTTATTAAACGAATGTGAGGAAATGACGCATCAGTGCGTCAAAAATTAAAAACATTTTTTTGCTTTCGGCTTGGCTGTGGGTGGGGCGCTCCGTGGTTTTGGACATTATATGCACATAATCTTGTAGGGAATTTTATTGCAAACACATTGATACCAAAATGAAAGACCTAGAACGAGAAATGAGGTGACAAAATTGAAAAAAGAATACACTTTTCAGTATTACCGCGCACTCACATGGAATGCCCAACCCACCTTGGGGTGGTCTGGCGTTCGCTCGCCCAAAGTGCGAAAGTATTAAATGATGCTGTGGGCACAAGCTGCATGTCGGTGCTGTGAGCTGCTGCTGCATGCATTACCAATGATTGCTGTCTCGGTACTGAGGTTCTCACACCTAAGAAGAGTCCCCACAATTTTTTTTCCAAAATGGCATCTGTTTACTGGAGGCCTAAGGAAGTGGATGCGAGCCTCCTGCATCCAAGGGAGTTTTAAATCTTACGCTAGACCTCAAAATGACCCTAGCTGACATGCACATCATGGATGAAATTGGCCTATTTAACACACACACTCTTGAAGTATTAAACAGCACACCTATTTAAAAGTATAATATTGAGGAGAGCTTGACTAAAAATAGATAACAAATCATATTAAAAAAAAAAAATACACAGCAAATGGAACACAGAAGGGAATTGCAGGTAGTGTTTGGAGCAGTGTCAGAGTTAAGGGTTATGCAAATGCTTCTTACCTTCTAGGTGTTGATGGTCTCCAGACATGACCATAATGCTGCTCTCCCAGCCCCAACCCCACTCGTTGACAGCTCCATCATCATTGCTAGTCGCGTCTGCAACCTGCTGGCCCTCGTTACTTTTGTCATTCAACTGCAAGGACAAAAGTTATTAATAATACAATTCTTTTGTTAATCATATTTAGTGTTTCTATTATGAGAAATTAACTGATTAAACCAGGAACTAGTAAGTGGAACTGCACTTTTGCACACTTCTTCACTTATGCCAGTGAACTAGTCAGTGAACTCCATCCCTGCAAACTGCTCCCATATAGGTAACTGATTTCTAAAATGTAACAATTCTTATAGGTTTTATGTATTTAATACCTTAGTATCTATGGGAATTTTGTGTCTTCTTCAGATATTTAAGTTTAACCATTTAACTGCAACCCTTCATTTTTTCTTGGGTCAATATGAGGCCACAGTTACAAGACCTAAATTCCTGTTCTGAAGGACAGATATCTGAACGGATGTTTCACAATATTAATATTACGGTTTTAATGCATTTTTAAAACTATTGCAGTGAATGATACTTGTTTGTAAAGTAAGCATTCCTGCTTATTGCAGCAAAAATATTCAAGACCAATAAATAAGCCTTTACATTAGGAAAAACTTTTAGTTTACCATTATAGCAGTGAGACTGATATTGGTAAAACATATATCAAATACTGTAATTAGGATGGTAAAACACTTTGAAGAACTAATAGACACCCAACACCCACACATGAAAACAAAGGAAGTGACAAACCGAAACGTCATCATTTCCCTTCCTATTAGAGGTGGGGGATTAAGGTGTGTAATTTTCAAACATTATTTTGACTCTCTACAAGAACTAATAAACAACTGCCATTAATCTACACTGAAAAACAACAATGTCTGGAGAATTGCTTAAAGAAACATGTACAAAGAATATATGAAACACTTATACAAAGCCACCTCCTGAGGGATGAATTCCTAAATGGAACAAAGCATTAAAGTTTTTAGACAGATGGAATGAAGCTGCTGTATATGAATGAATTAAGTGAAAGAGAAGACAAAAACAAATATGGGGACAAAATGAGGCAGTAAGAAGCTGAGGCCCTGCATCCCTAAACTCCTCAGGGACATGGATTCAATCCCATCACATGGCCTCAATATTTATTCACAGATTCAACACATTCTTGTGATTTCATTATGCATTCACTAACTAATGTTTATTTTGTGGACATTTAATATCACAAGTAACCAGTTATAAAAAAAAAGCATTATAATGTCGGTTAGATTTGATCATCCAAATTACAAACAATTCTAGATTGGCAAGAAATTTACAGTTGAAAACTAGGAAAAACACAGCTATATTAAATATCTTGCCATTTACCTGAACCTCTTTACTGCTTTCATGATCTTCCAAACTAGATGTGCGAGGCTGGGTAGATACAGGACTGGTTGTTAGTTGTAGGGTTGGTAAACTTGTGCTATTGCGAGGAGGCTGTGTAGCCACTATGCTCTTTTCTGATCCACTTGTTGCTTCACAAACTTCTGCAAGATGAACCCTTCAAATATTCACTAATCAAACATTCACATAAAAGTAACTAATAAACATATGAGAAGGTTTTGAAAATAATGTTATATATATATAATTCCTATTATTGGGGATAGGCAGCCTGTACTGAGGCTTATTGATATCTCCCTGGCCTGCCCTACACCAATTACTGCCCTTCCCAAGGATTCAACCCACAAAAGTTGCCTAACTCCTATATGCCTATTTTTCTGCTAGGGGACTGAACCCAGGTTCCTCAATTGTAAGTTGAGGATGTAGACCACTGTACTACTGGATCCATAGATATGGTTTAAAACAATCAATACATTGTAGAAGTGATGCACGATTCATACCAAGGGTCCAAGATGTACAAGGCTGCACACTGCTCTATCAATATATTTATTTTGCATATTTTTACTTTTATACTGTATATTTTTTGTACTAAAATATTTTTGATTTATACTCTTTGTATTTACTATGCTAAGGGTTTAATACATAATATATTTATAGATATTTATTAGGGGTGGCAGATCAAATTCTACAACACAGAGTGGCCTACTACAAGGTAATGGGGTACTATATGAAACACTGTACAGACCAACCTGAAGGATAAAAAACTGTCACTTTCAGAGAACCAAATGTGTAAAAGGGCAAACCACATCAATTCTTCCTTTAAAGTGTTTCAAAGATTGTGAATGTATTTCCTGACCAACATTCAGCATTATTTTAAATAAAATATGAAATTAATACCTTTCTTTCTGGCAGCAGGAGGATTCTCAAAGAAAGATCCAGTAAATGAGCCCCATAAACTGCCAGGCATGATAGTCGTACTGCTGGACTTTTCCTCATCTGGAACAGAGTATTATATAAATAACCCATCTCACACACATAAGAAAATGTGTGGGTGTCAACTTGATAATGGATCAAGACAGAAATGATGTCACTGTCATTTTGATACTTGTGGCAAAGGTTATTGATTTTAGCCACGTTACTATGACTAAAATCTCTGCAGAGAATTACGTCTTTATCACTACCTCATTTTCCACTAGTGGCGATGTCTAGAATGCATACAAATATATTAAAAATTATTTAACACTTACACTGCTCCATTCACTATCTGCAATTTCCTCCTGTCTTCCAATTTTCATACATGACTTTCCCATTTTATTTGGTAAGTATAGTTATGTGCACCTCAATGTAGTACTTTTATACAGATGCACAATTTAGGGGTTAATCAGCTTCAACACTGAGTGCTCAACATGTGTACATTATACTGCCAACATGCACTGTACTAGCCAGCCAGCCTCTCACACTCTCATCACACTAGTACTGCAGATTATTTTACAGTCAAAGCTTAGTTTATTTTTAGTTGTTGTATCGTGTCAATAAAACTTGTACTGTAAAATCAGTATTGTTAAAATGTAATATTTTAAAACAAATATAATTCTAAAAAATTCAGCTTGCCAGAAGTCATTAAAAGTAAGCTTCTAAGGGCTTCAAATGTCTCTAGCCCAGGGCCATATGAGTCCAATCAACCCAGAGACCTCTGTTCATTCTTCACCACAAACAATTTTAAGCACATAGAAATTGTAATAAATGTACTCTAATTAAAAAAAATACCTTTTGGTTTTGGAGTCGTTCCTGGAGATGGATCTATTGGGGAATTTGCAGGAGTGACCGGTGACTTTGCCTTTTCTATTCCAAATGATGCAAAAAAATTCTCAGACTCATCTTTCAGCTTCTCTGGTAGTCCTATAAGATAATGTTTTCTTGTAATTTGAACTTAAGACCATAAAAAGAAAAATAAGTATAAAGATAATTGCAGAAGTCCTATGGGACCATATGAGGCAGGTCCCATATATATTCATTTATATCCAAACTCATTCATATTACAATACACTGTATATGCAATATTATGAGTCAAAACCCCGCAAGTACATTGACTGTTGTAAGAAAAAAAGCTAACAGTATTTTCTACAATGGTAGCAATACAAATAAATGGAGACTGTAAAGCTGCCTTATATACCATTTTTAGAAAAGAAATCTAGAGACCTTAGTGATACTAATCACATATTTGTACTGTATTTAATTTCCAAAATACAATTAGGAGAAAGCTTTGCCATAAGAAGCTCAATAGTAATATTAATAATAACAATAATGATGGTTTTGTTCATATCGTTGATGTTGGTGTTAACAATAATAACAGCAGGATTGGTGTTAGTGTAGATAATGGGCGTAGAGTTAGCAACGGTAAAGTTGATAATGGTAATGAACAACATTGTAGCTAATGGTATTTGTGATAAATTGTTATGATTGCAGTTCATCATATATGGGCAAAACTGGTTGAGGTTTACTGAAAGAGAGTTGATGACCATAAAAAAGCAGTAATAAAATTTTATGAGAATAAAGCCATTGCTAACCATTGTTGGGATTTTAATCACAAGATGGATTTTAATAACCGAAGAATTGTATACAACTGTTCATATATATACAGTATAACAGAAAGAGATGCCTAATACAGTAGAAGGAATAATTATAGATTCTATAGAGACAGTAAAGACAATAAATCTTTTAGTAAAGGAAATCCAATTAACCATAAAATTATTCTTAAGGAAGCAAAACTAACTAATCTCATTAATTCACATAAGCACAGAATTTGTGATGTTCAGAGTAGGAATAATGATTCAGTGGAATCCTGCCCACAGTTCCTAGAAATCATGATAATTGAGCATTCTTCTGAAACTTTGACATTCCTGGGGAGCATAATCACATCATCATCTAATGATGGACGCCAAGTGAGGCGCTCTACAAGATCTATAAATGCAAACTCCTAAAACCTTGTTCGGAACATTTACAGTATACAGTACCTTGAGAAAGGATGCAGGTTACATCTGAAATTTTGATTTTAAATACAGTACTGTACATTTATACATATTTTGGTTCTTTCCTTCACCTTAGAGTGACAAAGCTAAATATGCAATAAATTGAATGTACATTATATGCAATGCTGTACTGCATATTATTATTTAGCAATGTTTGCCTGTTGGGCACTAAAAAATAAACAAAATTTATATTTGTAAAAATTATTGCTTTTAAGTTCCCAAAAGCCTCACCTTTCGGAGTTGGTATAGTTGCAAAATACGGAGTTTTAGAGGGAACTGGGCTTTCATCACTTTCCTCTATGTCAAGAGCCTTATCAATAGTCCGCTGAGCTTCCTTTAGAGCTGATCTTGCCAAGGAAGTGAAGCCGGCAGTATCAAACCAGCTCATAGTGGTGGCTACCTGAAGTGAACAATATAATCAATGATCTTAGAAGCATGATAGATACATTAAAATTATACATACAGTAATTAGTTGACCACTAATTGCTTAGCTTAAATTCACTGGAGTTCAGTACCAGAACCCATCATGTGACACTAAAATCTTTCTGCCATTCGTCAACAGGATAGGTATAAAGTTCACAACCACTCACAAGATAGATATTTACCTGAATTTACCTGAGGGCCACTATCTTCCTAGTGACCTCGATGGAGAAAGAAAGCCACCAGCTTTGATAAGCTGGCAGCTTTGTTTCTGATGATTTTTTCAGAAACTGAAAAAAGATTTGAAGAATTCTTAAAGAAAAAAAGAAGAGAACAAAAAAGATTGTTCCTGAAGTTATTTTCTAACTAGATCTTAAACTGAAGTAATATTATGGCATTTACAGCCTCGTTTGCTAGGTGGCTCTAGAGTTTATAACCCTAAAGGTGAAAGAGCATATCTTGTGTTTTGTCCCACACTGTGGCTTGTTGAGATTGAAGCCTCAAATAACCTAACCTAATCTATGATAACCTAACTTTATTAGCCTAAAATCATCTAGGCTTGTTTGATTAATAGCTTAATATAACATATAAATGAGCAATTCTCTAAATGACTACAGGTAAAATCTACTGAGAGATTACTGTAATCAGCTCTAATAATTTTTAATTAAGATTCAGCACATATTTTGTATTTGTTGTTGTATATACAACACATAATTATTAGGAAAATGAGAAAAGTTTGTTTAAATTACATTTTTGGTGTCATGAGTTGCCGCCCATCTGGGTGGGTGTGGAGCAAGACTAGTAACTGTGTGACTCACCGTAGATGTAAAGTGCCTTGTATAGTGACTGTTGTGACTCTCTTGTTGAATCACTTGTGATATAAAAAGATTAGTGATATGTATATTTATTTGTGTAAATGATTGTATGTATATGTACATGTGTATGTAACATTAGCAATTGTGTACCTAGCTTCAAAGAGTTTCACTTGCTTTGCTAAATGAACAATGGGATTCAGTTCCTGAACCTATAATGTGCCTCTGTAACCCTTTCTACAGGATGGGTATAGGGTGCATAATAAAGAAAAAAACTGAAAGAAATTGAATGAGTTGATCCGATACTCTTTACCCATTACTCAACTTCCACTATTCTTAATACATGTGGGGAGAGTGGGGAACTTTTGATAATCTGCCAGCTTCCTGTCCCCATTGAAGCCACTTGATCCCAAGAAGTTACACAAGGTAGATACAAGGTAGATAGACCCAACCTAAACCCAAAGCAACCTGACCTAGCCCAAGCTAATACATACTAATCCAACTATATATTATTATACAGTAGTTATATGTAGTTCTGACAAAACAAACTTTATCAAACCTCTTGTGTACGATTTGACTGTATCCCACTCATACTTGTACCTCACTACACACTTGTATAATTCCAGCTGATAATGTCACTACCCAAATATTTCAAGAATTTTATGACAAATATTAACACGATTAATTCCATCTGATATTTCACGCGTTTCACGACAAAATAATAACATGATTAATTACAATATTTAATATGATATATTAAGCACGTCCATAATTTAAAATTATATATCTACGATTATTTCACTGAAAGAAGTTGTGGAAGCCATCTCTGTCAGCAACTTAAAAGCCTCATACGACAAAGAATTCAACCATTAAAGTACTGTAGTTAAAAGCTATAATGCAATAGGTACATCACGGGTAGAAGGGGGGACACAGAGCTCAACTACACTTCCCCCAAAGTCACTTACAGGTGAATGGTGATAGGTAAGTACCGTATCTTGTTTCAAATGTAATTTGTATCAATTAAAAATTATTATTAGCATTATTATTATTATTATTATTACTGTGATATAGGGACACCAGTAATGATGAAGACTTGTGCCTGGAGTGAGTCTTGACGTCAGCTAAAGTGCAGGTGTTTCCTGTGTTTAGTGCTCCTCCAGGGCTTTACCACGGCCACACCACCTGCAGGACGACCATGAGCAGGTGTTGACTCAGTAGCTGCCTCGGGGAGGTGTTAGTACCTGTCTCAGGCAGGTGTTGGGGCCTTCATCTGCAGGAGTTGGCCAAGGAGGAAGGTGGTGGTGTTGTTGTTGTGGCAGCTGACACGCAGACACCCTGGCTCCCTCCCTCCCCTCCCTCGCCACTCCATCCCTCCCCTCCCTACCTACTTTACTCCAAATACAAATCTATATACCATCTTTATAATATTATATTTACAAGAAGGTACAATGGGTGAGATTACATTAGAGTGATATTTATACATTCTTGCAAAGGCATTAACCCGCATAGCGTTTAGGGCAGGTCCTTAATCTAATATATCAGGTAATAAGGTGAAAAGGTGCAATTTTAGCAAGGTTTTATATCAACAAATAATTACAATATAAATTGACAGAGATGATTACACAGAGATGATTACTACATATGTCTTAAGTACTAATATTGGGGGAAATGGGTAGTACAAGATACAGTGTGAGTTTGAAGCACATTAAGGAAGGAAAGTATGAGGGTGAAATTAGGTACTTTTTGGTTTTACTTTTGAATAGGGGGATAGGTTGGACAATTTTGTAATTCATCAGGGAGTGAATTCCGAGGACTGGGCCTTTTTATTTGCATGGAGTGTTTGCAAAGATTTAGTTTGACTCTGGGGATATCAAGGAAATACTTATTTCTAGTGTGGTGCTCATGGGTTCTGTTAACCCTATCAAGGAAACGTTTCAGATCTACAGTAGCATTTAGGTTTTGTTCACTATACTTTCACTTTCTTCACTATACTCCTTCCTTCCCTACCTATTTTACTACGTCCTTCACTATTCTCCCTCCTTCCCTACCTATACCTACTTACCTACCTTACTCCATCTTTCTTCACCATACTACCTCCTTCCCTCCCTACTTTACACCACCCTTCTTCACTATACTTCCTCCCTCCCTCCCTCCCTACCTACTTGCCTACTATACTCCCTCCCTCTCTACCTATTTTACTCGGTCCTTCTTCACCATATTTCCTCCTTCTCTCCCTACTTTACTCTATCCTTCTTCATCATACTCCCTCCCCTACCTACCTACTTACCTACTTTACTCCATCCTTCTTCATCATACTCCCTCCCTCCCTCCCTACTTTATTCCACCCTTCTTCACTATACTTTTTCCCTCCCTACCTACCTAGTTTCCTCCCTTACTCCATCCTTCTTCACCTCCCTCCCTTATTCCTTCCTAGTTTCCTCCCTTACTCCATCCTTCTTCACCTTCCTTCCTTCCTTCCTTCCTTCCTTCCTTCCTTCCTTCCTTCCTTCCTTCCTTCCTTCCTTCCTTCCTGCCTGCCTGCCTGCCTGCCTCCCTCGATCCTCCCTTCCCTTCCCTTCCCTTCCCCTCCTCTTTCCTTCCCTTCCCCCTCCTCTTCCCATCCCCTCCCCTCCCTCCCTCCCAAGATTCAGGAAAGACTTGGGTAAATACTGGTTCGGTAACAGGGTTGTTGATTTGTGGACCAATTACCACGTAACGTGGTGGTGTGGTCCCTCGATTGTTTCAAGCGTGGGTTGGACATGTATATGAGTGGGATTGGGTGGTTATAAATAGGAGCTGCCTCATATTGGTCAATAGGCCTTCTGCAGTTACCTTTGTTCTGTGTTCTTATGAATAACCGAACTCAATTAGGGGCTCACCACATGTAGCCCGTGCTACAAATGTGGTGAGCCCACATTTGTAGCACAAAACCACCCAATCTCATGTATAGTGGGATTGGGTGGTTATAAATAGGAGCTGCCTCGTATGGGCCAATATGCTTCTGCAGTTATCTTTAGTCTTATGTTCTAATGTTCTTAACTAAGTGATTGTAACCTAACTACCGCTGCCCACTGGATGGGGGGCGGTGTGCAGGACAAACATATCAATTGTGACACTAGCTGTCCACATGTCAGTTGTTTAATGTAGAAACTGTACTTGTGGTCGATCTCGAACCCATTGATGATGTGACGACTTATACTAAATTTTGTAACTAGCTCATCAATATTGTAACTTGCTTAGCTAAATGAATTGTGGGGTTCAGTCCCTGAGCCCATTATGTGCCTCTGTAACCCTTTCCACTACCGCCCACAACGTGGGTATGGGGTGCATAATAAATAAACTAAACTAACTCCCTACCTGCTCACCGTTTCGTTAGTGGCCCTCAGGTAAATTCAGGTACTCCCTCCCTCCCATTCTACCTTCTTCCCTCCTCAACCTATCCCATCCTACCTTCTCATTCTACCTTGGTGAATCCCGTGGAGCTCCCACTCTCTCCCTACCTTGAACGGGGCTCCTACTTCCTCCCTACTTTTCATACGGAATTCCCACTTCGTCCCTTCCTTACTCCCTACCTTCTTATTTCCTACATGGCCCTCCGTCCATCCCTTCCTCCCACGGAGTCCTCCTTCCCTCCTCTTTTTGCGAAGGAGGGAGGTAAAAAAAGACTGAGAGGTGCAGGCCAAGAAAAAAGTTATGAGTTATAATAGTGTGAGAGCTGTCCATCATGCTGACATGAAGTTGAAGTGTCTGTTAGTCAAACTAAGCCAAGCATGCTCTTTTGTCAGAACTGCGTCGCGTGTTTAACTGAATATACCTGAGGGCCATCATCCATCTAGTGGCCTCGAATGGTGACAGGAAGCTGGTGGCTTACATAGAGAAGGTTCCAGAAGTTCTTCTAGTCCCCAAATCTGGCGTTCCAATATCTAACATGTATATGTTACTGTATTTGATACCTCTCTCAGCTCCTTTTTTGGAGCTTTGATATCATGTCTATGCATGCCATATATATGGCCTCTGTATTCCTTCTATTTCAGAATTCTTAATTTTTGTCAAAGGTCCCCCCCCCCCCTTTTCAGCTAGATTTTTAACTGCAGTACAATAATGTGGCATTTACGGCTTAGGCAGGTAAGCAGTTCCATGTGGGTGAAAAAGCGTCTCCCGTTTTCTGTCCTACATCGTGGCTTGTTGAGCTTGAGCTGTCACCCCTTGTATGTGTTACATTTAACCTTTCAAAGACACGTGGTCTCTATTAATATCTCCCAACTTGTTTAGTATTTTAAAGGTCTCGGTATCCTGTCATATCTGGTTTGAAGTGTTAAACCTCAACCGTCTTGTTATAAGTCAACTTGGTTCTGGGATAATTTTTGTCGCTATATTGAACTTTCTCCTAAGCAGATGTCCCTCTGAAGATGAGGTCTCCATACTTGGATACAGTATGCCCATCATTTGCCCTGATTATTTTTTCCAGCTGAGTGTTAACATTTAAGTTTTGGCATTTATGGTGTCGGCGGGTATGCGGATCCATGGGTTTATAACCCTGTGGATGAAAAAGCACAGCCTGTTTTCAATCCTGCTTTGTGACATGTTAATCATTGTTTTATCCATTCTAGTACGTTACTACAAGAAGGCCCCTCACTTAGGTAATTACAGACAACCTCATCCAACGGGTGGTTTTTGAGCCAAACAGGAAGTCTACACCTGTTTTCTCACACATGCAACATTCAAAGAGCAGAAGAGGGGGCCAAGGTACCCCCCCCCCCCCATCAATCATAGGCCCGCCTCCACACATCAAGGTGAAACCCACGAGGACTGGCCTCTATAATTTCTGAGAATGAATGAAAGTCAAGCAGATTGATACAAATTTATTTGTATATAAATATGAAGTTTTGTTTAGTTCATTGACCATCCTTTGGGTGGTACAGTAGTGGAAACAGATAAAAAGGCACCACATAATGGGCTCAGGAATTGAACCCAAAAAATTAATATGGCTGGTTACATAGTTTAATGCATACATCAACAATGGGTTTAAGAACTGGACCACAACAGTCTTTTAAGCTAAGCAATTTACATTTGCAGTGAGCTACTTACATATACAATAATCTGATTTGCTTATCAATCACCCTACACCCATCCAATGGGCAGTGGTGGAACGTTTACAAGCACGTGCATACACGTGCGTAAGCAAACATGAGATATTTGGTATACAGGTATTTGGCTAAGTTTTCCAGTAGTACACACTTTTTAATGAAATACTTACATATTTCTTGAATTATAATAGAAATATCTCTAAATTTGAATATATTTTTTTTACATACAGTGATGCAGGATACATGAATAGTTCCTGTTTCCATTAGCTTTGCGAACCATTTGGTTGCCTGGAAGTAGACACCAACTTGCTTGGATTTGAGTCGTGGGATTTTTTACATCTACTCCCCCTGTTCAGTATCTTCTTTTCCATTTTTTCCAGACTGAAGATTGATGTCAGCAGGGTGCTCCTTCTGGCTCTTTGGTGACAGCTCAGTCTTTATTTCTGGGGCTTCTGGCTCGGTGGCCGAACCTGTGTATGTTTCCAAGACTAGACAAACAAGAGATGATCCTCATGGATTCGAGATTCTCTGCAGATCTTCGTGTGTGGTTGAGTTGGTTGTACTGCCATCTGTTTGGGGAAAAGATGGCTGGTCTTCTGTTGTCGCATTTAAGCTGTCTTCTTAGCGATTGTATGAGGTGGCTTAGTGTGCCTTTCATGTCTGGCTTCGATGGTACTGTTCTTTCTTTTTTTTTGTCGGCCATCGGCTGATACTGAATACTGTTGCCTCAGGCATTCTTTCCCCGTTCAACTACCAGCTCCACTTCCTGTGCCTTTTCTGGTTTCTGGATTAGACTGCCCTTGCTTCAGGTTGTTGGGTTAGCAAGCTTCATGTTAGTTAGCATGTTAGTTGGGTTAGCAAGCTTCATGTTAGTTAGCATGTTAGTTGGGTTAGCAAGCTTTTTCCCAAAGTGAGGTTTATGTTCATTTGGTCCTGGGGTCAGTTCCTTCCCCCATCAGCCTTTGCTGTCCTCTCTTCTGAAGAATAAAACTGGAAAATTTCATAAGGGGTCCCTTGGTGGTTGAGGTTTGGTTGCTCTGGCCAGGGGTTCTTCAGGCTTGTTTTTTTTCAGTAGGGACAGTTTCACTACCCATGTGCCACTCGTGTGGATGTTTTGTTTATCCTGTTTCCTTAGTCCCAAGACCCGTTGTGTTGGGTTGTTCATGCATTGCCTCAGTTTAGCCTGCCTGCTCTCTCCCTGTGGGCCCATAATGTCTACAAGTTTACCATCTCATTTTCTATCAAGTCTTAGGTGGACATTCTGACTTGATGTTTCTAATCCTTCTTCAGTACTTGAGTTCCCTCATCCTGGTACCTTGTCAATGTTCCTAGGCAGAACCAGTTTGCTATTCACTTCTTCTCCCCTCTTCCTATGATTTGCTCTCGTTGCTCTTTCACCGTAGTGAGTTAGCTTAATGAACCACTTAGGGAAGGCCTCCCAGAAATCCAGCATTGAATGTAATGATATGCATTTTCTTGATGAATTCTTCAGTGGCTCCTGGTCCTGCCCAGCCCTTTTATCTATGATGTTCAACAGTCGTTGCTTGGAGGTGGCCGGCTCAGACACACTAGTTCCTAGGGCTGTTATCTGATAGCAAGGAAGTGGTGTTATCTAGTGAGCAACCACTAGATAGCTAGTGAGGCTATCTAGTGGTTGGACCTAGACAATGAGTGTGTGTACATAGTATGAATCAAGGTTTTAGATATTATCCAAGCAGTTGCTTGTTTTGCCGTGCTCAACCTTTCCGATGGTTTTTTCCTTTTGACACCATGGAGATCTTCTATCCCCAGATTTGCCTATCCCTCTATCAAAGGATTGAGATCCTTCTTCTGGTCTTTGGTAGGAGCTTGTGATTTGCTAGAGCCTTGTTTGGTACCGAATGTTTGGAAGCTACCAGGTGGGTGGTGCGGATAAGTAATTTTCAAAAGAAGGCACCAAGTCGTGATGACTATTTAGCACAGTCTGTCACGAGATATATACAGTATAGGTACTAAATATTACTCGGAATGTAAATACAAAAGCAAAAGAGACAAGGCAAGTGATGCCAGAATGAGTGGGATAAAAAAATAACATGCAAGTACATACATAGGACCCCAATACTGATTGATTGATGAAGATTAAGCCACCCAAAAGGTGGCACGGGCATGAATAGCCTGTAAGTGGTGGCCCTTTGGAGCTATTACCAGTATCAAGAGCTGATACTGGAGATCTGTGGAGGTGCAACTGCACCCTGCGTGACGGGAGATGTCTCCCGTGAAAAGTAGAGGTTAAGAAGTTAGCCATAGGGCTAACAACACTGCAAACCAGGCATGACAGGGCAGATCTCATCGAAACCTTAAAAATACTGAACAATTTGGAGGATGCTGATAAGGACAATTTCTTCAAAAGGTCAGATGTAACACCAATAAGGAGCAACGGGTTCAAGCTCAACAACAACCCATAGGGTTGTAAACCCATGAGTCCGCCTACCCGCCGAAACTGTAAATGCTAAAATAACTGCTGGGTTTTAAAATATAGCTGGAAAAGATCATCAGCACAAATGGGGGGACCTTTGACAGGCTGGCGGCTTCCTGTCCTCATCGAGGCCACTAGTATTAGTGGCCCTTGGGTAAATGCAAGTAAATGATCAGATAAAAGAACAAGGAGGAATATACAGGTTTCCATGCATAGTAAAAAAAAAAACAGGTGGTGAAGTTACATGGGGGCAGGAGGTACTTTACTTGTGCATCATCACAATAGGCAGAAGAGAACAGAAGCCACCCATACCAACCCATAGGCAGCACACAAGAACCCCATCACCATGTCAAGACAGCACCCCTGAGGGAGTCCAGGTGGGTAGCTTGAGAAGCCACCTAGAGACCCACAAGATGCAAGACAAACTTTTTAGTGTTTCATTACATTGAACATTAAATTTGTATTTTTAATTTTTAGTGTTTCCTTTATGTTCAGCAATCCCTACTTTGTACAGATGCCCCTGAACTGAATTTACATGAGGGCCACTATCTCCCTAGTGGTGCTTCTTAAAAGGTCACTCATTGTTCTTGAGGATTTTTTCCAAATTGGATTTTAAACCAAAAGAATGGTCTCAGTATTTACGGCTTCTGTAGGTAGGTGCTTATATGGGTTTATAACCCCATAGGTGAAATGCATATCTTATTTTCTTTTCTACATTGTGGCTTGTTGAGCTTGAATCTGTTGCCCTTTATATGTGTTATATTGGACCTTTAAAAGAAGTGGAGACGAACCTGAGCTTATGCTGAATTTTAGAAATTGTGTCACATGAGTAAGTAATATTAACGATTTTCAAGATGTGTGCCACTGCATATCCATCATAAAAGGTTTCATCTTCACTGTTAATATGTTGGCATGTTGGTCTCTTTTTTTTGTTTTTTCTTTATGTCAAAGCTTCAATCACTCTTCACTAATACAGTGAACTTGACTGTGGCAAACTTATCTATCTTATGGTTAATATTCTTGGCCCACAGTTTACATTCAATTTCCTCTGTGTTGTTGGCTGAAATGAAGAAGTGTTGAGTTAGTAACACAGTACTGTATACTCATTCATATATTTACAATAAATGTTTGCATTAAATCATATAATGTAACAGAAGATGAATATTTCAATTAAAATGGGAAGGCAATTAATTGAAATGTAAATTTTTAATAGTTAAACCATAATAATATATGAAATATACAATAAGTTGTGAAGACTAAACCACACACCAGATGGCGAGGGGACAATGACGTTTTGGCCTGTCCTGGACCATTATCAAGTCGATTATGATGAGAGCCAGGACAGGTTCATGGCTTTGTTGCTGTTGACTCTTCTCTTTCATAGTAAATACTCAAATGTTCTAACCTTTCTAACAAACATGACCTAACATAAGTCTACTCCCCCCCCCCCCCTTTTTCTCTTTCTTTTTCTTTCTCCTCTTATTCTTATGTTCCCATTCTTATACCATTATTAACCCCCCACCCCTTACACCCATACCATCCGTACCTTTCACCTTGCTCTTACATTCCTCTAGGAATTTCATCCTCCTCACCGCTCTCTTGTCTTACTTAATGCTTGTGCCTCATTCTCTCCAAGCACATCTCCTGTGCCAGGTGAGTATGACAGGCTCACCAGAACCTGTGCTATTTGGAACTTTTTGTTCCAAGTAGCTGAATCTAAAACAACTATTCGCTCTTATCATAATCAACTTGATAATGGTCCTGAACGGACCAAAACGTCATTGTCTCCTCATCTTCATTTGTGTGTGGTTAAGTCTTCATATCTTCAGCTACGTCATTGTGACTCATCATCTTCATATGCAATAAGTTGTTGATGATGCCCACATTAATGATGTTTGAAAAGTTTATGTAGGCATTACACATATTTCTTTAGCATATGAAAGAATTCAAATACAGTACCTGTATAAAGAAAAAAATTTCAACTTACTATATAATCTAGTATGTACCAAACTCTGAGCAAAGAGTCATATAATTTATCCTCCAATCTAACCAATAATATCTGAGCATGGGGGGGGGGGGTTTCAATCACCACAGCACCACAGCCCAGCTGTTCAAATTCTTAACCCTTTAAATGTGGCTATCTTTAAAATTGTCACCACGCCTATGCACACAAATAATAAAAATACTAATAACCTTAACATTATAAAATGCAAAAAGTAGGGAAATGAACAAAAAATTTTTTTTTTTTTTTTTTTTTGGGCCTTTGTGCACATCGAGCTTATCATGGGGTCAATGGGCTGGTGGCGGAAATGCAATTACCTGACTCGACATGAAAGAGCAAGGGCTCCCCCCCCCCTCCCCATGTAGTAACAGGAGCTGTGTAAGGGTTAAAGCACCATATAACACTCACCTTTGCCTTCAAGGTTGAGAACCACTCCTACCAATGGAGGCAAATAGTCAGAACTATTAGGATGTGGCAGGTAGTATGCTGGGAAGCCCCGAGCAGGGTCTGTGTACCTCTCTTCATTTGTGCATGACACCCATATATTCTAGAATGTAACATACACATAAAAATTTGTAAAATTTGCAACTAGAAACTGGCATACAAATACTGTAGAAACAAATGCATGGAGAGGTGCAATGCACAATTAACTTTCAATTCTTTTTTTATGTACAGTATATATATAAAGAAGTACAATGGTTTAAATACTGTACAAATTTTGGTGATTAAATGATACATTCCTATAAAGGAACTAACACACAAAGTGTGTTTCTTTTGCTTAAATCTAGCAAAATTTGCAATGAATTTCAAGTTACAAGGTGAACAGTCAATCTTAAAAGAAAAAAGTAACTGAAGAATATAGTGAGAAAAGGGAGTAATTAGTGTCAATACAATTACTGTATAATATTAATAGATGGTGATACCATAATGAAAAGTTATATTGATACATACTATAATGAAATTTTTTATTTCTAGAGAGTAAAATAATAGTCTAATTAGAAGCTCCCGATTAATTAGAACTCAGGCACCCACCCCAGAGGTGTTGCCAAGCAGCAAGGTGGTGGGGTACTGGTTGTTTCTGCTGTTAGTTGCTTGCTTGCTTGCTTGCTTGCTTGCTTGCTTGCTTGCTTGCATTCACTCACTCCTCTCCAGTTTCTTTTTCTGGCATTTTGTTCTTATGTGGGGTGCCAGGCTGCTTTGTTCTTTCTTCAGTGCAGTACCCCAAGCTAGGGAACTACTGCCAACCAGGGAGAAGGCCAGGGACACCAAACATAAAAACCGAGACTGGAACGCACTCTAAGACAAGGCCCCATCCCCTAAGCGGGAGCTGAAAAGTCACCCAGGCTGCAGCCAAGGAAGACAAGATGACAAACTTAAGGAACCCACATAGGAAGCTCAAAACGTAAAGAGGAATGAAGCAACCGACCCCTAGATGGAGAAAATCCCCACAAAGCAAGAGTAAAAATGACAGGCATAAGTTCCCATCCCAGAATTCTCTCTTTCCCCCTTCAATCCATGAGACCTGATGAAAGAAAATAGTAGGGCTCTGTAACTTTCCTGGATCATTAAGGTGGGTATAGTTTCCTTACCATTATGCATCCCATAACAGTTGCCTAACTCCTGGGTACCTATTTACAGAGGACCACTTGGTTTGCGAACCCCCTTGGGGACAAGACCCGTCAGTTATCGTGTAAGTTCGTAAACGATAAAAGGAGGAAAAAAAATAAACGAGAAATGTAGGAAACAAATAATAGAGAAATGTCGTGTGGGGGGGGGGGGAATCGACAGGTTCATAGCATAAATGCGACAGTATTTTGCTTGTACTCACCAATAAGAGAAGTCCTGATCCACTTGTTATGTTGATGATAATTTCAGATGTTAACGCATTTGAGTCAACATGTGACGAATCAGGTGCAGGCGAGGCAATGCAAGCTTTCTTGGAAGCCTTTGCAAAAGACCCTTTAAGTGACATTTGTTTCATTCCCTTTGATCTTCTTTTCAAAAACTTCATATACAAATTCATATACAATCATGTCCTTAGATCCAAACTCACTGTTACTCGTGTCCATAAATGCCAGAATGCCTTCAAAATGTTGCTAAACTTTTTCCATATTACATTTTTCCTTTAATGTTTCTTCATCCTCTTCCTTGCCATCTTCTTTGCACTCCTCTGACTTTTTTGCTGAACATACTAATTCTATAATTTCATCATCAGTCATGTTTTGATTGTTTGGGGCTTCTTCGTCAAAATCTATCACCTATCTATGTCATCTTTTATTGTTTCAGTCACCAGCTCTGCCCTCAGTTCTGGAGACTTAATCCCCTTGACATAGGCTGGGAGTTCCTTTTTTAATTCTTTCCTCTCACTAACTTTCTTCGCCGCAAATCCTTCAAAATCTGCATCATCATCTTCCTCAGGAAACAGACTTGACCTTAAGATGATCATAACAGTACTTTTGCTATGTTCAGTGCACACGACACTTCTCAGGCCACCGCTCTCCACCTTAATTATTTCAACTTTCTTCTCAAATGTCATCACCGACCTCTTTCTTTTACATATTCCGCTTGTTGATGCTTTTACTGACACAATGCGGGCATTTGGAGCCGACATTGTGCACGGATGTTCCTCGATTGTGCAGATATGTAAAACACAGTCACGGAATGAACACTCCAGCCTCATGGCAAATCAAAATAATGGGAACAATAGGCCGTGAATCTGTGACATCACAAGGTAGAAGGCACTCTAGATTGGTGGTGCCCGACACAGTCAGTTGGCAATGTAGGCCATCACCCACCCACCCAACCACCTACCACCCTTCGTCGGTGCGAGACTTGGCAGACCACTTCCTCGCCCGAACTTAGTTCATGTAGCGTGAAACCCCAACTCCAGTCAGCGAGAGGCTTGGCAGAACGCTTCCTCACCCGAACTTATTTCGTGTAGTGTAAAACCCCAATCCCAATTGGGAAACTAACTTTCGAATAACTTAAGTTCGCAAACCAAGTGGCTGTCTATACTGCTAAATAAACAGTCATCAAGTGCAAGCAAACATTACCCAACTATATAACCATGCCAGGAATAATATGTGGAAAACATCTGAATTGGCAAGACATACCTTAGGCATCTTCTCACTATTCTCATTGTATCTGACCCATATGTGATCCTTAAGTTTGTCTGGCATAGTTTCAGGCAACTCTTCATATTTATCATATACTTGAATAGATTTTGAGACCTGAAAAATAATTACAGTAGTTAGAATTTGTTTAAAATATACTGTACATATGGGAAACCCAGCAGTGCCCGAGTCAGTCAGTCGATCTGTCTGTTTTTCTCTCATTTTCCCCTCCCATCTGTTCTCTCCCCCTCCTTTCCATTCTCTCTCACTCTCTCCCTCCCTCCTACTATTCTCTCTCTCCCTTGCCCTCCTGTTCTCTTTCCCTGTGCCCTATTCTCTCTCTCTCTCTTCCTCCTGTTCTCTCTCCCTCCCTACCTCTCATTCCCTCCCTCCTGTTTGCTTTCTCTCCCTACCTCCCATTCTTTTTCTGCCACTCGCTTTTATAAACAAAATATTCTCTGCAAATCAAGGGACCCGGAATGTGGAATGACTTTCCCAGTCACGTCAAAGACTGTACCTCTCAACCAGTTTAAGAGAAAAACTAAGTACAGTACTACTTAATAAACTCCATATAACCTACCCTACCCCCTAAATGTCAACCTATGTGTTGTTATTTTCTCACAATATTAATTATTGATCAACTTGTTTAACTGCTGATATCCACCATGTAAAATCTTGAAGAAAATTGTAGTCTTCTGCTTATTTAGTTAAAATTACTTCCGCTATTCTGTTTCAATTTCTGCTCTTCCATCCATCATGTAGTTATTATCATTCTTTTTTCTTTTTTCTCTTTTTCAATTCAATTTATGCTTTTACCTCAATTATTGTAGTTTTAAGTTTTAGTCTAAGTGTTTTTCCCACATCTTGCCCGAAACACTGCATATTAGTGGCTTTAGGCAAGAGGATGTACTACAGTAGCTCTATCTAGAAATCCAACATTCTGTTTGTAACTCATCTTTTATGTATGTACTTTTACCTGAATAAACATTTTATTTTATTTATTTTTTATTAATATTTTATTACACCATTATTATTGAGGACCTATAAACCAATGACTGACCTTCATAGGATGCAACCCACAAGAGTCACCTAACTCACATGTGCATATTTACTGTTAGGTGAATAGAGACATCAAGTGCAAGAAAATGTTCTTAAATGTCCCACTTTTCCCATGAATTGAATTGGGGTTCAATTGGCTGTGAACCAAACGCACTAACCACAGAATAAATGACATTATCTTTGTAGTGGATTACAGTGATGTATATGACATCAGTTTTGAAGTGTATTACTGCAGTACTGTATTACAGTAGGTTACAATATAAGGCATTAGAAATATTAAATTCACTGCAATATTACAGTAGTGAATTACAATAAGGTTAATGGCTTTAATTTTAAAGAGTATTACTGGGAATTAGGTTGTATTGAGAAATAAAGTACAGTACTTTTACGAATAAGTATGATTTTTCAAATTAAAATATTAAAGATACTATACTTGTAAATAACCAAAGATAATGAAACGAGTACAGGGACCCATAAAGTACAATTCTACTGACCTTCCAAAGACTGAGCAACACACACGGATTCATGCTTCCATAGTTCCAGTCCGAAACCGGAGGACAGATACTGTAGATCCAGCTATTGTCAAAGTAGCAGAACTTGCCATCAGGAGCAGGTTTGTCATCACTGCATTCAACCACCTCTTTACCAGATTTGAATTTATTATATTCTGTTTAAAGAAGAGTATAAGCAGAGAAAAAGTTACAATAATGTAGCTAAAAGCTACTTTTTGTGAATCAGTGCAAATCATCAGGATGGTGAAAATATTTTATTAATTAGTGTACCTAACATACAAATACTGTACACCACTGTCTATGCCCGGTAATCTGAATCTTATGGAGCTTACCTCCACTCGAGTTAGCTGAACATTCATTTAAACTAGCTGAACATTCCAGCTAGCCAAACATTCATATTTCTTACCAGAAATGTCCAAAAATTAAAAAATTTGCAATTTTATGTATCAAATCCAGTTACTCCTGCCATTTACCCATGCATTTTCATCATTTACCTGCTTATTCTTGCCATTTAAAAATTTAACCATGCATGAAAATGAATTAATTTAGCTTACTCGAAGTTTCGGGTTACCAGAATTCACATTACAGAGCTCTTACAGTAGTTTATTAGCATAACTAATGTACAAACAGCTGACTAGTGTAACATCAAGTGGCTTGAGTCATAAACATGACAGGTTGCAGAGGGGGAGGGAGTTATCAGGGGAAAAGTGCCAAGCTATCATGACTATATAAGGGGGAATGGTACCCAACTACTTTGATGGTCGGGTATTTTAATACCCTATCATTAATTAGCAAAATTCTATCTTGCCTGTCGTATACCTGTCAATGTTTCCGAGCATCAAAGTCCCCACAGCCTGGTCTCTGCTCACTTTCCCACTAGCCATCATACACTGCTCTGCTCACTCTCCCACAAGCCATCATACACAGCTCTGTTCACTCTCCCACAAGCCATCATACATAGCTCTGCTCACTTTCCCACAAGCCATCATACACAGCTCTGTTCACTCTCCCACAAGCCATCATACATAGCTCTGCTCACTCTCCCACAAGCTATCATATATAGTGAGCAGCCTACATATATTCCATAATGCAAGGAAAAATTATGAATTAAATTGTATATATTTATATATACATATGTAAGAAAAGAAAGGTTGAACTAACCTAACATGAATTTGTTGAGAGCTGCCACTTCATCTTCATAAGAGCTGGGATCATGAGGATTAAAACTTATTTCTTGAGGTACAACAGCCAAACCTGTCATAACTTAGAAAATATAATTAGGATTTTATATATGATACAAAATAAAACACAAAATAATGGATAAAATTGGATAAGTTTATATCTAGGAAAGACATGGCTAAATACTGGTTTAGAAACATGGTTGTTGATTTATGGACAAATTATTGGATAATATAATAGATGTTAGATCACTGGATGGTTTCATCCGTAGGTTAGACATTTACTTGAATGAGTTTGATTGTATATAAATATGAGCTGTCTCATATGGGCCAATATGAGCTGCCTTGTATGGGCCAATAGTAACTGCCTTATATTTATTTACTTATTTCATTCTAGTTAAACAGAGGCATTAGGTTAAAGGAAACATACTCAAGCATTTCCTGCCCTGCCCGGGATTTGAACCTGGAATTCCCATTTGAGAGTCAAGAATGAACCCGATTGTACTACCGAGACTCTTAAACACAACCTTATAAACAGACCCTCATGAACACACTGACATTCATAGCTTTTCATGACATTCCTAAGGGACATCTAAAGCATCCTCTCTCTCTCTACAGTATAGATATAACCTTCAGCAATGTCACAATAAGACTGTAGAGAGCTATATACTTAGAAATACAGTGGAACCTCGAGTGACGTGCACCTCAAATTACGAGCATTTTGAGTAACGAGCACGCCGATCAGTGACAATTTGTCTCGATTGGCGAGCACTCGTTTGATTAACGAGAAAACCACATGGTGCGTTCCCGCTGCTTCTCGCAGATTCTCAGACACCTCCGACGATGCAAATAAATTACTTATTTTGTTTAAATATGATGCTGGGATGTAAAGGGGTGACTGCTGTGATGTTGCATAGTATTGACATTTTTTTGTAGAATAAACAAAAATTGAACAAATTTTAAAAAAAGATAAATGTCATAAAGGTTCGTTCAGTGTGTGCCAGGTAGGCTGCTCCATTATTAAATGAAAAATACAAAACAAATTGAACACATTTGAAACAAAGAAAGATTGTCATAATGGAGCAGCCTACCTGACAAACACTGAACAAAACTTTATGACATTTTCCTTTTTTTCAATTTTGTTAAATTTTTTTTTTTTAAGAAACATTGAGCAGCCTATCTTGAGGTTATCTTGAGATGATTTTGGGGCTTTAGTGTCCCCGCGGCCCGGTCCTCGATGAGGCCCCCACCCCCAGGAAGCCGCCCATAACAGCTGACTAACACCCAGGTAACTATTTTACTGCTAGGTAACAGGGGCATAGGGTGAAAGAAACTTTGCCCATTGTTTCTCGCCGGCGCCCGGGATCGAACCCGGGCCCACAGGATCACAGTCCAGCGTGCTGTCTGCTCGGCTGACCAAGGAGCCGGTCGGCCGAACCTACCTGACAAACACGGAACAAACCTTTTGCTATAAAAAAAATAAAAATATTGAACAAATTTGAAAAAAGAACAAATGTCATAAAGGTTCGTTTAGTGTTTGTCAGGTAGGCTGCTCCATTATTTAAAAAATTGAATATCATATTGATGTTTTTCGGTGCTGGAATGGATATTTTTATTTCCAATATTTTATATGGGGAAATTCATTTTGAAAGACGAGCATTTCATGTGACGAGCTCGGTGCTGGAACGGATTAAATTCGTTAATCGAGGTTCCACTGTATTGGAATAAGCACTATAATATGGTCATATTACTAACCTTCTTTTAGGGAAGATGAGGATTGTGAATAAACAAGGACCACAATGATTGTGATCAGCACAACTCCAAGAATAACACAAGCAATTATGGCTCCAACTGAAAGAGAAAGACAAATAAATAATAATAATTAATATATACAGTATATATATATTATATATATATATATATATATGTCGTACCTAGTAGCCAGAACGCACTTTTATGCCTACTATGCAAGGCCCGATTTGCCTAATATGCCAAGTTTTCCTGAATTAATTGTTTTTCGACAACCTAACCTACCTAACCTAACTTTTTCGGCTACCTCACCTAACCTAACCTCTAAAGATAGGTTAGGTTAGGTTAGGTTAGGTAGGGTTGGTTAGGTTTGGTCATATATCTACGTTAATTTTAACTCCAATAAAAAAAATTGACCTCATACAAAATTAAATGGGTAACTTTATCATTTCATAAGAAAAAAAATAGAGAAAATATATTAATTCAGGAAAACTTGGCTTATTGGGCAAATCGGGCCTTGCATAGTAGGCATAAAAGTGTGTTCTGGCTACTAGGTACGACATATATATATATATATATATATATATATATATATATATATATATATATATATATATATATATATATATATAATATATATATATAAAAAATAAGATACAATGAGTTGAGAAAGCACATATGTTGGTGATTAAGTGATATGTTCTTGCATAGCCACTAGCAAGCATAGCATTTTGGACAGGTCCTAAACTAAAAGTATTTGATGTGAAACCAAAACTAGACTAGTTCAAATTACTTCTGATATTCTGTTTCAATATCTACTGTTCCATCCATCATGTACTTATCATTCCCCCCCCACCCCTTTTTTAATTCAATTAATTTTAATTCAGTTTAATGGCTACAATGAGAAGCAAATGCACCTAAACTAGAAAATTACCCACATACTAGTACGAAAGTCTAGAAGTCTTCAATACAGTACTCACTCATAAACAAAAATCTTCGTCTATCGTGATTGTTATCCTTTAGCTTAGGAAAATAAGACTCGGATGTTTCATTGCCTTTGTGTTCTGATCCAGCCTTATTGTCCGGTGGACTGCTACCTGTTTGAAGAGAATTACATTTTAATTGGCATATTACAGTAGTATAGTTATCAAGTCATTATCAGGGCTCTTTAAAACAGTCCCAATGTTCCATCCCAGTCAACACTGTTCCAAGCCAGCCAACACTGTTCCATCTCTGCCAATACTGTTCCATCCCTGCCAACACTATACCATCCCAGCCAACACTGTACCATCCCTGCCAACACTATACCATCCCAGCCAACACCGTACCATCCCTGACAACACTGTACCCTCCCTACCAACATTGTATCATCCCAATACTATTCATATTTCAATCTACCAGATAATGGAAAATATGTGATGAAAACATAAGCTATGTAGTCTAAAGCACAAACATGTCTTTAACCCAGTAATCTCAAAAGTTAAAAATTATGTTAACCTAGAAAAAACACTGTGAAGCAAATACTACTACTACTAATAATAATAATAATAATAATAATAATTTATATAAAACACATACATTTGAAACATGATAGTGTGGTATTTGTAGGTACACAATGCCAATTATATAAAGTCACTAATACATGGAGTATTTTAGGCATAACATATCTAGGTAATTTATTTATAACTTTATTGGGGGTAACACTTAATAATAAATAAGAAGTAAACCAACACATTTGAATTGTTAAAGAGATAATCATCAGTGTCAAAAAATATGTGGTGTGATTTCTACATTTGGAAATACACAGTGTTTTATGTTCTTCACAACTGTCAAGAAGATCACTGTAATTAACTTAAAATTTTCCAGTTTAATTAAAATTTGCATGCATATAACAGTGGAACTGATATATCTCTCCACATAGATTAATGTCAAAGATATACTTTAATGGCTACAATGAGAAACAACTTTTTGCTTTTTTAATCAAGGAGTTAGACAACTGTTGTGGATGGCATCTTAGGTAAGGTCAGTAGGTGGCCTAGCAGGGGACCACAGTAAGCCCAAGTACAGGCTTCCTGTCCCTGACAACAAGACATTATTGCAGTAACTCATATAGACACTTCATGAGCTGTGTTCAATGTGAGTTTCAGATTAATTCCTGATTCTGCTGCTGATGCAGATTTGATTATTTTAATCATATCATGTCTTATAACTAAACTTTCCTGAATGCCATCCGAATTTACCTGAGGCTCTAAACACATTAGTTAGTGGCCTCGGGTAAATATACATATATTTGGGGTTCGAGTCTCCTGGTGGGTTGTGTCTATAAAGCTGGTTATACATATATTTATACATAAATATATGTACTGTATAAGTAAATATGCATATATTTATGGCCTATACATGAAGTACATGTATAGTATACTGTATATATATATTTTATGTTTAGTACAGTATAGCCTTAATTAAAACACTTTAATTTTAAGACAAATTAAATAACACATATCTTACAATTTGAGTAGTGACTCATTCATTGATAAACCTCAGACACCCAGAATTATAATACAGTAGTGTGATACATCAATTTTTATTTTATGAATTTGGTTATGTTAATTCATAAATGTCTAATCATTAAAATTTTATGCTAAGGTTTATCAATGTATGATTCACCACTCACATTGCAAAGTATATATTATTTATGTCTTAAAATTAAAAAGCAGTATTTTAATTATGGCTTTACATAAAGCTATATGTATATACTATGTTCATGTATAGGTCTATACATAAAGTACATGCAGTCAAAGAAAATGTTGAAATAGGAGTGAAGGAGGCACGGTGGAAGGCTAGCATGGTGGTGCCAGTGGAAGGTATTTCAATGTTTATTTATTTATATATATATATATATATATATATATATATATATATATATATATATATATATATATATATATATATATATATATATATATATATATATGTCGTACCTAGTAGCCAGAACGCACTTCTCAGCCTACAATGCAAGGCCCGATTTGCCTAATAAGCCAAGTTTTCCTGAATTAATATATTTTCTCTAATTTTTTTCTTATGAAATGATAAAGCTGCCCATTTCATTATGTATGACGTAATTTTTTTTTATTGGAGTTAAAATTAACGTAGAAATATGACCGAACCTAACAAACCCTACCTAACCTAACCTAACCTATCTTAATAGGTTAGGTTAGGTTAGGTAGCCGAAAAAGTTAGGTTAGGTTAAGTTAGGTAGGTTAGGTAGTCGAAAAACAATTAATTCATGAAAACTTGGCTTATTAGGCAAATCGGGCCTTGCATAGTAGGCTGAGAAGTGCGTTCTGGCTACTAGGTACGACATATATATATATATATATATATATATATATATATATATATATATATATATATATATATATATATATATATATATATATATATATATATATATATATATATATATATATATATATATATATATATATATATATATATATATATATATATATATATATATATATATATATATATATATATATGACAGTGTCAGACCACGGAGGAAAATTGAAACAGGAATTTCCTTAAGAACTTTCGTATATTAATACATCTTCAGGAGCCTTAATTACCATCTCACTCCTTCTGAAGATGTATTATTATACGAAAGTACTTAAGGAAATTCCTGTTTCAATTTTTCTCCGTGGACTGTCACTGTCACATTTTTAATCACGTGTTTATTTTCGTGATATACACACTTATATTTATACAAGAACCTTTGTACCAACCAATGTATGTACCTTTACCTGAATAAACATCTTATATAGAATGGCGTAGCAGCACACTGCTGTGTATACCTAAGCTTGTAATAGTAATAATTTGTATTCGCAAGAAGGTACAGTGTAATGGTGAGATTACAGAAGACTGGTAAGTGTACATTCTTGCCCAGCCACTGACACGCTTAGCGTATCGGGCAGCCAATAAGCACACATTATGGCGGTGATACGTACCTTCATCTAACAGTGAAGACATTTTTCCTCCAAGACTGTGTAGACGGACGCTAGTGATAAGTAAGTACGTAATTGTCAGAGGAAGGCGAGGTTAGGGGGGGTGGATGGTGTTGGTCGCTGCTCCAAGTGTCTCCCGGAGTTACCGTCGCTCACACCACACCTCCCACACTATACATATATAGTTATATACTAACAACTATTGCTCGCTAATTATCGCGAGCGTGTTTATGTATTACTATATCAGGCAATAGCGGTACAGATTGATCTCTACTATTAATACGTTAGAATGAGATAAGTGGGTTACATACAGATACAAGTGTTAATTGGCATCGTCTACAAGCACCACGCCCCGCCCACCTCTCCTGGATTTGTTTACAATTTTTTTTTTTTTGGAGGGGGTAGTGAATGAAACTCATATTGGGGTAAAATGATTTATTTATATGTATAATTATGTATGTGTGTGGTTTCGAGGGAAAAGGTATACGCATAATGTGTATGTAATGCATATATCTTTTCCCCCTTTGACAGGCGTCCGGCTCCCTCCCGGGATGGGAGGGGCCGGACGCTGTGCCAACACAACCGCTGAATCGCCGAGTGTTTGGGATAATGGTAGTGCCACACACGTATCGGACCTGTACAGTTAATGAGTTTCTCATTAACTGACAAATATACAACACTGTATTCTTAATACGCTCACATCAAATATTTATATTAAGCTCGCCAGACGTACATTGCACAATTAACGTTCAGCGTTAGAATTTAAATAGTGTGCAACTTTCATCGTACGCCGCCAACGTTGTCTTGAACCCCACTCTAAAGCATTACTCGACTCAGCTTCATGTAATTTCAGCAGCCTTTATTTCATCCGTTTTACAGCGAATCAATATCGCGGACACAAACCTAGTATAGAGTAACAGTGATTTCTGGATCAAGAGTAAAATAGAAAATGACAATTAGTGCAGATGACGTCATGACGTCATGACGTCTATGACGTCATAACCTTTCCTTGTCGACACCGCAAACTCTTTTTAAATACACTTAATCTAACCTAACCAAACCCAACCCAACATAAATTAACGTATTCTTAAATATCCCAAGCTAATCTAATGAAAATAAGAGATACAATTTTGTGTTTTATATATGGTGTGCACGAGTTGTGTGACGTATCACCTGAAAGTGCCTACCTAAGTGTGAGAGATCAGCAGTTTGACACATCGCCCAAAGGTCCCAAGCAGTACTAGCCTTATTTTTGCCCAAAATCACGTTAGCAGCTTCATATATGTATATATATATATATATATATATATATATATATATATATATTACATATATATATATGTAACATATATATATATATTACATATATATATATGTAACGGTTCTATTGTTACGTAAAGTATGGTGATATATATAGTATATATATATATATATATATATATATATATATATATATATATATATATATATATATATATATATATGTAACGGTTCTATTGTTACGTAAAGTATGGTTACAAATAAACACAGACACTAAGATAATATATATATATTTGGTCGAATATACAGAAGTACACAGGTGATACTTTGGTGTGAGTTGAGCGCACTGAGCGTCGGAACAGTATCTCGCAAGTGTCTGCTCTAGACCACACTTGAAAGTAGACTCTGGTTAATGTTTGCTATTCTGCTGCTTATATGCTCGGGCAACACCTCACCGTGTTGCCCGGGTAACGCCTCACCTCATTCAACTCCAAAGGTTGACAGGAATATTAACAATGCATTTGGAGCGAGTATATTATTGGGATAATCTACTCGCTACATATATATATATATATATATATATATATATATATATATATATATATATATATATATATATATATCCAGCGCCTCAGTGTGGCAGTCCAGAGGGGAAATGCCCGCTACATCCTCGGTTCCTGCCCAACGTTGGAGGGGGTTCGAAGAAATCTACGTATATGAAACAAACTTCCCTTAATTTCCTCTTAATGTCCACATTTTGTAACCAATGAGATATGTAACTTATCAATATGTGTGTGTGTGGGGGGGGGTTTATCTTATCTTGAGGTTATCTTGAGATGATTTCGGGGCTTTAGTGTCCCCGCGGCCCGGTCCTCGACCAGGCCTCCACCCCCAGGAAGCAGCCCGTGACAGCTGACTAACACCCAGGTACCTATTTTACTGCTAGGTAACAGGGGCATAGGGTGAAAGAAACTCTGCCCATTGTTTCTCGCCGCCGCCTGGGATCGAACCCAGGATCACAAGTCCAGTGTGCTGTTCGCTCGGCCGACCGGCTCCCTATATATCAATATAGGTGTGCACATATATATCAAGCTTGAATGGTCCCGAAGCCAACATGCATCAAGAAAACTCTTGACCCCGATGGATTGGAACCCGGTCAGCCAGGGTCTCCATGCCCCTTGGCGTGTCCAGTACTATAACCACTGCCAACAAACTGTACGAGAGTATTGGAAAGTCCTGGCTGACCGGGTTCGATTTTTTCAGAAACCTTAGAAAACCGGGACGCCACTAATATAGGTAGTAATTGTATACCATGCTGGTGAAGCTTTCACTCTGTAATGATGAACGAGTGAAGCGTACTAAACGAGTCATTGACATCTCCCTGTCCCACACACACACGCACACACACACACACACACACACACACACACACACACACACACACACACACACACACACACACACACACACACACACACACACACACACACACACACACAGCATCATAACCAGATGATTCTAGTCGCCCACGATACTCACTCAACAATCAGCCATAGTCATATGATAGACCCCTCATTTTTCTCTTTGTGCACCTGTATAGGGAGGGGGTGCATAATATATTGCCACTCACGATGATATGGGGTGCACAATAAACTATCACTCGTAGGATGAGTATGGGGTGGATAATAAATTATCACTCACAGCTAGGATGAGTATTAGGTACACAATAAACAATCACTCACAGGATGAGTGTAGGGTTCACAATACACTATCACTCATAGGATGAATATCAGGTGCACAATAAACTACCGATCATAGGGTGAGTATGTGGTACACAGTAGTTAATCACAGGATGAGTATGGTGTGCACAATAAACAATCACTCACAGGATGAGTATGGTGTGCACAATAAACAATCACTCAGGATGAGTATGGTGTGCACAATAAACAATCACTCACAGGATGAGTATGGTGTGCACAATAAACAATCACTCAGGATGAGTATGGTGTGCTCAATAAACAATCACTCACAGGATGAGTATGGTGTGCATAATAAACAATCACTCAGGATGAGTATGGTGTGCACAATAAACAATCACTCAGGATGAGTATGGTGTGCACAATAAACAATCACTCACAGGATGAGTATGGTGTGCACAATAAACAATCACTCAGGATGAGTATGGTGTGCACAATAAACAATCACTCAGGATGAGTATGGTGTGCACAATAAACAATCACTCACAGGATGAGTATGGTGTGCACAATAAACAATCACTCAGGATGAGTATGGTGTGCACAATAAACAATCACTCAGGATGAGTATGGTGTGCACAATAAACAATCACTCACAGGATGAGTATGATGTGCACAATAAACAATCACTCAGGATGAGTATGGTGTGCTCAATAAACAATCACTCAGGATGAGTGTTGGGTGCACAATAAACAGTCACTCACAGATTGAATATGGTGCACACACACAATATAAATATATAAATATATATATATATATATATATATATATATATATATATATATATATATATATATATATATATATATATATATATATACAGACCTATATAGTTTTTATATAATATAAATAAATCGGGCAGCTCGTCAGCTGATCATCTTTATTATACAGAATTCTTGACGCAATGCAAACCAAGAAAGTCAAACACACAACTATTAAACCACTTGACTCAGCTGCTTTTTTAATTGTTCACCTTCCTACTACTGTGTGAATAGTTAGTGTTTTGAAATTTTATTAATTGGTAATAAATCTGGCCATTCAATATATTTTGTGGTTGTGACTGTAATGTGTGGTAATTTGGCCGCTGTTTTGGGCTGGTGTTCGGGGTTCAGATGCTCCTCTGCCTCTTAGACACCGCCATCTTAACCGTGAGTACTGCCGGTTATTGTCTCTCAGCCTCCATTACCCGCTAGTTTACACCTAGTACTGGTTTATGTGGCACAGGGGGGTGCAGGTGTGTGAGTAGTGAGGAGGGGCGGCGTGAGGTGAGGTGTGACATGAGAAAATGTGTGTTAGGTGATGGTGAAGCCGGTAAGCTGGCCGGGGCTGACCAGCAGCGGTGCATTGGCTTATACAGCTGATATACAACAACACGTACAACACTACTGTATTATAGTTGTAGATGCGTAGTATTATGTAGTATGATTATGAGGTGGTTTTGTGAGGGTTAGGGAGGTGGTATCCAATACTTTGGCCATGGTGGGAGGGGTCAGCTGCCCGCTATATAAACTATCATTAGGACGGGGTATTGTACACACTACGCTTACATAAGGTTCTTTCCTCTGAATATAAAAAAAATATGTATGTCGTTCGGTTAGGAAGCATGTTGCTATATGTGTGAAGGAAGGGTAGCGACGGAACTAAGCTATATGTGCCTTGCCAGACCCAATTTGAAGATGGTGAGAATGTATTCTCTTAATGATGGAATTTAGCAGTCAGCGGGAGACGAGTAACAGGTCATAAGCATCGTTGTAGTTTAGGTTAGGTAATGTATTTAGGTGTTGAACTTCCTTTCATACGGTGTAGTGGAAAAATGTCACGTCGTACACAAGATTTACACAATGATTTAAAGCTTACCTATTGAGTGACGTACACTATATGATTTTTTAATCTAAAAGTGAGCTTTGTTGAGCTGTTTTGTGTGCGATTTGACCATATCTGTGTGATTTGTATCCAATTAAAATAGAATAGGTTTAAATAGTAGCAGTGATGAAGTTTAGAAAACTGTGTAAAAGACCTGGGAGAATTGTCAGAAGACCTTACCTTTCACCTCTGGGCTGTGTAGCTGTTAACAGTTAACACCTTTCCAGTGCACAAATAAAAATTAAAAAAATACTTCTTCAGACATTGTTAAAATACATTTCCTGATCACAGAAAAAATAAAATTGTGCTCAACTTTGGCCATGGTGAAGCCTTAAAGTCTCGTGGTATCGTACTTCATGTGCATTCATTGAGTCATAGCCCCAGGGTGTTAGTCCCGAGCCAGCTGTGAAGGGAGAATTGCCACAAAAATATTTTTACATTCCAGTGACTGAGTATATACATTTTATATACTGTATGTAACTATTTACATTTTTGTGCACCATAACAATCCAGTACTGTAAGATAGTCTGGAGGTCCCAAATTCACTGTGACATCAACTCTTTAATCAGCTACTGACACCATTTGACTGAAAAATGCTTCCAATATAGCATTCCTATATCTTAACACTATATAGGAAATGATATTGCAGACGAAGCTGCAAATCTTGCTACTAAGCGAAGACATATAGATATTTATATACCACAGAGTCTATCACAGATTAAGAAAGTACAGTAATTAGAAATAGAACAATGCAGATGATGTACACAACACAGCAGTTGCAACATCAGGATCTGCGGGTTGGTACAAGAATTCAAGCGCAGGAATTTCCCTGCCCCCCCAAAAAAAAAACTTATTACCAGCATCCTGGCCACTAAATCCTGAAATTTAATAATTTTGCAGTTTATTTTTTAAATTAAAAGGGCATGAGGTTGTTTCATGATGCATAGATGCAACATACAATGGAAGAGTGCTATGGTTGTCTGTCATGCTGTGAAGCTCATAAATAGTTGTGTTCACTAGTATCTGAACATTGTATATAATTCTTATCACAATCAGGATCTTCTATGATACTATCATCACCTGCTCAGGGTACGAGCCCAAGGTTGGTAGTAGCTTGTAACAGCACACTACTGTACAGTAATGATTCCTTAATTGTACTAATGATTCCTGAAGTGCCTTTTAATTATAAATACAATATCCCATCTCTGCCCTCACATAACCGCCCTATTCATACGGCACTCAAACTTTACTTCAAGTTTAGTACTTTGAGCAAACCATACATAAATTTCTTAATATCTTGTGTCAAAACAGAAGATATAAATAAGCACCGTGTTAAATTTGTTTTCCGATTTTTCCTATTCAGGGCTGATACCTGTTCCCCACATACAGTAATAGAAATGGGCTACTGAGGGGTGATGCAACTCATGGATTGTGAATCAAAATGAAAATCAGAAGGAATATTAAATTGTTGTAAAATTAAGAATGTGACTTGTACAATCTGAAATGTAAAAAAAAAAAAAAAAAAAAAAACACATTTTTGGCACATTATACTAATGAATTTTTGTTTGCAGAAGGAAAAATGTTCAGCAGACTGTGGGACACGGCAAAAAATTCGCCATTTTCTCGGCCACTGGAAGCTCATTGTGATGCACCAAATAAGGAACTAATTTCAGGAAGGAGTATATCTGCTGCTGATGTAGGTATGTGCTTTCTAATCTTTTTATTAAAAAGATGGCAAACTGTATAATTTGAGGGCTAACTGTGTTTTGTAATATTTTTACATCTAGATTACTCAAGGAGTTTGTAGCTGCTACATTTTGTGGGGCTTGCCAAGTGTATTGCTAGTAAAGGGTTCTTTCCATTGCCAGCCACAATAGTGTATTGCTTCTGATAAAACTAAAAGGTAACATGAATATAATTTCAGGGCATTTAATAATGGGCAAGCTGTTATAATAAAGCATACAGGTGCAGGCAATGAGTCACAGTAACGTGGCGGAAGTATGTTGACCAGACCACACTAGAAAGTGAAGGGCTGACGACGTTTCGGTCCATTCTGGACCATTCTCAGGTCGATTGTCAATCGACTTGAAAATGGTCCAGGACGGACCGAAATGTCATCGTCCCTTCACTTTCTAGTGTGGTCTGGTCAATATGCATACAGGGTTACTTTACTGTGAGTAATATGGTAACAAAAATTTGGGGCCATATTGTGGCATCAGACTTGCACCTCTGGCCTCCCCACATCCTTCACCTACACACTCACAGTGTTGCTCCAATGTTTTCTTTTTTGCTTTATCATGCAATGGTAATTTTGATAGTATAATATAGTACAGTTATATTAATTAAAGCCATGTTATCCTTCGCAAGAGTTTTGATTATGAATTGAGTTAGTGTTGTAATGGCACGTGATGGTTTTTTGTTACACATGTGGATACAGTTAGCTGATCTGGAACAGCATAAATGATATAACCAATAAATGAGGGATTTTTATATTTTTGTAATTTATGGAGAGTTGGTGAGTACAGAGTTCATAGTCTTGAAATAATTATTTTTTCTCATCTCATTGGTGCAAATTGATACCGGTATGTATAGTAATTGTAGAATTAGTGGGATTGATAATTTTAGAATACTGTAAATTGTGTATTTTAGTATTCTCAAATTCAATGGGAAAAAGTTGTAGTGGTGGTTGCTGTGTGGTTCATGGCAGCTGCAAGAGTCTCAACAGTAGTCATGGCATGTTCATTTGTAGCTGTGGTATTAGTAAAGCGGCCTTGTAACGACTTGTCAAACTATCATATTGTGTATCACAACAACCCATCCTCCTGTTTAGAGAGTACCTGTTGTGACCGTCATCAATAGTAATAATTTGTACATACTTAGCTTTTAGATAGTACATATACTGAATAGTAAGGAATTCTTTTTAAATTAAATGAAGCTGAAACTTGCTTATATATTCCTAGGCCTAGTATAGCACACATGTCCTATATTAGGCCTCGGATATCATGTATTAGGCCTAGGGAGGTTAGGTTTAGTTTGTCACAGTAACACAAGTAAAAAATAGTTTTCCGGTTTCTCCAACTCGATTGTTCTGATTTCTACGTTTTAATTTTGTTGTACATTGGTATATCTACTATGGTGCTCATCGTTACTATTAGTACAGTACTACAAAAACAGGAAAATGGGCTGATTACCACAGCTTGTTTCTACTGTTCTTAAATCTTACTTTTCCTGCTAGCAGTATAAGCTTGGTATAATGGATGCATATTTAAAAAACATTGATAACTAAAATGCAAAAAATTTATGTTTACAGAAAATTACAGTTGTGAATATGGCTCAGGGAAATTTTATCTACTGTGTGCTTTTGGCGGACTCCTGAGCTGCGGCATCACGCACACGGCAGTAGTACCTCTGGATCTTGTCAAATGCCGAATCCAGGTTAATCCTGAAAAGTACAAAGGAATTTTCAATGGATTTAAGGTGAGGAATTATATAGCTGATAATTAACCAGACAATTTATTTTAAGGAAGTGTACATTTGTAGTACAATATGAATTGTTTTACATTGGATTTATAGGCCTCCACTTTTACAGTGAGGAAAACCTAGTGACCCTGTTAAACCTTGCTGATATGGTATCTGTTTACACAGTGAAATAACAATATTGTAATGTAATTCTTGTATCTTTTGATGTTCATTAGTCTGCAGCAGCATACTGGACATTTTAAATGTCCAGTATGAAGAGTGCACTTCACATTGACAAAAAATAAATGCCGCATTGGCCTTTGCAGTGTGAAAATTGCACAGGCGTGAAGGAAAACTCTAGTAAAAAAATTGACTAATGTTAAAATTAACAAATAACATGAAAAATATATATCACCCTGAGTTGACATACTTGGCTAGCACACGAGAAATAATAAGACAAAAATAAATAAATAATATATACATACATACACACTTATGTTAACACAAAAATAAGGGTGACTGAAATTATTTACATAATAACACTAAAACCTGCACATGAAGAAGCGGGAGGCAAGCGTCGTTCGGAGACAGTAATTTTGATTCCCCTGAGCACCTGTTGAGACTACTGAGGTGACCCGAGGTCATGGGTATTTATAACCATGATGGTGACGTTACATTGTCACCGAGGCTTGGAACAATGAGCCAGCGGTGTAACCGGTGGTTACCTATACGTAACAAGGAACTGGCTGGTCTTGCTGTCGCCATCTGCCTGGGACTCTCAGGCTGGTTGGAGGGTGTATCGGTGGTTGTGTCCAGACGTTCATCTAGGTTGAACTCCATACCGGTAGTAATATGCGGTATGTAGAGTGATGAACAACGAAGGTGAGAAGGAAGAGGCAATTTCCTCTGCTATGCTGAGGAAATGTGTGACTTCTTAAACCACTGAATTTATGATCTTTAAACTTTCTGATAACAGCAGCACCGAATATAGAAAAGTGACCAATGCAGGTAAATCTCTCTTAACGAATGAGATGTTTAGAAATGTTTTTATTAGTCAAAAATTCGGTGAATGAAAACCAGACTCCCATGGTAAATATTGCTGTATGTTTGACCCAAAATTGTTTACTGTTTAACAACTTTTTGAATAAGAAATGCACATTATGATGTGTAATAAATTAAAACAAATGTGTGTACAGTATTTGCATGACATTGTCTATGCCAACTCCCACACACTTTTGCTAATGCTAGAAAATTATTGAAGGATGACATCAGAATAGACAAAAATTTGTGGGTCATTCAGATACTAACAATATCAATGAGCATGGCATGAACCAAACTAATGCAGGGGCAGGTCCCTGAGGTACATAGATGGATGTAAACAAAGTGAGAAGCCACATTTCATAACTTAATAATGCGAATTGTAAGGATGTGGTAATTTTTTAATTAAGTAATTATTGTATAAATTGTTGGATAATTTTACAGTATACATTACAGTGAATATATGTATTGTAGGACTTGATGTGTGAGGTTTGCCTGTATTAGCTTCCAGTAAAATTAACATTGAACATGGGTTATACTTACTGTGGTAAATCCTTGCTATTGTGAGTGCTTATATTATCTTAAAAAAATTACGATTCGATGTCTATTGACCAAGTTGTACTACTACTCAGGTTTCCGTCAGAGAGGAAGGTTTCCGCAGTTTGGCCAAAGGCTGGGCTCCCACTTGCATTGGTTACTCCATGCAAGGTATCTGCAAGTTTGGTTTCTATGAAGTATTCAAGATCTTTTATAGTAACATTCTTGGAGAAGAAAATAGCTACTTGTACCGAACATCTTTGTATTTAGCTGCATCAGCATCAGCAGAGTTCTTTGCTGATATTGCACTCTCTCCTATGGAGGCAGCAAAGGTAATTATTCTATAATGTCTTGTTTAATATTTTATAAATATTCCTAATGGTCATAAAAATTTATATTTAACTTACGAAATATGTCTATTTTACAAATGTCTATTATTTAGAGAAACCTATGTATTTAACCCTTAGACAGCAGTTATTTTATGTTGATTCACAAGGTAATGTGATTATCGTGAAATGACGATTTAAACGGTTATTGTCTGGGTTTTACATGTATGATGCAGAAAGGATACAATAGCTCTGTGGATGTAGTAGCATTTACCTTGACCAATAAAAAAAATCACGCTATCGTTTCATGGTTACGTTACTATCATAAATGTTACTAGGCGAGTGCGGTCATTGTATAAAGTTTCGTTATAATTACATTATATGTATACCAATGATCATTTGCTTTTTACAACTGTATGATTGTAATGAGGTATACCAGGTACACCAATCACCCGTTGAACCACTATAGTGTATTGTGTACTAGGAGCTTCCCTATGTGGTTGTAATGAAGTATACCAGGGAAACCAATCATCAATTGGAACATTACCATATGTTATGTGAAGTATGTGATTTATAAAGTTATTCAACACACATTTTTGTAAATAAAGAGAAACAAATGATAATCAATGAATAGTTGTTGTCTCGCATACCTCAGTGTCAGCAAAGTTGGCATTGTGTATTGACAGAGCACCACATAGCCACAGTGCTGCCTTTCAGAGTGCCTCCACCCTAGTAAATAAATATTAATTTATTTCATGTATTCTTTACATTTTCGATACAAATTAATGATTCTACAATGAAGAATTATTTTTTTAAATTTGTTTATTTTTTTTGCATATGGGCAAGAATGACCATTTTTATATAGCTGCTGTCCAAGGGTTAAATATTTTGTAATGTTTACATTAGTGATAAGGCGATACTAAAATTTCTGAAGATTCTGATGCCGATTTCACAAGTGTGTCTCGATTCTGATAAAATTATTGATTCCAATTCTGATTATTTCAAAACTACTGGTATAGTTGATAAATATTTTTATGAAAATGTTCATTATTTTAGTTTGGACAAATTAATTATTTACATTTTTAACATGGTAAATGTATTTATAATTTTGATTTAAGAATAGAAAACAGTTGGTAAATCCACCATAATCTTCTGGAAGATACCTGAAAAGTGAAACATTCCATTATACACGCAGATATACATGCTTTGTGTACTTTACAATACCAAAAAAATAAAAATTTACTCTTGTATGAAATAGTTAACATTGCAACACTATGTTAAAGCATAATTAATTCTATTTTACTCAAAAAGTAATCCATAATCTACAAAACCCAAGAAAATAAGACATGCTGAAAACATTCCGGTACCCATCACAAGTGTACATGTTATATACAGTTTACAATACAAATTTTAATCCTTTCTCAAATAAAAGTACATTGCAATAGTAGTTCAATTAAAACAATAAATTTTTGGTTTATACTGAAAGGCAATCTTTAACTTACATAATGCAAGTACTGTACAAGTATAATGTTTCAATCTTAAACATTTATTCATATTTGAAATTAAAGCCTTTTAAAATTAAAACACATTAGCATCTTTCCTGTTTTTGCATTCATTCTGTTTCTTTTTGGTGAATATAATACTTGATAATGATCATAATTTAAAAAATTTTAATTATTACCAAAGACAAAATTTTTTAATAAACGTTCAAGAAAGCATTTTTAAGAATCTGAAATTACGATAAATTTATCTCTATTCTAATACCAATTCTTATTACTGAAAAATGATAAATTCTTCAGATTCTTCATCAATTTCAGTTAATCGTCCCATTACTAGTTTATAGTGAGATATGCTGGTATAGTGGAGCTGGGGTATTGTGCTTGATAGGCCAATAATATAAATGATAGTTTATTAATATATTTTTGAAATTTCAAGAAGTGATGTACACTAGAGATTGAAATTATTTTATTTACTCAGGTGCGTATCCAAACCCAACCTGGATTTGCGTCAACGTTACGTGCTGCAGCCCCAACAATATATAGACAGGAAGGACTTTGGGGTTTCTACAAAGGTGTAGTGCCACTATGGTGTCGGCAGATTCCCTATACAATGATGAAGTTTGCCTGCTTTGAGCGCACGGTGGAGGCCCTATACCAGTTTGTTGTGCCCAAGCCTCGAGACCAGTGCTCAAAAAGTGAGCAGTTGGTGGTGACGTTTGCTGCTGGCTACATTGCTGGTGTATTCTGCGCTATTGTCTCCCATCCTGCCGACACCATCGTTTCAAAGCTTAACCAAGACAAGGGCTCAACAGCAGTTAGTGTTGCAAAACAACTTGGCATGGCAGGTAAGACATTAAATATTTAGAACTCTTTGGTTATTAAAATTAATATATTACAAGCATGATAATGCTGAGAAAATCAGTAGGAACCATGAAGAGGATTTCAATGTATTTCAAAGCGATTTCAAGGCAATGCAACCTGGGGTTCGTGCTTTTGATCATGTCATGGTGTAGTGGTCTTGTGCTTGGGAGTTCCCAGAGCATACGTTGAAATCCTTAAAGGCTCCTACTGATTTTCTCATTGATACATCACATTAATGTGATTCCTTTATGCAAATGCTGGTGATAACAGTAAACGTTAGACATAAAGTTCTTCACTACCAGAGAAGGACTAAGCCAAGACACGTTAAGTCACAATTAGTGTATGGAAAATCAATTGGAGCAATGCAAAGGTTTCAAATCCTCTACCTGGGTACTCCCAAGCTGCACACCTTACCTCTGGACCATGCAAAAATCTCATTAGTATGATCTTGTGGATAACTTTATTATTAAGCACATAAAAGCCAAGCAGGGAAGGAACAGTACTGACAATATTGTCACTAGCTTAGGTGTTGATACCACACTGGCCCAATCTTGGTAAGTTGGTGGATTGTCTTCCATGAGGGATGTGTGGCAAGTGATGATCTTCTCAGTTAGGCAAGGGGGATGTTGTTGAGCCAAAGGGGCAAAAGAAAATTCTGTAGATATGGGAGTTTGGTTTTGTCGCTTAGTTCTAGCATTGTTATCGATGTGGGTCATCTCTGGGAAGACGGGGCACAAACAAGCAAAGTTGGGAAGGAAAGATTGGTGATGGAATTTGGTCCCCTTAACATGGATGTTAGTCTTAAACTGGGATACATAGCTGAAGTGTAGTTACTATGGGAATTGCCCCAGGCTGCTGGTTGCTGAAGTGTTGGCCATCAGCTTGTAGTTGGTGAGGACGTGGAAGTCATGTCCTTTGAGTAAATGCCGGAAGTGTTGAGTGGCTGGGTATATGGCAAAGAGTTCCTTTTCTTGTTGATACCAAGCATGTTGAGAAGAAAGTGATAGGTCACCATGCATCTTTAATGATCTGGTATAGGACTGCTTCTAAGGCAGTGTTGAAAGAGTTGGTAGAGAAGCTAGTTGGTGCATTAAACACCAACTAGCTGAGTTTGCCGAGTATGGAATCAGGTTCCATACTCGGCAATTTGAGTATGGACTTGTTCCATTGCCTGGTAAAAAACAAAATTTGTCATGCGCCTTATCAAGCCTATTATTTTACTCGATACAAGTTATATAAAATAAAAAATATAAAATATAAACACCACCTGGATGGGTTAGTTGAGCAAACTCCAGGTGAATACTAGCTCATCCTCTGATGACCATTTCTGGGGTATCTTGGGCAACTGCTAATGCCCATGCAGGCAGGTATAGAACATCTGAAGGTGCTATTTTCAGCAATAACATCATTGTAGGCAAAGCAAAAAGACAGTCTCTGATGACCTGGTTAGTGAAGTGTTAGCATCTATGGGTGCCATCTGAGGATGTCACACAAACCAAAAGATGTTGTAATTGATGATTTGAAGACAACAGTTGGCTCTGCTAGAATTTGGTGAAATGCTTGAACCAGGTCTAATTTAGAAAATGTGGTTGATACTAAGGGGCTCTGTATTACCCACAATTTCACCATTGTTTTCCCAGAGTTGTCTTAGGAACCATATGTAGTGGGGAGACCCTAGGAATTGTCGGAGCATCATAGAACATTGTCAGCTAGCAGCTTATCAAGTTCCTTGGCCACATGGAATTGTACTGGCAGTAGGTAGGACTCGAGGTACGATATAGTGAGGGAAAGGGCCTTTTAGTAGTAGCGTTATTATAAATGTATTAATGTTTGTTTACCTCATGTATGGGGAGGCAGTGTGTGGACTCAACTCTAGGATCATCACTTTAGTTTCTCTCATTACCAAACAAAGGCTAAGCAAACACATCAATGGTTATGCATATACAAGCCTACACAGGAATCGCGCAGAAACCCCTCTGGCCCTCACCAGGGGGGCGGTGGCCGAGTGGACAGCACGCTGGACACGTAATCCTGTGGTCTGGGGTTCAAGTCCCGTTGCCGGCAAGAAACAATGGGCAGAGTTTCTTTCACCCTGATGCCCCCTGTTACCTAGCAGTAAATAGGTACCTGGGAGTTACAGCTGTTATGGGCTGCTTCCTGGTGAAGGGGGGGGGGGGAGTTAGTAGTTAGGAACAGTTGAGAGGCGGGCTGAAAGAGCAGAGCTCAACCCTGCAAGCACAACTAGTTGAATACGGGAAGGAGAGGCTGTCCCTAGCTTAGCTAGTGAAGCCAATAGCCCATTCTCAGTGAGTTGCTGGGTCAACTACTCTAAACCTGACTGTTGTAAGGGCAGTGGACAACACTACATTTTACTTAATGCAAAGAATTTAGATAATGCTTGTTTTACTCATATTTTAATAAGGTTAATTTTTCCAAATTACATGATTGCTTGTGTTCACAGGATTGTGGAAGGGTCTTTTCCCTCGAATCATCATGATTGGTACCCTGACTGCACTCCAGTGGTTCATCTATGATGCAGTTAAGGTAGCCCTTTTGCTTCCCCGTCCACCACCACCAGCCATGCCAGAATCACTCAGATTGAAGCTTGAAGGGAAACAATCCTAAGCTGTCTCTTCAGCATTCCATACCTTGGTCCCATGTTTGCAGTCTGAAAATTAGGTAAATAGTAGCTAAAGAGGTTTTGGAGTTTGAGCAACTACGATTATTTCTTAGTTCCGAACACACGGTGTAAAGTATAAAGATCGCTAGCTACTATCCTTCACTTCAATATGAACTGCTACGTCACTAAATGCCTGTTTTGTTCACTGGGTAAATTTTAACAACTTTGTTTATGATGCCAAATAGCAGAGAGCATGTGTAATATTTTGCAGTGAAGACTAGTGTTGGAAATAAGACATTATTTGCTTATTTTTATCCAATTTATACATATGATTGTGGCATGTAAATAGTAAAGTTATATAAAATAAAAAATATAAACAATAATGACTTTATTTTGTAATAAATTTAGTGGAATCACCCTTGTAAAATTAATCCACTGTACTAGTTGAAATCAGCCTTTAAATGCTAACAGTAACATGCTTATAGCATTTTACTCTCGCATAACTATCAAAGATAAGAAGACTTATAAATGGAAAAATCATAAGTGTGTGCTATGGATGGTACTAAATAGTGATTCGGGCTTAGTGCTGCCTTCTGATAATTTAACTGCAAAACTGCAATTTTATATTGCCAGATATTACACATTAGCCAATGGTAATTTAACATAGTGACCTCGAAGTCCTGTGAAGACTGAAGATCCTCGAGTTATTTAACCTTTTTTATCCCAATTTTACGTAAATTAAATATTGGTGGTTTGTCACTTTAGCGGACAAGTTTTGCATGGTGCCCAAGCCATAATGAGATTCCTTCTGATGACCTAGTGGATGCAACTGCTAAAGAAACAATTTGTACTTCTCCAATCCTTCAGAAGCCAAGCTTTACTGGTTTTCTGTAGTCATTTGTGGGGTGATGTGCAACCTATCACCCCACAAGCCTACATGGTTAGCTACTATGTAACAAATTGTGCATCACCCAATCATGGAAGGTGGAAAACAGTTTTGGTTAGGTGACGTATCAGACACAAGATTAACTCGTGGACAAGTCATGGAACAAACTCAAAATTATTGTTCCATTTTGTATATCTTAATTTTCAGGATTTTTTTTCCCTCAATGATCCAAAATGTTGTCTTGATAAAATCAAGAAAGACTCTGATGTTAATCATCTAGTCTTCCTGGTCTTGTATTGACATCCTGAATACAATTTTGCTCTTGCTTGTTCTAATGACATATAAGCTTAACACTGATAATTTCTTAAATATAATTTATTCTAAACAAGCACTTTGCAGGCTAACAAAAAACAAGTGGTTTGCCGAGTATGGAATCAGGTTGTAGACTTGTTCCATTACCTGGTAAAAAACAAAATGTCATGCGCCTCAACTCTGTCAAGCCTATTTTTTTTTTTTTTTTTACTCGATACATTTAACCTACTTACACAGCAAAATAGGTAGCTTTATCCAGTAATGAATTTTTCATTGTCAAACATTTCTTTGTTCAATGTGTACTTAGAACCTGAAACTGGAAAATTTCTTAGCTCACATGCTCATTGGCCATACCAGGCCAATAACTATTTGAAGGAAAGGAAACTTGCCTTTTATGGCCCAACTTGGATAACTCGCCTTGTTGAATGACCAGATTTGAAGAGGGTTGAGAGTTTTATTTCTTATTTGTGAGTGGTGTCTTGATGTGACAAAATAACTACAGTAATTATCAAAAGAAGGCACTGACCATGAAAGATTATGTATATGTAGCACAGGATATTAAAATCATTAAACATCACTGAATACAAATTCAAGAACAAAAGGACATGAACAACATCAAAGCTATCAGCCACTATAGATTTCATTGAGGACTAGCAACCCAGAGGGACATTAGGAAAGCAAGACTTGTCATCACCCTGAGAATTAGGACAATCTAGATGTGATTTTGGTATAAAAATGCAGTAAAGATGGCCTGTGAAGCATCTGGCTTCAGGTTTGGAGTGATAAAACTTTGACCAGTTTTCCCACCTGAATGTGACCTGCATGGACAGTCCTAATTAACCTTAATCTGGATGATGAGACTACTGGTAATCTCTGGGTCCTAGGCACCAAATTCCTCCACACGCACACAAAAGGAAAGTGGTCCACCCTAGACCACTTGTCAAGGTGTGTAAAAATCAGTGTATACACAGAAGTTAGGCATGTCTACAGGTGTATACATCCCTGTACTGATTCCCATTATTGAACCGATTATATAGCCAGTGTAGTATACTTTATAAACTATAAAAGACTTAAGATTTATACAAATTAATAATATAATTTATGGATCACAAACTCTGCACATCACTAATATTTATAATTTACAGGATGAAAACACTTAAAATCAATCAATTCCTTTAATTCAATTATGTAACAATACAGGGGCTATAATTATTGTATATACCCATATACTGGAGACAAAAATATGAAATTGACCTTATCACAGTAATCTAGCATTCAATTCAAAATAAAATTGTCATAAATTAACATTTGTATGTGACCATCTGTATGTTGCCAATTATCATTAAGATCAAGAATATTAAAGTAATTCATCTTACAGATACAATACAGTACATGCAGACACATCAATATTTTGTAAATCTTGGAAATAAACTTAAAATGTTTGCTTGGCTTCCATAAGTATTTAAACTTTAAACTAAGGTAAGAAAATATATTTTGCACGAATATAAAAATGCTGTCCTGACATGCAATGTATGCAATCACCTCAATTTGGTGTGACTTTACTGTAGATCATTATGTAGAAAAGTAATTTAAAGTAAACAAGAAAATGGTAATAAAATTTGCTCATTGGATGTCTGGGCACAGAAGTGCCATGCTATGAGAGCATCATGTAACAGTACTGTATATGGTTGTGTTATCTATTTGTCACTGTGTTGGCCACTTGCCTACCCACCAACATAACTAGAAAAGAAAGAATTCTTAAACATTCTCTCTTACATGATGAATAATTGATGAAAAAAGGTGTAATAGTGCACTGGAGAAAATTTGCTAAAATATATATACGGCACAGTATATGGGTTTCTAAATAAAATAATGGATATCTGCACAATAAAATCACAATAATATATCTGAGAAAATCTTTCGAGAAGTTGGATAGACTGCTGGAAATAAAAAGGAAAACTGCCTTAACCATTACTGGAAGGGGTATTGTTATTCAATGAGTAAAAATTAATGCTTTAGTAATGACATACACTGATATGGGTGCACTAATGCTTATTCTTCTCCCCCTGTTATTACATTTTAAAAGGCTACCACGTTCAAAATTACATGTTTTTAATGCTGATGGAGTTATTAATTCAAATTACAAAACTTTTTCCTTATTTGAATACCTATTTCTTATTGGATTAAAAGCCAAAAATCATATTTCTGTAATATTCAACCTTTAAATGCTGTTTTGTATTGCATTACTATATTAATCATGAAGACAAGGTTGATCTAATAGAGTAGAGTGGTACCTCGGTTCACAAATGCCCCTCTTTACGAACTTTTCGGGTTACAAGCCCAATTTCTTCGGAAAATTTGAATCGGGTTACGAACTTTACCTCAGGATACGCATATGGCTGACCTAGCACGTGGTGGCACAGCAATCGCGCCTCAGTTTCCCAGTGTCTCCCACCTGAATTCTTTGCAACGATTTACAGTTTTTCGGCCATTTGAACATAAAAGTTGTTATTATATATCTCGCCATGGGTCCCAAGAAAGCCAGTGGTAAGGTTCAAGTCAAGAAAACACATGTGAGAATGACCACAAGGAGCAGCAACAAGAGGCAGCTGAGGATATTTCTTCAGGGGAGGAGGAGGCAGTAGAGAATGTCCCTTCCTCAACAATTAGGAAGCAGTGTAGACTGTGGGAAGAAATGCACTTTTGTTGAAACGACTCGCCCAGAGAAAGTTGTAGTAATCCGTTACATTAACTTTTTCAATGACACTGTGATGCCTCACTATGGACAAATGTTGCAAAGAAGGGAAAACAATCTTCAATGGAATGATTTCGAGTGAGAAAATAAAGAAGTCAGAAGCAGGTCCTAGTGGTATGCAGGTAAAACATGCCAGAGCGGACCCCAGAGAAATCCTCACTGCCTGATGTTGTTATAGTGGAAGGCCCTTCCAAACAATAACACCTCTCCTCCTCACCGTCTTTCATACACCAACAGGAGTCATCAGTAAAGGTAAGTAATAACTTGTACATACTTTTATAGTGAAGATTTGGGTGAATTAGGCATAAAATTTACTTTGAAGTTAATTTTTGGGGGAGTCAGGAACAGATTAATTGATTTCCCATTATTTCTTATGGGGGAATTCGCTTCGGTTTACGAATTTTCGGATTACGAAACGTCCCCAGGAACGGATTAAATTCTTAACTGAGGTACCCGTGTGTGTTAAAAATTTAAAGCTTTGCAAGTTTTTGTAAAATGTCAAAATATTTTTTTTTAAGATAAGCAGTGAAAGATTATCAAATGTGTTATGGGCTATAACTTGCATTTAGTACTGCATTAGGATTTTCTGGTCTGAGGGCCAACCTAAGATTGATCACACATTGATGCTATCACTTACAAAACCTGTACATTTTTCTTCAGTCAAGGTGGCATCATTTATGTTTATTGAAGAGTTTGAGCTCTGAAACACTATGAGGTTGATTATTAACCATAGTAGTCTTGGGTTATTAGAGCTTCAAAGCTTGTGAACTTAAATTAAATGGATGGAGGGCTGAAAGCTGTAACAACTAAGATCATTTTACACAACAAAATTGTCTTAGAAACTACGAGAAATATTCTATCAAGAGTTACACAATTCCATCTATAATATTACTATCATAATTATACAACTTTGTCTATATTATTACTATTAGTTATACAATCCTCTCTATAATCAATTATACAATTCCATCTATACACTTCTATTACCATCATTTATAAAGTTCCTTGTCTGGGTAGAAGGTTATTATTACAGTAGTGAGACAGTTGCCAATACACAAGTGATGGGGATTTTCAACCCCCTTTAGTCATTTCCTGAAACCAGGTACCTGGGGCTCATCTGATCTTCCGGTCATTGTTACTCCTAAATCAACAACACAGACGATAAAATAAGTAAGTAACAAGACGATAAAATTACAGAAATATCCAAAAACTAAAAAGCTTTTTCTTTTCTTGCCCTTCAATATTTCTTACCTTTCAACTTTCTCACTTAAATGTGCTCTCCAAGAGTAGGCCTTATGACTTTCACATAGTTTGTTTAACCCTTGAAATGAGCATACCGTTTTTAAGATGTTCTACTATACAGATAATGTAACCCTTGCGCAATGTAACAGTTAGAAGGCTATGAATTGAAGAAAATGAAGTAGCTTATCAATGGTATTGTAATTCACATGTAGTCAAGGTAAAAATATTAGCAATCAATTGGGAAAGTATAGCTTTTTCTACTACTACTAATTTCAGAGTTGTTTATAAAATCCTTGGTCATCCCACCATGGTAATCCCTTATAATTTTGTCTACAGCAACACATTCTTGCACTTAATTAATTGAACATTACCCATTTATTCTGTTTAGTTCATACAAATTTATCATAGTGTGCTCATGGTTTTAGGAAACAACAATGAAAATGACCTTTACGTTTATTTTGTTACACACTACATAGATTTTACAAAAGATTTGACATCTTTTGTAAAACTATTTGTCTTTAGTGATAAATAAAAAATTTGACCAGGATTTACATACAGGCCCATGAAATTTGTACATTTTTCCTCTAATCATGGTGGCTTAGTCTGCATTTATTAAAGTTATGACCTCTGAAGCACTACAAGGTTGTCTATAACAATAATGTAATAACTTTGGTTCAAGAAAGCCCTCACATCTTTTCTAAGCTCAAACTGTTTAATAAATACAGACTTAGCAGCCATGTTCATGGAAGTATGTACAGGCTTTTTAAGTGGGCATATAAATGCCAGATGAATTCTAGTCCTGAATAGTATTGGTTTCTCTCTCTCTATATATAGGTCATGTGTGGTATCTACATAAAACTGTTATGCTATCTTATTATACTACAACCATTTCAATAAATAGATTTAGTAAATATCTAATTACCAGTAGTATTAACAAATATTTAAAAGAGTTACGAGAAAATGCAGAAACAAAAATATCTTTCAACTTAACCATAAAGTTTGTTTCATTAAATATCTTTCAATTGTTATTAACTTTACAATAAATAATACACTTAAATGTCAAATAAATAAATAAATAATGTAAATGCTAAACCCAACAAACTGAAGATGTAATATGCAATGTTTTGGCTCAGCCAAAACATTGTCACGATTTTAATTTATCTGATGTCCAATAACACTAGTAGCCTCAACGAGGACAGGAAGCTGGAGGCTTGTCTAAGGTCACCCTGATGATCTTTTCCAGTTGGATTTTAAAATTTAACATCATTTTGGCACTTACAGCTTTGGCAGGTTAAGCAGCTCCATGAGTTTATAATCCTGTGGGTGAAAAGGCATCTCCTGTGCTTATCTCTTCACATGCTAATGGGTAGGTTGTATTTGTTTTTCCAGTCCTGATAGTGTGACTTATTCTTTAAATAATAATGTACTGTATAGAGTGAATTAAAGTACATTAACACAAAAGATAATATAACAATCCTAATTATTGACAACCAAAATAAATTAATATATATATAGTCTTTAAGTATTTTAAAGAGCATTCTCGTGCTCAAACCTGTAACCTAGTGATAAGTTGATTATAGTCCGATGAATTGCTAATAGTGAAATTGCACATACATGCACCCAGATTGTACTTTGTAATATTTTTCTCACATCTTGCAATTTCTTTAATATATATATATGTATATATACATTACATATATAGTTTGTGCTGTATTGTGTATGTATTTGCATATACAGTATTGTATAATAAGTAATTATCCTTGCCTAGATATGTTCTGCAATTTTACTGCCAAAACTTACTGCTTAAAACTTAAGAAAACATTAAGAGAATATAAAAATCCAATTACAAACTAGTATATTGCCAAAATGATGAACGTCTTGAATTTATCTTGATGTATGTAGTATCTGCTAGTAAATGTTCGCACAGCTGTCTTCAGTCAGGTGTGAGGGGTAGTGTTGCTGCAGGTGTCTTGGGCAGGGAGTTGCTGCAGGTTTTGCAAGTACAGTAAAGGATTGCTAAAGGAATCATGTATAGAGAGTTGCTACAGGAGTCATGTGTAGAAAGTTGCTACAAGAGTCATGTGTAGAGTTGCTGCAAGTTTTGTGCATTGAGGATTGCAGCTACCATGCACAGAAGATTGCTGAAGGTGTTGAAGGCAGAGTGCTGCCACAGGTTTTGTGCATAAAGGATTGCTACAGACGTTGTGAAAAAGAGGATTGCTGCAGGCATCAGGGATTGAGGGTTGTTTCAGGCGGTTATATGTCTATAAGTTGCAGATAACAAATCACATTTCTCCTCCATGCTCCATTTCAAGAAACTGGTTTCCAACAAATCTGGAAAATGCACATTGGAGTTTCAGTTATGAGAGTCCACCAAAGATAGTAAGGTTAATTATTATAGATTAATAGTGTCAGCATTTAAGTCTTTGCAATTTATTTAACTGTACATAAAGTTGGGGTACACACCATTCATACAGTACTTCTGCAATAATATGTTCTGCGTGTTAATACCTTTATATAAATTACACTATGTATCTATGAATACTCCACTGTATCCTGCTTCAAATGAACTTTCTATAAATAATTATTATATTATAATAATTATTTGTAAGATAAAGGTTACTTATGGTTTATAAAGGTTTATAAGATAAGATTACAGTAGTTACTTAGCAGGTTCAGAATATGTACTGTTTATACAGCCACTAATTACACACAGCTTTGTTGGCATAACTTTAAATGATGAGTGATTTGAGTTTTACATTTATGGAGTAATACTTAATACTATATGAGAAGACACCTGATTTATATTATTGGTTAAAGAAAATGTATCAAATGATACACTATTTTCTAAAGTGATACTTTATGATAAAGGGTATAGACTACTTTAATTCAGACTCATAGCTTTAGAGTTAACTAAAATAACAGTACAGATACAGTATTAAATATATTTTATATATTCAAAAATATACACGAGAACATGATACATTTTATGTTAAAATGTGTCACTGCTCTAACTGTCAGCCGTAAGTTAGTTATGGCTGTATGCCTGTTCACTCCAGCCACAGTTGTGAGGATCTGTATGAGTCACCTATGAATGAAACTAAATATACACCTAAAAAAATATCTTCATCTGGTTTATTGGAGATTTAACCATGTTCTCATGATTAGTGATATATAACAAATAAAAATATTAACATAAAATACAATATAGCATCACTAACAAAAGAAGAGAGAAAATGTATCATAATTAAGTTAATAACTCGTCCGCTTATAAGAATAAAGTTTACATACCCAACTGGGGAATCTGGTGGGGTGTCAACAACTGAAGCAGCCCTTGTTGCTTCTTCAGCAAACTGCCTGTAGAGAATACATTTTTTTTGTCATGAATGCATCATTGAACCCTATGAAAACCATTCCTCTGCTTAACACATTTTAAATATATTTAACTTCTGCAACATATTCCTATTTATCAATCATCATGCATATCCAAGACATAAAGAATGCTACATTAAATCCTGCCATGGCATGGACCCTGCCCTCTATAACATTGGATTACTTATGTAGTCAATTAAATACAGTAATAATGAAATTGTAGCTATCTACTGCACTAAAATGAATCCATTGTATGTAAATGTTGCAAGTAATGTATATTTTTTGTACATATAAAATATTACAGTACCTGGCAAGACTTCGCCTACACTGCGGTGGATGTTGTCTGGAAGTAGCATGCAAAGCCTTCCGAGGAGCTCCAATGGGAAACACAAATGGTCGCCCTACTGGAGTGATAAAGGACTCAAATTCAGAAGTTTCTAGCATTCCACTTGGTGATAAAACTACATTATTTATCTTCAATCTCTGGTTAGGAGTTACAATTTGCTCTTGAGATGAGCTAGATTCAAAGCTTCCCGAGATAGGTTGATCTGGGGACCATATACGTAATCTTTGGCTAGGTGTCACAACACATGAATCCGATATGCTAGATTGTAAATCTTGTGAGAGAAGCTGATCTGAACAGAGCTGCAAATTTCCTAACATTTGCTGATAAGAACACAAATCATTATTTTTTATATTACAGTGACTATCAGGTTCATTAGTCTGCCTGTCAAGTTTATGCAACTTCAGATGGGTTTCAAGATTCATACTAGGATAAAGAGATTGCATGTTAGATATGGCTAATGACTGCTTTGGTATCTGTGTGTGCAATTTCTTGACGAGAAGAGCTGGCCCTTGCATAGATTTACTTGTGGAACAACTAGGATGTAAAATATCTGCTCTTGTGGAACAGCTAGGATGTAATGTATCTGCTCCTGTGGAACAAGTAGGATGTAATGTATCTGCTCCTTTTGTAATACACTCAAGTTTTATGGGTGTTTTTGAATCTTTCCATTTGGGATTTTGCTCTACGCTAGTGTTGATATCAACCACAAGAGGTAAGAGGGTTGAACATACCAAACTAGGACTCAAATCCTGGTTAACTGACCCCTTCAGGTCGTCTGCCATTTTACAATCTTCTTGCGAGTTGTAATTTACAAGTGAACTAGTATCTTCTGAATCATAAGTATTTGTGTGTACACTTTTTATTATGAAATCAGACGGACTATTAAATGGAAGAAATTGGTTTATGTATCTTGGTGGTGTACTAGCTAGTGGGCAACACGCAACAGGCGAGCCTTTTTTTTCACCATTCTCGCTAAGAAAGTTGAACACTTTTTCTTGCTGAATACTGAAGTTTCGAGCTTTCACATACACAGTGTCTGGCGTGGTGCAAGCATGAGGTGAGCTCTCATCTGACCTGGTATACATAACCTCATCCTGAAAAATCTGCTGTGTACTTTCACATATATCTGTAGCAGTGCTAATGGACTCTATATTGGTTTTGCCAATTACTGATGTACCATTGTCTGATCTTACATCATTAGATATTCTGCTTTTGTCATTAGAACTAACACTGGCTAGTTTAATTTTAACACACTTGGTTAATGGTTGACGTAACTCAAGAATACGATCCCTGTTACTGAGCTCCGAATAACTGAGGTTCCTCTTGAAGGGCCTGGCTTCCTTTTCTTTGAATTTTGGGTCCTGTGTTCGGTTATCACAAAATTGACAACCGTTGGTTAAGAGAAAGGAGTCTTTGTTAAATAGTGAACAAGTCTTAAATTTGAATGGAGTGACTGATCTTTTGATGCTTGGAGAATGGCAAAGTCGTTTAGTATGCGGTTCCTCACACATGCTCTCAGAACTTTGTGAAAAACGTATGTTTCTGGATGTGTCAGAGTTGCAAATATCAGCTTCAGAGCTTGAGGACAAGGATCTTGATAGAATTTGTACACTTTTAGGGATGAATTTACAACTGGAGTAGTGTGCAACTGATGTACCAGGCCTTGTCTTCGGATAGTGGAGTTGATCAGCCGTTGTGTTTTCCTCAGATAACTGGAAGGTGGCATCAGCAAAGGTGAGACGTTTTTTGCCAGCTGGAGAGTATAGCTTCCTGTAACAAAACAATATAACTGGGTTAGTGTTTGAGAAATAAAGGTTGCCATCAACAATTAGTATTGACTTAAGGTGTTATGTGATATCTGGTAGGTCATTAATGTACTGTACATGAGAAAGAAGAATAGATCAAGTATACTACCCTGTGGAATGTCAGTATTAACTGGCAGTGTGGGAGAAGTAGTGTTGCTCACGCACATTTTGGTGCCTGTCACGGAGATCAAATATATTGAAGGCAGTGACCCAGACTCTATAGTGATATAATTTAGCAAGGTTATTATGGTTAACAGTGTTAAAAGCCTATTGAAGGTTAACAAATTGTTCTATCAATTACAGGTACTTATTTTTATCATTTTGTACTGAATTCCAATTTTCACGCACAAGTGAAGCGTTTGAGTTCTTTGACTTGTTGATGTTCTTCTAAAGTTATTTTATATGTGATGAGGATTGTTTGTACTCATTATATTCTTCTGTATCAAACACCTGGAATTACCTCAGTGTAGTTACAGGTTGAGGGTTGCACTTGTGGTTCCTCATCTTCCCATTAATCTTTGTTATATAATACTTTGCAGAATTAAAAAATGCCTCGAGGGTGTTGGGATAATGATGGATCATCCTACTATAAACACTAATGGATGTACTGGATGGATTCAATGGACCTAGTATGAACACAGGGAAAACACGAACAAGGAGACACAGGTGGAAACTAAGTGCCCAAATGAGCCACAGAAACATTAGAAAGAATTTTTTCAGTGTCAGAGTAGTTAACAAATAGAATGCATTAGGCAGTAATGTGGTGGAGGCAGTCTCCATACACAGTTTCAAATGTAGGTTTGATATAGCCCGATAGACTCCAGAATCTGTACACCAGTTGATTGACAGTTGAAAGGCAGGACCAGAGAGCCAAAGCTCAACCCCCACAAGCACAACTAGGTGAGTACTGATGCCAAAAATTCATTCAGGGTAAGCCACTTTTATATGATGTATTTAGTAGATATATCTACTTTTATAAAGAATACTCTAGGATCAAACAAAGAACCACAGAGCAATAAGTTTTGCTTATCCCCTGAGAGCTCTTTATCTCTTTCATAAAGAGAAAGTCAGTTGGCTAGGGATATAGCTGATGGCTATAGATAATAGGGTTTGTATACAGAAAATATGTCACAAAAATGTATGTGAGACAATTGACCCAAGCCACACACATGAAAAGAAATGAAAAGATGACGTTTCTGTCTGTCCTGGACCCCCTATCAACTTACCATGACTGGATAAGGTCCAGGACAAACCAAAACACTGTCAATGTCTGCATGCCAGAAATGGTGGAATTTTTACATACACAGTATCTCACATCAGTTTGACAACTGGTCCCTAGGCATTTATATAGAGAATACAGAGACAGTTTACTAACTGTGTTTTCCATGCAGGTGTTTTCTTATTCCCTGTAAGCACAGATGCAGGTGTAGTGGAAGGTGTTACTTCACATTTGTGTTTCCTGGGTCTTGCAGCCGCTACTGGGGTCGAAGGGCTACTTGCTATTCTTTCATCCTTCTAGTAACAATAAGACACAAATGCAATGTTTACTTTTTACACTAATAATAATAATAAATAATAATTATACAGTAATAACAATAATAATTATTTTTATTTATATAAAGTACATTTGAAACATACAATGGAGTATTGGTAGGTATTCAGCATAATTCATCTTCAGCCACAAATACACAAAGTATTTCAGGCATCAAACTTTTAGGCCTTGATAGGGACAGGAAGCCCTGAGAACCATCATCTTTAGTGGTCTTGACAGGGACAGGAAGCTGGTGGCTTGTCAAAGGTTCATTGAAACTTTGACAAGCTCCAGCTTCATCCACCAGCTTCAGACAGGAAGCTGGTGGCATTGGTCCTGAAGATTTTTTCAAGTTGAATTTTAAAATGAAGAAAGTCTTAGGATTTACAGAATTTCAATTTGGTTGGATATTTGTCTTAATGTTTTTTTAGTGATTAGGGCACAGTTATGCTCCAAAAAAACTAGGTTAAAAGTGAACTTGAAGTAAAACACTAAACTGTCACTGATGAGGATTCAAACTTAGAATTTTTGAGCAAGCCTCTCCCCCTCCATTCTCAGTAGCTCCCCCATAAGCCTAAGTACAGTACTAACTAAAATTGTAAATTGTCTTTTCAGCCTTACGAAGACAAGTAATCTTGTAAATTGTCTTTTGAGCCCCACAGAAACATGTAAGCTTGTAAAGTGTCTTTTTCTTTTTTGATAAATGAGTAGGACAGTGAGAACATATATCTCAATTCACCACCAAGAGACGCTGTTCTCCATGACACCTGAAGATCCTCCCACAGCACTCATCATGGATTTTCCTTTTGAAAATTTCAATCTTATGATGAAAAGTATAAGTGAAGAGATATACATCTTCAGTTGAAAATAACAGACATTCTGGAGTCACAGCTCCATCTTCAGTGCTAAAATAAAGAACAAATACAATACAACAGCTAAAACATGCATATATATTATCCACATCATCCTCTCTAACTAACCTGCCTTGGTGTGCAGAATCCATTCTGCTCACATGCAGTAGTGACTGATGAATACTCTAACCCATTTGCCAATTCAAAACAATCTGAAAAAAGTAAATATTAACCAGATTTTAATTCAGATTTTCTGAGTGTATTCATTATTTTCCTTATGAAGGAATCACCTTAGATGGCATATTGCAGCTTACTATAGTATTTAGGTAAATTCCAGGCATAAATTACATTCTATACTGTATTTGTAAAAATATACAAATACTGTGCATGGTAATTTTCTGTGTTAAGTAGGAGCTTACATATAATACTGGGGGTACTTCTGCCAGAGACAGAAAGCCTGTTCGGTTGTTATAAAATTTTATATTTATATAAATTATATTTGAACGTGATACACTGGAGCATTCGTAGGTAAACAACGTAAATTATATAAAGTCACTATAATACTGTACAGTACATCAAGCATTTCAGGCTTTATATAATACTACTGCATGAACCAGACCCACAAAACTGAAGCCAGGTCAAGACGGGCACTGAGGTCAGATCCACATGGAGCTGCCAAGTACAGTACTCATATTCTGATGCAGCACCAGCACAAAACAGCAGTATCAAGTACCAGAAAGAGTGAGCCAGCCCAAAAAACCTGAAACACTTATCTCATCTCACACCACTCAAGCTGTTGGGAATGGCAAAGAGTGTTAACATGACGACATGGACCTAAACTCAAAAGAGATAAGATCCATATACTGTACTGCATAGTACAGCACCAGGGGCAGGTCTATGGAACATGCATAACCATCTTCCTCAGTCTCCATTCTGAATTTACATCTATAATACCATACTGTTTACACTGACAAAACAAAACATGTTTTATCTTACCCTTCGTATCTGCTTCACTTGTTACATCTTTGACTTGGGCATCTTTGTATCTTGCCGCGGTGATGAAGCTGGTTGAAGAGATACAAGCTGAGGCGGCTACAGTGGGTGTGACTGAAGTGCAGACATCAGGTTTAGTGTTTGTACAAGACTGGATCAAACTGGTGAAAAACATGCTGGCAGCACCACCCACATTGTCCACCAAGTACTGTTCCAGCTCACTAGGGGACCTGCACACATACATGGCATTTAGTACAAAATTCAGAAAAATTATAAATGGAGTGTCCCATTGTACTGTCCTGGGACATCTATTGTTTACCATATTTATGTTTATATATTATATATATTTTATAATAGAAAATTATATTATAAATAATTGTAATTATAATTATAACAAAATAATTATAATTATAACAATGTTATAAAAATTATAAATATACAGTACAGTATTATAAATAACTGAATCCTAGAGGATTCAGGTAACTCCCAGGTTACATTGCTCTTACTATGTCGTGGTGTAGTGGTCTAGGGCATGTGCTTGGGAATATCAAGAGTGAGGGTTTGAATCCTCTTCATGGCTCCAACGGATTTTCTCATTGATACATATCACGTTAATACAATGACATACAGTACATAAGTAGGACTGCGAACAGGAGATGCTTTTTCACCCACAGGGTTATAAACCCATGGAACTGCCTACCCGCCAAAGCCATAAATGCCAAAACTCTGTTAACTTTTAAAGTACGACTGGAAAAGATCATCAAGGCAAATGGGGGGGACCTTCGACAAGCCACCGGCATCCTGTCCTCATCGAGGCCACTAGTGTTAGTGGCTCTCAGGAAAACTCAGGTAAATATATTTCTACATCATCAATACTCTGCATATTAGTGGCTTTATATACAGTGGAACCTCGAGTGACGAGCGGCTCCAGTTACGAGTATTTCGAGTACACGCAAGCCACTGGCAAAAAAATTGTCTCGACTGACGAGCTTTCCCGCTGGTTCTCGAACACCTCTGACGACAGTTTTGTTGTTGTTTCGCAAGACGAGTTTTCCACATGACGAGCTCGGTGCCAGAATGGATTAATTCGTTAATCGAGCCGCCACTGTAATTTACATTGTGAACCTATGAGTACGCCATTGTATGTTTAAAGTACATTTTACGTAAATATAAATAACTACCTGTACTGGTACTGTATTATTATTATTATAAATATAAATGAATATTATTATTATTATAAACTATATTGACTGATACTGATGACATTGCTAAAGACACTACATTGAGTTTTTTCAGAACAGTACTGTATTAACAAATAAACCAGAAAATGCGATAGAATAAGTAATTTATTGGCTTTTTATTTATTCGGGAGACTTAGGCACTGTCTCTGGGAAAGTAAGTTATGCTTTAGCTCTCCTGGGTCTGATCCCTCTGAATATGGAGCTAATGATTGTACAGTACTGTATCTATGTATTACTATATGCACACCCTATAATTATTTATAGTTATACATACTGTATACCTAAGTCTTATAACTTCACAAAACACATTTTACATGGATATCACTGATTTGTGTGTGATAGTGAGATAATTAGTGATGCATTACACAATGCACACATCTTGTACGAATATGCATTTCTAATCCCATATGTTATTGCCTTGCACATTGTGGAGTCACCAAGATGTGCATCTGATCCTTACGCACAATTGTCTGGCACATTACGGCATCACTCATATGCATTCCTGATCCTTGCACTTTGAGACGCAGGCATACCTTATATTCTTTTCTGCATCTATGAGGAAGCGGGCATAAGAGGCACGAGCATGGCTGAGAGTGAAGAGAGCAGAGTTGTAGATGGCGTCACCTTGGTCCACACCTGCTGCAACAGTCAAGGGCACTCACTTTAGCTGAGGTTAGTGAGGATTGTCTTTACTTCTCCATCATACAAATTACTTTTTACTGCACTTCTCTCACACAATATTGATATACAGTATTACTATACTGTACTTACAAAAACTATTGTAATCTCACCATTCACACTAACTATTGCTATTTATCTTAAACAAACAAAAATTACTGCCTTTTCTCAGGATGCAATGCCACAACAGTTGCCTAACTCCCTGGTACCTATTTACTATTAGTTGAATAGGTCTATTAGGTGAAAGGAAATGTGCTCAACCATTTCTTCCGTCACACCTGGGGGATCAAACCTGGCATCTGATTGCAAGTTGAGAATGTAGCTACTTTACTACAAGATCCTATCTATACACAAAGAACGTATATACAGTACTACATATACAGAATAATTACAAAAAACGTGCAATTTGATTATGCATAAATATCTACTAGGAAAATGAAACAAAAGTTCTGAATGTTTTGTGTTTCAACACATTATCAACACAGTTCAGAAATTTATCAAGAAAATTTCAAAGCATTTTCCTAGTGGATACATACTCACAGTACAGTATATATAAAACAAGAAAAATATCTTAAACTAACGCTTCTTGGCCAGTAGGTTGGAAAGACAGTCTTCCAGCTGGGAGGTAAGGTGTGAAGTTTCAGAGACAATCTTCCGGATGGAACGTAACTCCTCTGACATTGGTAATGCTGAGTTCAGCTGACTTACTGATTGCTGTGAGATGGACAATTATGTAACTTAGTGACACTTTAATAGACTTTGAAAAGTAGTTTTGTATAGCCCAAAGTGCAAACAAAAATGTTATTATGAAACATGAATTTAGTAAACAGCTATAATAATAATAATAATAATAATAATAATAATAATAATAATAATAATTTTACTTTTAAAATATACATGAGAAAATATTAGTAGTTTATTTGTACGCACACAGGTTGCAAATTAAATGAGGGCACTAATATGCAAAGTGTTTCAAGCATAATTTAAGATTAATTAGTTATTTAGTTAATTAGGTAATTATTATAATGTAATTTCTTTTATAATTCATATAATTTATCAATAATTTTTTTTCTAAAACCTTTACATACTCACTTTCTTATATTAATTATATTTATTTCAAATAATTCCTGTTGTATGGGACAGGAAGCCTGTACTTAGACTTACCGAAGTCCGTATAAGCCAAATACTGACTTTTCCCAGGATGCAATTCACAACAGTTGCCTATCTCCCAGGTACCTATTTTAATGCTAGGTGAACAGCAGCATCAGGTAAAAGGAAACATGCCCTACTATTTCTGTCCTACCCAAGTAATGAACCAGAATCCGTCGACTGTAAGCCAAGGCTTCAACCACTATGCTACAGGATACATATAGTACAGTACTGTATATGCAAAATGACATTTTAATAATAATAGTAATAATAATACAGTAATAATAATAATATGTAATAATAATATTAATATTAATAATAATAATATGTAATAATAATAATAATAATACCTGTACTGTAATGAAATTTGTTAATATTTTTTACACAAGTGTACATACATATGATACATGAACAGAGTAACATAAGTAACAGAGTAACATTTGTTACATAAGTAAGATAAGTACAATGCACAAAGCCCCTAGAACGCAGTGCATTTCGGGCACTTAAGATCGAACAGCTGATTGTTTACACACTTTAAAGGTTGGCTGAGGAAGACACTTGACACTAAACAAGAAGCAACATAAAATTGTTCAGAAATTTAGCAAACGATATACAGTTTTTTGGGAGGGCACAACTTAAAAAAAAAAAAAAAAAAAAAGAATTAGGAGAAAATGAACGAGTGAAATGGGGGTATACTGTACTCAAGATTAAATAAGATATGGTAGCAAAATTTTAATTGTTGAAAGATTTAAAAAAACTGTATTTGATAATGGACACAGGCACTACTACTGTACATTATAGAATATGTAGTTTTAGCAATACAGTACTGTATTACAGAAATAATATTAACGTTATTAACAACAGCAAAATATACAAAGATGGGTTTTTCATATTGGATCTTCTTAAGCTGATACTCATAATGTAAATATAATGAGACATATGTGGACAGGTTCTTGGATGCTACAAGATGATGCACACATCAGGATTAACCCTCAAACAGTTTCAATGGCCATCTGCAATTACAGTACCTGCTTTGCTCAAATTACCAAATGCAATTTTTTTGACATTAGTTTTGTGAACTACTGCACTATGTGTCATATGCACTACACTGTAGGACTTAATTAGCTGAGCCATTTACCTGGTGGACACAATATCCAAGAGCAATGCCAATTCAACGTTGAATCAGCATTCTCAATGTTAATTCAACATTGAACTAATGCCACTGGGTAATGGGCAAAGGTTAGCTAGTACAGTATTCTGAAGAATGGTACACTGCTCTGTCTTTGGTGCCTTTTCACACATAAATGACACAAGAACTGGATGGCTCTTTCATTTGTCACTTTTTCATTCTCTGTGCAGTACTTGGTAAACCAAAATGTTCAACAGAATTAAAAGTACCAGAGATGAAAGTGGACAAGTATGAGTGGGAATATATTGAATGTGTTTATCCAGTAATATGTCAGTTACATACAATTGACACAGTCATTTTTGAATCTTGCAATTTTAAAAACAAGACAAGGCTATGGATTCAACCTCAAGAAACACAGGTGCCAAAAAAATATATATGAAAGTTCCTTTTTACAAAGGTTAAAACAGTTGGAATAATTTAAATGAGAAGTTGGTGGTTGCCAAAACCATTACTACAGAATTTTCAAAGTGACATGACAAAATGATAGAGAAAATGGGTCACCACAAGCATAGCTCTCATCCTGTAACTGCACTTATGTAATTACTGTACTTGTTACTGTACTGTATCAGGAAGTATTCACCCTTGTCATTCATTAAAACAAACATTAAACTACTAATAAGTGTTACAGCACTTACTTTGAATCTGGCAGAGTACTTGGCATTCCGAAGTGCTTTAGTAGTTTTGCGCATTATAATAGGATCTTCCTGGTCGGTTTCCCTCATGGTATCATCGTGTAGCGTGCTGCTAGCTGAACATACGTCACTCTCACCCACACCATCAGGCCAGTTTTCCAAATCTTCATTCATGATTCTGAGCAGACAGTAGAACAGGTTCTGCTTAATTTTCATTATCAATGCTTTCTCTCCTTATGCATTTCTGTGCATTTCTTTATAAAGAGCTGACAATATTTTTTTAATATATACATCCACACTTAACTTTGAGTCACATGTTCCAAAGCTAAAACAGGTTTGTACTGTGAGTATATTATCATTAATATGTACACATGAGATGTATGGAATACTCATATTATCCTGTTTCTAAAACACACTTTGACCTGATACACCTATGTTTTATAAAAAAATTCCTTGCATATACATAAACAATGTTGTCTTAACTCTACAGCAACTACAAATGTAGTTAATGTACACTGCATCACTTTTCACCATTTATTTTACAAATTCCTACTTTATCAGAGGGCCACCAACTCCTGTGGCCTTTACAGGGCCCAGAATCCAATTGCTGCCAACGATCTAATCTTTATATTATTCTGAGAGGGCTGTCTTTAGTGGCACCCCAAACTACCTGCCTTATTAGTCAAATGTACCCTACCAGTCTAGCCCCATCAACAGAGGCAAGAGGAGTCTGGAGATACCAAATCAACCCAGGAAAAGAGGAAAAATACCACAAAAAAGGAGTGCCCCAAAACAAGCAACTGAAAGAAATGAAAAAATTAGTAGGAGCCGTGATGAGGATTCAAACCTTTGCTCTAGGTACTGGGAGGCCATAAGGGCTTCCTGTCTCTGTTGAGGCCACTAGAGTTGGTGACCCTCAGGGCTTTTTCTCTCCACCAAGGCAACTAGAAATAGCAGTCTTCAGGACTGCCTGTCTCTGTTGAGGCCACTAGAGATGGTGACTTCAGGGCTTTCTGTCCCAGTCTAAGCCACTAGAGATGGTGGCCCCTCAGGAATTCCTGTTCCCGTTGAGGCTACTAAAGATGGTGGCCTTCAGGGCCTCAAACTCCCGTTGAGATCACGAGGTCAAAGATGGTAGCCCTTGGAGCTTCTTAGTTCCTGTTGAGGCCACTAAAGATGGTGGGCCATTAAATTATCCATAATGTGTGCCACATAGTGAAGGCCAATAAACTACCTAACATGTATGCCACAGAGTGAGGGCCACTAAATTTCTTGCCATGTCTGCCACATAGTAAGGGCCACAAAACTACTGTACCTGCCATGTTTGCCACAAAGTAAGGGTCACTAAACTATCTGCAATATAGTAAGGACCAATAAATTACTGTACCTGTCATGTCTGCCACATAGTAAGGACCAATAAATTACTGTACCTGTCATGTCTGCCACATAGTAAGGACCAATAAATTACTGTACCTGTCATGTCTGCCACATAGTAAGGACCAATAAATTACTGTACCTGCCATGTCTGCCACATAGTAAGGGCCCCTAAACTACCTGCCACAACCTAACTTCAGGCATAACTTAAGTTATGCTTGAAATGCACTCTGCATATTAGTGACTTCAGGCAATGTACCTGCCTTATCTATGTATATTCCTCCGTTCATGTATCATATGTACGTTCATTTGGGTAAATAAATTATCATTATTATTACCTCCATTTTTTGCCAAATATATAGGCCTATTACCCAGCTACAAACGTTCAAGCTGCTGGCATGTGAACTTAAGCCTATGTTAACACCTTTCAAAGCTCGCCAAAAAATTAACACTATAAATCATACAGTAACCCAGATAGGCCTATGCTGCATGTGGGTGAGCAGCATAGGGTAGGCCTACCCATGTGGGTGGGCATCATGGAGTAGACCTACAAACCTACATGTGGGTTAACAGCATTAAGTATAGGCCTTTCCATGTGGATGGACAGTTTCAAGTAGGCTGGCGACCCATGTGAGTGGCCAGTATCAACCAGGCCTACCAATGTGGGAGGGCAGCATCGACCAAGTCTATTCATGAGGGGGCCAGTGTCCAGTATGAGAAATGAGTAGGCCTTATGCATGAGGATTGGTAGTATTGTGTCGGCCTAACCCACGTGAGCGAGCAGCATCCAGTAGGCCTGCCCACATGGATGTACTGTACATGTAAGTTTGAACAGACCTATCCCTGTGGGTAGATGGCATTGTGTAGACCTATATAGGTGGGCAGAATTGAATAGGTATACCCATAAAGGCGAGCATGTAGCTCTGAGTAAACCTACTCATGTGGGTGGGTGGCATCAAGTAGACCTATTCATGTGGGTAGGCATAGTCCAGTAGGCCTACCCACGCCCACATCAGCCGACTACCCAACCACCAATACAATTGATGGTAGAATTTACTAACCCAGACATAATGAGACGTCAAAACCTATCACGGTCTTAAGAGGTGATGAACCACCTCAGGTATATCAGCCGTTTCACGTTAACGAAAATAAATGCTAAATGTGAACTAAGCCTATGACAGCCTCCAGCACATACCGGCTGATATAAAGCTTCCTTACAGCGTAAATTGTTGTATGGTAAACCATCTCAAACATAGGCAGTAACAGATAAATTAAAAAAAAAAATGGTCAAAATGAGTTAGGCCTATACCAGCCGTCATTGTATATATGAGGGCCTCTTATGGTTAAATGGTGAAGAAAACCCAATATTACAACATTAATTACCGCCCTTTATCTTTAGTACGGACTGCAAGGCGTTGAGGGTACCTGTGACTAGGCTAGTGTGCTGTACACGACGCTGGACGACATACGTCTATCTTTCCCGCGCGACCTTGCCTCACTGACGTTCCAGCGTTACCACATAATATTACATATATCCAGCATTTATGACCATTATTCCCTATACAACCATAATTATTAACGTAAATCATCATCTATATTGCCCGAGGAAAGCTATAGTAACGTGTAAATGGGTTCTAATAATTCCAAAATTGGTAATTATATATGGTAGCCTCGAGGCGCCAACCCAAAAATTTGTTTTTGAAGAATTGTGTAAATATATTGATTTTTATGTTGTAATTAGCATAGAGTGAGGCAGTTCGGTGAGTTTTGTGGGAATTTCGAGGAGGGAGAATGTTATTATGGGTTATAGTTGGAAATTGGAGTAATTTAGGGATTTATGATGATAATGAACGCTGTTGGTACTGCCGGAGGGTGACGTTGCGTCCTGCTGCCACTCCTGCTGCTGAGTCTGCCTTCTGCTGCCGCTCCTGCTACTGAGTCTGCCTTCTGCTGCCACTCCTGCTACTGAGTCTGCCTTCTGCTGCCGTGTCGACTTCTGCTGCTGCAGTGACTGACTTCTGCTCGCTCCTGCTAGCCAGGTAACAACGTTCTTAATTTCTCTTATCATGTGGGAGGCAGCCCACACGTACCTAGCTAGGTCGTGTCTGCCACTGACATGACAGCAATATATGTACCTGGTGACGTTACCATCTTCAGTCTGTGGGTGGCATGGGCTCCCTGGTGCCCACATTAGTGAGTTGGTGGGTGGCATGGGCTCCCTGGTGTCCACATTAGTGAGTTGGTGGGTTGCATGGGCTCCCTGGTGCCCACATTAGTGAGTTGGTGGGTGGCATGGGCTCCCTGGTGCCCACATTAGTGAGTTGGTGGGTACCATGGGCTCCCTGGTGCCCACATTAGTGAGTTGGTGGGTACCATGGGCTCCCTGGTTCCCACACATTATTGGGTTGGTGGGCGGCATGGGCTCCCTGGTTCCCACACATTATTGGGTTGGTGGGCGGCATGGGCTCCTTGGTGGCCACACATTATTGGGTTGGTGGGCGGCATGGATTCCCTGGTGCCCACGTTAGTGAGTTGGTGGGCGGCATGGGCTCCCTGGTGCCCACACATTATTGGGTTGGTGGGCGGCATGGGCTCCTTGGTGGCCACACATTATTGGGTTCGTGGGCGGCATGGGGTCCCTGGTGCCAACATATTATTGGGTTGGTGGGTGGCATGGGCTTCCTGGTGCCCACACATTATTGGGTTGGTGGGCGGCATGGGCTCCTTGGTGGTCACACATTATTGGGTTGGTGGGCGGCATGGGCTCCTTGGTGGTCACACATTATTGGGTTGGTGGGCGGTATGGGCTCCCTGGTGCCAAAATATTATTGGGTTGGTGGGTGGCATGGGCTCCTTGGTGCCCACGTTATTGGGTTGGTGGGCGGTATGGGCTCCCTGGTGCCCACACACTATTGGGTTGGTGGCTGGTATGGGTTCACTGGTGCCCACGCAGTATTGGGTTGGTGGGTGGCATGGGCTCCCTGGTGCCCACACTTTATTGGGTTGGTGGGTGGCATGGGCTCCCTGGTGCCCACACATTATTGGGTTGTTGGGCGGCATGGGCTCCCTGATGCCCAGACATTAATGGGTTGGTGGGTGGCATGGGTTCCTTGGTGCCCACATTATTGAGTTGGTGGGTGGCATGGGCTCCTTGGTGCCCACACATTATTGGGTTGGTGGGTGGCATGGGCTCCCTTGTGCCCACATTATTGGGTTGGTGGTTGGTATGGGCTCCCTGGTGCCCACACATTATTGGGTTGGTGGGCGGCATGGGCTCTTTGGTGCCCACGGATTATTGGGTTGGTGGGTAGCATGGGCTCCCTGGTGCCCACGCATTATTGGGTTGGTGGGCGGCATGGGCTCCCTGGTGCCCACACACTATTGGGTTAGTGTATGGCATGGGCTCCCTGATGCCTGCATTATTGGGTTGGTGGGTGGCATGGGCTCACTAGTGTCCACACGTTATTGTGCTGGCGGGTGGCATGGGGTCCCTGGTGCCCACACATTATTGGGTTGGTGGGTGGCAAGGGCTCCTTGGTGCCCATTATTGGGTTGGTGGGTGGCATGGGCTCACTAGTGTCCACACGTTATTGTGCTGGCGGGCGGCATGGGCTCCCTGGTGCCCACACATTATTGGGTTGGTGGATGGCATGAGCTCCCTGGTGGTCACAGATTATTGGGTTGGTGGGCGACATGGGCTCGCTGGTGCCCACACAGTATTGGGTTCGTGGGTTGCATGGGGTCCCTCGTGCACACATTATTGGGTTGGTGGGCGGCATGGGCTCCCTGGTGCCCACACATCATTGGGTTGATGGTTGAGCAGCTCCGTAATACCTGTTTAACTCCCAGGTACCTATTAACTGCTAGGTAACAGGGGCATTCAGAGTGAAAGAAACATTGCCCATTTGTTTCTGCCTGGACCGGGAATCGAACCCGGGCCACAGAATTACGAGTTCTGCGCGCTGTCCACTCAGCTACCAGATAAGAAATATTATGTATTATCATTATTGTTTATTAAGCTAGTCATTGTGTATTGTGTAAAATTTTCTGACAGTGTACATATAAACATTATTTTTTGTCAATTTTGCTGGAAATTACCTACTTAAAATTACCAATTTAAATTATCTGTTAGATTAAGGACCTGCCCGAAACGTTATGCGTGCTAGTGGCTTTACAAGAATGTAAAATCATCATTTCTATGTACTCTCTTAACCCCCAGTGTACCTTCTTGTATATAAATAAATAAATATCCTTCACTGACGAATTTTGTTCGAGCCACAACGCTGCAAATAATCGCCAACAGAACCTAAACACCTAACCTAACCTATGCCTATATATGCACAATAGGGTAATATATTATAATATTTATTTATATATGAGAAAATTCCTGTTTTAAATGAATAGCATGTAAAAATTTATGAATTCGTCTGTGGGGGGTCGACCGCTGGATGTAATGGACTTGAGTCGAGGACGGGTTGTCCCAGGATCACACCAGAGTTGGAGACGTCTCGTTGACCCCCCCCCCCCCCCCCCCCCCCCCCCCCAGCCTTACCCTCTAGGACCCGAACACGTCTCCATTACCCCCCCCCCCCCATCGCTTATCTGTATATATACACTCTGGCTGCCAGTCCACATACACAATTATTGTTTTCTGACCCATTATATTTTGTGTATCAATAAGTAAAATAAATAATTTACTTATACCTAATATTTCTGGGCTAGGATACAACAAGCATCATACTACCATTTATGAAACCTGTGCATGAAGATCAGGAAACAGGAGATGCTTATTCATCCATAATGTGAAGTTTGAGAACATAGTTACGAACAATAAGGGGACTTTTGACAAGCCACTGGCTTCCTGACCCTGACGAAACCGCTACAGAGACGGTGGGACTCGGATAATTTCATATAAATTTGTAATTTGTCCTTAATCATGTTTTTCTTACAATTATTAAATAGTTTTAAGTTTAGAAATTTTACAACCCAAAGTTATTATTATTATAAACAATCTCATAGTGCTTCGGAGCTCATAAACTTAAAATAAATGTAAACACAGCCATTATGATTGAAGGAATCTGTACAGATTTTGTAAGTGGTTTTGATAATGCTCAATGACTCCTGGCTCTTATATCCACTAGCATTAACAACTCTTCTATTTTTATCTATTGCAGTTGCATGGTTCAGCATCTGCAGAAGAGATTGAAGGCGTTTGATTCAGACATTCAGCCTTTGAAAAATAATGGAACCAACAATCCCTACAAGATCTAAGGACTTTGAGAATGCCATGGATTTCCTGAAGAATCGGATGGGACCAAAAGGATCAATATCCATGTTTTTAGTTCCACGGACACCCACTAAGATGCATGTGAAAGACAAAAAGAGTCAAGGTGAAAATGTCACGGCAAATAAAAGCACAGGTAATGCTTTAGAAAAATCCTTGGATGATGGTGTACACATATGTGGTGAAGTCATTACCATACAAGAGGCTTCTGCTTCAACAAGCATGAATCCTACCAGTGACAAGAAATGTGCTCAGTTATCAGAAAATGCAGATCTTGACGAAGATGATACCAATCACAGCACATTACCTGAACAGTCCTCTCCTCAGGCTATTGCAGTTTCCACCTCCACGGAGAATGGAGCAGGTGGTGGGGATATTTTATCCTCTCCTACCCTTAAACGTATCAAGGCAAGTAACCAAATTGTCTGCATTTATTCTGACAAAGATGCTATGTCAGTGGAAAATAATGTTTCAACTCCTACTAAGGACAAAACAGCAGGGAAGAATATCAACTTGAATGATTGCCCCAAGCAAATTCTCTCAAGTCATTCCCCGCAGAAGCAACATAATGGGACCGATCGGGACCCTCAACGCGTGGGATTTTCATGCCGTGTGTCTCCAATTAAAAATGTAATTAACAAAACAACAACAGACAGCCTAGTATCATCGGGAGAGCAGTTCCATGACAGGTCTAAAAATGCAAGGAAGCTCTTGGAATCATCTAAGGACCCCGGAGATAGTATCTCTACCAGGTCTGTTTCCTATAACTTGAGACAATCTAGACAGCAGCCTTTGAGGTTTAATTACACAGTACCAACACATAATAAGCAAGTAAAAGTTCTCAAAACTCAGAAAAGGAAAACGTTCAGTATTACTCTTCCATCACTTTCCCCTGAGGCAGAGAATAATCTGTTAAGGATTTTCTTTGCCATGGCAAATTTTCATGGCTGTGAGGTTACCATAGATGGCAGATCTGTAAATGTACCAACTGTGAGGGTTCAAAGACGCTCACAAGTTTATAGTTCACGCAAACAAGTGCCCAGTCAACATTTGAAAGAGAATCTTCACTCTGACTCTCAACATGCATTATCTCAAAATGTATCATATACAAATAAGAATGATGTCGGCCTTTTCTCTCTCTATCCAGAGGTTGTTTTGTGCACTCCTCATCAAATGTAGAGTGTGCCTCTCTTATACAATGACTAAGGCCTCAATAACAGATGATTATCACAACAGGAATGTTACATTAATCGTAATGGGGTCAAAGATAAGCTGCTAGTTGGCATGCACTCACAACTCCATAAATTGGTAGAATTTTTTATGTGGTTATTCTGTCCCGTATCTCCCTAATAGTATGACTTTGACCTCATCTGCCTGGATGTTCTTTTGTAGTGTATTATCTCTGCAGCTACGAGAGTACAACTTTTATTCTTAGTGTGATTTTTTTTCTTTAGAACCAAACTGAAGGTTTGTTTTGTTTTGAGTTATGAAATGAGAGTCGATGTTATTGATATTACTATTGTTGATGTTTACCTGAGGGCCACCATCTCTAGTAGCCTCGACAGGGACATAAAGCTGGCAGCTTGTCAGAGTTGCCACTATGTTTCGCATTTTTTGTTTCATAAAGCTATGGACATGCAATTAAAGAAAGAATAATTCTTGACTCATTTTGCATAAGGATGCATTGAAAAATACCTTATCAGTTTACAGTTAATTTTTTATACACTACTAAATTCATTATAATTTGCATACAAAACTCAAAATTTAGTTTTTTATTACTAAATGGGGAACTGATCATATAATTAAAGTCACTACACAGCAGCATATTTTAAAATTATGTTTGGTTCATTTACCTTAATCACTACACAGCAGCATATTCTAAAATTATGTTTGGTTCATTTACCTTAATGTACGTGATTCTTTGTTTTTAATTTTCAAGTGTTAATTGCTTAGTGTCTGGATATGATTGCAATTTGTTTAAAGATTACTAGCCTGAAGAAAATCGTGAAATACTATGTATGTATACTGAAATAAATATATTAAATTTATTTTGTGAATTATGTATAATAATGGTATGGATAATATTTTAATGCACATTACTTATTAGGTACTGATACTGTGAGATGTGAGCTTGAAAATTAGCAGTGCTCGTTAAGTACTGGGGGATGTGAAACTTTAAAATTGATAGTGCTTATTAAGTAGGCCTGCTGTGTGAAACACTAGCATTAAAACTGTGTTCATTACATACTGCGTGAATATATATATATATATATATATATATATATATATATATATATATATATATATATATATATATATATATATATATATATATATATATATATATATATATATATATATATATGTCGTACTAGTAGCCAGAACGCACTTCTCAGCCTACTATGCAAGGCCCGATTTGCCTAATAAGCCAAGTTTTCCTGAATTAATATATTTTCTCTAATTTTTTTCTTATGAAATGATAAAGCTACGCATTTCATTATGTATGAGGTCAATTGTTTTTTATTGGATTTAAAATTAACGTAGATATATGACCGAACCTAACCAACCCTACCTAACCTATCTTTATTGGTTAGGTTAGGTTAGGTAGCCGAAAAAGTTAGGTTAGGTTAGGTTAGGTAGTAGAAAAAACATTAATTCATGAAAACTTGGCTTAATACGCAAATCGGGCCTTGAATAGTAGGCTGAGAAGTGCGTTCTGGCTACTAGGTACGACATATATATATGTATATATATATATGTCGTACCTAGTAGCCAGAACGCACTTCTCAGCCTACTTTGCAAGGCCCGATTTGTCTAATAAGCCAAGTTTTCATGAATTAATTTTTTTTCGACTACCTAACCTACCTAACCTAACCTAACTTTTTTGGATACCTAACCTATAAAGATAGGTTAGGTAGGGTTGGTTAGGTTTGGTCATATATCTACGTTAATTTTAACTCCAATAAAAAAAATCATCTCATACATAATGAAATGGGTAGCTTTATCATTTCATAAGAAAAAAATTAGAGAAAATATATTAATTCACGAAAACTTGACTTATTAGGCAAATCGGGCCTTGCATAGTAGGCCGAGAAGTACGTTCTGGCTACTAGGTACGACATATATATATATATATATATATATATATATATATATATATATATATATATATATATATATATATATATAAGAAAAATTATATTTTTCTATTTTTTTGTATTTAGTAAATTTTCTAATGGCCTATTATTTCTATATTATGCAGTACAAGACTATAAATATTCCCCAGGCATAGCATATAATTATACATATAACCAATAACTGCCAAAGAAATATTTTTATTTGAAGAAAAGGAATATTTGGCATAAAGATTTTTAGTAAATTTATAATAAAATTACTGTAGTGTTATTTCTATGTATTAACCAGAATTTACCTGAAGACCACCATCACTAGTGGCCTCCATGAGGCAAGGAAGACAGTGGCTCGTCTAAGGGTTCCCATTTTTTGCTTTTGATTTTATTTACCTGAATTATCCCATTATCTCTTATCTTGATAGACTTTGAACTGCAGCAGTGTTTTGGTATTTACGCTTCGGCGAGTAGGTAGTTCCATGGGTTTATAATCCTGGGGGAGAAAAGCATCTTCTGTTTTCTGTCCTTGTGGCTTGTAGAGCTTGACGAAGTTGTCATAATTTTTTTTTTATTTCTTATATAACCATGGATTTTGGATCTTTATGTTATGAGAATCTTTTTCGTAGTTTAGTTTCGTTGATCTGATTTCTTGGATGACTGAATTTCAAGCCCTTCTGTAGATCTCAATCTAAAGATTATGATTGGGGTGCTTTAAACTCTCAATGTATCTTGTGCTACCCACTCCCCCAATATATGTGCCTAAGTCATTTACCTTCACCATTGTAATCACTGCTATCATCTTATGTTTTTTTTATATTGAACACATATTTTACTTCATTATACCTAGAAATAATCCTCAAATTATGCTATAGTGTACCTGTTGATAATCCTCAAATTTTACTATAATGGCCCTACTAATCTTCATCAAATTTTCTTGCAATGTACCTGTTAACATTTCTCAATTTTGCTAGAAATTACCTACTTAAAATTATCTATTTCATGGGCCTGTAATTTCTTTGCCAGTCATTTTTGTAGTACCTTATCAAAAGCTTTAACAAAATCCAAATTCAAATTATTATTCAGGTAAAAATACATACATAGCTGAGGAGTTACAAACATAATGTTGGATTTATAAATAGACCTAATACATACAATACCTAAAGCCACTAATACGCATAGCGTTTCGGGCAAAGTGTAGGGGAAAAAAAAAAAGACACTGACTAAAACAGTAAATGAGATTAAAGTATAAATTGTATTGAAAAAAAATACCGTAAGTACTTATTTTCTTACTTATGGTATCTGTTTTAATTCATTATTTACAACATTATTTAATATGTGTGGGTTAGGGTCTGAGTAGATGAGGGTAGTATCGTCAGCAAATGATATAGGTTTAAGAATGTTAAGAGACATTAGGCAGATCATTGATGTATATAAGAAATAGGAGAGGTCCTAGGATGTTACCCTGTTGTACTCCTACGGTTAATGGTAAAATGGGAGTGGTTATATCATTGATGGCTACATATTGGTGTCTGTCACTGAGATAGGATCGGATATAGTTTAGGGCAAGGCCTCTGATTCCATAATGGTGGAGTTTAAGTAAGGGGTAGTTATGGTATCAAAGGCCTTTCTCAGGTCAATGAAGAGTCCTATCAGAAACTCTTCTTTGTCAAGGGCTGAGTAGATTCAGCCCTCGAATTGAAAGATTATATCAAGCCGACTAATAATTTCCAAGATGGTGCTCCAATTTTAAACAACTAAAGAAAATATACTGTTATTTTAAAGACTAATATAAAGAAAGTAGCTCGGGAAATTTCTGATCAAATGGACACAATATTTGAGTGTCCCCAAACATGGGCAACAAGAGAAAATGGTGAGGCAAATCGACTGAGGAAGCGATGGTTTAAAGTTACACAACAACACGTAGAAACGACGTCCTAAAGGACTCCTCGCAATCATCGGGATTATAAATCCTTCATGCAAACTGCACATACCATCAAGAAGAAGGACTCCTGGGTTAACCTTGACGAGTGGACGTCTGGACATCTCTACGCCGGATCGCGTTCTATTTTCGCGATTTTGGATTTGATACTGCCGTTTGGTATCCCTAGTCAACGGTCCGGTTTGTACGACGCCGTGTACATGTCGCCTTGGGTCACAGGACTTGATAGATTTTGAATGTTTTCTGGCTGGTTCTCCCGACGGGGTGACGGTATCCCGCGCCGGCTTGGCCGGGAGTTTGTGGGTCTTGGTGGGTTCCTGTGCCCTCAGACGTGGTGGGCGGCTGGCTTCTGCTCTGCCGGAGGGCACCGGATGACTTTTGCGTTTTAGCTGGGGGCCGAGTTTTCGGTTTTGTTAACTGGTATTCTCTGTGTGGGGCAGGGCCAGTGCTTGTCACCCTGAGAGACTCCTGAGGCTCCCCAATCATCTGCCTGTCGGTGCGTTTCTTTGACGCCTGGCGTCTTAGTGTCTGGTGATACGCATCATTCGTTTCGCCATTAGGATTTGCGATTAATCCTTTTAATTAAGTGCACGCCGGGGCGCACCCTATCCCACGATCGTCGACGCCCCTTTGTCATAGGAACAAAAACCCACGTGTGGGCGCGTCTTTTTTTTTTTTTTGTAAGTGAAACGTAGTGATTAGAAAGTGCATATCATCAAGATAGGCGCATCCGATTTCTCGATCATTGTCGCCCCTCAACCAACAATATAACAAGATATGTAACTCTCACCAGTCAAGTGGTGCAGGCATCGATGAGATTAGGAGGTAATTATGTAACTAGCTCATAAAAAACAACTAATTTCAAGAGGTCTCGATAAGACCCTTGAAAAAAAGACAAAACTGTCGTTTCAACCCAACTTGAACCCATTTCAAGTTGGGTTCATTTTCGAAACACAACCTCCACAGCAAATAGATTCGGAACTACACATAATACAACAGCAGACTCGGGTGCTTAGAGCAGCAGTTACAGTCTGCTCCTGTGCCAGGTAAGTGCGGCAGGGGATCGTATTCCAGGGACCTGCCCGAAACGCTACGGTACTAGTGGCTGTACAAGAATGTAACAACTCTTGTATATATCACAAAAAAAAAAAAAAAAAAAAAAACATTTGGGGTTTAAGGCGCATGCTATGTGATGATATGAAACATTGGTTTACTGATAATTATATAACTATGTAATATGGTATTTTCCTTGTAAATTTATGCATACAGTATATGACTTTTATATTGTATATTATTTAATAAAGAGAAAAAAAGAAGGTATGGAGGCTTTGTTGCCCTCATCTAGGGGGTATAAATTGAGATTGTGCTAGAAAATGGAGCTAGAGGCAAAGAACATGGTGAGTACTGTGATCTGGACAGTAACCCACATTTCCCAGCCAGCACTGAGAGCAGTATAATTGACTAAGGTTACACACTTGGTGACTTAAATACCACCTCGTCTAGCTAGTTTGATGTATCACAGCTAGAAACCACTGAACGTGGAACCCGCCTATTAACACTTTCACTGCTAAGCATAAGGGAAGCAAAAAATATTTGAATTATGTAAAAATTACTTAACAATTTTAAACAAATCACCAACTTATTGGCTTCAGGGTTGTGAAACTTTCATCAAAATATTTTCAGAAGTTGATTTTAGACATTTTTTAAAAAGAACATTTTGTTGATAAGAACAGCTCCTATTAACTGGAACTGGTGAATAATGCAGTAATAAAGAGATGCAAGCACCTGTCTGATGCAAAAAAGAACAATAATAATAGTTAGAAGTGTCAACAAAGTGGATATACAGCTGGTGCCTTTATAGCATTGCTGAGTAATACATAACAACACAATAATGAGTATGTATGTTGTTATGCTCTATTTTGTTATATATCATAAAATACATTGCCCAATGTTTATATCTGTTACTTTCAACAATGTTCCAAAAAATTTTATTTTGAGAGGGGAAGATTTTTTTTTTTTTCTCTCCTTTGTTTATTATCTGATTTTGTTGTAACCTCTACATCCTGGAGAGTGCATACTCGTCCCTAACTATGTGAAGATAGAATAAAATTGGTCAACAAATAAATCAGTCACAACTCTCAGAACTTTGGACTTTGATTTTTTTTTGCTGATTTTTTCACAGATTTCAAACTCTATTTTCTTTGTCTCTTTAGGTTGTTTTGATGATTAGGGACTAGATCAGGGCTTTTTCACTTATACCTGTATAAAGTATTCCCTATATATATCCCATAAATCATTATAATTATACCTATTTTTTTTTTAACCCAAATTACACTGGAAATAACAATTATGCCAATTATAATGATTCCAAATTACATGCACTAAAATGCACTGCCAGAAGAATTGGATTAACTTATAAAAGGACTTGCACTACTGATATGCTTAAGCTCTTTTAAATGGCCCTGGCTGCAGTCAGGGAATGTATGATAGAGCTGGGAAACTCTTGTCAGTGGTCTCAATTCTCACACCTCCTATGCTGGGCATGGAAGGATGTTATCAAGATCAAAAGGAAAAATGCTGCACAGATCTCACACCCTAATCCCCTGCACAGAGCAAATGAGCTTGTTGATTCTTGAGCCACAACTTCCAGCTTTAACAGCTTCCACACTTAACAGTGTGGAGCACATGTGAGAGGATGTAACATGATGTCTAACACATTCAAGCATTTCAGTAAGGGAGCGAGTACTGTCTGGTACTGGAGTTTGTAATTGTTCTAAGTGCTGAGTTATACTGAATAATAAGGGGTCGAAGGTAATTTTGGGTTGTAGATTCCCAGGCACTGATATCATAGATGAAATGAATGGTGAGATGAGATAAGTTGAAGTGTTACCAAGGCAGGGTGAAATATGTAGTACTGTATCTGATTTTGGAGAGAATGCCTACTGTTTTAGAGGCTTTTTGTTATTTTTATAAATGGCAATGGAAATTCAGCTTGTTAATGTGAACACCAAGGAATTTCCTATCTACTCTGCTCTTATATTGATGTTAATTCTTAGGTTAATTAGATTGTGGAACTTATTACTAAACAATATGTAAAAGTTTTATTAATGTTAAGTTAGCAGTCAGCCACTGATAGTTTTTTTTTAGTTCAGTATTCACTGTTATATAGAATAAGTGGGTTAGCATTAGAGAAAATGATGGTTGTGTCATCATCAAATATCATTGGCTAAGGTGTTGAGGTATTTTTAAGATCATTGATGAGAAAGAAGAGTGGATCAAGTATATAACCTTGTGGAATGCTAGTATTAATTGGCAGAATGGAAAAAGTAGCATCATTCACAGAAAAAATCTGGTGCCTGTTACTGAGATAAGATTACAAGTGTTGAAGGGAGTGACCTCTGACTCCATAGTGTTGTAGTTTGATAAGTACTACTGATTTTATCTGGGAAGGAGTAGAGCTGTTTGTATATTAGTTTTTAAAATATTTGGGCCAAGGTGGGGTTGATTGATATTGGTCTAAGATTGTTGATATCAGTGAGATCACCACTTTTATGGACTGTGATAACTCTAGTCTTCTTAAGAATATCTGGGAAGGCTCAAAACTCAAATAATTTGTTGCACACCAATGCTATGGGAGGAGCTGAAAACCTAGAGGCCATTTTATAAATTAAAATTGGTATCTTGGGTCATTTAATTTAGTTTTAAGTGAGGATTATATAATTAATATCTGAGGAATTTGGGATAGGTACAGAGACTTGAAACAGCTGCCAGGGAGGTAATATTTATACATTTGTTTGGGTTGCTGGGATCTCATTTGCAAGGGATGCACCAATGAATGAGAAGAAATTATTGAATTTAGTAGCAGTGTCAGTGGCTGTAGCATTCCAGTGAGGCAGCACATGACTTTCCACACTACTGCTCCAGCAGGCAGCAGAGAGGCAGCATTGTGATTATAGTTGCCAAAACAATAAAGGTCTTGCAGTTGTGAAAAATTTATTGCTGATTATTTGGTTATATTTTTATATAATATAATTTTGTTTATCTGTGTGTGTGTGTGTAAACTAAGAAATTTCCCTTTACCTTGATGTAGATTCTGAAGTGTGGCCATGCAAGTTTTACGACATGCATTGGTTGGTGGAACCCAACGCCATTCCTTCAGGAGGTTGGGCTGTATTACTCCTGGACTTGGGTATAATATATCATCCACTGCATGCCCCTTCAGATCATTGTTTTTAAGGTCAGTAACTAGTATTGAAGTGAGTGATTTGTTTAATAATGGGCAGTATCTTAGTTCATCCACTTGGTATGTTTGGTACAGTGACAGCCTTGCTTCTTGCAGGGCTGGCATTTGATCCCTGATAATCCAAATGGATCTTCTTGAGGTTATCTTGAAATGATTTCAGGGCTTTAGTGTCCCCGTGGCCTGGTCCTCGACCAGGCCTCCACCCCCAGGAAGCAGCCCGTGACAGCTGACTAACTCCCAGGTACCTATTTTACTGCTAGGTAACAGGGGCCTAGGGTGAAAGAAAATCTGCCCATTGTTTCTCGCCGGCACCCGGGATCGAACCCGGGACTACAAGATTACTGTGTACAGCGTGCTGTCCACTCAGCCGACCGGCTCCCATGGGCACCTTTTTTCACTTTGTCCTTCAATACCCCAGCTCCAATCTTGTACTGTACTAATATTCCTTCTAAGTGCTATATAATTGTACTGGCCTAGCACTCTCCTGATAATTACCTTACCTTAGTGCAAGAAAAAGTTATCGCCTAAATGTTCTCACCTTGCTGTGCTTACAGGATTCAACATTGCTTCTAATCCCTACCTATTACTCATTAATATTTTAATTCAATTACTCTCCTTTTTCTTAATTTATATTTTGTATTTTGAATCAACGTCAACAGCTTCACGTAATTCATTCCATATGTTTACTACTGTTTTGCTGGTATTCTTTGACATCTCTGTGGCTTATTTATGCCATTATTTTCTATCTACATTGCCTTATTCTGCAGTTTCTCAATTTCAAAATTGCTTCTCTGTGTCTTTGGTCAATTCCCCTAAGATATACACTATATTCTGAAGAGTACTGTATAATTCATACTAACAGATAACACACTTAAAGGTAAATTAATACAAAACATTGTTTACAAATGTCATCAGTAAGAATGATTTGCTTCTGTATTTCTTTATCTTAAAGTTCAAGTTCAAGTTCAAGTATGTTTATTGAGACAAGAAAAAAATACATCTCAAAGGGAGAGAGTAGCTTAGGCTATTTTTACCCCCCAACCTTAAAGTTTATGTAAATTTGTTGTGGTTGTTAATCCTTAGCTGGGCTGAAAGTATAGTACAAGTATATAGTAGCACAAATATGATTGGTGGCTTTAATGTGGTTTAGGAATGAAGTGTCTTGTGGTTATCGTGGTGATCAGCTATGTTCATGTCGTCCTGGTGACCAGCTATGTTCACGTCATCCTGATGACCAGCTATTTTCATGTTGTCAAGGTGACCAGCTATGTTCATGTCCTCCTGGTGACCAGCTATGTTCATGTCCTCCTGGTGACCAGCTATGTTCATGTCCTCCTGGTGACCAGCCATGTTCATGCCCTCCTGGTGACCAGTTATGTTCATGTCGTCCTAGTGACCAGCTATGTTCATGTTGTCCTGGTGACCAGCTATGTTCATGTCCTTCTGGTTATCAGCCATGTTATGTTCTCCTGGTGACCAGCTATGTTCATGTTCTTTTTGTGACCAGGCATGTTTATGTCCTGGTGACCAGCTATGTTTATGTCCTGGGACCATGTCCTCACCAATATAACCTTTCCCATCCTACCCTGACGCCTGACAGCTGGGTGGACAGCGCTTCGGATTCGTAGTCCTGAGGTTCCGGGTTCGATCCCCGGTGGAGGCGGAAGCAAAAGGGCAAAATGTTTCTTTCACCCTGATGCCCCTGTTTTCTAGCAGTAAATAGGTACCTGGGAGTTAGACAGCTGCTACGGGCTGCTTCCTTGGGGGGGGTAACAAAAAGGAGGCCTGATCGAGGACCGGGCCGGGGGGACACTATGCCCCGAAATCATCTCAAGATAACCCAACCCAACCTAACCTAAAATAAGAGATAAAATGCTCTTTTACATATGGTGTGCAGATGTGTGATGTCACCATGACACCATAATGTTCATGCAGGTACAGTACAGGCTTTAGACCCTACTATCTAATGTTGACCATTGTGGTAGAAGCCTTTGCTGAGAGCATGACTAGAGAAATCATTTACTAACGATGATTAAATTGCTTGTTTTTCCAGCTCAAGGCCCTGTTGTGGAATGGAAAGAGAAGTCAAGAAAATATGGAAAGTTCCGGAAATGAAAGTAGTTGAAGAAGCAGGAGAAAATAATAAGAAAGAGCCACTTCAAAAGAAGTCGTGCACTGTGACGGTTGCCAGTGTTACCGTCAATCACATCACACGCATGCTTGAGGTTTGGATTAATATGGAATTCTGTTATAATGGATGGTTATTATATTATTCTATAATTATAATTATATAATATACTAATTAAAAGTAGTTATAATTGTTAATTATTATAAAATACAGTATTTGTACTCGAGATGGTATAAAAATTAATATATATCAATATTATTTTAGTTATTGGGTACATTATTTACCTGAATTTACCTGAGGGCCACTAATACTAGTGGCCTCAACAGGGACAGGAAGCTGGCAGCTTGTTAAAGTTCCCCCCCATTTGCCCTAATGATTTTTTTCTAGCAATATTTTAAAACCCAGGAGAGTTTGCAGCTCTATGAGTACATGGAATAGTCTCACTTGGGCTCACCACCCAGTCAGAAACAGTCACATTGACTGGTCAGAGCTAATGCGGAGTTGGGCACATGGCCTGGAAAAAGCAAAGTCACACTGCCCAAGAAACAGCTGAGCACAGAGTCCAAAAACATATAGGCTCACAATCTGGAAACATCGAAATCCACAACCTGGGAACAACTAGACAGTGTCCAAGAAAAGCTTCGGACACAGCCCAGAAAGTGCAACCAGTGTCACAATAACATGGCTGAAGATATGATTACCAAACCACACACATCAGAAGATGGAGAAAAGATGACATTTTGGCCCCTCCTGAACCATTATCAAGTCGTATGTGAGGGAGAGATTGATGATTGCTTAAGATTAAACCAACCAGGAGGTGGCACGGGCATGAATAGCCCATGAAGGTGAGAGGAAGGAACAGGCATTAAATAAGGAAAGAGTGAGGTGAGGAGCAGTATGAGAAGACGGTAATACCTAGAAAAAGGTAATTACTAGAAGAAGATAAGAGTAAGGTGAAAGGTAAGAATAGGACGAAAGGTACGAATGGGATGAAGGAAGAATGGGATAAGGTAAGAATAAAAGGAGAGTAAGAAAAAGGATAGGCTTAAGTCAGATCTAAGAAGGTTGGAACATTTATGTTTTTACTGTGAAAGTGAAATCAAAACAGCAACAAAGCCAAGATTAAGGTTCACGTTGGGTCATGGTCATGTTCGACAAAATGTCGTCTGTGAAGTTATTTTATTTCATGTGTGTGTTGCCTTATTTTTATCTCCTTTCATCCTTTAGCCTCCTTTTCTCTGCCAGTATATAATGTACTTCACTGGAGGGCATGTTTTGAAGGTAGTCCTTACTTACTCTGCCATCCATGTAAGGGCAGCTATCAATTTGTCCCTTAGAAAGGATCATTTTGTTACACTCGCTGCTCTATTATTAATAAAAAAATTGTTAGAGAGAAAAGCCAATTTTTTCATGCATTTTACAAAGACAAGATTCAACATCATGATTTAATATCAATTTTTACAATGACATGAGTGAAGTTCAGTATTAAGTGTAGTGACATTCACTTCATTACAGAATAAAGAAAACCAATATATAATATTCAAAATCTCATTTAAGATATTTTGTTTCCAACAGGTAAACTGGACTGCAGGTGAAACAGATGTCTTCCCGTATGTGTGGTTGCGTGATAACTGTCTATGTTCAGCCTGCTTTCATGCTGTGTCCAACTCCCGCTTGCATCTCATCAAAGACTTTGACCTTCATGCCCAGCCATCTACTGTCCAGGTAGTACAGTCCTTTTAAATTAATTTTAATAACTCTTGTTTCTGGTGAGATCTCGTTAGTAGTAGCTCCTTGCTGCTTATGTGCTGGTACCAGTTACATTCTGAGGCCCACAGTGACCTACATGCTTATGTGATGGTATCAATTATGCTAAAGATCCTGGCTGACCTACATATTTACTTGCTGGTACTAATTAGGCTGAGGATCATTCCAAGCCTGACCTACTAGAAGCCAGGATCAGAATCTGGTTCACTCTATAAGGTGAGGAAAGCGTGTTGATAAGAGATATAATTGAAACTGAGGAAAACTAACCAAAGCATCATACATAACAATACCAACCAGTTACCCATGGGTGTAAAATTCTAGCCATAACTCAGCTAGCTGCATCCAGATAGTGGCCCAGCGCACCTGGAGTCCCAACACTGAAAAAAAATCAAGCATTGAATGCAATAAAATTGCTCTCGTGTGTACCGTTTGGTGGCTCCCTGTTCCCACTCTTCCCTCCATTCCATGATTCTTGGGGTTTGCTTTTGGGCAACGATTTGCTTTTTATAACTGATGGAGGGAGGGCAGCTGTTGGGGGGGCCCGAGTTATTGAGGCCGCCATCTGGTGGCGAGTGTAAATAACTAGCAGTTTGATCTGGACGACAAGTGTATACAGTACATAGAGTTGTCAATGTTTTTTTTCATGCATGTTTTGGGGTGCTCCTCTTTCCTAGTGTGTTTTTTCTTTCAGTTTTTATTGATCTTGTTTCTCAGACTTTCCTTGCCACTAATAAGAGAGGGTCCAGATTCTGGTACTAGTCTCTGGTGGATGCTCATGACACTGAATGGCCTGGCGGAATGCCAGGCCATTCGGAGCTATCCACACAGTTTACTGGAATTTGACTGGAAAGGTGCTCTTAGGACATGAAGTAAATGAGATGTATGTCAAGTTTTGTGAAATATATGATAAAGGCACAAAATTTTTTATACCAAAGCAGAGATGCAGAACTAGGAAACAGGATTGGTTCAACAGAAATTGCGAGAGGGCCAGAGACCAAAAGACAGAAAAATGGAATCAATATAGGAAGAGGCCAAACCCTCAAACATACCAGCGGTACAAAGATGCGAGAAACAACAACACGGCAGTGAGGAGAGAGGCAGAAAGAAATTTTGAAAAAGGGATTGCAGACAAATGTAAAACAGAACCAGGTCTATTCTATAAATTCATAAACAACAAATTGCAGGTAAAGGATAATATTCAGAGGTTGAAAATGAAAATGAAATGTGTGAAACATTAAACAAAAAGTTCTAAAGTGTGTTTGTACAAAATGAAATCTTCAGGGAACCAGACACAATAAGAATTCCAGAGAACAACATAGAGCACATAGAGGTGTCTAAGATGAAGTGGAAAAAATACTCAAGGAGCTAAGAAAAAGCAGTTGGTCCAGATGGAGTTTCACCATGGGTTCTGAGAGAATGTACACCTGAGCTCAGCATTCCACTTCAACTGATTTTTCAGGCATCCCTGTGTAAAGGAGTTGTAGCTGATGTGTGGAAAACGGCTAACATCGTTCCAATCTACAAAAGTGGCAACACCCCCTCAATTATAGACCTGTATTATTGACAAGTGTAAGAGTCAAAATATTGGAAGAAAATACTGTAATTAAAACTAAATGGGTAGAACACCTGGAGGTGTTCTATCTGCATCTATCTGGACTTAAAAAAGGCTTTTGACAGAGTTCCACATAAGAGGTTGTTCTGGAAACTGGAACATATTGGAGGGGTGACAGGTAAGCTTCTAACATGGATGAAAAATTTCCTAACTGATAGAAAAATGAGGGCCAAAATCAGAAGCAATGTATCAGATTGGAGGAATGTCACAAGTGGAGTACCACACAGAGTTCAGTTCTTGCACCGGTAATGTTCATTGTCTACATAAACGATCTACCAGATGGAATATAGAATTATACGAACATGTTTGCTGATGATGCTAAGATAATAGGGAAGATAAGAAACCTTGATGATTGTCATGCTCTTCAAGAAGACCTGGACAAAATAAGTATATGGAGCACGACTTGGCAAATAGAATTTAATGTGAATAAATGCCATGTTATGGAATGTGGAATTGGAGAACATAGACTCCACACAATCTATAAATTATGTGAGAAATCTTTAAAGAATTCTGATAAAGAAAGGGATCTAGGGGTGGTTCTAGATAGAAAACTTATTTGAGGACCACATTAAAAACATTGTGCAGGGAGTCTATGCTACACTTTCTAACTTCAGAATTGCTTTTAAATACATAGATGGTGAAATACTAAAGAAATTGTTCACGACTTTTGTTAGACCAAAGCTGGAATATGCAGCGGTTGTATGGTGCCCATATCTTAAGAAGCACATCAACAAACTGGAAAAGGTGCAAAGACATGCCACTAAGTGGCTCCCAGTACTGAAGGACAAGAGCTACAAGGAGAGGTTAGAGGCATTAAATATGCAAAAACTAGAAGATAAAAGAAAGAGGCGATATGATCACTACGTACAAAATAGTAATAGGAATCGATAAAATTGATAGGGAAGAATTCCCGAGACATGGAACTGCAAGAACAAGAGGTCATAGATTTAAACTAACGAAGCAAAGCTGCCGAAGAAATATAAGAAAATTCACTTTTGTAAACAGAGTAGTAGACAGTTGGAACAAGTTGGGCGAGAAGGTGGTGGAGGCCAAAACTGTCAGTAATTTCAAAGCGTTATATGACATAGAGTGCTGGGAAGATGGGACACCATGAGCGTAGCTCTCATCCTGTAACTACACTTAGGTAATTACAGGTTGGTTTGTGGAGCCATTGACGGAACCCACCAGATTATTACATTCAACGCTGGATTCTTCTATTTTGTTGTGAAATCATGTGTGAACATTTACAGTAAATGTAAAGTAAAATGTATGACAATAAATATTACAAATTGGTTTAGATTAAAAACATTCAAATGCAATGACACACTAATGCCTGGTTCATGTCAGGATGCAGTGTTGGCAAACCTCAAAATACGAGTGTGTTAACCTTCAGAATGTGCAAGGGTATTACATCGGGCAGTATCTAAATGCACAAAAAGGAAAAAAAGGAAAAACAAGGTTTTTTCTTCCTATATAGTTAAAACTATGCCCTGAGTATAGGAAAAATATCCAACAAATTGTAAGTCACTTTTCAAGGTGGCAAGATAGTGGATATTTACTAGAGGCATGAAATAAGGATTGGGAACACTGAACTGTGGGAGTTTTTAATATTGCATGGTACCTAAAATGTCTTGCATAGTACCTTAAAAGATGATATGCACATCACAGGGCAATCTTATTAAGATGGTATACTCATTTTACGAGTTAATGACGTAAATATATTTCTCATTCTTCTGATAATTTGATATCCCAAAGTGATGCTAGGTGTTTACTGAATAGAGTTATTATCATCACTAGGTTCTGGGGGAAGGTAAACAAGTGGAGGTGGTATGGAGTGATGGTCATATTGGAAAGTACCCAGCGGCCTGGCTTCGCCCTCGTGCATTCAATGCCACTCAACGCTTTGCACGAACACCAAAATTAAGGTCAATTTCATTGATTGGTTATACAGGTGCAGAATATATATCTATAACTTTTTGTTAAGTTTCAATTGAAATTAATTGCATTAGAGATGTTCACAAAGCATTGGTTACAGGTTATCACTTATTACTTTTACTCTTTGTAAAATGCAGACTAAACCGTATCTATTGGGATGCTAAGTTACTTGAGAACATTCCACAAGCATCATTCCAAGAGCTTCTCCAAGATGATACAGTCTTATTGTCATGGCTACAGCAGCTCGAAGTGATGGGATTTGTCCTTGTAAGTGGAGCACCATCTGAACCAGGCCAAGTTTACAAACTCGCAGAAAGGGTGGGCTTCATTAAGAAGACTCATTATGGGTTAGTTACAATATTTACTTTTTTCTAACTCTAATTAAAACAAAAAAGGGTTATAAACAGTTTATTTATATTTTTTGGAGGCTCACTGAGGAGCTCCTCTGAGACCCACATTTACCTATCAAATGCTAGACAAGAATCTTGCTTCTTCAACAAGCAAAGGAAGCTTGGGGATTAAAGATCAACTCGTTGGTTCACGACTAAGTGTTGGATTATCTTTGAACTCTGTCCCTGCCTTCAGTCAGTTTTCTTTCCTAAGAGGTTTCACAAGTTCACTTCTTGGGATCTCCTCCCCTTAATGGGCTTTGCCCAGGATACTACAAGTGCCTCATTAACTCTGTGGGGCTCAGTGGTATTGTTTTGGGGCATGTTGTGGGTGTGTTTCTAGCCTCTGAATTTTGCCTATGCTTTCACTTGCCACATTTTCCTAGAATGAGGAATGGTGTGAGATTCACCATTCCGATATGATCGGATGAAAGTGAGAGAGAGAGCATCTACTAGGTCCTTCGGAACTTATCATTAGAGCTTGATGGATGGAATGTGTGTGTCTCAATTTATTTAGGCAACTGGTGTCCAGGGACTCAGACCTCAGACATTCACATGAGCATACAAGTGCTGATTTGATGTGTACTTCAATAGAAAGTTGCAAATTATATCAGTCATCTAGTTAAGTATCACCACTTTGCTTTTCCAACTAGGGATTTGGAATGTTACAAGGTTAGGATTTACTGAGCATTTATGCAACCACTTATGTATCCTGTATACCTTTCCTTAATCATGGTGGCTTTGTTTATATTTATTAAACGGTCTATGAGCACTGAAACACTACGAGGTTGTTTAAAACAATAACTTCGGGTTGTGAAGTTACCAAGATCATTAACTGTACAATAAATATAAACAAAGCTGCTTTAATTAAGGAAAGATGTACAGGATATGTAAGTGGATGTGTAAATGTTTGATGAATCCTGACCAAGATCATGGTGGAATAACATATCATCAGATCCCAGCCAGCAGAATGTTGCCTAATGTAGACCCATTTAAGCCCCTGGCTCATAGAACCCATCGAGAAACCAGCTTGGAAAGGAGCATTTTATTTCACTCCATGTCCTATTTTATTTTTCATAATTTTTTTTATAAAGATTGTTATTAATCATTGCACCTGTATTTAGGGAGAGCTTCACAGTGAAGAAGAAACAAGATCCCAGCAATGTGGCCTACCTAAGTGGTCCTCTGCAGCTGCATGGTGACCTTCCATATTATGAATATATGCCTGGGGTGAGTAACCTCTTGTATTAATGGGATGAATAACTTATGGTATTAATGTATTGATTGGGTGAGTATTCTGCTGTTGCAATAATGTACTACTGTACCGATGGGGTGAGTAACCTGCTGTATTACTATATTGATGGGGTGAGTAACCTGCTAAATTAATGTACTGATGCGGGGAGTAACCTGCTGTGTTAATGTACTGATGGGGCGAGTAACCACTGTATTATTATGTATTGATCTATCATTAGAATTCCTTGCATATAGTTATAAAGGTTGCAATCTGTTGTAGGATATTTTCATTAATTTTAAAATACTTGTGTATGAGTACTGTACTGTAACGCTTGTCTACAAATATACCCAGGATAGGCAACAATGATTACAAAAACACTGATCCAAGTATGCAGAAAAAATCACATGTGAAAAATAGAGAATGCTAAATGCGTTTTTGGCTTATATCACCTTCATTAGAGTAAAGTAGAATGAACCTTCATTCTACTTTGCTCTGATGAAGGCGATATAAGCTGAAAACGGATTTAGCATTCTCTATTTTTCACATGTGGTTTTTCCGCACACCCAGGATAATATAATTATTTCTGTACTAATATACAGTATTCCTTAGGTCCAGTTCATCCACTGTATCGTCCAGTATGAGGGTGAAGGAGGGGAATCTCTCGTCACTGATGCTGTTCATGTTGCACATGAACTGAAGAGGCTGCACCCAGAGAAGTATCGCATCCTCACTGACACACCAGTCGACTGGTTTGACATTGGTACAGATGAACTTGGAGAATTTTACAAAGTACTAAAGCGGCCTATGATATGGTAAGTTATAGAGACGATGAGTCACAATAGCATGGTTGAAGATATGATGAAAGCTACACTTTAGAAAATGGAGAAACGAAATTGTGGTCCTTTCTGGATCATGATCAAGTTGTGTCATGGTCCAGGATGGACCGAAATGTTGATTCCCATTTAACTTTGAAATAGGTGGAAGGAGCCAAATTGTTAAGAGAGGAGAGGAAAAGAAAGAACAGTTTCGAAGTATTCTATGTAGAGGCATTCAATGTCCCCCCCCTTTTTTTTTTCCTTTTAATTCAAAATTGTAGGAAAAAATCAGATGGGCAGATTTGGTCTGGGTTTTCAGGGCATTACCAAATAGAAAATAAGCCTTGCAGAATACCTTGTGTACCACCTGACCATACCCCTTAAAATACGGAACATAATGTTAGTTTGTTCACCCAATAAGTGTGCAGGTCATTTTGAAAAAATGTTTTACTTTGTTTCCCATAAATTTTTATCTTCCTCTAAATTTTGTCAGATCCTCACTATCATCCTCTGTGCATTTATTTTCTGGGCATGTTATGTTTTGTATACTAACTTAAATAAAAATATAAGTTAGTTTTTACATAAAATACATATTTAATAAAGCCACAAGTATGCATAGTGTTTCAGGCATAACTTGATACCACATTATTTAACCTAATTATTTTATCAAATATCTTGAAGTTACATGCTGCAATGATATATTATTATTGGCTACAAGTGTTATATTAGTATTTATCATCATCAGCTATCAAGTAAATTTTAACGAGTTAATTTTTGCCAACTCTCTGCAGCGTTGATGCCATAGGCGAGATTCAGCGCATCAACCTAAGCCAACCACAGCGTGACTCATTCTTCTCTATCCCAGCAAATGAAGTGGCTGGCTGGTACAATGCCATGGTTACATATTATCATCTTCTGTCCGACCCCTGCTACTGTCTTCGGTTCAAGATGGCACCTGGTATGTTAATTGCTGCTAAAAATTTAATATAAAGCTAATCTTCAAGATTTCAAGAAATTTGACATTTTCAGTGATGAACTAAGAGTTCTGTCATGGTAGAAGGTGTGTAGATTGGATACAGCATTTACATGGTAGAAGGGGTTATATAGCTTACATATTTAAATGGTGGAAGGTGTGTAGACTGGATATTTACATGATGGAAGAAAGAATTGTTCCTGTCAGTAAGTATAACACTTTTGTGTTCAAATATGTCAGCATACAGCCAGTTTCACCAATGTAATGGAAAGAAACAGGGAAGTGAATAAAAACCATCAGTATTGACAGCAGGGGGAGCGTGTGAACCAGATTACTACCATGTCTGTTAGCTTACCAAAAAGCGAGTTTTATATCAAGGAGAGAAAGGGTATTAGTAGGATTTTTAAGTTCAGATATGAAGGGAAGGCAAAGCACAAGTTACCTTGCATTAATTTAGCTTGAGCATAGGAACAGTTGATAAAATTAAAGTTGTACCAAAGATGAGAGAATGACTTTTAAAGAGAAATTTCAGAATGAAGAATTCTAGGGTCACAGATGCGTAGGGCTCAGATAAAGAGGGAAACGAGAACACCTTCCCTAATAGGAGGCTGCTGGCAGGAAAAGAAATGAATGTATGGGTCTTATGTTACCACTCTGACTTCTCTATCTACCACAAACCTATACAGTCAGAGCTATGAACATATACTCTTATAGTATTAAGAGAACGTTATGAACACCTTAAAAGAATACCTGATCAATCAGGCTGTGAGCAGCCATGTTGAATTTCCTGGTTGACCAATCGGGAGGCCTGGTCAGACACAGAGCCGCAGGGATGTTGATTCTCGGAATCAGCAAAAGGTAATCAAAATGTAGGCATGACAATGGCAAGTGGAAAAATGACCTTTCCCAGTATGTTAGACATTTAACCCTTACTTGTAACATTATGAAACTGACAATTCCACAGGCCTATTGTCATTTAAGTGGCAGTTTTCAGGTACTGTAGTTTGCCCCCAATGTTAAATGAGGTTATATAGTACAGTACTACAAATTACACTCGGTCCCTAACGCTGATGTTTCATTTCACGCTGCATTTTATGTTTTAGGTTCCATTTTGACTTTTGACAACCTGAGAATTGTTCATGGTCGCACTGGTTATGACTTGGGTCCAGGGGAGAGACACGTTGAAGGCTGCTACATGGACTGGGATGAGGTCAGGTCACGACGACGCGTTCTTGAGGTAAAATTTGGTGTTCATTCCCCAGAATGAGCCACTTACGTAAAGCCATCTAAATTTTTATATATTTTATATTAAAGTAGTTCAGATTGATGAATACAGAAAGTAAATATTACCATAAAGCTTTTTCCTATACTGTTCTGCTTTATTATTTTTCCTGGCTGATATCTCCCAAACCCATGAAAGTGGGAGCGAGATAATGTCAGCACATCCTCCTAGATTGTACTGTCTAAGCTCCCTTATCCAAATTATACAGGAAGGCTTCCCCACCAGGTAAGAAGAATTCTTACAGGGGTGTTCCAAAATTTACCATATTGCAATTGTACCACAATGCTTATTTCCCCACACTATAAATCAAAAATTAATTTAAAAGAGAACCTTGGGCTTACCTTATTGTAGTTTGTCGTCTTCGTGTGCAGGTCTGTTGTGACTTGCCTTACCAGAAGAGTAGTGTAGTGAAATATCTTAATAACAAGCACATTTAGGTAAATACAAATACATCATAATGTGTCTTTCTCCAACACTATAAATAAATATTTTACAGAAAATTTATTAATGAAGCCCCCTTCATTTTGATCATGGCATATGATCATGCCATGATCAGCAAGCATTGGTGAAAAATTTTGCATCCATATATTTATAATTTAATCATTATTAAAACCAAAGTTGCTGCATGATTACAAACTTTCTCACTGAACTGTTGAAAGTAGGAGAGGGAGGGATCAACTCCCAGCCTCCCTCACCCCACCAAGTCAGTTGACGATACTGTGGCTCTTCACGCCGGTAGCTTAAACACTGATGACATCAATTTTGTCCAGTGAAAGGGTATTTCCACTTTAGCCCAGTATCTTTAATCATGATGCCACTGTTGTAAGACATTACTAAAAAAATCATCTGCACTATAATTTGCCTAGCACTAACATGTCTAAGCTAGGCAGCCAACCAGCACTGGTGTTTCAACACACGTACTGGTATAAACTTGTGACTGGCAAAAACATTTTTATAACTTTTGTTTATATTACCAAGTTATGGTCTGCCATAAATACTTTTACAATAATTTGCTGTACTTTTGTCAAAGGTTTTACATAATAATATTCAAACATGCCTGTACTCTACTTCCAGTTGCTTTGGGCAAGGATAAATGTTAACGGTGTAAAATCTGTACATTGCATTGAATACAAAGCGTTTAGACCATCCACGAATTTGTTAAGACCAAGGATCCACTGTACTGGCATTCAGTGGTTCTAGCCTTGGTTAAAACTAAGCCAGTAACAAACCCAGATAGAACAGAGCCAATGAAATATAAAGAGCATGTAATAATTATTATTGTCTATGCTCAGTAATCCAAGTCACATAGGACCCCACCCATATTTCTCACCGTGTATGTCCAAAAATTAACTTCCACAATTTACTCGAAAATGATGTCTACAACTTTTTAACCTGAATTCCTAATCAGGTTCATTCAAATTCATTCAGGTTACCAGAATTCAGATTACCGAGCTCTTATAGTACAGTAATTATCAAAAAAAGGTACCAAGCTGAGAAGACTTTAGCACAATAGGTTTCATGGGATACACAAAGGGTCTGAAAAGTTATTGAAATGCTACATATATGGATTAATCTTTATTGACTATTAAGGGGGCATTTAAAATGAAGCAATGTAGTGTGCTCCAATATAAATTACTTTCAGAAAAAGCTACACATCAGTGTTTGAACTATTTCCTTCATACGGATCATTGCACCACAACACATTCCTTGCATTCCTAACACCGTTTATTATAAATGTAAAAACCAGAGCTATGGAGGCACCATGGTTTACAGAATTAAATCAAATCTTAATTACTTTATCTATTAATAATCCATGACAATTTAAAAAAAAAAACTTTAAAAGATTGTGCAAGTTGATGACGTTTTCTTCACGGTGCCCACAGAGCCGCCATTTTCTGCAGCTACCACAATTTCAACAACTTCTTCAAAATTTGGGAAGCCTCCACGCTCCAGCTTTGAAAAGGTAACCATATCATTGACGGTTACTTCGAACGAACCTATAAAATAAAGAAAACCAATTGCAAAAAATGCTCACGAAAAAAAAAAATTAACACTATAAACTTTGTTTACAGTGGTTAATTAGAAGGTACATTATTTGTACATTATATAAAGCCAATAAGCACAGAACTTTGCACAAATACTATTAAATGAACAAAATCAATAATAAGGATGTAACAATTTAAAAATCATGTAGAAGACTTGCCAGATGCCATCATCTTGTTTGTATATACAGTACTCGAACTAAATTAAATAATTATCAAAAGAAGGCACCAAGCTGGAAAGAACTGAATAAATACAAAAATTGCTAAACTTTGATATCATACAACTATCAGTACTTTAATGGCAGTACCCAAAGTAAAAAAAAATCTTAATTCAAGAACAGTTAACGTGCTTGAGGTATTGTACCTCAACATATTTAGGTACATTATATTCAACTACACTGTTCAGTAAGAATGTTTAGATATGGTAGTAAATTCAGCTGTGCAAAAGAAACTATAATGTTTACCAGTAATATACCTGTAACTCTCGGGTACATGCAACAAAGGTTACCTGTATTTACATAAAAATTATACTTCAAACTACTAATTTACAATTATAAATTCATCTGACGGCTACTGCTCATAAAATCGTGATATGAAGGTCCAGGAACCTGCACATGTATAGTACAGTAATTATTATCCGCTATTTAATGATTCGTATAGTAATTGATTGTAATATGTATTTTTTATAAATCTCCATTGTTTAATAACCATGCACAAGCAGTTTCAAAACCCTCATCCCACACATTAAATTAAATAAAGGGGATGACGTTTTGATCTGTCCTAGATGCTTGGTAAGGGCCCACAACGGACCAAAATGTCACCACTTCATGTGTTGGTTGGATTATTTGTTTCAGTCACATTGTGACATTCTTTACATTGTTTTAACACTAAGCAGCATTCTCAAAACATAACAGAAAAAGAAAGTTAAAATTAAATAAAATACAATACAGTACCCTAGTACTGGTATATCTAAAATATGGGTCAAGCTCATTCAAAAGAAAATGTTACTGTACTTACAATCAAGGCCCAGCATTTTTGGATTCTCAACGCTAAACTAGACTACCAGTACAGTAGTTTGAAAGTTTTGAATATGGAATATGCACTTAAAGAAAATATGAAAAAAGCTGAAGCATAGCAGCACCTCACGACAACATATTGGGCAAAATATGCTCAGTAATGTTTAATCAACATTGATTCAAGGTTACCGTAACGTCATTTGCCCAGATTTGCTTGGGATGAGGGGCACAAATTAAATGGGGCTAAATGCCTCGCTCCCTTTAATTTACAGCATTAACTAAAAGGCTTATCTACAAATGTATACATACTGACAACACAATTTGTAAAACAAAAACTTTTATCCCATACAATTACACACAATGCACATGATAATGGCTATAGTTCACCTGTATCACATAATACTGCATCCTTCTGAATGCGTTTTAGTAACCTGCCGTACAGGATTTCCACCTTCTACATCAGATGCAATATCTACCACCTCGTCGAAATCAGGGAAAGTCATAGTCTGTAGCTTTGAGTGCACTGGTATGTCATCAACGTTAACTTCAAATGAAGCTAGTGTGCAAAGAAAGTAAAAATAATTAACAAAGCAGATTAGTTCGACAGATACACACACACACAGAAAACGTGCCATACCATATTTATCCTACCAGTGGCTCAAATCCTTTATTGCAGCCTAGAACACCAGAACATTTGTTTCATGTTTATTTATTTCCCTTTTTGTTCCTATTTGTTATGAGTACTGTATAGCCCATTCATTTTAGTTGAGATTTTTCAAGTTTGACATCTTGTACTCACCTAGTTGTACAATTTTGTACATCTTGTACTCACCTAGTTGTGCTTGCAGGGGTTGAGCTTTGGCTCTTTGGTCCTGAAACTCAATCGTCAATCTACTGGTGTACAGATTCCAGAGCTTCTCAAGCTGTATCATATCTACATTTGAAACTGTATGGAGTCTGCCTCCACCAGAAGGGAGCCAGTCGGCCGAGCAGACAGCACGCTGGACTTGTGATCCTGTGGTCCTGGGTTCGATCCCAGGCGCCGGCGAGAAACAATGGGCAGAGTTTCTTTCACCCTATGCCCCTGTTACCTAGCAGTAAAATAGGTACCTGGGTGTTAGTCAGCTGTCACGGGCTGCTTCCTGAGGGTGGAGGCCTGGTCGAGGACCAGGCCGCGGAGACACTAAAAAAAAAAGCCCCGAAATCATCTCAAGATAACCTCAAGATAACCACATCACTTCCTAGTGCATTCCATTTACTAACTACTCTGACACTGAAAAAGTTCTTCCTAATGCGTGTGTGTGGCTCATTTGGGTACTCGGCTTCTACCTGTGTCCCCTTGTGCGTGTACCACCCATGTTAAATAATCCATCCTTGTCTACCCTCTCACTTTCCCTGAAAATTTTGTATGTGGTGATCATGTCTCCCTGTGCTCTGTCTTCTAGCGATGTGAGGTTCAGTTCACTCAGCCTATCCTTGTAACTCATGCCTCTTAGTTCTGGAGGTAGCTTAGTGGCATACCTCTGAACTTTTTTTCCAGCTTCATCTTGTGCTTGACAAGGTACAGGCTCTATGCTGGGGCTCCATACTTCAGGATTGGTCGTACATATGTGAAATACAGGGTTCCGAAAGATTATATATACAGTACATCAGGTTTCTGAAGGCAGTTCTGATGTGAGCCACCCTCGCATACTCCGCTGATGTTATGCTTTTGATGTGGGCTTCAGGAGACAGGTTTGGCGTGATATCAACGCCTAGATCTTCTCTATCCGTTTCGTGAAGGACTTCATTTCCTATTAAATTAAACGCTATTCTCATAATGTGCAAAACGATCAGGACGTGCACTGATAAAAGAATCTAGAGCCCCAGGTGTTTACGAAATTTAATCCAAAATCATAAAGGAACTAGCCAATGAAGTGTACCACTGCCACTCCTATTCAGAAGATTGCTGGACTATGATAAAGTCCTCCTAAATTGGAAATATGCAAATGTCACTCCCTTTTCAAAAAAAGGGAGAGTTTAGGATTAAACTACTGGCCAATCAGCCTATCTACAAGATCATTGAGAGAATGTAAAGGCAGGGAATTATTCACCATCAGTGCTCAATCAAATAAAATCAATGACAACTTAATTTTTTTATAATAAATTTTGCCTTACAAACCTGTTTAATTTTTTTGGAAGCAGTAACTAAGCAGCTATTCAGACAAAGGACTTCCAGTAGATGTATATACAGTACTGTATATGGCTTATCTAGAGCTTTTGATAAGGTACCACATGAAAGACTGCCGAGGACATTACAGAGAGAATAAGTGGTAGAATAATAGAATGGATAAATCAATGGTTAAAAGAGCAAAGGGCCTTCTTAAGTGGAAATTAATCAGACAAAAAATATTAAAGGATGTTAATCCAGACCACAGTTATGAAAAGGCTAATGTAACGCATACAAAAAGCAACAGGAAATGCTTTTAGCCCATAGTGTTATAAACCCATGGAACTGCCTATGCATGAAAGCCATAAAAACCCAGACATTACTCTAGTTCAAAATCCTTGAGAACAATGGGGGGAGGGGGTTGAAAAGCTGCTGGCTTCTTGTCCCTGTCAAGACCACTAGAGATGATGGCCCTTAGGTAAATTCAGGTATATGCACATCTATTTATGTACATACAGATGCATATGCAGTATATCACAGACATACATACCGATATACTGTAGAGTACGTACCAGCATATACATATTCAGTCAAGCCAACCTGTCAGTCACAAATGACAGTACCCATAGTTACCATGGAAGGAAATAAAATATGGACTGTTGAACCCAATAGAACACACTGGTCTTTGGCTTCTAGAAAATAAATGGTACAAAACAAAGGCAACAACTCAGTCTACTTTTACAAGGCCTAAAATAATAAGCATGTACTAAATTAGACCTAGAAAGACTTATTTAGGCTGAAGATAGATCAATTTACCCTGTTCCACTCTTTGGTATGCCCTTTAATATTTCAATATACAGAATTTAAATATCTTTAGGGGTACAAAATTCCATATTTGGTTCAATGCATTCATAAGTATAAGTTCTAAAATTTCTGGAGGATGGGTTGGTCTCACATTAGTCTCTCAAACAGGCGTGCACACACTAGTAATTACACATATCAGTACCTATACTGTCTCTGGACATACCACATTACTGTAAACCTAAAATTATCCTCTGAAAGTTTTTACAGACCTACTAGCCTAAACACTGTGGATCCTATACATGCCTGAAAGGAAAACACTTTAAAAATTCTTAATTATAAACTTTTATAGTCAAAATACTATTTTCCTTACCATTCTCTTCAGAGGCCTCGATGTCATGAATATTAATTTATATGATCAAAAACATATAAAGTAAAATATACTGTAATGTGCAAGATACACAATACTTACTTCGGCGTCCAACAAAGCCAGAAACTTCCGCCTGAGGAACTTTTTGCTTAATCATTTTGGCTAGTTCCTCATAGCGGGGGGCGTACCCTCATCCACCACTGTTGGAGGGAAAAAAAATATTCCTAAACTACACGAAATACATGGTAACTCAGGATAAACGACTAAGCCAGTATGACTATATAGCACTTGGAAGGGATACAAGTACCTGTACAAGGATCTGGGACAGAGTGGGAGGAATGGTGGCCAACCACTTAAAACTACGTACATCAAAGAAAATGAAATTATATAAATGTGTTACGCAGGAAAGCAATCGAGAACGGTATCAACAGGCTTGCAACGGTGTAGAGGTGGGCATATAAAGCCCAAAATGCTATGAGTAAATTGTAGCTTTATAAAATACTGTACTTATTAAGTAATCACTGTAATTGATATCTTGAAAAATGTATCTTAAATAATAATAATTATAATGATAAATTATTACTACTGCTGCACTAAAAAAAAAAAAACATTAACTTGATTTATCTGTGAAAATCAGGAGCCACGAGGAGGATTGGAATCTATACGTGCCTGGGAATACCTAGAGCATAGGGTTTAATCCTCATCATGGCTCCTACCGATTCTCTATTATTATTGTTGCTGGTGTAACCAACGAAAGCTGTAGGTGGTTATATGTAATAGAAAAAAAAAACACTAGGAAGAAATGGTGGAGAGGTAAATGGTTAATTTGATTAATGTACAGTGTATTGGTGGGGATGGGGTCAAGTGCAAGACAAGACTGCTAAACTCCTCTAGGTGTATATCTTGAGGTTATCTTGAGATGATTTCGGGGCTTTAGTGTCCCCGCGGCCCGGTCCTCGACCAGGCCTCCACCCCCAGGAAGCAGCCCGTGACAGCTGACTAACACCCAGGTACCTATTTACTGCTAGGTAACAGGGGCATTCAGGGTGAAAGAAACTTTGCCCATTTGTTTCTGCCTCGTGCGGGAATCGAACCCGCGCCACAGAAATACGAGTCCTGCGCGCTATCCACCAGGCTACGAGGCCCCTGTATAAGTCACTATTATTGTTTAAACATGTTTATATACAAGGAACTTAATACATTGGTGATAGAGTGGTACATTCTTGCGAAGCTACTAACATGCATTGATTACAATGTAAATAAACCTAATTTTAACACTTAGTGTGATAGAAAGTCGAAAATATAAGTTATTAGACATGCAATAAATGAAGAACAAAGTGGGAGACAGATAGTACCACGACATTAATACATTAGAAGGTCAATTTTTAATTTATTTGGGACACAGTTCCATAGACTGGGTCTTTTTATTGGCATGGAGTGTTCATGCACACATTTAGTCTGACCCTAGGGATATCAAAGATATTTAATTCTGGTGTGGTGCTCATCTTCTATTACATCAAGGAAGACTTTCAGAACCAGATTATCATTTAGGAATAAGGTTTTGTACATGTAAATAGCACAATAGAATGTGTGGTGTGTATGTTTAACATGCTTAGGGATTTAAACAGAGGAGCTGTGTGTTGTCTGACAAGTTACAGTTATGATACCAAATTTTTCCTGCCTGATAATGGGCTTCATGTATTAACAGTGAATCCCACGCATAGATACCAAATGTTAGATAGGGATAGATTAGCAAGTAGTACAGTGAAAGGAGAACAGTGTAGGGAACATAATATCTGATTTGAGAAAGTATACCAACAGCGAGAATTTTTTGGCCGATTGTTTTATGTGGGTACAGAAGTTTGTGTATATGTATGTATAGGCCAAGAAACTTTACATCATTTTTAATGCTAATGTCTATCTGAAGGTAAATTTTGACAAGTTACTAATAAAATGTAGGTCTTTTCTATGTTTAGTGAAAGTTTGTTGGCCGACATCCATGAGTGGACTGATTTATTTCTTTATTTACAATATTATTTAGTGTGTGTGTGTAGGAGAGGGGGGGGGTCGAGGTCTGAATAGATAAAGGTAATATCGTCAGCAAATAGTATAGGTTTAAGAATGTAATACACATTTGGCAAATCATTGATGTACAGTAAATAAGAATTAAAAAGGTTCCCAAGATGCTGCCCTGTGACACTCCTACAGGTAATGGTAGAGTGGGGGGAAGTTATGTCATTGATATCTACATACTCCAATATGTAGCTAGACGTAAATCTAGCTACAGGAACATACATATCCGAGTCTCATTAGGATACAATCGAATATACATGTAGTTTAGAGCAAGGTCTCTGATCAAATAATGATCAGCTATTAAATTCGGTTGCCATTTCTAGGCGTGTCAAGTGTGTAAGCATCCTTGGAGAGCTTCATCTGCTTGATATGCAATTGTTGTTTAGATTAGGATGTTAGAGATGGCTTTCAATGTGCTTTTCATGTTTCCTTTAGCTTCTTTGAATCCACTCTTATTATAGGAAAGTAGATTTTTTTTATTATACCGATAAGCACTGATGAATATCTTTACTAGTTTAACCAAGCCAATTATGACATTTTTTCTGCTTGCTTTTCTGCCTTTTTTGTGCTTGTTAACTGCTATAAATATGCCGCCTGCGAGTAAGGGTTATTTTTCTTATGCAAAACCCAGTTTTATGGCATTTAAACCATACTGTATTATATACTTGCCTGAAATGCTATGCATATTGGTGGCTTTGCAATTACGTATCTTTAAATCACCAAAATATATATTTTCACACCCCTACTGTGCATGTGTACATAACAATTGTGGGAGGAGGGCCTGAAAAAAAAAATGTGTTCTGGACTTTACAGTCTACTATGCCAGCAATCTGGAGAAGCCTAACATATCGGCCTAAGGCACAAAACCTGCTCGAAAGGCACCAGATTTACTTCATTAGTGACGTCACAACGATACAGCCTACATGAATTCGCATTACAATGTGTTAATATGGAACCTCAAAACTACAGAAGCCGATGGGTCGTAAGACAAGCTACGAATGCACGATTTAACGAATTATTTGAGTTAAAGGTAACGGCAGTAACTTAAAAATAGCTTACCAATACTCCACAGTTACTTTCACCATGACGCTTTTGATGCCGTGACCTTCAAGCCAGGAATGTGAAGAGCAGCGAATTGATGTCCTCTCTCGTCTGTGGCTACTCTCACACTGGTGTAAATATTTCCTCTTGGCTGGCCCACTACCCTTCGCCAGCGACGTTTGTAACGATACGAACACTTGCCAGCGACCTTTATAAGGGTACGAACACTTGCCAGCGACCTTTGTAAGGGTACGAACACTTGCCAGCGACCTTTGTAAGGGTATGAACACTTACCAATGGCGTTTGTATTTTATTAGTTCATTTATTATGCACCTCATGCTCATCCTGTAGGCCGTAATGGAAAGGGTTAGAGGCATATACAGGCTCACGGACTGAACTCCAAAAATCATTTAGCTAAGCAAGTTAAGTCTTGATAAGCTAGTTACAAAGTTTAATGTATATTATTTCAGCAGCGGGTTCGAGACCAACCACAATTACGGTCACCAAGCTAAGCAAGCACAGTTTAGTGCAAGCAGTAAGGCAAATAGTTCACTCGCATTCGCCCAGCGCTTCCCTAGCGTTTTGGTCTGGGAAGTGGAGTCCGGTTTGTCCCGGGAGTTCGGGTTTGCCCGTGGGGGGGTCCGGATTTGTCAAGAAAGAGCCGGTTTGTCCCAGAAATCCGGATTTGTCCACTGGGACACTAACAAGCAAGTGTGTGCAGGTTACAGCAGTCGTGCTGTAGCACCTCGAGGTCCCCACGCGCGGCTTACAACTCCACCTGGGCACTTGTCTGTATAATTCGTCCCCTGTCACTATTTGCCTAAAGTGATATAACAACAGTCATACGGTAATGGCTAAACAAATCAACATCGTTAAATACAGTTTAATTATAGATCAATAACCACTTAGCATTAATGGTTAAATACAGTGAATCATATTATAACCACTAAAGATCATTATATAGTGAATTATAGACGTAGTATAATCACTAAACATTAATTGTTTAATACAATGAATTGTAAATATACTATAACAATTAAACATTGTTACATACGATGATTTACTGACATATTATAACCACTAAGCATTGTTAAATGCAATGATTTATAGACATATTATACGGTAACCGCTGAACATCATTAATTAATGACTGAATATCTGAACACGATATTGTACTATCTTGCTGTAATGATCACCTTGGTTACGAAATATAAATAAAACAACAATGTATTGACTATATAATACACATTCCAACCGATTGTTGATATAATAACCAGCAAATATTATTAAGGGGGTATGATAACGTTATTGTTGACATTATATACCATCGTACACAACGAAGATATACGTTATAAGTTTATAATATTAGGCATTTATAATGCGTGTTATGGTTGGGGCCGCGATCCATGAAAGGCGATCTGTGTGGCCTGGCTAGGATCATAGAAAGGTCGTACAAGCTTTCTCTTCTATATACAGTACCGTACGCAAGCTTACCCTCCCATACTCGGTACCATGCACAAGCTTACCCTCCCATACTCGGTACCATGCACAAGCTTACCCTCCCATACTCGGTACCATGCATAAGCTTACCCTCCCATACTCGGTACTATGCACAAGCTTACCCTCCCATACTCGGTACTGTGCACAAGCTTACCCTCCCATATTCGGTACCATGCACAAGCTTACCCTCCCATACTCGGTACTATGCACAAGCTTACCCTCCCATACTCGGTACTATGCACAAGATTACCCTCCCATACTCGGTACTGTGCACAAGACATGCCACTAAGTGGCTCCCAGAACTGAAGAACAAGAGCTACGAGGAGAGGTTAGAGGCATTAAATATGCAAAAACTAGATGATAGAAAAAAATAGGCGATATGATCAATATGTACAAAATAGTAACAGAAATCGATAAAATTGATAGGGAAGAATTCCTGAGACTTGTAACTTCAAGAGCAAGTCACAGATTTAAACTAACGAAACAAAGCTGCCGAAGAAATATAAGACAATTCACTTTCGCAAACAGGTGGTAGACAGTTGGAACAAGTTAGGAGAGATGGTAGAGGCCAAAACCGTAAGTAATTTTAAAGCATTATATGATAAAGAATGCTGGGAAGACGGGACACCACGAGCATAGCTCTCATCCCGTAACTACACTTAGGTAATTATACGATTATTCTTCCCCCACAGAGTCCTGTGCACAAGCGTTTAAGCCCATATAGATGCTTAAAATATTTCAATAATAACTGAGCGGCACACGGGAGGCGACGCCGCTCTATGTAGATTGTATGCATTGATTCCAAACCGTCCTCTCGCTTAACACATCGCAATTTTTAAGGGATGGAACCATACGTTAATAATGTGACAAATTATAGCACCGTAATGTTGATGTTTTTTATGCGTCACCCTTGATTTGTTACGTTGCTTGGGTTCGTACGTTTCTGGTTATACTTAACCGTCGTATTTTTAACGCAATGGCAAATTGCGAGACAGTTGCAACTACCACTCAGCTATCACTTAGGTAGAATGATGCGAAGTTGGTTTACAACCAAGAGGTCCCGGGTTCGATTCCCACGGCAGGTCGGAGAAGTTTGGGCAGGTTTTCTTTCACCAGATGCTCTGCTCATATAGTAGTAAATACTGTAGGTACAGTACTTAAGAATTAGGCAACTGTTGTGAGTTGTATGCTAGGGGAAGGTCATTAGTTTGCCTTGGCTCTATGGGGAGCTTTCACCTGAAATAAGAATAATCTTGGGTAATGTTGGCATGGAGGATTGTGAACGTATAGTCATTGTCTTATTTGGTTATTAATGGTTACTTGGCCCATTGGACATTTCACTGTGTCAAGTGATTCTGTACAAGTAATGGGTAATGGAGCTCCCACCCAAGGCTATATAGATGTACCAAGGACCAACATTGCATTTTCTTCCATTGGCAGTACACTGTCCATAGTCTCCTCCAGTAAGAATACAAGACTATAGGAAACTGCAAAAAACCTATTGGCCCATAAGCAGGCAGCAAAAATATTTTATCAAGTACCAAGAAATGCCAGCGGAAAGAACAAAGCTAACATTTCCCCCTTGTCCTAGACTACCCTAACAAATAACATATGAAAGTCACCTATGCATCTTTCAGTGACTACCTGTACCTGAAGAATAGTGAGGCTGATATCTACTGCATAGTATTTTAACCTTACACCACTTCTCATAATTTGTACAATTAGATTGCTCAATGATATAAAGTCAAATCTAACAGAATAAAATTAATTGATTTTCATCGATAACTATAGGTAGATTAGTTATTTGGCAGTGTGGAGATCAATCATATTGTGGTGGAAACATGCATATCATGATTATTGCACAAAAGTCAAGCCGGGAAGACTTTTTTAGCACCATCTTCCAACAAAGAATAAAAGTATTTATCATCATTTCAACATCTAGAACTCTAACCAAAACACTTTTTTGCATACTTCTATGACAGAAAATCTATGAATGCTGGCTTTTCTGGGACTTGATGGGTGGCTTTACAATGAATCTTTAAAAGTATTTCAGGCAAGAAAACAATCTACTTGTCTCATTCATTTATTTGAATATTTATACTTCTAATATCTACTACTTTTGTGATAAATGTTTGAAAACATTGTGATACAACCCTAACATTTCTTTGATACAGGCATTACCGCATTTCAATCCAACATTACGACATTTATAAACACAAGCCTGACATTTCTTTGATACATCCATTATCAAATTTCAAACAAACATTTTGCTTATACATCATAGTAAGCACAATCAAGATGCATTTGACTATTGCAAGGACTGAAGAAATGAGTGATTACAAATATAAGTGATTTTGAGCAAAACATAGGATATCATGTGATTATGTACTGCAGTACAGTATACTGTATTTATTGAAACTAATAAAACTAAGAAAACTTACTAATCTCTTACATCAAACTGAACAATCCAGCAATTTCTAAAAGCACTATTGTAACCTTTAAACCAGCTTAATTATCAAAATTAGATATCAGTCTGGGAAGATTATTTAGCACTGCCTTATGTAGTGGGATATTTGTAAGATACATTTTATTCAGGATACCAATGATGAGAGTACAGGTGTAAGTACTGTAATGAATTATCAATGAAAACATGAAGCTAGGATGGCTAGATAATATGGTTTGTGCTTCAGTACTCTGAAGCACAAACCATACTATATAGCCATCCTAGATATCAGGCAAGTCATCCTTCCTTCAAGAGTCCTAGATATCAGTCAGGACACCAATATGAGAACAGAAAGACACAAGACGAGTACTGTAACGTGAAAGTTAGAAGAATCATAGAGAATGTATCGAGGGACAAATGACTCGAAGGTCTGCTAAAAACCTCCCTAGAATTAATACAGACACGGTTTCTCATTCTAGTACTGTACTTCAAAATTTCAGACTAGCAATCACTTAAAGCCCTCAAGATGTTTCCCTTTCATCCCAGGAAACAGAAATCAATGTTTACCGACATGAAATCCAGGCACAGTAATATCATGAAGATGTGATGTATCCGAGAAATTATTGAGGCCTTATGATAGGATTGAACCCACATTCCTGAATTTCCCATGGTTCAGCTGAGAGTGTGTGTCTGAGTTGTTTAGGGATGTGGGTTCAGTCCCATGGTAAGGCCTCAATATTTTTCCCATGTAATGAAAATTAACTACTTTTTACTATATAGTACACCACACATCATAAAAGTGCTTACCATATTTTAACTGTACTTAAAATATTTTTACTTAAAATCTTATACTATATTCTCTATTATGTCGTAAAGATTTATAAAATAAATAAGTCCAGTAATCTGCAAAATACAGCATTAAGACTGAATGGCTACGTAGCACTGACGTGTTATTAAACATTCAAGATGCCAATACACAAGCAGAAAGACACGAGACTAGCAACGTCACAAGAGCTAGATTCACCGAGGACTTTTTCACTCAAAAGGAACAAGATTTCTAAGGAGACCCCCAACACTTTCCAGATAAATATTTTCAAAACAACATGGAAGGTTTGTATCTCTCCGAGATAAAAAAGCCAAAAAACCTAGTGTTTAATTTATATAAAATACTAATATAATGTATGCTTCTATCTGCATTAATGACAGGGCTGCATCTATTATTTTTGTCTAAGATCAATTATAATTAACTTTTTAAATAGATTTTGAATATTATTTAATATAAATTCCGGTAAAGCAATAAAAATAACCTTCTCAAATATTGAAATGGACATTGGGATAATTTTAAGAGTAATATCACAAGCAAATACATGTACTGTACTGCAATTAGTAAAAGCAGGCACCAAGCCAAGAAGACTATCTAGCACACTGCATGTCGTGGTATATACAAAAGATCCAGTACTATTCCAAGTGTATTCGTGTATTCAATACCAAAGATTTTATAAACTATTTTATGCTCCATCACTGGAGAGAGTGCAATACATACTTTAGGGAATAAAAATCATCATTGTACTGTACTATTCTAGATACCATAATACGTAAATTCTGTATTTATCTGAATATTTTTTCCATAAGAACTCAAAACTTCAAAATGTATTGATTTTGAGGCTTGGCAGCTCAAAATACCATGCAGAAAAAAAAAAAAAACAGAAAAAATGTGTAGAAGATAAAATAAAGTACGATGCAGATGTGACCAAAAATTTGATTTAGAAAATACGGCAAGTACCAAAAGTAAATATTGCAAGACACATCACATGGTTTAAGAGAGAACTTGATAAAGACCACCAAAGGATTCCTAATTAACCAAGATGTGATTCATACGTCAGGCTGCAAGCAGCCGCGTCCAACCGCCTGGGTGATAGACCACCTACCAGGAGGCCCGGTCAAAAACCGGCCACTGGGGCATTGATCCCCGGAACCAACAACAGGTAAGTAGGTCAATAAAAATGGAAAATACAATTAATGAAGCTGACAAAAAATAGCATACTGGAAATGAATGGCAAATAAATAATACCATCATTATTCAATTTTGTCAATGGTTTAGACTAAGAGTTACATTATACCCTTACAGGGATACAAAAGAACCTTTGGAAAAGAAAAATGTTTAATCAAATGCCAGGTATATGCTAATAATGATAGTAGTAATAATCAAAATGATGAATCAAGCCAGAAATTCTTATTTAGTTTCTTCTGTGTTGTGGGATATTTGAATGGCCCTATTAAATATCACCCAGGAAATATCTAATAATGGAAACATAAAAAATATTATATGTACTGTACTGAAAATTTTTAACAATGATCAATAACAATTTGTCTTTTGGGAAACAGAATTGACGACATTGTTTTCCGAGATGGAAAAATTGATCATCCTGAAATACTGTACTCGAACTTATTTATGCAAAACTGCACATGTTTAGCTGCAATGCTATAGCAACCAACAATGCTATAGCAACTATGATGCAATAGCAACAGTGATGCTATGGCAACCATTATGCTATAGCAAATATAACATCTTACTATAGTACATTCGTCATACACTGTCAACGTGACTTACCTCAATACTGATCTCTACAAAGATATTCGTAACCACTAACACTTTCCGATAGAGTGACAATCGTAGTGAAAGTTTGCCTACTTAATTTATCCACATATAAGTAATGTTACACAAATTTTTATACTTTCAATACAAGTGGATGTTATTAAGAACATTATTGAGTGAAAATGTATACAAGTGAAAGTAGTACATGTTGAAACATATGCAGAGATCATTAAAAAATATATACACAGTATTACGAACCAATAATCAATGTGCAAAATGCAAGTGAAATAAAAAAAAACTATATTACAAAAGATGTAAAAACCAAAAAGCACAATGTAATCACAATAGTGTGATATATCTATGAAAAAATCTTTTGAGGCAATGGGACTGGATTGAACTCCCATCTCGGGTCACCTGGACAGGAGTTCAATTCCATCTCATTGGTCCGAAAGATTTTCTCAAATCTAAAGTTCTTAAAAACTGCTTTTCAGTTACATTTCTCATCTTCACATTCAAAATCACATATCTTTGAGAACTACAATGACAATAATTACAAGGTTTTAACCTCTAATTAAATATATTGTCATATTCTTCATTAGCAAGTAAGAAACCCACTTTCTGGGCAACCCTCTTACAGCCTGTAGTCGAGAACAATTGATTCTCAGGTGGGAAATATATCATTTCATCGGCTACGCTTCTGAAAAGAAAAAATTCTGTAAATTTATATCTAGTACTGTATATCCTGAAAAAAAAAGGGGGGGGCAATTAATAAAATGTATGTAGAATCACATACAGGGAGACTAGACTAGGACACACAGAAAACGATCATAGAAACAACAATGCAGAACAAGAAACGGGTAAAACCACATAAAACAATATACAGTAAAAATGTTGAGGAAATTATTATTTTTTTTAAATATAAAATACCAAACACTTGCAGTGAAACTTACTTTATTAAATCTTTAGATGACCTGTGCCCACGTCGGCGAATCTCATCATGAGCACATAGCTCTACATGACGTCTTTCTAATGGCATGAATGGCACATAATGGTCTACCAGACTATGTTGTATGAGCTCACTCTTGTGTAGGCCTCCTGAAAAACAAAATCAACATTAACCCTTCAAGTGCACAAAACAATCAGGAATGCTCTTGCCATTTATGATCTCACTGTGTGAGACGAGGGACATTTTAAAAGTACTAAACAAGATTTAAAACTCCCATGGATACAATGGGCTTACATCTGCTTCCTCAGACCTTCAGTAAACAGACACCATCTTGGGGGGAAAAAAAAAAACTGAGCATCCCTTCCTGGGTGAGAGGGCCTCATTATGGAGACAGATACCATGAGTGATAGTATATAGCATACAGCAGAAGTTCACTGCACTGCGGTGCAGCTCATGCCCACAGTATTGCTTAATAATGGTACTGTGGTACTGGCTGGAACAAAGGTTTGGAGATCACCCATCCTGGCCACGGTTTGCTCAACGCCCTGCAATGCTGGCTTGGAAGCGTCATAAATCCCTCAGAGACAAACTAGCATCTGCAGCCTTGCGTTAAAGAGGCTACACGACCTAGTGGATCTATAGCGATCAAAAACAACTTAACCACCGGTCAGTACCTAGAAATGAACAGGCGAGGATAGAAACATACGTCCAGCAGTATCCGGGGCAGTTAAAAAGCAATTAACAGGAGCGGGTATTTCCCAAAACCCTGGGGATAGGAAGGAACTAACCTTGTGGGACCCAGGGGGAAGACAGAAGCATAAGGCCGAGGGGAACAAAGTGGCCACAGGCCACGAGGTTGAGTCTGAGGCCCAACAATTGAATCCTGAACAATAAACAACTGTGATTGTTTGCTTAATAATGATGAAGTAAATAAACAACTGTGATTATTTAACGATGACAGTGTCACAGATGATCCTGACTGTGATAAAAACTATGTACAAGGTTCAAATATCAGTGAACCCAATACTGATTATAATGTTCACATCATGAGGTAGATATCCACGGCACACAGCCGCAGTTTGGTATGTTTACTCTCATAATATGGGACCTCATGTTCCTTTGGAAAATAAACATGTGGTAAATGATTCATATACATAATTTACTGACCAGGATTCTGATTCTGATAGCAGTTATGGCTAGACTATTATGCCGGAAGAACCACACGTCTACGGGTCATCCAATAAGGTTAGTAGACTTTCAAATGTTACCACTGCTAGGCTTAGGCTCGGCTACAAGTACCTCTGGGAGTTTTGTAACATCTGCTATGTAGACTTGACTAAATGTAAACTCTGTCTGCAGAACTACTTGCATACCTTGCCTCATTATACAGTATAATGGAATGTGAAAAAATTTAAGAATTCAGAGATAACACTATCAATGGAGTCCAAGAAATGTGCAAGTACTTCATTCATAATGATGTACTGCTGGGAATCTTAAAGCATTAAAAATTTGCTTACTGTAGGTAATGTATGGATAACTGTAAAGCTGCCACCCAGTTGGGTGAGCGTGGAGCAAGACTTCACTGTGTGGCTCACCGTAGATGTAAAGAGCTTTGTATAATGACTTGTGAGCCTCTTGTTGAATCACTTGTGATATAAAAAGATTATCGATGTGAATACTGTATGTGTAAATGATTGAATATATATGTACATATAACATTAATAATTGTGTAACTAGCTTCAAAAGACTGTCACTTGCTTAGCTAAATGAACTATAAGGTTCAGTTCCTGAACCGATTATGTGCCTCTGTAACCCATTCCACCACTGCCCATGGGATAGGTATGGGGTGCATAATAAAGAAAATTGAATATGGCTAGAGTTTTTTTTTTTTTTTTTTTTTTTTTGAGATATATACAAGAGTTGTTACATTCTTGTACAGCCACTAGTACGCGTAGCGTTTCGGGCAAGTCTTTAATCCTATGGTCCCTGGAATACGATCCCCTGCCGCGAAGAATCGTTTTTTCATCCAAGTACACATTTTACTGTTGCGTTAAACAGAGGCTACATTTAAGGAATTGCGCCCAGTAAATCCTTCCCCGCCAGGATACGAACCCATGACATAGCGCTCGCGGAACGCCAGGCGAGTGTCTTACCACTACACCACGGAGACTGCAAACAATGTGCAAACAAGTTAACAATGTGCATAGTATATCGAGAGGCATTTTGTCATGTCAGGTGCCATCAGCAACTGACCGGCATGCAGTGCTATGCTGTGCTTGGATTACCATATCTAACAACTGCTTAGCGGTTTGTTATCGTGCACAAAAGTGTAGAAAGTTATACAGTAAATAACAAGTATAAAAATATGTTCTTGAAAATTTGAACAATATTCTTGCTCCAAGAATATAATTTGGTACAAATTAGTGACATGAATAGCTAACATCAAATGTTAGCACGTTTACTTTTTTTTATATGTACAAAAGTTTTTGCATTATTGAACAGCCACTAGCACGCAAAGTGTTTCGGGCTGGTTCTTAATCCTAATTTTTCCCGGAATACAACCCACTAACTCGTTTAATAACAAGGTACCCATTCACTGCTGGGTGAACAGAGGCGCTCGCAAAGCACCGGGCAAGTGTCTTATCACTGCACATATATTTCTGTTAGCAGGCTGAGAGCTGCTACAACTACACCACCAAGAACAGTCTCTAGTGGCCTTGATGATGACAGGAAGCTGGGAGCTGGCCAAAGATTTCCCCCATTATTCCTGGGTTTTTCAATTAATGTTTATTAACCTCAGTTTCAACCCTGTCACAACCTTGGGTCAAAATGAAGGTAAAAATTAGATTATATTTATATTTTTACATAAAAATAAAATTAACCATTAAAGTGCAGTATTGGTTACAAGTTGATTCCATGGGGTAATGCAGTTAGCATCACTTTGATTTTAGATACTATTGTCAGATTTTTATATCCATGATGCTAATATGGATACTGTATACAGTAATAGAGTAATATACTGTACAGTGATAGAATATATATGGATGTAGTGGAGCTTACCAAGACCCACGAAAATATCTTGCTGTCATTTCACGATTGAACCGATAGGAGGATTACTACACAAATTAAAAATTACTACACAAATCAAGTGATCATTATGTATGTTATTATGCCAATGTGGCAATCACGGTATAAAATTTAATTATAATTGTATGATTTGTACACTGATTATATTCACATGATTTTCACAACTCTTGTGTAATGAAGTTTACCTACTATGAGAACCATAGATTTCAGTACATGGCAGAAGGCCTAGTGGTCCATATGAGGCAACTACTTATATCATAAATAAAATTGCAGAATGGGGGGGGGGGGTAAAGAGGGATGAGGGGATGGGTAAAGAGGGAGGGGGAAAAGAGGGTTGAGGGAGGGGGGAAAGAGGGTTGAGGGAGGGGGGAAAGAGGGTTGAGGGGGGGGGAAGAAGAGGGTTGAGGGAGGGGGATGGAGAGAGGAGGCAGGGGGAGAGGGAAAAAGAGGGGGGAAAGGAGGGAAGAGATTTAGGCAACAAGCTGTAGACATACATATAAAGAACACTAATATGTGCATAAAAATGTTGGGGTACGTATATAAGGAAGAGGAAATGAAATCAACTATTATGTGTACTAGTCTGGAAATACCTTCAGACTTCAATGTTTCAAACAGGCTTTCCATACAACTCACTTGGTGCCAACGTGCGTAAGCACACATTAACCCTACCTTCCTCATTGAATGCTCCACGCTGAATTAGGTGTTCGAGGTCCATCATGGTGATATCGTCTCTATTTTTCCCATCACGCCACATCTTCAGCATTGCTCTTGTAATGTCTGGACCGCCAGTGTTACTTAAGAAGATGAATATAGACTTCCTAGGAAGTATAACAGTATATTTAGATATATTGTTAAGGGATAGATTAGCACACAAGTCATATACTGTACTGTTAAATTCATTCAACAATCTCAAAACTTTTGACATATGGATTAGCAAAATATAATGCTGTATGGGGTAAGGATTCATCAAGCATTGACGTGTCTGCTTACGTAACCTGTACATCTTTCCTCGATATAGGGGCTTTGTCTACATTTATTGAAATAGTTTACATGCTTTGAAATACAGTAGTTTGAAACTTTGCAACCCAAGGTTATTATTGTTAAAGACAACCTTGTGGCATTTTGGTGTTCATAAACTTCAATAAACATGTAAACACAGCCATCATGATTGAGGAAAGATGAACAGGCTTCACAAGTGAATGCATAAATGCTTGATGAATCCTGGGTTTGGTAAATGGGACAATTTAAAAAAAAAAAAAACTGTATATGAATACTGTATGCTATTGTATAGCCAACTACAGTATTAGAATCTAAATATAATTAACAAGGTCAATAGGCAAGGTAAGATAATTATGGAGAAAGTGCTAAGCCAGTAGGACTACTGTACCTGAAATCTACTCCATTGATGGATTCATGGTAGTCAATGAAAGGTTTGATGCCATTAATCATCCCAAGTGGCATTTTGTCAATTTCATCGAAGATAAAGAGAGATCTCTCGCACTTGCTCACGTTACTGCGGATCCAATCTTGCAAATTCAGCTGTAAAATAAAACATTAAAAGTTATGCATGTACCTGAAGAGTTGAGGAATGCAGATTTCATCCCATAGCAAGTTTCAATATTTTCTTATAGATACACAACACAGTATTACATTCTTGTGATTTCATTGTGCACATTAAAAAAAATTCTTATGTGATATGACAACTCTAGATACAAATTATGCAGTTTGACCATGGAGCTGTCTTCAGTGAAACCCTTCAAACTTATTGTTTCTCATGTGTAAGTGAAAGATATTTGACAATCAGAGAAATCACAAGAAAAAAGGTAAGGTAATTATGTTCAAAAAATATATGCAATAATATATAAAAAAAATTGAAAGGGCCAAGTTATTTTAATTATCGGTATACATAGCTGAGAAAGGATACAAGGACAAGGAGCCGGGCTATGGGGACAAGGAGCCGGGCTATGGGGACAAGGGGCAGGGCTATGGGGACAAGGGGCAGGGCTATGGGGACAAGGGGCAGGGCTATGGGAACAAGGGGCAGGGCTATGGGGACAAGGGGCAGGGCTATGGGGACAAGGGGCAGGGCTATGGGGACAAGGGGCAGGGCTATGGGGACAAGGGGCAGGGCTATGGGGACAAGGGGCAGGGCTATGGGGTCAAGGGGCAGGGCTATGGGGTCAAGGAGCTGGACTATGGGGACAAGGAGCTGGGAGTTATGATGATGGAGTGAAAGAACGGTGCCCAGCCAATATCTCATAAGAGGCCAATGAGAGTTCTTACTTTGTGCCATGTACAGTACTATCATCTATTCTAGCTCGCAAGTAAAGAAATTAGGATTTCAAAGATGACCTTAGCAAGTAGAATGTCCACTGAAGGATATACTGTTTTTACCAACATGTTTTACACGGATATATACATTTTTAGTATGTTTCATCCTACAGTACATTCAATGAAATTGATTTTACAAATGATTTTGTAAAATAAACATGATTTTATACATGTAAATGCAATATATACTTGGTTGATGGCGAGCCAAAAACCCACATTCTATCAATGTGGGTTTGACCAATGACCAATGTAGTCAATGTAAATTTGCAGTTACTGTATAGAATTTGAAATTCTGCGAGGAGAGATTTGCAGGTGCAGAAGCTGGTGTGAGATGTTTAAAACATGTCAACATTTTACTTGAATACAGTACATTATTTGAACTATTTGGAAGCTGGAGCCCAAGTGGATTAAACAACCACAGTCTGAGTCTTTGTATTACAAACCATAACAAATGTGCTGGTGAACCATTAGTTCAAGTGATTTTGTCAGTGTAATTCCACGTGATCAAACAGCAGTTTGGACACCTAGAAGGGCCAGCTAATTAGTCAGGATGATTGTTTATTCCCATTGTCAAGAACAACAAGCCTATAGAGCACTTAGGCTTATCAAAGTACCCTTAGGCAAACTACTGACCTTTACAACCAAAGTTGCAACCCACAACAGTTACCTAACTCTTGGGTACCATATTATTAACTGCTTGGTAAATAGAGGCATCAGGTTAAAGGAAATGTACTAAACTTTTCCTGTACTGCCTGTGGACTGAACCTGGGTCTCTCGATTGTGAGGGAGGACAGATTGCTGTGCTACTGGACCCATTTGTCAAAGTTTGTAATTATTATTATTATTTACAGTGATAACTTAGTGTACTGTTTACTATTTTTCTCACACCCTTCTAAACTGTGAATCAAGAAATTCTATAAATCACACCAATAAGGTGATGAACATATGTTATGGGGTAATTAATAAAAGGAGTCAGTTACCTTGCAAAGACTTGTTTTATATTTTGGATAATTTCTGCAATAAGCTAGAATGCAGAAGAAACTAGTATGTGAGCAACCCGAGGGAATGTAGAGCCTACGAGACTTACGGAATGAAGAACACTACTGTATACATCTTCTTATGAAATAGGTAATAGTGGTTGGGCATGGAGGGAGTTGGCTGCAACAGTCACCCGACAATATCTCACTTAGTTACGCCATCGAATATTTCAACCCATCCTCTAGAAATTATAGTACTTATAGCAACTATTTTTTTCAAACATACAAAAATAGACTTAAAGTTTTTAATCACATCTTGTACTTTTGTAAAATGATCTTTCACTGCATACAAACCTTGTAAATATCAGCTTTTTCTGTGTGAGGAAAATCAACTGTGCTGACAAACATGTGAACATACTGACTTTTCATCCCCAGCTTGTATATGGTCTGGGCAATGAACTTGGAAACGTAATTCTTACCCCCTCCTGTCCATCCATGAAAGCTCATTACCAGTGCCTGTATAAAAAAAAAAGTATTACCTTGCATACAAAACACAAAAAGAAGAGAGATTTAAGAAAAAGACGTTGAGAAAAGCAATACAACGGCAAGCCTAAATTTGTTATAGAAAACTTGCTAAAGTGCCTATATACAAGTACTTGACCAGTTAAAGAAATCATCATTACTCAGATACTGTACAGTTAACTCGCACACACAGAAAATACATGCAAATGAAAGAGACCATTTCAGTCCGTCCTGGACCCTTATCAGAATGGTTCAGGAGAGAATGAAGCATCATCTCATTTATTTCATGTGGGAGCACTGGGTATTTGTTTCAGCCATATTATTGTAACTTTTTTCTGCACAGAAATAGTAATAGTCTACTCTATATTAAACCATAAACTTTACCTACTACTCTAAAAATATATGTAGTTTTAACCACCTGAATAGATATTTCACAACAAAATCATTAACAGATGAAGTTCACAATGCTGCCACAATGTATACAAGTTTTGCAGAGAATATGGCACAATAATGTAGCTGAATATTAAAGTACAACACACACAAATTGAAAGGAATAATGAAAAGTAACAAAAGTGACTTTATACTTGACTGAAACATTATCACTTTCCTTTTTTCACATGTGTGGGTCGGGTATTAATTTTAAAAAGTTTTCTTTGTATGCATCTCATTTACAATGGCTCAAATCAGAGGCTTTATATCCATGGAAGTCGATACTTAAAATGTTTACTTGTCAAACTGAGATACAGTAATGATATATTGGATCAAATTAATTATGGACTTACTAGTCCATGTGGTTAGGATCCAGAAAAGATAGGAAAGTCATCTTGGTGTCCCAGATTAACCCGAACCAAACAAGACTGAGCAGAATGCATCTGGGGCTTGCAAAAATTCACAAGAAACCTGAAATAAGCAAACTAACACAGAACCAAATTCCCGACAATATTGCAACTCCCGAGTCCAAATCAATTAATTGTTGAGGCAAGCCAGAACTTTGATCACCTGGAGCCACAGCTTTCAGAGATCCACCCGAGTCAATCGGGTAAACATCCTAGGTGCCAAGTTTAGCCCGAAGAATAAAGTCCAAAAGTTCTAGTCAATGTGTCCTGAATGGAGAAAACAGCCTGTTGTCACACCCAAAACTCCAGCTAATCCCTAAATAATGAATAGATGGGAATGTGCCAATAGATATCCTGTAGGTCCAGAGAAACAATCCTAAGCTGGTTAATCATCACCTTGCAAATCAAGGAAATTTTAAATACTGCATAGACATAGGATATGGACATAGGATATGAATATTCTACTTAAGAGTTCACTACTGTATTATAAACTGGGGTTTACTGAAATCTTTCTTCACCACTGGTAACTTTTGAGGTATGACTTGAAGAAAGCAAGTCAAGGTTAACACACCCTTGTCCAATATGTTGTGAATGACAGTGTAGGAAACGAGTCAATACAGGGTAGGACAAAAAGACAACAGAGGTGGGACCAGAGACCAAAACCAAGCAAATTGAGAGCCATATATTGGGAAACAAATTAAATGATACATAAATTGTGAAACAATTAAAAAGAGCCATACATTTTGAGACAATGTAGAAGAGCATAAACTCTGAAACAAAATACAGAAACTCTGGGGATGGGGGACAATTAAAAGTACCATAAATATCAATAATACTAATATTTTTTTTAAGATGCACCACATTAAAAATGTACAGTATATAATAAATCATTACCTTGTGAGGCTGATCATTAAACAAGTGAGCTTTCAGCGCCCTGGGGACTACTTGATGCACAATGTGTTGACCATAGAGGTTCGAATCAAGAGCAGCAATCAAAGCTGAAGCAGAACAACTCACATTAGACACTAAATTACAAAAAAAAAAAAAAAAAAAAAAAAAAATCTGAAAATTAATTTTGGTGCCAGTTGAGGCCATATAACATCAAAATATTTTTATAAAAAGTACAAAAACAATGCAAATTTGTTTTATTTAAATCTCTTATATTATTGCCCAAGATCTCCATATGGGTAAATTACAAAAAATATTACAATTTTGAAAAGTTTATTAATGTAATTTTGTTTACTAAAGTAGGCCATATGACAAGAAAATCAAAAGTACAAAAAAAAAAAAAAAGAGGCGGCACTGTTGGCATGGTATGGTCGAGATATTACCACATCTATTTTGGATTTCAGGGTATTGAATTCTTACCCAAGATCTCCATATGGAGATACCTTGTCCAATACCTAGACTACTTGTTTTATATGATGAAGTTTTTTGTTTTATACCCCATTGTTGTGGACAGGAAGCTTGTAAGTAGACTTATCAAGGTCCCTATAGGTCAAACTACCAACCTTTCCCAGAATGCAACCCACAAGTTACCTAACTCCCAGATACCTATTTACTGCTAGGTAAGTAGAGGAATCAGGTGAAAGGAAATGTGCCCAACCACTTGTCCTGTCCAGAGATTGAACCCGGGCTCAATGAGTCAGTCAACAACGAATGTACTGTACTACAGGACCTGTGTAGAATTAGCAAGAGGTCCTGATATGTGCTCAATATTTAAGAGCATTTGAGGATAACTAGTTATTTGAGGTTGATTTTGGAACCGATGTTTGAAGCAGCCGAGGAGAAAATGTTTGATCATCTCTGGAACCTGGCAGTAGATTCAGTTTTTAATAACATCTGTCAAATTTATAGCCGTGTGTTGTATTTGTAGTCCAGCTTATTGCTCTGCTTTCCGTGTACCTGGAGACTTACGCACACACACTAAAACTAGTTCATGTACTAACCTATTGTCACATACTGACAATAGGTGTGTGTTTAAGGGCTCACTGCAAAATAAAAAATTGTATTACTACAGCAGGAAAGCATCTGGACACGTTACTGATATTGGCAGTTACACGTCACTTCGTACCCAAGACGATTTGCAAATGGATTTTAAAATCAACCCAACCAAGGCTAACACAAGCAAACACAGCCGAACTTGTTTATAAAAATTAACAATTTGGAAACAAGGCCCGTCAAAACTCCTGTACATAATTTGACTGTAACCCCACCTCAATACCTCCAGCAAACCATCAAGCAAAGAATTATCAATTATTTACTATTCAATAATTATTTGGTATATGATCTAGATAAAATAATGATAAGGAAAGTGCTTAGCCAATATGACTATATAGCACTTTGAAGGACAAGATAGGATGCGAGGACAGAGTATAGGAAGTGCCCAACTCAGATTCAGATTCAGATGTTTATTCAGGTAAGGTATATACATACAAGTGATGTTACATTAATGGATTGATATATAGATAGAGCTAGTACATACAATGCCTAAAGCCACTATTACGCAATGCGTTTCGGGCAAGAAAAACATTAATATCTAGAACTTAATACTAATTGAGCATAAAGAATAAAAGGTGTTGAGAACAAATACAAATAAAGATAAAAAAAAAGGGGGAACATGACTGAAAAAGCAGCACAAATATTTGGACCATGGGGGATGGAACCCCGACCCTACAAGAAGCAAGGCCGTCGCTGTACCAACCAATCAAGGTGGTTGGTCTACAAACACGTTAACAATATATTAAAAATATATTGCACTAGTAGACACCACCACCACCATCACCTGAAATGTTGGGTTTGATCCACTCTGCTCTTGGAGAGCAACACTCGTAGAAGGTACAGCGTAATCTATCGAAGCCAGCATATAAAGCGGCCCCAGCGAAGCCTACAGCAGTGACTCCGAGTGATATGGAGCCATGACAGGTGAAGACAGGCAGGAAGAGCATCAGCAGGTAACATCGTACAAGTGACCGCAGCTCCATGTTGTTTACAAGTCACCAATGGCGCCGCCAGGGAGCTACGCGCCTATACTCTTCTCCTCATATTTAAATAATAATAGTTTATTTATTACCAAAATTACTTTGTAATTGTAAATAAAACAAAAGCATGACTTCACTAATTTTATTCGCACTTATAACAATTTAAATGATGCTGTGGGACCAATCCACAATTGATTTGATTGTTGCCGCCGGAGGCGTCTATTTTATTGTGCACCCCATACTCATCCTATGAGCGGTAGTGCAAAAAAGATTACAGAGTGCACAAAAGGTCCTTATCAGACCTCAACGGAGAATATTATAATATATATATATATATATATATATATATATATATATATATATATATATATATATATATATATATATATGTCGTACCTAGTAGCCAGAATGCACTTCTCAGCCTACTATGCAAGGCCTGATTTGCCTAATAAGCCAAGTTTTCATGAATTAATTGATTTTCGGCAACCTAACCTACCTAACCTAACCTAACCTAACTTTTTCCGCTACCTAACCTAACCTAACGTATAACGATAGGTTAGGTTAGGTTAGGTAGGGTTGGTTAGGTTCGGTCATATATCTACGTTAATTTTAACTCTAATAAAAAAATATTGACCTCATACATAATGAAATGGGTAGCTTTATCATTTCATAAGAAAAAAATTAGAGAAAATATATTAATTCCGAAAAACTTGGCTTATTAGGCAAATCGGGCCTCGTACAGTAGGCTGAGAAGTGCATTCTGGCTACTAGGTACGACATATATATATATATATATATATATATATATATATATATATATATATATATATATGCGAACAAGCCTGAATGGTCCCCAGGACATATATATATATGTCGTACCTAGTAGCCAGAACTCACTTCTCAGCCTACTATTCAAGGCCCGATTTGCCTAATAAGCCAAGTTTTCCTGAATTAATATATTTACTATAATTTTTTTCTTATGAAATGATAAAGCAACCCTTTTCTCTATGTATGAGGTCAATTTTTTTTTATTGGAGTTAAAATTAATGTAGATATATGACCGAACCTAACCAACCCTACCTAACCTAACCTAACCAATATTTATAGGTAAGGTTAGGTTAGGTAGCCAAAAAAAGCTAGGTTAGGTTAGGTTAGGTAGGTTAGGTAGACGAAAAAACATTAATTCATGAAAACTTGGCTTATTAGGCAAATCGGGTCTTGAATAGTAGGCTGAGAAGTGCGTTCTGGCTATTAGGTACGACATATATATATATATATATATATATATATATATATATATATATATATATATATATATATATATATATATATATATATGCAACAATGATCACAAAAACACTGATCCAAGTATGCAGAATAACCACATATGAAAAATAGAAAATGCTTAACGCGTTTTCGGCTAATTCGCCTTCATCAGAGCAAAGTAGAATCATTCTACTTTGCTCTGATGAAGGCGAATTAGCCGAAAACGCGTTAAGCATTTTCTATTTTTCATATGTGGTTATTCTGCATATATATATATATATATATATATATATATATATATATATATATATATATATATATATATATATATATATATATATGTCGTACCTAGTAGCCAGAACGCACTTCTCAGCCTACTATGCAAGGCCCAATTTGCTTAATAAGCCAAGTTTTCATGAATTAATTGTTTTTCGACTACCTAACCTACCTAACCTAACCTAACCTAACTTTTTCGGCTACCTAACCTAACCTAATCTATGAAGATAGGTTAGGTTCGGTTAGGTAGGGTTGGTTAGGTTCGGTCATATATCTACGTTAATTTTAGCTCCAATAATAAAAAATTGACCTCAAACATAATGAAATGGGTAGATTTATCATTTCATAAGAAAAAAATTAGAGAAAATATATTAATTCAGGAAAACTTGGCTTATTAGGCAAATCGGGCCTTGCATAGTAGGTTGAGAAGTGCGTTCTGGCTACTAGGTACGACATATATATATATATATATATATATATATATATATATATATATATATATATATGTCGTACCTAGTAGCCAGAACGCACTTATCGGCCTACTATGCAATGCCCGATTTGCGTAATAAGCCAAGTTTTCATGAATTAATTGTTTTTCGACTACCTAACCTACCTAACCTAACCTAACCTAACTTTTTCGGCTACCTAACCAAACCTAACCTATAAAGATAGGTTAGGTTAGGTTAGGTAGGGTTGGTTAGGTTCGGTCATATATCTACGTTAATTTTAACTCCAATAAAAAAAAATTGACCTCATACATAATGAAATGGGTAGCTTTATCATTTCATAAGAAAAAAATTATAGTAAATATATTAATTCAGGAAAACTTGGCTTATTAGGCAAATCGGGCCTTGAATAGTAGGCTGAGAAGTGAGTTCTGGCTACTAGGTACGACATATATATATATATATATATATATATATATATATATATATATATATATATATATATATATATATGTCGTACCTAGTAGCCAGAACTCACTTCTCAGCCTACTATTCAAGGCCCGATTTGCCTAATAAGCCAAGTTTTCCTGAATTAATATATTTACTATAATTTTTTTCTTATGAAATGATAAAGCTACCCTTTTCACTATGTATGAGGTCAATTTTTTTTTATTGGAGTTAAAATTAACGTAGATATATGACCGAACCTAACCAACCCTACCTAACCTAACCTAACCTATATATATAGGTAAGGTTAGGTTAGGTAGCCAAAAAGAGCTAGGTTAGGTTAGGTTAGGTAGGTTAGGTAGACGAAAAAACATTAATTCATGAAAACTTGGCTTATTAGGCAAATCGGGCCTTGCATAGTAGGCTGAGAAGTGAGTTCTGGCTACTAGGTACGACATATATATATATATATATATATATATATACCATTTAATATTTTCAATGAAACCAAATTATATAGCTTTTCTTGGTTGCAATACTGATTGTAGTGTCCCTGGGAATATTGTGAACCGCTTGCATATGTGATTGTTCCGATGAACAGCAGATAACGGAAGACTGTTCTACACCAAGGTTACTTACTGGGAAATTTAGATTAAACAATATACATATAATAGAATATATGCCTGACTGGTTCATTCACTGCTCTGCTCCAGTCATTTTCTCACCGACATATACGCTATTGTGATATCGTTGTGTATGCTTCTCTGTCCAAGGGCTGGAGGCCAGACGTAGGGGATAACCTCACCCAACGTTGCATGGTGATTGCTGTTGGGTACGTGCCCAACATGGGCGGATTAGAGTCGGCACCCTTATAGCTGGATGTAAATTTTATCGGATTAGCACACTCACGTTAGATGTGTTTGTCAAGGTTTGTATGCAAAAACACTTCAAATTAGATGCTTGTCAAATTGTAAGATCACACTGAACATGAAATGAACTAATAAGTAAGATATATAATGCACATTATCAAATAAAGACAAAAAAGCTAGCAAACTTAATGTATATCATGCCACAAAACACCAATAACAATAACGTTGATCAATCAAATTTTAAATATATAATTTGCAGAAACGTCAAACATACAAAAACGAGTAATTGGAAAAAACACTTTAAATTTTAGACCATGAAATTAATTTATAAAATTATAATTCAAAAATTGACAATTTCAATACATAATTGTTGATTAGTTTTATTAAAATTAAATCGCTTATTATTATATTTAAATAAATGTATGTGTACAAGTAACTTGTGGGTAAACCCACTCATATGTAACATTATAGTTCACACCTATTCCACTTGTGGTAATCTATCTATACTAATCTATGCATACTATTTATACTAATTTATCAATACTAATCCACGTAATCCATCGAGAGCCACATGGCTAGCAACACTGAGGCATGACGGGGGTTGATCTCATGGAAACTTAAAATATTGAACAGTTTGAATGATGTTGATCCAGACAAGTTGTTCAAAAAGTCAGATGTAACACATATGGAGCAACGATTACAGCCTCAAGAAGCCACAGTGAAGGACTGAAAACATGAAATTCTGTCACCAAGAGGGTTATAAACCCATGGAACCGCCTACCCGCTGAAGACGTAAACGCCAAAACTATCTTGAACTTTAAAATCCAGCTGGAAAAAATCCAAAACAAATGGGTGACCTTTGACAAACCGCCGTCTTCCCGCCCTCGTCGAGGCCACTAGAGTGTTAGTGGCTAAAGTACCCTTACATACATACACACATACAACATACCTTTTGCAGGCGATGAGTCACAATAACGTGGCTGAAGTATGTTGACCAGACCACACACTATCGACTTGAGAATGGTCCAGGACGGACCGAAACGTCGTCGTCCCTTCAACTTCTAGTGTGTGGTCTGGTCAACATACCTTTCAGTCCACCCCTACACGCACAAATTATAAAAATATTCGCACTATCTAGAAAAATATATATATTTAGAAAATTATTTACACTATTTAGAAAATACTTTTCTACACTATTTAGCAAATAGTTTTCTACGCTATTTAGACAAATATCCACGTTATTGAACTAATTCCTACCTCCAAATCCGGCCCCAACTTATTTCCATCTTCCATGAAAGAAGTGTGTGGGGACGAAGGACCGCGCGCGGACGTGGACCATGTGCATCTTGGAGAGCACTAGGCCACAATTCTTGGCAATGGGCTGGATCAGGGTCATGCAGAGCACATCCATTATGGTCTCCAACATGGCGGATATGTTCTCCAAACACACCGTGATTGGATTTAGGATCCATACCGCCTGTGGGGATGTGGGGGAGAGGAGGAGGAGGACAGAGTACGTTAGGATTTCGCTGTGGTATGAAACAGCACCACATGGCGTGCTGTGCTCCCATCTCATGTATATGAGACGGTTTACACACGACTCACAATTGATTTCGTTCGAACACTTCCGGAACAAGTGCTTTGCTGACGACTTTTGTTCGAACCACAACGTTTTAAATACTTTACCCACGTACTACAAATACAAATAATCGCCAACAGAACCTAAACACCTAACCTAACCTAACATATGCCTATATATGCACAATATGCTAATATATTATAATAATAATTTATATTTGAGAAAATTTCCGTTTTGAATGAACAGCATGTTAAAATTTATGAATGCGTCTGTGGGGTCGACCGCTGGATGTAATGGACTTGAGTCGAGGACGGGTTGACACATACAAATAATCGCCAACAGAACCTAACCAATGCCTAAATATACACAGTATGCTAATATATAACAATATTAATTTATATGTGAGAAAATTGCTATTTTGAATGAACAGCATGTTAAAATGAATGAATGCGTCTTTGGGGTCGAACGCTGGATGGAATGGACTTGGTCTGAGGACGGGTTGATATTATAATTCTTCGTATGTTCTCTTCTGAACATTGGATTTTGAAGAGACAGAAGGAGAGTGGGACATAGTTAAAGAACATCAATAAGGTAGAGAAAAACAACTAGTTTCATGTATATAATTAATTAATTCCAAACACCACATAAGGTTACGTTCTCGGCTTCTGAATTTGTGACGTAATCCTGAACGTTCATATATATGGTGACGTCATCAAAGTTTGAAAAGTGACGTCATTACCAACGTTGGAAAAGTGACGTTAGCAAATGTCATTATAAACATTGAAATACTGACGTCTCCATCTACGTCGAAAGAATGACGTTCCGGCCACGTCACCATCAGCCACGGTATAGTGACGTCAACATCAAATACGTCATGGACATCGTGAGCAATGGATCAGCTGGGTCGCTTAGTGTCTCCCTATTGGATCGTAGAACCTGTTGATAAATGTAGTCAGGTGGGTGTTGATGTATTGATGAATATACAGGGTGTATAAATGTAATGTATACACGAGCATATGATGTTAGGTTATGTGATACAATGTTATTTTTATTGTATATATCATTGATTACTGTTATGACACTTCCACATACACACACACTCTCACTCACTCTATCTCTCTCTCTCTCTCTCTCTCTCTCTCTCTCTCTCTCTCTCTCTCTCTCTCTCTCTCTCTCTCTCTCTCTCTCTCTCTCTCTCTCTCTCTCTCTCTCTCTCTCTCTCTCCCCCACCTTGAAGCCATCCCAGCATACACGGAGGAGACGTTCTTGAGTAGCTCCCATGAGTGCATGACATCAGTGACCTTGGCGGTCATGAAGACCTCAACCTCTTGCTCCTTGTGCATGGTATAGAGTTGACAGTGGTCCTCACAGTCAGTGGTACCGTGTAACTGCTCGCAGGAGGACGTCTGTCCCGTCACCAGGTCTGTGGCCTGTGTGAAAGACAATGATATATATATATATAATATATGATCTTGGATGTAATATTTCCAGGAACTAGAAGGCCGAAATACAAATGGATTCACAGGCTCCAGCACTGGGACTCTGCCAGCAGATGGTGAAGAAGGTAGTGGTCCTGGTTATTTACAACCCTCCAGCGAACAACAGAAGACCCAGACAGGAAGACGATGACAACATAGTATGCATAAATGAAGTGCAGAGAACACCAAGAGCAGCGGGCACAAGGAGAACTAGGCTACTAGTCATGGAAGACGTGCAAATGGCATGACTCACAGTGAAGACATCGTAACACTCGGTACCAATCCACTCCCAGTTGGTGCACGACCCATCAGCATAGTCCTTCTCGCAGGTGACCATCCCCAGGCGCCAGCTCCGCAGCTCCACCTCTAGTTTCTTCCCGTAGTCTATGTAATGGTCCAGTTGCTCATCCAGATCCACCCACCAGCGGGAGGGAGACTGGCCCTCTACTGAGTACGTTTCTGCCACGTCCTGTAGAATGATGGGTGAATGAGGTTTGGGTTACGGAGGGAGGGAGGTCTGGGTTATGGGGAGGGGGAGGTCTGGGTCCTGACCGGGGGGAGGTGAATGGGGGTTTGGGTTAGGAAAGGGGGTAGTAGGTATGGAGGCGATGGGGTCGAAATCACACCTCTAGAATAAATATTCTGGCATACAGAATAAGCAGCACAGATAATAGTAAGTATATGAGAAAAAATGAGACACCAAGACACCAAAAGACTTCTGTTTGGTTCATGAGAGGCAATTCATGATTACAATTATGTTTAGTAATAGTTCACCTTATGGTTCCCCGTAAACAAGGACAGGAAGCCCGTTAAGCTTATCGAGGGCCTTCTATGTCAAGTATACTCACCTTACCCAGGATGCAACCCACAACAGTTGGTGAATAACTGGTACCTATTTACTGATAGGTGAACAGAGGCACAAGGCGAAATAAAAAGTGCCCAACCGTCTCTGTCCAGCCTGTAGATCGACTCCAGGAACCTTAGTTGTGAGAGGAGGATGTAGCCTACTACTCTAGAGCGCACCTTGAGCACGACGACGTGGATGGAGGAGATGTCCTCGAAGTGGAGGATCATTGACTGGGGCAACTCAGCCGCCTCCACCAGGTACCGGTGGGTGACAATGGAGGTGGAGAGGGCGGCAGCTTGCTGGTTCTTATCCGGATAGGTGTCGCTCTGTACGGGCGCCTGGTTGTACCTGTGACGGGTGTGAGGGTTACTTGTGACCACCTGCCCTCGTACTTCATCCTCACACACACACACTATATCCTCAAAGTAGCTTTGATTATGACACTAGCTCTCCACATATGTCAGTTGGTTAATTTTGAAACTGTACTTGTGGTCGGTCTCGAGCCCATTGCTGATGTGACGATGTGCATTGACTCAGTCAATGCACATCGTCACCCTAGTTCAGTCTTAGTCACCCTAACTCAGAGTCTGAGTCACCCCTAACTCAGAGCCTGAGTCATCTTAACTCAGTCTTAGTAAGCAGTCTTTCACCTCACCTGTCCATCAGCGTGACCAGGTCACTCTGATATACCTCGACTTCGTGCATATTGTGCTCATTGATGTACTGTCCGACCAGAGCCATGACCTCATCTTTGACCTGTCCCCAGTAGTCGAAGTCCTCTTTGGTCAAGGCGTCGATGATCGTGTAGATCAGGTCCTGAACCGTCTCATTGGGGATGAGGCCAATAAGTTGATAGGCGATGGCCAAGGCGATGGTTGTCTCTGGTGATGGATAATCAAACATAGTGGGTTTAGTAGACATGTTTTGCATAATTTAAGTCTACAATGACATCATCAGCCACAAGAATCATTCATTTATCTCTGAACAATTACTGTACTATCTCTGTTGGTGACGGTGATGGCCAATCAGGTTAACCTATTCAAACAGACTTTTTTTTGCATTATTTTAGCATTAAAGGTCTACCGTGACTCAGCAGATAGTTACACCAGCCCCACCAATCATTCAGTTATCTCTTATGTGTAGAGTAGATGACATTGTGTTTAAGTGTTGAAATAACTCCCTCTGAGTAGATTACTCCTTTGCCTGGGGGAAGGGGGGGAGGACTCTATTGTGGATTGCAGCCGGGGGGGGGAAAGTCTAGTAATAGGCCTAGGACCCTAGACGGACCTTACACCTGATGCCTCTGTTCACCTAGCAGTAAATATGTACCGGAGAGTTCGGCAACTGTGTGGGTGCTACGGTAAATCGCTTAACCAAAAGCATAGATGTCCCGCTGAACATATATATATATGTACGATACTTACTGCTACCGTCAATGTCCTGACCAGGGCTGTTGTTAAGAGGAACTGTAGCCGCCATGGCCGCCAGCAGCACCACCACCACTGTACTCACCACTGTAACCCGCATCTTCCTGTAACCACAACCACACAACCCTCGTTAACATCTCCTTCTTTCTGAGATCCAAGACTTTTTTATTTGTTTTAGCTGGTTTTAAACGAAGCCTAGCAGGTGTTAAGGAATGCCTAGCAGGTGTTAAAGTATGCCTAGCAGGTGTTAAAGAATGCTTAGGAAGTTTTAATGTATATCTAGCAGGTCTAATTTAGGCTAGCAAGATTAACAGTTAGCCTAGCAGGTTTTAAACTTTGCCTAGAAGTTTATAAAGTTAGCCTAGCATGTTTAGAGAGTTGAATGAAACTCTACATTAAAATGACTATGAACTAGAAAAGTTTTACCTTAGCGCAGAGGCTCAATAGACGACTCGGGTGCTAGGGATGGAAGTGCCTGAGTGGGTGGTTAGCAGGTGGCACTCTTGGCTGCTTCATACGGCACTCTTTGTTGATTGGTGCACTCTGGTGAGCCCTGATTGGCTGCGATTGTGGTAGATGGTGACGGGGAGATAAACCAACTGGTTCTCATGATGTGACGACGCCTTAAAAATACAAACTTTTTTTTATCTTAATAAAAAAAACAGAGGTAACTAGCCTATCGAGGCTGATGCTTAAGAAACATCAATATTAGGGTGCTATAATTTCCACTAATGCATTGTTTATTTAACGGATTGGTGGAGTCCGTTAAAAATGCGACGTTTTAGATGAGAATCCGGCTTGGGAAGGCTTCACGGTCACTTGTACTCAACAGCTGTTCGGTTTCAAGAGGGAGAGATTTGTCCACTTAAGGTGGGGGGGGGTGATTTAAGGCGCTAATTACTGCGTAAATCGTTATACTGCGCGGTTTCTAATTCGTTTAACTAATGGAAGTAATTAACAAAATATTCACGTGAAAATAAGTTATATTTATGGAACAAATTATCGAGAGGGAGGGAATTATCAGGGGAAAACGCCAAGCCATTATGACTATATAGCACTGGGAAGGGGTTTGGATAAGGATTTGGGATAGGACGGGGGGTAAGGAATGGTACCCAACCACTTCCCGTGGTTGGGCACCGTCCCAACCCATTGGGTTGGGACGGTTGGGGATTGAACGCCGTCCTGCACGAAGCAAGACCGTCGCTTTACCGTCCAGCCCAAGTGGTTGGACACATTGGGTCATAGTAAACGTAGGATCACTGGATTGTTTGAAGAGTAAGATATATATATATATATATATATATATATATATATATATATATATATATATGTCGTACCTAGTAGCCAGAACTCACTTCTCAGCCTACTATGCAAGGCCCGATTTGCCTAATAAGCCAAGTTTTCCTGAATCAATATATTTTCTCTAATTTTGTTCTTATGAAATGATAAAGCTACCCATTTCAATATGAATGAGGTCAATTTTTTTTTATTGGAGTTAAAATTAACGTAGGTATATGACCGAACCTAACCAACCCTACCTAACATAACCTAACCTATCTTTATAGGTTAGGTTTGGTTAGGTAGCCGAAAAAGTTAGGTTAGGTTTGGTTAGGTAGGTTAGGTAGTCGAAAAAACATTAATTCATGAAAACTTGGCTTATTAGGCAAATCGGGCCTTGCATAGTAGGCTGAGAAGTGCGTTCTGGCTACTAGGTACGACATATATATATATATATATATATATATATATATATATATATATATATATATATATATATATATATATATATATTCAAAGACGGACACACCTGGAAAGAAAAGACACTTTCCCACACTGGCAGTGGTGCCAGATGTGGCACTCTCATGCTTGGGGAAGAAGAGGTAACCCCATCTCCCCCCAGTTAACTACCCCCCCCCCCCTCCCCATCGTCTTGGGGCACCACCAGTGCCCACCTCCAGCTTAGTAGCCTCAGAGTTCCACACAGACCCACAACGACCAGTCGTGACTTTTCAAGCTTTGGATACAAGGTATGGCCATACATCTTAATAGTATAACCAGAGTTTGTTAGATCGTTGAGTGCCTCAGAGCTCTGTCCTTGGAGTGTGAGACCGTTGAGTGCCTCAGAGCTCTGTCCTTGGAGTGTGAGACCGTTGAGTGCCTCAGAGCTCTGTCCTGGGAGTGTGAGACCGTTGAGTGCCTCAGAGCTCTGTCCTTGGAGTGTGAGACCGTTGAGTGCCTCAGAGCTCTGTCCTTGGAGTGTGAGACCGTTGAGTGCCTCAGAGCTCTGTCCTTGGAGTGTGAGACCGTTGAGTGCCTCAGAGCTCTGTCCTTGGAGTGTGAGACCGTTGAGTGCCTCAGAGCTCTGTCCTTGGAGTATGAGACCGTTGAGTGCCTCAGAGCTCTGTCCTTGGAGTGTGAGACCGTTGAGTGCCTCAGAGCTCTGTCCTTGGAGTATGAGACCGTTGAGTGCCTCAGAGCTCTGTCCTTGGAGTGTGAGACCGTTGAGTGCCTCAGAGCTCTATCCTTGGAGTGTGAGACCGTTGAGTGCCTCAGAGCTCTATCCTTGGAGTGTGAGACCGTTGAGTGCCTCAGAGCTCTGTCCTTGGAGTGTGAGACCGTTGAGTGCCTCAGAGCTCTATCCTTGGAGTGTGAGACCGTTGAGTGCCTCAGAGCTCTGTCCTTGGAGTGTGAGACCGTTGAGTGCCTCAGAGCTCTATCCTTGGAGTGTGAGACCGTTGAGTGCCTCAGAGCTCTGTCCTTGGAGTATGAGACCGTTGAGTGCCTCAGAGCTCTGTCCTTGGAGTATGAGACCGTTGAGTGCCTCAGAGCTCTGTCCTTGGAGTGTTAGACCGTTGAGTGCCTCAGAGCTCTGTCCTTGGAGTGTGAGACCGTTGAGTGCCTCAGAGCTCTATCCTTGGAGTGTGAGACCGTTGAGTGCCTCAGAGCTCTGTCCTTGGAGTGTTAGACCGTTGAGTGCCTCAGAGCTCTGTCCTTGGAGTATGAGACCGTTGAGTGCCTCAGAGCTCTGTCCTTGGAGTGTTAGACCGTTGAGTGCCTCAGAGCTCTGTCCTTGGAGTGTGAGACCGTTGAGTGCCTCAGAGCTCTGTCCTTGGAGTGTTAGACCGTTGAGTGCCTCAGAGCTCTGTCCTTGGAGTGTGAGACCGTTGAGTGCCTCAGAGCTCTGTCCTTGGAGTGTGAGACCGTTGAGTGCCTCAGAGCTCTGTCCTTGGAGTGTGAGACCGTTATTACTCGTGATAGGTCACTGTTGTGGGTTGCATCCTGTCGGAACTTTACACCTAATACTTCTCCTCACCTGACCTGCAGCTCCGCCGTCAGGAAAGATGAGAAGCGCATGGTTATGGATGGTGGCGGGGGCTTGGATGGGCCTCCTAGGAATATCCTTCGTCACCCGCCCCACTGACGCCTACGTCACCGCCTTCCCTGACGAACCTGATATTGATGGTATCTGTGAGTATCTGGGGTATAACACTGCGGACTGCTAAGATATTCTTAACTGTTTCTGCTTGAACTGAACAAAGGGAAGAACATGGAAGTGCTGACGTGTTCTTCACGCAAAGATCCCATATAACTCAACATTAGACGAACTTTTGGAAAGAATTAAACCAAACTGGAATGAACTAACTATTAATTAAAACTGGCATGTACCTAACTTAATCTAACTTAGTATAAGCTAACCTAACTTAACATAACCTAGCATAACGTATCCTAACTTAATCACAACAGTAGTGACCGTGGGCATTGCTGTGACCAAGTTCCTAGCAGGTCTAGTGCCTTACCCCACTGTATCAGCCTTGCTCCTAGCCATCATCAATGCCTGGGAGCCTAGGCCTGAGGACAACTACTGGGAACACGTGAAGGACAACGTGGCTCAAGTGTGTGGTGAATTCATCAACGAGCACAACCTTCACCAGGTCGAGGTCTACAAGCAGGACCTCATGTCACTCATGAACCAGTGAGTATCCACAGTGGGGTCTCTACTTATGCCAGTGAATATCATAAGGCTCGTATTCATGTCAATACACAGCCAGTAAGTATCAAGTAAGGGGTTCTCATGGCAATAAGTGGGCTGGATGTAAGTGTATAAGGCTATATTGGGGTGTACGTGTTGCCAGGTTTTGTCCCAGGAGTCCCAATCTTGCTATGGGACAACAGAACCCATCGACGAGAGACCCAGACCTCTCAAAGATTGCCGTGGATCCTGACCTTCCTGTGACGTCTCTCTGGTCCTCAGGTACTCTCGGGCGGAGGTAGTCAGTGACGGAACATACCCGGACAAGAACACAATGGCCGACGCCATCACAACCTCCATCATCACCAACCGCTACCTGGTGGAGGCCTCAGAGATGCCTTGGTCCATGGCCATCGACTTTACAGACATATCCAGCGTCCATATCCTCATCCTGAAGGTCAGAAGCATGACCACGGCCAGGGTTAATCAAACGCCCACTTGCGAAGCCTGTACATCTTTCCTCAATGATGGTGGCTTCGTCTAAATTTATTAAACAGCTTACAAGCTTGGAAACACTGTGAGATCGTTCTCGGTATTATTGTTATATACGACTTCGCAGCGCTTCGGAGCTCTTAAACTGTTTAATAACTGTAAACAAAGCTGCCATGATTTTGGAAAGATGTATAGGTTTCGTAAGTAGCCAAAGAGGTTTCAGGGGGATACGTCTGTGGTCAAGAGCACATCTCCTGGTATACTCTTGCCCATAGAGTATATATATATATATATATATATATATATATATATATATATATATATATATATATGTCGTACCTAGTAGCCAGAATGCACTTCTCGGCCTACTATGCAAGGCCCGATTTGCCTAATAAGCCAAGTTTTCATGAATTAATTGTTTTTCGACTACCTAACCTACCTAACCTAACCTAACTTTTTCGGATACCTAACCTAACCTAACCTATAAAGATAGGTTAGGTTAGGTTAGGTAGGGTTGGTTAGGTTCGGTCATATATCTACGTTAATTTTAACTCCAATAAAAAAAAATTGACCTCATACATAATGAAATGGGTAGCTTTATCATTTCATAAGAAAAAAATTAGAGAAAATTTATTGATTCAAGAAAACTTGGCTTATTAGGCAAATCAAGCCTTGCATAGTAGGCGGAGAAGTGCGTTCTGGCTACTAGGTACGACATATATATATATATATATATATATATATATATATATATATATATATATATATATATATATATATATATATATATATATATATATATATATATAAACGTAGTCAACAAATTTCAAGTGAATTATATATATTTATACAAGACTGAAAGTGTTAACAATATCGTAGCAGTGATCACCATAATTAAACACTACATATACCACACCTATCAAGGTCCACTATAACACTTGCTGAATAAATAAAAAGATTGCAATAGGAGGCCTGGTCAGAGACCGGGCCGTGGAGACGTTGATACCCGGAACCTACAGCAGGTAGTCAAAAGGTTGTCACAGTAATTACGATTATAATGACATTAATATTTACATTATAGATGCCAGGAGACAGGTAACCTGGGTAAATACTAGCAGGAAACAGATGTGTTGATTTTTGGAACAGGTTACCGGGTAACATAATGGACGTGGGATCGCTGGGTTGTTTCAAGCTCAGGTTAGACATATAAATGTGTTTGGGTGGATGTAAATAAGAGCTGCCTCGTATTCGTCAATAATAGCTGCCATGCCTTGGCCAATAGGAGATGCCTCGTATAGGCCAATAGGCACTCTGTAGTTTCATTTACGTTTAAAATTACGCTATTGGCATCCAAATATTACTCCCGTGTATAGTGCAATCACAAGAACGATATATATGCATGAGAAAACGCCGAGGCCATATGACGGGATCGAACCCGCGTCCCTGGACTCCACCAACACATGCATGCACAGGGTGCAGTTGATAGTGTGTGTTCGATCATATTATACAGCGTCAATATCTCCTCTTTTCTTCCTTCAACCTGCGCCAGGATGCCGCTGACTCCTACACAGTAGTGGGGGGCGAGGTGTCCCGCTGGTGGGTGGACCTCTCAAGGCAGCTCCAGCACTACATCCAGTACGGCCTCTGGCTACAGAAGGAGACGATGACCTGGAGGAATACTCAGATCGAGTGCTACTTCGATGCGGCTGATGGAAGCTGTCTGGCCTTCGAGTGGACGGGCGTGACCTGCTACGACCTTTACAGGGTTAGTAGACTCGCTTGACCTTTATAGGGTTAGTGGATGAACTTGACCTGTATCTGGTTAGTACGTAGGCTTGACTTTTATAGGCCCTGGTAGAAGTGAAACTCCAACCGTGTTCCCGTACCCTGTGACTCCCTCTCCACCAGAGGGCCATCTTTGGACTCCTTCTCGCAGGCCATTAAACTGACTAATGACACCTCGTACACCCTAAGAGCTTAATATGTGTGGTTATTTCCAGCACAACCGTGACCGACCACTGTCAATCACAAACAGGTCCCTTTCGTAACGGAATGAATGCATTTTGGGAATACTTGAAAATCTTCGTTCCCCTCCGGGAGAACAAGAAGAACTGTTACAAGTGGATGGGTATGATAGAGGAGGATGGCTTTACAGAGCAAGTACCGTCCACAGATAACGGACTCAGTACGAGGCTACCAGGAGACCTGCCAGCAGCTCCATGCAGACAACCAGGAGGACGGGTCGTGTGCCAGCTTCTGCGACCTCTACCAGACCCAGGTCGACCGCGACTCTGCCCTGTGGCTCAACGCTTATCTTGACGCCGTGGTTGATGAGTGGTCCTTCCTCAAGCTTAAAGCTGATGCCCTCGCTAACCAGGCCTCCAGGTACGGTCTCTCTATATCTGTAGTTGACGTGTATTTTAGCCTTAAGCTTAAGGCAGACACGGAGCCCAAGAGCTAAGTCGTGCACATGAGGGCACTGACCGAAATCGATATATTGTAATTGTGAAATATAACGAATATTAATGAAATGATAAAAATCACTACTTTATACGTTTTGTTATTACTCGATGCTCTTTTGTTTTTGTTTTTATAAATAGGTATTACAACCCACTGACGAAAGATGCGTAGGGAGGATGGGGCACACCTGTGACGACCAGGTGTTTCAGGTTTCCCCTCCCCTACACCTGCGGCCTGGCCAGGTGTGTCAGGTATACTTCCCCTCACCACACATGAATTGAAGCCTCGCCATCGTTTGCCTAAAATACTTTTTTCTTTGAAATAAAGTTGAAATTTGAATTTTTGTGTTTTTGCAACATTTCTTTTTGAAGAATGTTGCCAAGATGACCATTAATATTTTATTTTGAAACCTATACTGACTCCCTGTGACCACCTGTGGCTCTGTGGGACCTATCCCGGCCTTGTGGGACCTATCCCGACTCTCTGGGACCACCTGTGACTCTGTGGGACCTATCCCGACCCAGTGGGACCTATCCCGACTCTCAGGGACCACCTGTGGCTCTGTGGGACCTATCCCGGCCCTGTGGGACCTATGCAGGCTCTCTGGGACCACCTGTCCTGTTTATAACGTGGCCTGCCGTTAATGAAATCAAAGACACACCTTGGGGGAACCACGGCAACCAACCCTTGTAACCATCAATTGCAATTTCCCAACACCATTGCTCTCCTGTGACCTTAAACCCACCCGGGTACATTGTTACCCCATAACCACAATAATGTCATCAATTAGACACCTTAACCAGGATTCATCAAGCATTTGCGTCCACCTACGAAGCCCGCACATCTTTCGTAAATCAGAGCGGATGTGTTTACATTTTTTAAACAGTTTACGAGCTTGGAAACTTCACAACCCAAGGTTATTATTGTTATAAAGATCCTCGTAGTTCTTAAACTTGTTCATAAACTTGTTTAATAAATACAAACTAAGGCGCTATGGTTGAGGAAAGATGTACAGGTTTCGTATTTTGACGCGAAAATGTTTTATGAATCCTGGTCATGCTTTGACCAATAGGAACTGCCTCGTATGGACCAATAAGAGCTGCCTCATATTAGCTTATAGAAGCTGACTCATAAGGACCAATAGGCCTGTTCTCAAGTGGGTGACTCGAAAAACAGGCCTATTATATATATATATATATATATATATATATATATATATATATATATATATATATATATATATATATATATATATATATATATATATATATATAGATATATATATATTGTGTAGTCCGTCAGCCTCTGGTGGTAATTACGTGCGTTGACTGTCCAGTTCATCTCTTGAAAACCGGAAACTCCATATCATTGTGCAATTCTATTTGGTATATTTTTTACTCAAATATTAAAGTTAAATCACTAAACTTATAATAGTTAATCTCTAGAATATAAAAGAAAACTTTTCGTCAAAGAAAACACAAATAATGTATGGGATAACTAAACATATACAAGTAAATGTAGACAGCCATAGTAAGCTGGGGAACGAGGTTATGTTATTAAATAAAACACAACGGTGTAAATGGTACTTTCTCGCAAAGCTAAAAATAAGTTGTACTATAGCCTTAATATCTCTTAGAAAACAAATTATAATAGCTTGATGTTCCAAGTTTCTATGGGATTTCATTTAACTTTCTAAGTTATTTTTGAAATATAAATGAAAAATCCTATTTTTAATACACAATACATTAAAATTTATGAATGTATCTTTGGGACCACAGCTTTAACGAGCCTGGCCTGAGGACGGGTTGCATATACAAATAATCCCCAACAGAACCTAAACACCTAATCTAACCTACGTCTAACTATACAAAGAACTTTAATATATAATTATATTAGCTTATATTTGAGAACAAAATTATTTTTTTATACACAGTACGGTAAAATTGATGAATGCGTCTTCAGGGACGGCCACTACTTCAACGAGCCTAGCCTGGATATTAATAAGTGTAAACAATGCAACCATGATTGTGGAAAGATGTACAGGTTTCGTAAGTGGATGCATAAATGTTTGACGAATCCTTAACCAGCTGGTCTCTTGTTGTTATGGACGACCTCGTTATACTTTAAAGCTTATAAAATGTTTAGTAAATACAAAATAAAACAGCCTTGATTGAGATCAGATGTTCAGGTTTCGTAAGTGAACAAATAAATGCTTGATGAAGCCTAGTTCAGGTAGGCTACACAGCTGCTGTTTTGTCCCAGCACTTAACACAGTGTGTGCCTGCTGTGGCGGGCCCCAGCCTTCTGTAGTAGGCCCCCAGCGACCCCTCCAGACCCCTTCTGGCGTCCCGTGGAGCAACACTTGACCCCCATCATCGCCTGCTGCGAGCCTTCCTCAGAACCGTCTCTGTACCAGCCATTTACCACGATTTTCCACGTTTCATGATCCGTAACCATCTCTCGTGGTCTGTATTACCACTACTACAGTTACCTACACCACCACTACACCTGCCACACCACCAGTACAGACGTATTGGTGGTACTGTGCCTCACAGTACCTCAGATATAGTATCTACAGATATAGTACGGTACTACAGAAATAGCTGAAGAATACCTACACCTTCACCACACCTGCCACACCACAAGCAGACCTATAATCCGCCAGGTGTGCCCCCAAGAGCAGCCTAGGACTTACCCAAACCAGATTACCGGGAGTGGAAGAGTGGCCTCGAGGTTCACTCACAGCTTCCCACCTGGATTCTCTCTTCTTTGTCCGTCAAATCCCGAGTGTAAACAGGTATATGGGACGCGTCTCTCTCTGCTACAATTTATTCCCCTCTCATTTTACATTTATTAGTTGGAGGTAACTAGTACATAATGCCTGAGAAGAACCGTGTTTCAATACGTGTCGAAACTACCAACTCTGATAAATAAAAATAAGGTAATGTCATGCAAATATATGCAAGTAGGCCCCTAAGAAAATGCAAGAGCCCCGCCAACTGGGTCACCTGGACCTTCAAATTCAAATTCAAATTCAAATTCTCTCCGTGCACGCCTGCCTTCAGTAACCTCACACTTTTGCAAGGCGTGGAAAGCCAGGCAAACTGTAAATAGTTAAATTGACGACTTTAAATATTCAACTGATTATATATCTTCAAGTGACATTGTGTAGACACAACGGTACACTCACTGGCCATCAGGAACACTCCTCAGATGATATGAAAATATCTGGGAACAATTAAGAGAAAACCAACATAAGATTTAAGGAAACCGCAGGAGAGCTATTGGGCCATACGGGGCAGCTCCTATGTATATTATGAGTCCATCCATACTCATTCATACGCATGTCTAACCTACGCTTGAAACAACCCAGTGATCCCACGACTATTATGTAACCCGGTAATCTGGTCCACAAATCAACAACCCTGTTTACAAACCAGTATTTAATCAGGTCATTCCTAAACTTAAACTTATCCAACTTACATCCATTTTTCGTGTTCTATTATGTGTTGGATATATTTAGTACCTGGTCAATGTGTCCTTTGTTACGGCCATTCATCCACCTGTACACCTCACTCATGTCACCTTAACTCTTTACTCTAGAGAATATCAAATAAGATGTTTTTAGCTCTTCATCTGGAAGGTTTCTAATTCCTGAAATATTTACCTGTAAATAAAATATTACGTTAGTAATTAAAGTATAATTACGTTAATTATTAACGTAATTAGATGTCGATTTGGATAAATGTACGTGTTTGATTTTAGTCATATTTCGTTATAAAAGAAGTATGGTTTCATCTACTGTGAGTAATCACGATCAACTTTCATTACCAATGGCCACCCCAAAACTCCTTCCTCGGGAGTTTTGGGGTGTATTATCTATCCCTATCTACACTACCCCTCCCTATCTACACTACCCGTCCCTATCTACACTACATCAGGCCCAAACCTCTACCCAAACTATTACATCAATCTCTGACAAGCTTAGAATCCAGCAATTATCATTTTATACCAAAATCCATCGCATGCTCCGCCAATCAGCCAGCAAGACCAGTAATTACCAATTAACGAGCTCAAACTAACGATAAAACCTCCCTAATCGCTACCGCAGAGAAGATATAATTGCCATTTAGCTGGAATGTTTTCCTGGCGGGGAGATTATCTGTTGAGCTGCTAGGGAAAGTTCTGAACGATGAGGGAGAAAATCCTGTCATTTGAGGGCAAAATAATCACAACACAAATAATGCAACTCGTTCTCGCACTTGCTTACAGTCAATATTGGCTTATTTAATAAGTGCATATGTGACATACTAATTGAGTGTGAATAATTTAGTTTACCTTGAAAAGCTTCATAGAAAACACCGACCTCACCTAACCTTCTTAGATAAGCCTCTTACTGCTTCTTATTTACAATTATTACTTAACCTATCAACGGTATAGGTTAAGTAATAATTGCAATTAAGAAGCAATAAGATGCTTATCTTAACATACTAAGAAGGTTAGGTGAGGTCGGTGTTTTCTATGAAGCTTTTTAAGGTAAACTAAAATATTCACAATCAATTAGTATGTCACATATGCACTTATTATATAAGCCAATATTGACTATAAGCAAGTGCGAGAACGGGTTGCAACAATGTTAGTGAGATCTTACGTGTGTTAGAACAACCTTACTGAACGTAAGGTAACGTCAAGACACTCTCTATCCAATAAGTGTTTTATTGTCCCCTATCAGAGATCTCGCTTGAGCTGATCCACTGGCGCTGTTGTTGTGGGCTTCGTGCAGCATAAACTAGATACAGCTTATAAATGTTTACATTTGCCCGATGGCTGCTTGGTATGGTTTACTGAGGCAAGGGTTCGATATTCTTAGAAGCTCGAGCGTAAATATACCGGCACACATGAACTTGTATACATACACCAGTAATAGTATATGTATACAGGAGAGATTGATAATATACATATACATGAGAGATTGATAGTATGTGTGTGTATACTGGAGGGTCGAGAAGGGCTTTGGAGCACATCATGGGCTGTGATGCTGTTATCATGGGCTGTGATGCTGTTATCATGGGCTGTGATGCTGTTATCATGGGCTGTGATGCTGTTATCAGGGGCTGTGATGCTGTTATCATGGGCTGTGATGCTGTTATCAGGGGCTGTGATGCTGTTATCATGGGCTGTGATGCTGTTATCAGGGGCTCTGATGCTGTTTCATGGGCTGTGATGCTGTTACCAGGGGCTGTGATGCTGTTATCATGGGCTGTGATGCTGTTATCAGGGGCTGTGATGTTGTTATCATGGACTGTGATGCTGTTATCAGGGGCTGTGACGCTGGTATC